CAAAACAATATCAGTCTCTTATTGATGACGATTTTAAATGGTTGAAAACGTTTTAACGTCCTTTCCCATTTCACTGTGATCTCTCTTTCTCTCTCTCTCTCTCTCTCATGAGGAAGGCCTCTAGAATTAAGAACACGAGACCGAATATAATAATTGCAAAGCTCCACTAACCTCTCGCCAGCAGGTCCGAAGTGTCTAGTGACTGGACCATCAATTATGTAATGTGTGATATCCTGACCGATTTCTGCAACAGCCAACATGTGCAATGATCGAGAGATTCGATCCCCCGTAGCCTATACCTATCACAGGTTATGGTAGCCTGGAGCCAGATTCACGAAGCAGTTACGTAAGCACTTACGAACCTGCACATCTTTTCTCAATCTTTGGCAGCTTTGTTTACAATTATTAAACAGTTAATGAGCTCCGAAGCACCAGGAGGCTGTTTATAACAGTAACAATAGGTGATAACAAGCATGAAAACTTCCCAAACTGTTTAATAAATGTAACCAAAGCTGTCAAAGATTGAGGAAAGATGTACACGTCGTAAGTACTTGCGTAACTGATTCGTGAATCTCTCCCCTGAGGCCCACTGCGTCGCACTGTCTGACGGACACTTTGTGCTGCTCACAACACCCGAAAATATATAAATATTGCACATATTGGCACAGCGTGACAATGCACACATTTCCACGTAAGAATTTATGTAATGATTTATTATACTTTAATCGTATAATATATCAGGCTAGTATATGAGTGTGATATACGATATTCGGGCAGTGTGACCTGTCCGAAACGCTTTGCGTAATAGTGGCTTTAGGCTTTGTACGTACTAGCTCTATCTATAAATCCATCAATGTTTGTATCTCACCTTGTATGTATGTACTTTACCTGAATAAACATTTGATTTGATTTGATAAGAAATTGGAGAACGGTGAGTAGGGGAAAACGTCGTGGAGAGGCAGTTAGCACTAGGATATTGTTGATATTTTAAATACGCCTGAAACCCCTGGGCGTAATTAGCGTCTTTATAAAAACATTATTTACAAATTACTATATAATGACCCCCTTTTGTTTATATAAACACAATATGTTGTTGCGGAGGTATGAAGTTAGACGCGGTGAGTGAGGCTGGCCAGTGTGGCTCAGACTCTCGAGCTGAGCGGTGGTAGTAGAGGTGTCGCGCACGGCCGCTGCTCCTTCCCTCACACCACCACCGGTCCTGCTCGCTCGCTCTCCTTCCTTCCAGCGAGTCTTCCAGGAAACTTCTCCTGTGTATACTTTATCTAGGTTATTTCTGTTGTGTTTTGTAATATGTGAATGTCCTCTCGTGCGTCAGTATGGTGGGAGTTAATTACTTATCGCTTATACACGTAAGACATCTTCGGTGGTTGCCCAGTCTTAAAAGTTTTAATAGGCTGCAGAGTTCTGGAAGAATGCCTTAGGCGTTTATGAGGCATAAAGGGGATGACTCCATCTGCTAAGATTACTCTCCGACTGGTGCTCCAGGCTGGTGCACACTCACCATAGTGGTGGTGCTCCAGGCTGGTGCTCACTCTCAGTGCTGGTGCTCCAGGCTGGCTCACTTGGCGTCTCATAGGCAGGTGCTCCAGGCTGGTGCTCCAGTGCTGGTGATCCAGGCTGGTGCTCACTCCATGGTGGTGGTGCTCCAGGCTGGTGCTCACTCCAGGCTGGTGCTCCAGGCTGGTGCTCATCCAGGCTGGTGGTGCTCCAGACTGGTGCTCCAGGCTGGTGTTCCAGGCTGGTGTTCCAGGCTGGTGCTCCAGGCTGGTGTTCCAGGCTGGTGTTCCAGGCTGGTGTTCCAGGCTGGTGTTCCAGGCTGGTGCTCCAGGCTGGTGCTCCAGGCTGGTGTTCCAGGCTGGTGCTCCAGGCTGGTGTTCCAGGCTGGTGTTCCAGGCTGGTGTTCCAGGCTGGTGTTCCAGGCTGGTGTTCCAGGCTGGTGCTCCAGGCTGGTGGTGCTCCAGGCTGGTGTTCCAGGCTGGTGGTGCTCCAGGCTGGTGCTCCAGGCTGGTGATCCAGGCTGGTGATCCAGGCTGGTGCTCATCCAGGCTGGTGCTCCAGGCTGGTGTTCACTCCTGGCTGGTGTTCCAGGCTGTTGCTCCAGGCTGGTGTTCCAGGCTGGTGATCCAGGCTGGTGTTCCTGGCTGGTGCTCCAGGCTGGTGTTCCAGGCTGGTGCTCCAGGCTGGTGTTCCAGGCTGGTGTTCCAGGCTGGTGTTCCAGGCTGGTGCTCCAGGCTGGTGTTCAGGCTGGTGATCCAGGCTGGTGCTCCAGGCTGGTGATCCAGGCTGGTGATCCAGGCTGGTGCTCCAGGCTGGTGAGTGGCTGGTGATCCAGGCTGGTGATCCAGGCTGGTGATCCAGGCTGGTGCTCCAGGCTGGTGATCCAGGCAGGTGATCCAGGCTGGTGTTCCAGGCTGGTGTTCCAGGCTGGTGTTCCAGGCTGGTGTTCCAGGCTGGTGCTCCAGGCTGGTGTTCCAGGCTGGTGTTCCAGGCTGGTGCTCCAGGCTGGTGTTCCAGGCTGGTGTTCCAGGCTGGTGTTCCAGGCTGGTGTTCCAGGCTGGTGCTCCAGGCTGGTGTTCCAGGCTGGTGATCCAGGCTGGTGATCCAGGCTGGTGCTCCAGGCTGGTGATCCAGGCTGGTGATCCAGGCTGGTGATCCAGGCTGGTGATCCAGGCAGGTGATCCAGGCTGGTGATCCAGGCTGGTGATCCTCTCAGGTGATCCAGGCTGGTGCTCCAGGCTGGTGATCCAGGCTGGTGATCCAGGCTGGTGATCCAGGCTGGTGATCCAGGCAGGTGATCCAGGCTGGTGCTCACTCCAGGCAGGTGCTCCAGGCTGGTGATCCAGGCTGGTGATCCAGGTGGTGCTCCAGGCTGGTGCTCCAGGTAGGTGCTCCAGGCTGGTGATCCAGGCTGGTGATCCAGGCTGGTGCTCCAGGCAGGTGATCCAGGCAGGTGATCCAGGCTGGTGATCCAGGCTCTCATAGTGGTGGTGCTCCAGGCTGGTGCTCACTCTCAGGCTGGTGGTGCTCCAGGCTGGTGCTCACTCTCATAGTGGTGGTGCTCCAGGCTGGTGCTCACTCTCAGGCTGGTGCTCCAGGCTGGTGCTCACTTCATAGTGGTGGTGCTCCAGGCTGGTGCTCACTCTCAGGCTGGTGGTGCTCCAGGCTGGTGCTCACTCTCATAGTGGTGGTGCTCCAGGCTGGTGCTCACTCTCACGGTGGTGTGCTCCAGGCTGGTGCTCACTCTCAGGGTGGTGGTGTTCCAGGCTGGTGTTCCTGGCTGGTGTTCCAGGCTGGTGTAAAGCCAAGTCCTAAACCAGTTACTGACGCGTATCTAATCAAGACAGGCGTCTCCACATGCAAATTAACTCTGTCGAGCCACGTGGGGCTTGACTCCGTGGATCCATCAGACTGTCGGTGATGATGGTAGGGGGAGGAGGAGGAGGAGGAAGAAGCTCTGAAGACTTGCTTTACCTGCTCTATTATGTCTACTACATCTATTTCTCTTACACACGCACACACACATCCCCAGGAAGCTGCCCGTAGCAGCTGTCTAACTCCCAGGTACCTATTTACTGCTAGGTGAACAGACGCATAAGGGCGAAAGAAACTCTGCTCATTTGTTTCCGCCTCGGCTGGGAATATAATCCGGGCCTTTAGGACTACGTTCCTTGAGCGCTGTCCACTCAGTCGCGAGGCCCCCTGTGTGTGTATGTTGTGAGAGAGAGAGAGAGAAAAAAATATATGTATTACATATGTTAGAGATATATGTATTAGATAAAATAAGTTGGGAGTCCGTACATTAGACGGTTAGGAAAGCGGGGGCCCAAGAGCTAATGCCTCGATCATGCCAATACAAACAGTAAATACACATGCGTACACGCACGCGCATGCACGTACACACATTTTTTGACGGATGGTTTGACGCCCCAGGGACGTCATTCTGGACGCACCAGAAACGTATTGCTTAACGCACATTGCAAACCACACAGCCTATTCAGCGTTAACCGAAGCGACGGTTTACAGCGTCGCTTCGTAAACCCGACAGTTCCTCGTCAAGAAACAGCGCGTGACCCGTCTGGGTGAATCGACAAGAAAGTTTACTGAGAATGACTCCGTTCTCCACAAGTCTCACACACACACACACACACACACACACACACACACACACACACACACACACACACACACACACACACACACACACACGCGCACACACACGTGTACGTTTAGGTGGTGTTAAACTGAGTGCCCAAATGAGCCACAGAGATATTAGAAAGAACTTTTTTTTAGTGTCAGAGTGGTTGACAAATGGAATGCATTAGGCAGTGATGTGGTGGAGGCTGACTCCATACACAGTTTTAAATGTAGATATGATAGAGCCCAATAGGCTCTGGAATCTGTACACCTGTTGATTGACGGTTGAGAGGTGGGACCAAAGAGCCAGAGCTCAACACCCGCAAACACAACTAGGTGATTACACACACACACACACACACACACACACACACACACACACACACACACACACACACACACACACACACACACACTTCTCATTACTGGCACTGGAGCGACCTTCACATCACCCCCTCCCCTAGACACACCTACTCCAGATTCCTGCGCTCTTAGACAGGTCAAGGAGGGATTTTACCGAGCCGGGAGGATAAAGTGTTGATCTTGGAAGCGCTCTTCCTCTCAGTTTCTAAGAGGTTCTCAACAGAGGACAACAACTCATCTGGCGGTTACAAACAACGAGACGAGGGGACACAGCTCATCGTCATGCTCACAATGATAGTGAGCTTCTCATGTTCAACTCTTCGGAAATCCGTGCAGGACAAGTTCCTTTTTCAGGCTGATGTTGTCTCGGGAAAATATTTTAATGTGATGTTCGTGTTTCAGGCTGCAGTGTTCCTTGCACTGATCGTGTAGGTTCAGAGTCACTGCGGGTGTAGGTTCAGGCACTGCGGGTGTAGGTTCAGTCACTGCGGGTGTAGGTTCAGGCACTGCGAGTGTAGGTTCAGGCACTGCGAGTGTAGGTTCAGGCACTGTGGGTGTAGGTTCAGGCACTGCGAGTGTAGGTTCAGGCACTGTGGGTGTAGGTTCAGGCACTGTGGGTGTAGGTTCAGAGTCACTGCGGGTGTAGGTTCAGGCACTGTGGGTGTAGGTTCAGTCACTGTGGGTGTAGGTTCAGGCACTGTGGGTGTAGGTTCAGTCACTGCGGGTGTAGGTTCAGGCACTGCGAGTGTAGGTTCAGGCACTGCGAGTGTAGGTTCAGGCACTGTGGGTGTAGGTTCAGGCACTGTGGGTGTAGGTTCAGGCACTGTGGGTGTAGGTTCAGTCACTGTGGGTGTAGGTTCAGGCACTGTGGGTGTAGGTTCAGGCACTGCGAGTGTAGGTTCAGGCACTGTGGGTGTAGGTTCAGGCACTGTGGGTGTAGGTTCAGAGTCACTGCGGGTGTAGGTTCAGTCACTGTGGGTGTAGGTTCAGGCACTGTGGGTGTAGGTTCAGGCACTGCGAGTGTAGGTTCAGGCACTGCGAGTGTAGGTTCAGGCACTGTGGGTGTAGGTTCAGGCACTGTGGGTGTAGGTTCAGAGTCACTGCGGGTGTAGGTTCAGTCACTGCGGGTGTAGGTTCAGTCACTGTGGGTGTAGGTTCAGTCACTGTGGGTGTAGGTTCAGGCACTGTGGGTGTAGGTTCAGAGTCACTGCGGGTGTAGGTTCAGGCACTGCGGGTGTAGGTTCAGTCACTGTGGGTGTAGGTTCAGTCACTGTGGGTGTAGGTTCAGTCACTGTGGGTGTAGGTTCAGGCTCTGTGGGTGTAGGTTCAGGCACTGCGGGTGTAGGTTCAGTCACTGTGGGTGTAGGTTCAGAGTCACTGCGGGTGTAGGTTCAGGCACTGCGAGTGTAGGTTCAGGCACTGCGAGTGTAGGTTCAGGCACTGTGGGTGTAGGTTCAGGCACTGTGGGTGTAGGTTCAGAGTCACTGCGGGTGTAGGTTCAGGCACTGCGGGTGTAGGTTCAGTCACTGTGGGTGTAGGTTCAGTCACTGTGGGTGTAGGTTCAGGCTCTGTGGGTGTAGGTTCAGGCACTGCGGATGTAGGTTCAGTCACTGTGGGTGTAGGTTCAGAGTCACTGCGGGTGTAGGTTCAGGCACTGCGAGTGTAGGTTCAGGCACTGCGAGTGTAGGTTCAGGCACTGCGAGTGTAGGTTCAGGCACTGCGGGTGTAGGTTCAGTCACTGTGGGTGTAGGTTCAGAGTCACTGCGGGTGTAGGTTCAGGCACTGCGGGTGTAGGTTCAGTCACGGGGTGTTGGTTCAGAGTCACTGCGGGTGTAGGTTCAGAGTCACTGCGGGTGTAGGTTCAGAGTCACTGCGGGCGTAGATCCTCAAGGCGTTAGCTATATAGGCTGAATGCGAATCCCAAAATGTACTCGCCAGGAAAGGTCTGAAAATATGCGCCTCTCTTTCCTAAACTTCCAAAGGCGGATGTTTCCCATTACACGCAGGACTTTCACCCTTACAACCGGTGGTTAATAGGGGCGTCTCTCCCGTTGAATGCCTTCTGGGAAAGTTAATTACCTGGACCTTTGGAGAAGTTGTTTATTTCGGCAGGGATCCCGTAGCTACTGTTTCGGCAGGGATCCCGTAGCTACTGTTTCGGCAGGGATCCCGTAGCTACTGTTTCGGCAGGGATCCCGTAGCTACTGTTTCGGCAGGGATCCCGTAGCTACTGTTTCGACAGGGATCCCGTAGCTACTGTTTCGACAGGGATCCCGTAGCTACTGTTTCGGCAGGGATCCCGTAGCTACTGTTTCGGCAGAGATCCCGTAGCTACTGTTTCGACAGGGATCCCGTAGCTACTGTTTCGGCAGGGATCCCGTAGCTACTGTTTCGACAGGGATCCCGTAGCTACTGTTTCGGCAGGGATCCCGTAGCTACTGTTTCGGCAGGGATCCCGTAGCTACTGTTTCGACAGGGATCCCGTAGCTACTGTTTCGGCAGGGATCCCGTAGCTACTGTTTCGGCAGGGATCCCGTAGCTACTGTTTCGGCAGGGATCCCGTAGCTACTGTTTCGGCAGGGATCCCGTAGCTACTGTTTCGACAGGGATCCCGTAGCTACTGTTGATTTCAGCGCCATCTTGTGTTACTTATAAACAACCAACGACATCGTTTTTTATATACATTAGTTAACTGTTTACATAAACATTGTTTACTTATGTATAAACTGTATGATTTATAGTGAGGAAAATACTACAGTATCCCCGAGGTTGCTGTATATCCTCCCCCGTCCAATCCCCAAATCCTTATCCTGATCCCTTCCAAGTGTTATATAGTCGTAATGGCTTGGCGCTCTCTCCTGATAGTTTCCTTCCCGCCGACGACCACCTCATTTCAACGACCGAGGACGACTTAAATCAGTTTTAATTAACTGTTCCAGTTGTGTATCTTAGAAGCTGTCTTTTGTTCGGTGCGTTGACGCGCTCACCAGAGTCCATATAATAAGGAGTTTTCTTGTTCTTAGACCACGGTCCAGGGCCACGGTCCAGGCCACGGACCAGGCCACGGACCAGACCACGGTCCAGGCCACGCACGGTCCAGGCCACGCACGGTCCAGGCCACATGCTCCGGACCAAGCTCTCGGCGTCGCTACGGAAGATGTCTCCTTTGAGGTCTGGTCTTGAAACCTCAGTAGTCGACCTGGTCATCCAATAGTCAGAACTCAATCGACGGGAGTAAAGGTGTGTTCGACTGGAAGGTTGGTGAGAGGGAACACCAGGGTGGGGGGGGGGGGTAGTCAGTGTGCCCGGACCACATGGAGAGGGATGACAACAGGTCCCAGGGAAAGGGGACAGGGATGGCAACAGGTGCCATGGGAAAGGGGACAATGATGGCGGCAGGTGCCAGGGGGGGATAGTGTAGGGAGCTGGGGGAGGTCAGAGGGTGACGGAGGAGATGCAAGAGGTCAAACATTAACGACAGTTGACCCCACAGGTCACCAGGTGCCGCTCTGGGCATATATAAAGGCGCCTTGGTGAGGCAGATGGTCTGATCTAATTTACATACACGAGTTAACTGACATGATCACAGGTGTTGAGGGGTGTGTGTGTATGGGGAGGAAGGGAAGGTGGTGGCTGACAATGTAATAGACATTCTCAACTGTCAAGACGCCACCGAATGGAAGATAATCTGAAGTTGACGCCTATAACTCCTCCAGCCTTAGGCCTCTTTGGCTTGAGATTAGTTTTTTTTTTACAAATCCAGTACAAACACGAGAGGGGGGCCGACTCCGACCCTCCTATGACAGTCCTACCCCACCCATAGGTCTCCCTGCAAAGTTTAATGCGTCTGGTCTACAACCTTAGACAGACAAACACATTCTTACCTCTTGTCATTAGTGTTTAACATACATAAACAATAATATTACAGGGAATAAGGAATAATATATTCTTGTATAAAATCTATAATGAAACGGTTCCCTCTTTTTTTTTATTGTTTCATTAGATAATTTTCCTTGCTCTGATAGCATTCAAATTTTTCCTAAAATGGACTGAAGGTAAATCTGATTTTTGGGGCATTAAATGTGACATGTTGTGATATGTGGTGTCATGCTATGATATGTGGTGATATGTGGTGTCATGCTATGATATGTGGTGATATGTGGTGTCATGCTATGATATGTGGTGTCATGTGATATGCGTGAGGCAGGAAAAACGTTGGGTGAATATGACAGTGACTATTTCCAAATTAAATTTGGAAAAAAAAACAAATATACTCAAATTTCATTTTAGTCTAAATGGACAGCGATTCATTTATAAAAATGTTTTGATAGATTTTTTTTCAGCAGATATTGTGGTTTGTCTCTCTCTCTCTCTCTCTCTCTCTCTCTCTCTCTCTCTCTCTCTCTCTCTCTCTCTCTCTCTCTCTCTCTCTCTCTCTCTCTCTCTCTCTCTCTTTGTCAGTACGGAAAGTTGGCACGCTAACTGTGACTGACTCTCATCATTGACTGCCTTCAGCTCCCTAAGTCATAACTGTGACGTGCTTATCTCTGAAGCTAGACACAGATATAATGAAACAATAACTGATGAAGTCAGCGTTTGTCTCCTGTGAATTCCTTCCCATATTGGTCTCCGAGTGCATGATAGAACTGATGAGTTGGCCAAGACTTTTGCTCGTAAAGAGGGAATTGATTACCATCTTGGCCTGCCTCTGAGCAGCCTGAGGGCAGCAATATTTCGGGAACATCAACAAAATCTCGTAGACTTGAGGCAAAGTGAAATTCACACCAGTTCCTCTATCTATCATCATTCTATTATGCAGGAAGTACCGCACATCTATGGGTCATCCAATAAGGTGAGTAGACTTCTAGATGTTACCACTGCTAGGCTTGGGCTAGATTGTTACTTAGCTAAACGACGTATATAGATCAAGCGTGCGACATAGAGACAGTAGAACGTTGGACACGAGACAGAGTCGACATTCCTGACCCAGGATAAACTACGTGATGCTCATGCGCGTCTTTCAAAGGAATATGCAAATGCGATTTCCATATCAAAAGACTGAAGAGCTTAGAACTGTCACGGGCAGGGCCCCTCTGAGGGCCCCTTGTGCCAGCTAATAAACAGCTGTTCTATACCAACGGGCCCCTGGACCCGTTGGTATAGACTACCGTTGGTTTGACTACCGTTTCCCCGGCAACTGTGTGGTTGGGTCGCGGAGAGCCCGTGTCTAGCTCCTGGTCTCGGCTCTCCTCTCTGCCACACCTCGCCAAATGTCAACATGTCATCCTGAAATGATAGCACTTATGTCAACGTTCAAGTATTGCTTGAACGTTGAACGTACAAAACTGGTCGAGAGAGAGAGAGAGAGAGAGAGAGAGAGAGAGAGAGAGAGAGAGAGAGAGAGAGAGAGAGAGAGAGAGAGAGAGAGAGAGAGAGAGAGAGAGAGAGAGAGAGAATAAGATCGACCAAGAGGGAGTATGTCCATATACAATGACTAATTAATTTAGACAGGCCGAGAGTCAACTAGTATGGGTGGGATAAACATATTTTTAAATAGAGATTCTAGCTTTTACGAAGCATAATCTCCGCAGCATCATTCATCTTCGGCTGCTCCCCGACTCAACATCCTCCAGGTCTCTCTTGAGGTCTTTGCAATATCATTAATTCCGATTGTTGTCTCGGAAGTCCATAGGATAGAACCCAGAACGCTGCCAGTTGAAGCTTTCTTGTTCAACGTTTTAGAAATGGAAAGTGAAAACATTTACCTGTGATTGCGCTTTGATATTGGATCAAAGAGACAAATTTCGCGATTGTTTTCATGTTATCTTATCTTGAGGTTATCTTGAGATGATTTCAGGGCTTAGCGTCCCCGTGGCCCGGTCCTCGACCAGGCCTCCTTTTTGTTACACATCCCCAGGAAACAGCCCGTAGCAGCTGTCTAACTCCCAGGTACCTATTTACTGCTAGGTGAACACAGGCATCAGAGTGAAAGAAACTTTTTGCCCATTTGTCTCCACCTCCACCGGGGATCGAACCCGGAATCTCAGGACTACGAACCCGAAGCGCTGTCCTCTCAGCTGTCATGCGCCCTGGCATTGTGACGCAATCTATACATAATCTTGAGGTTATCTTGAGGTTATCTTGAGATGATTTCGGGGCTTTTTAGTGTCCCCGTGGCCCGGTCCTCGACCAGGCCTCCACCCCCAGGAAGCAGCCCGTGACAGCTGACTAACACCCAGGTACCTATTTTACTGCTAGGTAACAGGGGCATAGGGTGAAAGAAACTCTGCCCATTATTTCTCGCCGGCGCCTGGGATCGAACCCAGGACCACAGGATCACAAGTCCAGCGTGCTGTCCGCTCGGCCGACCAGCTCCCAATCTCATAGATTCTGTATAGATTCTGCTTATGGTAATCCACAGGGAAGGCATCGTGGGAACCTGGTAGCGTCCCGCGGAGCCCAACAGCTGCGGACGTCACTCAAATGAATTGAGGCAAAATAACAGTGACACAAAAATGATTACAGACCTGTCGCAGTAACATTATTGAGGTTTTTGAGAGGCGTTAACAAGCCAATTTATTAGTTTTATGGAAATGAACGAACTAAACAGCTTAGAGTTTTTACCACAGCTTGATTACTATGGCCAAATTATATAGGGACTTGAAGCAAACCCATATGCATATGTTGCATATACAAGTTTTTTAATAAGAAATATTACACCTGGTGAGTTGTGTCACCAGGTGAGTATAGTGCAACCTAGTGAGCATAGTGTCACTATACTCACCGTGTCACTGTGAGTATAGTGCCACCCCCTAACATTCCCACAGACCAAAGCATTGGGGAAGATGATAGGTGAAAAAAAATATATCATTTAATAATGGTAAGTGAAACCGGGCAGGCCCAGACCGTAGATTAAATTTCTCTCTTTCCGCCTCTACTGGTGGCTGCAAGTGACGGCCCCGCCAGCCCCGAGCACTCCATGTGTAAACTCTGTTACGAGGAACTCAGGCATGCTCCCCCCCCCTCCCCACCCCACACACACTACGCTATTGACTGTCCAGTCGTTAGTTCCCCTCAGAGAAGCTGGTGTGAGTCCCCTCAAGCTTTTGCAATTACCCAAGAGCTCTCTGACAACCTTTCAACTTGGTGAATTTGTTACACTGTGTAAATATTTAGTTATTAATATTTATGTAAGGAATGAATGTAGCTACATGGAGTTGTTTGTGTCGGTAGAATGTGTGGGAGGAGGAAGGCGCGGGCGGCGCTGCCAGGAACCCGACTGCTACTGCTTCACCTGCTGCTCGTCTCTCCAGGTCAGTTACCCCTTCGTCCTGACCTCATTTTCTTTGATGTTTTTAACTAAGACTGGGGTCCATAAGGGCTGTTAAATGATGTACCTAGTGAAGTGAAAATGCAAGCAAGAGCTGTTATTCACACGCACACTCTCTCTCTCTCTCTCTCTCTCTCTCTCTCTCTCTCTCTCTCTCTCTCTCTCTCTCTCTCTCTCTCTCTCTCTCTCTCTCTCTCTCTCTCTCTCTCTCCCCTTCCCACATTAAGCTTTTAACATTTTTTCACGCATCTGTTCACGTTCCATTATTCCAGGAACTTTTTACTTCTTCTCCCTTCTCTATTCCCTGATCTTCTACCCGTCCACCCTTCCCCTTCCTTTATCTCTTGTCACCCCCCCCCCTTCCCTGCCTCCTCCATACCTCTCATTCTTCCCCACCCTCCCTCCCCCACCCTCCCCGCCACCCTCTCCTGCCCTCCACCTCTCTCTTTGTCTGGTCGGAGGTACGAGGTACATGGGGAGAAGCTCCCAGACACTTGGAAATACTACCACCAGTGTCTGGAGACTAAGCTGCGTTTTTAGTATCTTTTTAGGGGTGAATTTTTAGTTCGTGTGTGTGTGTGTGTGTGTGTATGTGCGTGTGTGTGTGTGTGTGTGTGTGTGTGTGTGTGTGTGTGTGTGTGTGTGTGTGTGTGTGTGTGTGTACTCACCTATTTGTACTCACCTATTTGTGCTTGCGGGGGTTGAGCTTTGGCTCATTGGTCCCGCCTCTCAACTGTCAATCAACTGGTGTACAGATTCCTGAGTCTACTGGGCTCTATCTACTACTGAGCCTCTATGGGCTCTATACTTGTGTGTGTGTGTGTGTGTGTGTGTGTGTGTGTGTGTGTGTGCTGGTGTTACACAACGTGGTGTTCGTGGTCACCACATGCTGACGCTGGGTCAACATTACCCCCCCCCCCCAAGGTGTAATTATCTAAGTGACTTCCCGCTCGTGTGGGTCACGCCGTCTTCCTTGTTACTTACGGAAGCTTCCGACGGCATGGTGCCCAAGCACTTGGGCTGGACGGTAGAGCGACGGTCTCGCTTCATGCAGGTCGGCGTTCAATCCCCCGACCGTCCACAAGTGGTTGGGCACCATCCCTTCCCCTCCGTCCCATCCCAAATCCTTATCCTGTCCCCCTTCCCAGTGCTATATAGTCGTAAGGGTTTGGCGCTTTCTCCTGATAGTTACCTTCCCCTTGTGATGGTGTCGGCACCCAACACCATCGGCTGTCACTATTTAGCTCTTGGACCCCGACTTTCTAATTGTAGATTGTCTAATAAACTGACTTACGACCTAGTTATCCTCGATTGTATCTACTACATATATTTCTCTCTCTCTCTCTCACACACACACACTCATCCCCGGAATGAATGTAGCTCGTATCAGCTGTCTAACTCCGTAGGTGAACAGGCTCATCAGGTAAAAGAGAAGCCCATTTGTTTCTGCCTCGGCCGGGAATTGAGACTGGGCTCTTATAATTATGACCCCAGGGGCCAGATTCACGAAGCAGTTACGCAAGCACTTACGATCCTGTACATCTTTTCTCAATCTTTGGCGACTTTGTTTTCAATTCGTAAACAGTTATAATGAGCTCCGAAGCACCAGGAGGCTGTTTATAACAATAACAACAGTGGATTGGGAAGTTTTCATGCTTGTAAACTGTTTAATAAATATAACCAAAGCCGTCAAAAATTGAGGAAAGATGTACACGTTCGTAAGTACTTGTGTAACTGCTTCGTGAATCTGGCTCTTGAGTGCCGTCCAGTCGGCTGAAAGAGATAGCGACAATTATCAAGAGAAAGCGCCAAGCCATTACGACTATATAGAACTTGGAAGGGATAAGGAATTAGCATGGGACGGAGGGGAGCAATGGTGCCCAATCACTTGTGGACGGTCGGGTATTGAACGCCGACCTGCATGACGCGAGACCGTCGCTCTACCGTCCACCCCAAGTGGCCCGGGCACGTTCGGCTGCGAGTGTGTGTTTGTGTATTTGTTTCGTCAGCTGATGACAAATACATCTGCGTTTGTGTTTTTGCCTGTTGAGTTTAAGCCTAATTTCTTAGCGCACTTTAATTGTGCACAACTACCATTGTCATACTTTTCATGCTTTACCCTTTGCAATTACCCCATTATCCGTTCTGTCATTTCCCATGAGAATTGGGTATGTGGTAATCATGTCTCTCTTAACTCTTCTGTCGTCCAGTGACGTGAGGATCAATTCCTGTAGTCTTTCCTCATAAGTCATACCCTTCTGTTATGGTACTAGTCCAGTGGTATACCTCTGAACTTTCTCTAGCTGCCTTTTGTCTTTAATTAGATGAGGACTCCACTCCGGTGCTGCATAGCTGAACGGTCTATACCTAGCAGGTATAGCTCCTAGCTCCTAGGACCACCAGACGCTCCACAGCTCCCACACCTAGCCTCCCTCACCCCTGCCCGATGTCCCTCACCCCTGCCCGACCTCCCTCACCCTACCCGACCTCCCTCACCCTACCCGACCTCCCTCACCCTGCCCGACCTCCCTCACCCTGCCCGACCTCCCTCACCCTGCCTCACATCCACCTATTATTGTCCCACGTCAGCACTCCCTCCATTCCCAGCCCCGTCAATCGAGTCGTCATAATGGACATTACTTAACGCCTCGCAGGTTTAGTCAAGCCCTTAAACTTGTCTTGTCTTGTCTTGCTTGTCTTGCTTGTCTTGTCTTGTCTTGTGAGCGCGTGTGTACTCGCCTACTTGTCCTTCAGCATCCATTCTCCCCTCACAGTCTCTGGTTTTCCTGACGTCGTTATGGGTGTGTCAGAGGCGTGTGGAGGACCCTCTCAGTGTCTGGTGGTGTGTGGAGGGCCCTCTCAGTGTCTGGTGGTGTGTGGAGGGCCCTCTCAGTGTCTGGTGGTGTGTGGAGGGCCCTCTCAGTGTCTGGTGGTGTGTGGAGGGCCCTCTCAGTGTCTGTGGTGTGTCAGAGGTGTGTGGAGGGCCCTCTCAGTGTCTGGTGGTGTGTGGAGGGCCCTCTCAGTGTCTGGTGGTGTGTGGAGGGCCCTCTCAGTGTCAGGTGGTGTGTGGAGGGCCCTCTCAGTGTCTGGTGGTGTGTGGAGGACCCTCTCAGTGTCTGGTGGTGTGTGGAGGGCCCTCTCAGTGTCTGGTGGTGTGTGGAGGACCCTCTCAGTGTCTGGTGGTGTGTGGAGGGCCCTCTCAGTGTCAGGTGGTGTGTGGAGGGCCCTCTCAGTGTCTGGTGGTGTGTGGAGGACCCTCTCAGTGTCTGGTGGTGTGTGGAGGGCCCTCTCAGTGTCTGGTGGTGTGTCAGAGGTGTGTGGAGGGCCCTCTCAGTGTCTGGTGGTGTGTGGAGGGCCCTCTCAGTGTCTGGTGGTGTGTGGAGGGCCCTCTCAGTGTCTGGTGGTGTGTGGAGGGCCCTCTCAGTGTCTGGTGGTGTGTGGAGGACCCTCTCAGTGTCTGGTGGTGTGTGGAGGACCCTCTCAGTGTCTGGTGGTGTGTGGAGGGCCCTCTCAGTGTCTGGTGGTGTGTGGAGGGCCCTCTCAGTGTCTGGTGGTGTGTGGAGGGCCCTCTCAGTGTCTGGTGGTGTGTGGAGGGCCCTCTCAGTGTCTGGTGGTGTGTGGAGGGCCCTCTCAGTGTCTGGTAGTGTGTGGAGGGCCCTCTCAGTGTCTGGTGGTGTGTGGAGGGCCCTCTCAGTGTCTGGTGGTGTGTGGAGGGCCCTCTCAGTGTCTGGTGGTGTGTGGAGGGCCCTCTCAGTGTCTGGTGGTGTGTGGAGGGCCCTCTCAGTGTCTGGTGGTGTGTGGAGGACCCTCTCAGTGTCTGGTGGTGTGTGGAGGGCCCTCTCAGTGTCTGGTGGTGTGTGGAGGGCCCTCTCAGTGTCTGGTGGTGTGTGGAGGGCCCTCTCAGTGTCTGGTGGTGTGTGGAGGGCCCTCTCAGTGTCTGGTGGTGTGTCAGAGGCGTGTGGAGGGCCCTCTCAGTGTCTGGTGGTGTGTGGAGGGCCCTCTCAGTGTCTGGTGGTGTGTCAGAGGCGTGTGGAGGGCCCTCTCAGTGTCTGGTGGTGTGTGGAGGACCCTCTCAGTGTCTGGTGGTGTGTCAGAGGCGTGTGGAGGGCCCTCTCAGTGTCTGGTGGTGTGTCAGAGGCGTGTGGAGGGCCCTCTCAGTGTCTGGTGGTGTGTCAGAGGCGTGTGGAGGGCCCTCTCAGTGTCTGGTGGTGTGTCAGAGGCGTGTGGAGGACCCTCTCAGTGTCTGGTGGTGTGTCAGAGGCGTGTGGAGGGCCCTCTCAGTGTCTGGTGGTGTGTCAGAGGCGTGTGGAGGGCCCTCTCAGTGTCTGGTGGTGTGTCAGAGGCGTGTGGAGGGCCCTCTCAGTGTCTGGTGGTGTGTCAGAGGCGTGTGGAGGGCCCTCTCAGTGTCTGGTGGTGTGTCAGAGGCGTGTGGAGGGCCCTCTCAGTGTCTGGTGGTGTGTCAGAGGCGTGTGGAATGCCCTCTCAGTGTCTGGTGGTGTGTCAGAGGCGTGTGGAGGGCCCTCTCAGTGTCTGGTGGTGTGTCAGAGGCGTGTGGAGGACCCTCTCAGTGTCTAGTGGTGTTGCTGTCCGCAGGTAACTGTCTCCGCTGCATCAACTGCACCAGTCTGCGGGACGCCAGCTGCCTAGAGGGTATCGGTGAGGAGCAGCACTGCACCAAGTCTGAGAACTACTGCGTCTCCTACACCGGCTTCCTCAAGAACGGTACGTCTTGCCTTACATCGTCTCCTACAAAACATCCTGTACGTCTTACAGGACCCAAACTGATGAGCGGTTAAGAAGAACTCCTCTTAACCCCTCACCTGCTGTAGAAACCCCTCACATACTATGGAAACCCCCTCACATACTGTGGAAACCCCCTCACATACTGTAGAAACCCCATCACCTGCTGTAGAAACCCCTCACTTGCTCGTGTGTTTCAACTTAATTCCAATTCCCTCTAAACTTCACCGCTCTGGAGTATAAACAGATGCGAGGTTCTGGCAACTGTGTTTTTCCCCTCTCTGTAAAATATAGGAGAATTCCCTCATCAAAGAATACATTGCCAGCACCACAAACGTCCACCATGTCCGTTTACGGGAGGTCGGGGACTACATCAACCAGCTGTTTATTGCTCTCCTCCGCTGGGATAGTAATTACTGGTTGTCGGGGAGATTTGATTGGCCCGGTGGCCCTCAGATTCCTTTCGTCCTGGTTGGGATTTTCGGTGCGATGAGCGTTTCCCGCTCAGCTTGACGCTGTAGAGGAGAAACTATGCTATTTTTTTTATGGCAGGCGTTTCACACCGAAGTGTATCCTGCCTCATCTGCACCCCACATCTCCGGAAAATTCCTTACACCTCGGCTTGAAAAATCGTAGAAAACTTCATGTTCAGCTCATAATAATCTCGGCATTATTTTCCCCGAGTGAAAACTTGTTTGACAGTTACTTTCTGTTTTGTAACGTAATTTCTTGTTTTCATACTTCCTGGAATGTCAGTCACTTAAACGAGAGCAGTTGCCACAAATAAATGTTGAGCAGTCGCCATTAGCAGCACTATAGGCACGGGAGCCGCAGTGTCGTGTACGAAACGAGTGAAACTCTCGTACACGTCGGCGTCTCAAGAGACACGTCGTCCGAGACGGTCAGTCTGCCCAAGACCACAGCGAAGACGTGTATGGGTGGACAGACAGACGTCCTGCTTTTGAGCACACTGTCCTGTGCGTCACAAACCTTAAACAGCCTAATTTGAGCCCATTCTAAATATAATTATAAATTATATTAGGCTACTTCCTTTAGTTGGTTACCATATGCTATTCCAGTTAAAAGTAAAAACTGAATGTTTATTTTTTCCAATTCTTTGTTTTTTTTACTGTTTGAATGCATGTATGAAATATATACAGTGCATTCTAAAAATTTCCTTTCAGAACAAAATATATCACAAAATTGCACTCATCATATTACAGTGATATTTGACAAACAATTCTCCTAAGTATATTTTGTATATTTTCTACAAGTTTGCTTATATTTTAACTCATAACATGTTTAATTTAGGTTAAATCTTCGGGCATAAGACTTTAGTAATTTATTTTCTAATACTAGGATTTGGTAATTGTGATGTTATTATAATGAAGAAATGCATATATATATATATATATATATATATATATATATATATATATATATATATATATATATATATATATATATATATATATATATATATATATATATATATATATATATATATATATATATATATATATATATATATATATATATATATATATATATATAACAAATTTCTTTTTGGAGAATTGGAAATCTCCAAACTGGACACCAACAAGTCACTCTAAACAAAATGGTAATTTTAATTGTATTAATATAATCAGGTTTGTTGTTATATTTTAGGAATTATTAATTGATCATTTGTAAGAAAGATGTATGACTGGTACCGTATGAGGCTTTGACACTGTATGAGTGTCACTGTTTGAGGCTTTGACACTGAGTTTTTGAAGCTGTATGAGTCTTTGAATCTTTCACTGTATGGGTCTTTGACGCCGTATGAGTTTTTAATTTTCGTTGAGCATAATTAAATCTGGAGAATGAGGATAACCTCATAATGCACCCAAAATTTGCCAGTGCAGGCTACTGAACTTACGGCCCTGTATGACTAACCTTCCTGTGTGATGGGGGAGGTTTACCATCACGTAGCTAGTAGTTTTTTGCCACACTCTGTACTCCCCCTTCATATAATCTAGAGTAGTTATGTATTGACGCACTCTGTACTCCCTTTCAGATAGTCTAGTGTAGCTGCACACATGCAGATGTAGCTAAATGTGCCAATAAAAAATAAAAACATAATAGGCGTGGTAGATGATGGCCGCCGTGTACTTACCTTTTTCCTTGCTCCTTCAGGCCGGGCGCAGGTGGTGTTCCGGGAGTGCGCCGAGACGAACATGTCGCAGTTCTGCGGGGAACACCTGGAGCGGCTAGCCAACAACAGGGTGGAGCATCTGGTAGCTTGCTACTACACCTGCGACACCGACCTGTGTAACGTGCAGCGTATGAAGCACTTCAGCGGCGCCGCCACCATCGCCGCCCTCCTGCCGCCTCCGCCAGCCACCGCTCTGGTGGCTGGTCTCTTGTCTCTTTGTGTCAGACTGTTGCTTAGTGCTCTACTCTAGGTGGTCCTGTGTTGTGTGGCGGGGTGTTGGTCCTGTGTTGTGTGGCGGGGTGTTGGTCCTGTGTTGTGTTGTGTGGCGGGGGTGTTGGTCCTGTGTTGTGTGGCGGGGGTGTTGGTCCTGTGTTGTGTGGCGGGGGTGTTGGTCCTGTGTTGTGTGGCGGGTGTTGGTCCTGTGTTGTGTGGTGGGGGTGTTGGTCCTGTGTTGTGTGGCGGGGGTGTTGGTCCTGTGTTGTGTGTTGGTCCTGTGTTGTGTGGCGGGGTGTTGGTCCTGTGTTGTGTGGAGGGGTGTTGGTCCTGTGTTGTGTGGAGGGGGTGTTGGTCCTGTGTTGTGTGGCGGGGTGTTGGTCCTGTGTTGTGTGGAGGGGGTGTTGGTCCTGTGTTGTGTGGCGGGGTGTTGGTCCTGTGTTGTGCTGGGGCTGTGTTGGGGGAGTGTATTGTGTTGGTCCTGTGTTGTGTTGGGGAGTGTATTGTGTTGGTCCTGTGTTATGTTGGGGAGTGTATTGTGTTGGTTCTGTGTTGTGTTGGGGCCTGTGTTGGGTCCTGTATTGTGTTGTTCCTGTGTTGTGTGGCAGGGGTGTAACTGCCAATCATCGGGCCCCTGTTTACCAATAAAACTAAATCAGCTTTCACCTAACTACCCCATCTTAATACCACTCATAAACTCCGAATATATGAAAATCAAGATTATTTCTTGTATAATCTGGAGTGATCATGGAATTCTTTTATAGTTTGCTATGTAAAGGGATTTGTTTAGTCCTGGTCTGTGTTCAGGAGTGCACTATAGTTTCAGGCTGGCCAGTAAGCCCGTGTGTTGGTCTGAGACACATATTCCAATATGAGTTTGGCTCTGGCAAAAATCTTAGAATCTTCAAAAAAAAATTTTGTTTCCGTTTTGTTACCGATTTAAACCCCGGCGCCTACAGTTCATAAAATCTATTTTTTGTTAACATTTTTATGTGCGTGTGTTTGTCTTCTTTTTACTAATTCTGCTTAGTTTTTTTTCAATATTTTTTTTTGCTTTCAAGTTCTTTTGGTAAATATTTCATAAACTAACAAAGAGCGATGAGGCTTGTGAATGAGGCGGCCGACTTTATTCTCTCTCTCTCTCTCTGTCTCTCTCTCTGTCTGTCTGTCTCTCTCTCTCTCTCTCTGTGTCTCTCTCTGTCTCTGTCTCTGTCTCTCTCTCTCTCTCTCTCTCTCTCTCTCTCTCTCTCTCTCTCTCTCTCTCTCTCTCTCTCTCTCTCTCTCTCTCTCTCTCTCTCTCTCTCTCTCTCTCTCTCTCTCGTTCCTTTCACTGGATGTCTGAAATAAATGGGGGTTATGGCCGACACAATTCAATCTCAATAAAAATACAGCATGTATTCATTTTGTTCTCATAGTTCAGTATACAAACGTGATGTATTAAGTGTATAGTTCCCATACAGATCAGATCCTATAACAGTGGTGTGTGTGTGTGTGCACCATAATCCGTATGTAAATTGTGTAATTTATATTATATAAAATGTATACTGTGTGTGTTCATTTGTGTATACCTGTATGTGCTCAGTTTATGTCTTTATGTGTGCATAAAGGAATTTTATAGTCACTGTATAGTTTCCTTAAACTCCATCAGTATTAATTTATGGTATATTCAAAGTCAAAGAGAAGTCGTATATTTTTTTCAATTATTTAAAATTAAATAGCTAAACGTTTCGGAAATAATAATATTCCATCATCGGTGCTGACAAAAATATGATAAGTAAAAAAAAATTGCTAAAGGAATATCCATAAAAATTCGAAATTAAAATCAACATGGATTAAAATCCCCCCCCCCCCCCTCCCCGAGGCAATCAAACTTTCTCCAAAGGTATAACAAACCTTACGATCAATTTGCAGGAAGATGTCTTAATTTGTTAAGAGATAGGTAAGAGATACTCGTATCTTCTGGCAGTCTATAGATCCTAAGCCCTTACGTGCCATAATCTTTATGTCAAATATCTTGTCGCGGCGTGTATACTTTGACAAAATGCATCTCATTATCAAATCAAAATGTTGTGTAGCACACAATCTATGTGCATAGAAAACGTACTTTAATTATCCTAGTCGTTGTTCGGCATTAACAACCCGTGCAGTTGATAGGCTTCATATACACTAGAATCCTAAGGTCTTAAGATTAAGTGAATGCCCATCGTGCGTACACAGCAAATGGAGGTCACCTGCCATCACAGTACGGAAAATGAGGGTACATAATCCCTGAAATACACCAGCTTCAGTAATCAGCATAACAAGTTGTCTCTACGTGTATAAAACTCACAGCAAGTTTTGGATTACATACTCCAAGGAGCAAGTTTGAAGATTAATTACGGCTGTCTTGTTAACTTCCTAGTTCTTGCCCGGGAAATCTCTCGCGAGTGCACAGTATTGTATGGTAACTCGTGCATTGACGAGGATAACCAGCACGGGGATACACACACACTGGTGGATAGCGCGCAGTACTCGTAATTCTGTGGTGCGGGTTCGATTCCCGAACGAAGCAGAAACAAATGAGCAAAGTTTCTTTCACCCTGAATGCCCCTGTTACCTAGCAGTAAATAGGTACCTGGGAGTTAGTCAGTTGTCACGGGCTGCTTCCTGGGGTGTGTGTATGTGGTGTGGAAACGGAGCGATTTGGGACATTTTTTGTTTATACAAATTGCATTGGCTTCTGTTTTCGTAATAGGGTTGTGTAGCTATATTGGGGTTTGTCTCCCTTTTCTTATCCTGCACCTTTTCTACTCTAACTGCGCTACACGTTACGTTATCCGGTCAGTATCGTTAGAAAATAGAATTTTTATTATAATTGAGATTTTACTTTCATTATCATTATTATACGTTTGATTTCATATTACATTACTGTGTTTATGGTAATTGTGTTGAGAGGATGCGTAACAAAGTAATATTACATTAGAATTATGAGGAAATATAATAATAATATTATGAAGGAAGCTTTTGATCAAAATGTGTGTTGCCAGAAGAAAGATGTGCAGTGCTTTTATTGAGCTCTTCATATTTACACAATTATAATAACACGGATTTTTGTAATATTAAATTTCTAAATATAGGAAGGAATAGAGGCAAGAGAATGAGAGGACGAATATGCAAGTACAATATAATCATCATTTAAACAAAATATTTGATATAAACCTAATGCTATGCTAGCTATTCCGTCATTATAGTGCTATCAATAAGTAAAGTTTAATAAATATAATTGATTTAATCATTTGAACAATGATTCGTAGTATTGGAAATGGCAAAATTATAGTTTAATAACTTGGTGATTTTAATATTACATAGTGATATAAACATCGAAATTCTACAATGCAAAATATATATAAATCCACAATAAGCATCTTTCTAGTACAAGCACCAAAGCGCAATTCTCTAATTGTAAATATGCTAAATAAATTTGATTCAAAATATATTTAAAGCTGAAGTAATACTTCGGGGCTGTAGCAACCTGCTACAGGTGGCCTGCATCGCTTTCTAGTTCAAGTATGTTTATTGAGACAAGAAAATACATCCCAAAGGGATAGAGTAGCTTAGGCTATTTCTACCCCTTCTTAACCATTAACCCTTACACAAAATCAAGACCACTAATTGAATTGAATTTATCAACTTATTTCATATTGTAACATGGCCTTCTATATAAATTTTGTTTATAATGCTATATTTAGAATACTAATTCTACTTTTAATTTGCGTATGTGTTTATCTTTGAAAAAGTATGAGTATTGAACTGTGGCAACAGTGGAGAGATGTGATCGCCGTTGCTAATGTGGCAACAGTGGAAAGATGTGATCGCCGTTGCCGACGTGGCACCAGCGGAGAGATGTGATCGCCGTTGCGGGCGTGGCAACAGTGGAGGTCAAGGGCGCCTAGTCTTCCTTGCTAATCTTTAATTTTCTCTGGCGAGGTCTTTTACGAGTTTTCTTAACTCTCTTTCTTTTTAGCCCGTCATCATCACATGTTTTCTGCTTCTTCCTTCTCCCTGTTTTCCTCTTCCTCTTGTGTACTCTATTCCCACCTCTTAATCCATGTTTTCTTTGTTTTTTCCTGTGTGTCAATTTTCCTTTCCTGAGTTTCTTTTGACTCCTCCTTTCTGCCAATTTTGCCAGACCTTTCCGTTGGCTTCGGTGCTTAATGTTTTTCCCTTTCCTTTTTCGTTGCCTTTCCATATTCCTGGTCCTGGAGTTCTTTTTCTTAAACTTGCCTCTGGAGCGTTTTTTATTTGTATTTTTAATCCTCTCAAAAGGTAAGGGGAAGTAAGCTGGCGGCTTCACCAAACCGTTATTCCACTGGTTCCCATGCTTTATGTTGTCCTTTGTCTTCGTCTTCTGTTTTATCTTCTTCCTGTCTGGCTGGGGGTTGTAGGAGGTGCAGAAGGTGGACCCGCTTGTGGTAGCGTAGATCCAGTCCAGGTACTTGGCCACCTTCGTGTACACTCCTGCAACATGGATTTAAATTGATGTGTAATGGAAACTGAATACAACAAAGGTCATGGAACTTTAGAACATCTCACAGTGGATACTAAAAGAATTGAAGCTCTGTGCTGGCCACTGACAAAGATAAACAAGACGAAACGGGAACCACCAAAAGCTGGAAGATTGCCAATATAGTGGTTAAAGTTTATACTTCTAATATTACAAACTGTGGACTCTTATATGGGTGCAACAGTCTAAAGTTTTACATGTGCCTCTCTATGTATGTCTATACTATCATTTTCAAGGATTAGTTAGTTTGTAGTTACTTTCAACCGATGTAGTTGACTGACCTGGAAGCCGGTGTGCAGGTGACTGACCTGGGTGCAGGTGATTGCCGAGAACAATGACACTCTACTGACCTGGGTAGTTAGGCATGCCACAGCCGATGCCCCAGCTGGTGACTCCTATGAGGAAGTAACGCTTCTGTTTTTCGTCATACCAAGTGAGCGGGCCGCCGGAGTCGCCCTAGAGGGGAACAGCTTTCTAGAGAGGTCACACACACACTACATAGAGGTCCCTATATGCATCGCGGGAGAGTGCGGGGGTGAACATAATTGTTGGAAAGAATACATAGTGAGAGGAGTCAATAGAAATAATCCCTGGAAAAGGGAGATTGAGGTGAAGGTTACAGCTGTGAACGGAATTAAACGCTAGGCTAAGTACTGTAGTACCATGTATATTAACTTATTCCTTTGGTTTATTAGCATATATAAATATAAATCTGTGAATTTATCATTAACCGTTAAAACCCGAATGTACCATAATCAAGTACGCAGCAAAAAGTATTTAATACTGTTCAAATAAGTAATTTCCATAAATAGTTTTAACTTTGATACCCTGTAATTTCTTTAATTTTATATTATTTATACCTTTATTATTAAAATAATAATAATCATAACAAGTAACTAATGATCACGATTATTTCTTAACTATACATAATTAATATATTATTCATTCTGGGACTACACTTTGTGAAATGACTCACCTGGCAGGTGTCCTGGGTGTCACTCAGCGCACAAAACATATTGGAGGTTATCTCCTCGGAGTGGAACTTGAAGTTGTGGCGGCAGTTGCCCATAGCCAGGACTGCAAACAACACGTACAATAGGTTCACAGGAGTATACACAAACTGAAAACACATCAACTAAACAAAACAACTACAGCCATGGTTGTCAAACTTTGTCAGTCCCTTTGCCTGTCTCTTGCTCTCTCCTTCTCTCTCTTCTCGCCTGTCTCTTGTTCTCTCCACCCTCTCCCTCATCTGTCTCTTGTTCTCTCCTCTCTTCCCCCTTCATCTGTTTCTCGCTATCTCTTCCTCCTTCTCTCTCCCTCTTCCCCCTCTCTCCTCTTTTAAAAATTAAAGTATTGCATTTAATAAGCTTTCTGTTAATATAAGTCTGGGTAGCTCAAATATTGAGGCTTCACTGAAGAAAGTATTTATGTATTTGTGTAAATATTAATGTATTTATGTAAATATTTATGTATATATTTATGTATTTATTTAAATATTTATGTATATATTTATTTATGTAAATATTTATGTAAATATTTATGTAAATAATTTACTCCCCAACACTACTCACTTCACTCCTCCAACACACTACTCGCTTCACTCCCCCAACACTCACTATTAAGGTAAGCGTGCCTCAAGCGGGGTGACCCCAGCTTCGCTTTCTCCCACTCCTTCCCCCACCCCATGACAATAACGCTCTCCCTGTAGAAGGTGAGGTCGGGCGGGGTGAGGCAGATGGGGCTGATCCTCCAGGTCAACGTCAAGGGCATCTTGACCCGTAGTAAAGATATGTCGTTGTCAGTTGTCACCCGGTTATACCTGGAAAAAAAGGAAGGGAGCTCCATTATGCTGGGCAGGTGGAAATAGCTTAAAATGTTTTTGAGATGAAGGACTTTTAAATTGATAAACACGTTGCTAGTTGGGATGGTTGGTTGACGGAGAGGTTGAAAATCTGAATTTGTGTTAATGTTTAGAGGTGGTACAGTCCCAGATAGCAAGGCTAGAGGGACACTGGTCCTGGACGAGGCTATAGACAAACTCGTTTCCACGTTACTGATGCATTGTCAGCTGTGTGTATTATCTGAACTCAATACAGTATCCTATATTTTTTCGTAAATTTATTTAACTTTCGGAATGATATATGTCCAGTGAGGTTCTGGCCAAAGTTGACTTGATAAGTGATAGTATAAAAGATCACTCAAAATCCCCAAATCTGGTTAGTAATGTGAAGCTCTGTGGTAATGTTTCACATTTGGAAAATAAACTAATACATTTTACTCCCAAAACTCAAATAACAGGATTTTCCTCAATGTAATAACTCGTGAACATTTTCCATCTATATTTTGGCGGACGAGTCTCGCTGGAAACTTGGGGTAAGTGTCGAGTGTTGGTTGTCCTGGAGACGTGACGAGGCGGCAGCTGCCTCCCCGGTGTTGTTTACACCAGTCTCTTCCCCCCGGGGTGTGTGCCCCCCAGAGGCGTGAGGCCCCGGGGGGCGTGGAGCAGCACCAGGGGATTGTGATGGAGGGAAGGTTTGGAGAGCCTGTTCCTGGAGCTGCAATATGGGCCGGGCGAGGTATGCTACCTGTCCTCTGGCTACGATTCTCCACCCGTCGGTCGACCCCAAAGACGCATTCATCAATTTTAACGCAATCAAAATTTATATTTTCTCAAATATAATTAATGATTATTGCATACTAGAATGTGACAAATTGTTATGCCTAAGTTAGGTTAGGTGGTTAACTTCTGTTGGCAATTATCGCAATTTGCCTTGCGTGGATGAAGCATTTAGAAGGTGCGAATCGAGCAAAAGACGTGAACGAAGTACAGTACATATGTCTTCAGTACCGATGACACCCAGGCTTCGTTCTCGATTCACAATCGGGGATCCCGGGGTTCGACTCCCGGGTGGGCCAGAAACGGTTCATCTATTATCCCTTTCGCCTCATACCTGTTTTGTCAGGGACAGCCTTCCTGTCTCCGACAAAACGAGGCTACTAGAGCCAGGCTCCAGCATGGGCGTCGGATATTATTTATATACAAAGAAACAGACAGACACGAGATATACGCACACAGGCGTGCAGAGACAGTATTCCGTCACAGTACACTACCCTTGTGCAATCTTGAAAAATGGAGTGAGGCTACCTCTCAAGCTTCTGCCTTCCAAACTTGGACACAGGCAGACATTTTCTCTTGATTATATTAATTTACCCCCTCCCTCCCTCCAACCCCCAGCTCAAGACTCACCCAGGGTGCTGATAGATCTCGTAGACAGGTAAGGAGAGTTCGCGGGAGACGTCATTGGTAGTAAGGTCGTGGTCACCGACCCTCACCAGCAGCTCAAAAGGCAGCAACCTGGAATAATAGACGGGGATGGAAGGACGTTAGGTACAGAAACCCGACTACCCCCCTGTCCCCTACCAGCACAAAACGAGTTTCCAATTATAAACAGAGAGTTTAGTTATGGTAGTGCGAATTTGTGTTCTTTAGACAGAGTTGCAGCGATGTTCAATAACATTTATAAACTGTTCTGATGCATTTTTGTTGCTATTTTTATTTTGTTCCTTAGATATGCATCTTAAGATTTACGTAAAGATAAACACAACTGGAGGTCTGTTGCCCCCTCCCCCCCAGGACACATGTAACTGGTGGGTCTGGTGGACCTCCATAGGACATGTGTCCTGGGGTTTTTTTGCCCCCCCCCAGGACACGTGTAGCTGGTGGACCTCCCCAGTACACGTGTCCCGGCGAGTCTCTTGCCCCCCAACCTTCCCCCAGGACTGGTTGGGGGGTCTGGTGGACCGTCCCAGGACTCGAGTTCATTTAATTAAGAAAAGATACTCATCAGTGTCAGGAACACGCATAGTCGATGCAAATTATAGCTTTAGTTGGGAAGTAATTCAGGTTTGTTCAGTGCTTTTGAGACCGGAGAGTGGGGGGGGGGGGTAACAGCAGATAACTTAAAAAAACATCAAAACAATCCATCTGACGTAATTTCATATACACAACACTATCAAAATGAACACAAACACAGCCTCTCACCACTGCTCTAAAAAAAAATCGAATTCATGATAGAACTGATGAGTTAGCCTCACGTTAACCATCTGTACTCATACTAGTCATCTGTACTCACATTAGCCTTCTGTACTCATACTAGCCATCTGTACTCACATTAGCCTTCTGTACTCACACTAGCCATCTGTACTCACATATCAGTACAGTGGGCGGCGGTGAGGATGAAGCTATCACTGATGATGCTGGCCCCGCAGAAGTGTTTCTTGGTCTTGGACAGCTGCACGGACACCTGCAACACTCGCAATATTGCAGTCATTGCATACAATCGCCTCAATAATGAGCCTTTAACTAATTACTGTGATCTCCATGCAACACCACTAGGTAGAGATCATCATTTTAAGTTGATAACTACTGTGAGGGGCTTGCACACCAGTCCTAGCCGGCCACACGCAATAGTGGTGCAACATTAAAGTAATCTCGGACATGCTCTTTCACTATGAACATGTTTGGCTTGGTTTGACCTTAATGTCAATCAGACTCTGGAGGGTTATTAATAAAATAAACGATGACAAGAGCTGTGAGCACAATAGTATCGCTCAAAACACAAGGTTCTCCTCGACTCTACCTGCTTGCTACTCCTGTTTCCCTAGTTATATTTTACGGCTTTATTAGGTCAAGTATAAGTAACTGTCTGTGCTTCTCTTGAGGGTAACGGGAAATGAAGTTGGTGATAATTACCCAGTACAACATTGACCGCATTTCAGTGTTGTGCCCAATAAGTAGGTGACAATTATTTATGTCCATGAACTAAAATTTGGAATGAAAGCCTAATAAATAATTTAATTACTTGAATTTTTTTTAGAGGAAGATCTACATCATAAACTATTTTTTTTAACTTCAAGTGAGCACTTAACGAGTTTAGATAAGTACTATGAAATTTATATACACTACAAGACGTATGCACTTAGAGGTGTATTCTGTCTATGTGCATATACACTGAGAGTTTAGTTTAGTTCCGGACTGAAATATATTTGCTGTTTGGTCAGCATATATTTGTGGTGGCTTAATAGCCCTCCAGAGGTTGATAGGCCTTAGTCCCTACACCAAACAAAATGTACATCATTTTATACACAAGATACTAAAACAACACATCGTCTAAATCTTGACTTATTGCTTATATAACGACTCGTGCTTTTCAAGTACTTCTAGGCTAGAGTATACAACGTAGGCAGGAGCGTGGAAGGTACTAACATTAGACAATACTCACCATCCAGGGATAGTGGTGCTCGTAGGTCTCCTCTCCTCCCACGATCTTGTGCCGGGGCGAGTTGGAGTGGCCGCATTCTGTGGCCGCCCGGTGTCAGGTAAGTGTGGTGGTGCCATGTCAGACGTAGCAGGATGATGGTGTTGCCATGGTAGATGGATGGATGTTGAGAGGCCCCACGGAGGTCAATGTGAAAAGAAGATTAGACTAACAGACCTCCGTGCGTAGACTAACAGACCTCCGCTAGTCTATACACGGAGCTCTGATGTGTTGAGAAATTAAATTTTAACTACCTGAAAATAATAAAAATTTAAAATAGCACTTTACCTAATATATGCGCTCTCTCTCTCTCTCTCTCTCTCTCTCTCTGAGAATTTATCCTCAGAATAAGCTTAACTGAAAATAAATCATGGCCGAAGCATCACCGAGAAGTCGAGAGGACTGGCTGACTTATAACATAATAATAATAATTTTTATTTAGGTAAAGGTACATACATAAAGAGATTTTACAAAGTTTGTTGGCTTTATAGATAGAGCTAGTACATACAATGCCTAAAGCCACTATTAAGCAAAGCGTTTCGGGCAGGAAAAAACACTAATGACTAAAGCTTAAAACTAATGGGTAAAAAGAAAAAAATGCGTTGAGTACAAATATAAATAGAGGTAAAAGAGGGGAGAACATTGTTGAAAAAGCAGCACAAATACAATTACAAATTATTACAGAAAATTACATTCAACAGCGTTGATTTGAAAAACAAAAAAAAAACAAAAAACATACATGGGTTGACAATAGAGGGGTAAGGTAGGTTACAGGGAATTTATTAGGTATAGCTTCGTTTTTAACTTAAACTGGTTGAGAGAGGTACAGTCTTTAACATGGTTGGGAAGGTCATTCCACATTCTGGGCCCCTTGATTTGTAGAGCATTTCTGGTTTGATTAAGTCGTACTCTAGGAATATCAAAACTGTATTTATTTCTGGTGTGGTGCTCATGGGTTCTGTTTTTATTACAGTTTTTATTTTATTATTATTTATTTACATTACTACACTTTACACTTGTCGTGTAAGCTGAGGTTCATAACCTCGTGGATAATAACACTTCGTTGGTTTGTATCATAATGGATTCGAACCAAGTGAATATATCATTCACTTGGATAACCAGAGCTTCGATCTCGAGTCTGAAAAATATGATACCGGCACTCTAGCCACTGAGCCAAGGTGTTTAGTGGCCTTGTACTTTCCTAGATCGAATCCCTGGTTATCAAAGTGAATGATATATATATATATACATCTGTATGATATGGAAGCTCTTAGAACAGAGAACTGACACAAGTTCAGACTTACCACAATTGCGGTTGACTTTGGCTGGTTCAGGTTCCAAAGTTCTATGGTCAGGATACACCAACTTCTGCAGAATTCTAACGCGGCTACTGGCGGTGACTACTTCCACTTCATTTTCCGTTTCATCTGTTTCATTTTCCTCGTAGTCTTCAGTTTCGTTATATTTAACAGTTCCGTTACTTTTTACAAAATCACTCTGCATGATCATCCTTATCCAAGCTTCGTAGTGATTCTTCAAGCCTTGTGTCGGGAATCTGTCGTCCAGTGCAGTTTGTGTGGTGTTCCCAGCAGCAGTAGCAGCAGTTGTACTGTTCTCGTCAGCAGCAGCAGCAGCAGCAGCAGCAGCATCTACGTCACCACTGCGACTGTAGGGGTTCTCCACTTGCTCCTGTCCCGCATTTTCTAATATTTTCTCATCCGGATTATATGTCGTGTTGCCCCTCTCCTCTTCAGTTGCCCCTAGAGCAGGGGTCAAAGCCGCCCCAATAGCAGAGGTTGAGGTCACTCTCGAAGCAAAATTGTAAAGGGTAAAGGCGACTAACATACAGAGCAGCTGCCTCTCCGCCATGATGACCCAGTGTGACGGGTTGAGTTAGAAGCGGCGGCAAGTCTCTCACGGCAACATTTTCCCACTCATTTTCAGTCCCCGAGAAAGTGTTACACCGGACGTGATCTCCAAGTCTTCTGTAATATTAGAGAATAAAAGTAGTTTTATATCCAGCTGGTAACTACTACTGTTACGATTTCTTGGGTAAATGTGTTAATAAGACAATTATTTTTATGGTTTGAAATAAAATATAAAAATGCACAATGTATATTTACACTGTATATTATTTCTCTTATATTTAAATAAATCACTTCTTTCATAAAAAATCAAACATGTCTTAAAAATAATATGTACTGCCAGCATACTGCAGTGACATTATACCCTGAGATATACCCCCACTTTTGGGTGTATATATACACTGAGAGTTTACTTTCGCCCTAAACTAAGTTCATAATTAAAGCATACTTAATTGCTGGTCAGTAAACAATTGTGGTGGCTTTAATAACGCTCCGGAAGTCTATCAACTTTCGAAGGTTTATTAAGGCCGCCACAAATCAAAGCATATAGGTATTCTCACCCCGTTCAGTACATCGTGTATGTATTAACACGATGTACTGAACGGGGTGAGAATAGCTTGAGCTACCTCATCCCTTTGTGTGTATTTGACCTCAATAAACTTATTTCAATTTCAAAACAGCATATAGGCATTCATCTGAATGTGGTTTGTTTCGTATGCACTAAGTTACGAGTCTGTGCTAGTGGCTGTACAAGAATGTAAGAACTCTTATATATATAAATAAATACAAATAAAATAAATAAATAAATTGGATAAAAGTTACATCGTCCACGATACGATTGGCTACACATAATTTTAAAAATACCTAGTGTACCAACAGGTAGAACACCTTGCACAACCCAATCAACCCTAACACAGCCTAACTTAAGCTACTACAGCCTAACCTAATGATATACGGTTTTGACAATCAGAAAACAAGCTTTGACGAACTGTCTTGTGTACGGTTTGCCCCATATCTTATTAAATAACCATAAAACTAGTTGTATCAGGCAATTTACGGAAATTATCTTCCGTAAATTATCTTTACGGAAATTATTTTCCGCTGCCCATTAATGCAGCGTAGTATCGTACTTTCATAAAAACTAATACAGTTCATATCAAACATTCGCCCCATAATGCAGATGTCATATGTATACAGTGCACAGATGTTCTGAATGTATATACAGGTGTACAGTTTGTTTACACAGGTGCACAGTGCATGTGTATATTGTGTCTACAGGTGTATGTTATGTACAGGTGTACACACCTATTTGTGCCTGCAGGATCAAGCTTTAGCTCTTGGACCTAGCCTTTCTAGCCGCCGGTTGTCTAAAGCAATAACTTCTGATCTATTTTCCTATCATATCAAGTTTTAAAATTAAGAATGAAGTTCGCTTCTACAACCTGCTCCGTTGGTTCATTCCATACACTACTCTTACTCCAAAAGAAAACTTTCTAACAACTCTCTGACTCTTGTTCTGTTGTATTCTTTATTAACATTTACTATTTTTTCACTCTATCAATCCCCCTAAGTATTTTGTCTCTTTTATCATATCTCTATCTTTTTTTTTCAACTGTCGTCAGGTCTAGTTCTTTAAGTCTTTCTCCATACCTCCACGATGAAGTGGCATACTCTAAAACTGGTCTCGTGAAGGAGATGTACAGTGATCAAAATGCCTCCTTATTTAGGTTCCTGAATAATGTATTAACTTTTGTTAGTGTAGAGTACGCTGTTGATGTTATCCTATTAATATATGCCACCGGAGTTAGGCTTGATGTTATGTTCACTCCCAGATCTTTTTCTCTAGTTGTTACATTGAGGTAATTTCCCTTCTTTGTCTATTGTTCTTTGGGTATTGTCACGTGTTCCCATTTCCATCAGCTTACACTTGCTGGTGTTGAAATCTAGTAGTGTACTGGTGTGTGAGCGTGGAAGTCGTCAACCTCGCGCTGCCCTCAACATCACACCTGTTCTCTGCGTTTCTGTGCTGTACTATATCAAAGTTCCTGTTACGAACTTGGTTCGGTTTCCGTTTACGAAAAGGTTCGGTTTCCGTGGCGATGCTGCATGTTTTAATATTGACATCACTTAAGTGGCGTACAATGTTTTACAATTCCTTATTTAAGTTCCCGAATGCTTCTTTTATTTAAGCCACCGCGTGATGCCATCGAAAATGGCCTGTGTATAGGTATTTGCTGTGACAACTGTACGATCACGATCGAGGTTTTCCCATTTGCCGAGACTGTGACGACTTGTAACCCCCGGCCCAATTGTCAGTTGAGAGGCGGGACCAGAGAGCTGAAGCTCAACTAGGCGAGTACACGCATCCCTTCTCCCCTCTCACATTCCCGAAATCTACCAGAGAATTTAATGGCAATTTGTTAGTCTCCATAGCTAATAACAGTGAATAATACTCGCTACACATGCAGTGATACCTGAGTTTAGTTTACCTGAGTTTAGTTTACCTGAGAGCCACTAACACTAGTGGCCTCGATGAGGACAGGAAGCCGGCGGCTTGTCGAAGGTCCACCTTATTGCCTTGATCTTTTCCAGCTGTACTTTAAATACTTCCACAAAGCGCTCCTCTTGACGTAGTGACATACGAGGATCACCTATAGTTTGGAGAGAGGACACACTAACACTTAGTCACAGGTGGAAGCTCGGTACCAGAAAGCCAGAGGCATTAGGACACAAAATTCAACATGAGAGTACCAAACAAATGACATACACTATGAAATGGTGAAGCCAGACACAAATGTAGATGTCTGACATGTTTATAGGTGTGGTTCAGGTTCAAATGTAGATGCGACAAGAGCCCAATAGTCTCAGGAATCTGTACTTGAACGATAAGAGGCAGTAGCTCACCCCACATAAAGTACAGCTAGGCGAGGACAAACACACATTCTTTTTTATTACCAGATGGTGTACTAGAGTACAGTTGTTCCAGCACGTTTAATAGCAGCGAACTCCAGCAGACACCAGCGAGCTCCAGCAGACACCAGCAGACTCCAGCTCCAAACGTTCGCCTCTCACAACAAGGGAAAGAGATGAACTGAATAACAGAACACAATACCTTGCGTTCTCTCCTCGCACCTGGGATACACACACACACACACACACCTGTTACCAGTTCGGGCTTCACGAGTGCGCATTGTGTAGCTATATAACACAATAGTTACAGTCACCATACAGCGCCTGGCACCCTGGGTTGCCACATCACACAGGTACAATCGCCTTGCATCCTGTCTGGGCACATGATACAGGGGCAGTCACCCATGTTGTCAAGAGTGGGTTACCCTGTTCAAGTTCAAGTTCAAGTATGTTTATTGAGACAAGAAAGAAATACATCTCAAAAGGATAGAGTAGCTTAGGCTATTTCTACCCCCCCTCCCCCCCACTGGGGGTGGCACAAGGTAGGGAATATGAGATCGTGTTTCTAATGTGTAAATATCACTGGGTTGCTTATCGTGGTTAGGGAGGGGGGGGGTGGGGGGGAAGCAGATACTGATAGTTGTGCCTTGGGGAAATATAGTCAAGATATCTTACTTATGGTTATAATGTAACTATTATTAGGGGTGTTATCATATGGGTGCCATTGTGGGTGGTGCCCCTAGGAACTATCCTATGTTGACCCTGTGTTCTTGGTAACTTAATGTTTCGTGTTGGCAAATTATCACAATACACAACGCGCACTCTCTCTCTCTCTCTCTGAAGGTCTAACCTGCTGCTGTGGAATGTACCACGCGGAGCCAACCACGTCACCAGTGCCACGTGCCTCGACGCCACCTACACACACACCTACACTACGCACTACCCACCTCCGACACACACACATACACTGTATCCGACCGAGAGCCTGACAGCTGACTGGACAGCGCTTCGGATTCGTAGTGCTGAGGTTCCAGGTTCGATCCCGGAACACAAATAGGCAGAAACTGCCGATGGAGGCAGAAACAAATGAGTAGTTTCTGTCACCCTGATGCCCCTCTTACCTAACAGTAAATAGGTACCTAGGAGTTAGACAGCTGCTACGGGCTGCTTCCTGAGGGGTGTTTAACAAAAAAGAAGGCCTGGTCGAGGACCGTGCCGCGGGGACGCCAAGCTCCAAAGTCATCTCAAGATAACCTCAAGATGACTGGAGAAGTGTTATTAGCGTTCACCACAGGGTTCAGTTCTTCCACCAGCAATGTTCATCGTCTACATAAATGATTTACTAGAAGGAATACAGAAATATATGAACGTTTTTGCTGATGGTGCTAAGCTACTAGGGAAGATAGGAACCTAGATGATTGTCATGCCCTTCAAATTTACCTGGATAAAATAAGTGCTTGGAGCATCATGTGGCAAATGGAGTTCAATGTGAATAAATGCCATGTTATGGAATGTGGATTTAGAAGAAAATAACCACATACACCCTACAAATTATGTGGAAAGGAATTAAAGAACAAAGAAAGATATCCAGGGATGGTTCTGGATAATGGAATGTCACCTGAGGAACACATAAAGAACATTATGCGAGGAGCATTTGCTGCGCTTTCCAACATTCAGAATTGCTTTTAATTACATGGATGGTAAAATACAGAACTAAAGAAGCTGTTCATGACTTTTGCATGACCAAATTTGAAATATGCAGCTGTTGTATGGTGCCCATATCTCAAAAAGTACTTCAATAAACTAGAAAAGGTGCAAAGGCATACTACAAAATGGCTTCCGAAACTGAAAACCGAGTTGAGGAGAGGCTAGAGGCATTAAATATGCCAAAGTTAGAGTATAGAAGAAAAGAGGTGATATGATCACCACTTTTAGAATAATGTCGGGAATTGACCAAATTGACAAACAGGCATTCCTGAAACCTGAAGCTTCAAGAAAAAAAAGGACACAAATTCAAACTAAGGAAACAAAGGTGTCGAAAAAAATATTTGAAAGTTTTCTTTTGCAAACAGTGGTAGGCGTTGGAACAAGTTAAGTGCAAAAGTAGTGGAGGCCAAAACCGTCAGTAGTTTTTTAGTGTTATATATGGCAAAGAGTGCTGGGAAGACAGGACACCATGGGCGTAACTCTCATCCTGTAACTACACTTAGGTAATTACACACACAACCGAAATTACACACAATCTGCCCGAAACGCTTTGCATAATTGTGGCTTTAGGCATTGTACGTACTAGCTCTATCTATAAATCGATCAATTTATGTAAAATCTCTTGTATGTACCTTACCTGAATAAACATTTATTTATTTATTTACACACACACACACACCACCAGTCTACTAATCTTGGTGTTTCTCTACACTGATGTACTAACATGTTCTTTCACTTCCAACAGTGATTATAATTCAGTCATATTTGTGTTTTTTAAGTAAGTTTAGTTGCATAAAATGTAAATGTGTAAGTATTAAATAACAAATTTCAAAATAATTTAAAGTATAATTAATTTTTAATTACTGAAAAATTAGATATTTTAATTGCAGAGTTTGGCACCTTCTTTTGATAAATATAATTACTTAACTCCAGAGTATAACCATAAATTTATATTCGGTGTTACATTTTCAGACGAGAGATTAATTTAGCTATTTATTAGCTACTCGAACCATCCTCAGGCTCGTCCATGCTGAGACCAACCTGAAAACGTATTTGTCAATGTTAATGTGCAGTGCTATGAAAAACATTTTTCAAATATGAATAAATATTAATTATAATCATGGTCTAATTATACCCATAATTAGGTATACTTTAATGTTTGAATTCTATTGGCAATCACAATCATTTGTATTTGCAGTATGTGGGTGAAGCATTTAGGAAGGTGTGATTCAAACAGAGAACGTGATGGAAACATTGTTCGAGAAAAGTTCAGTCATCAGTTGTGTCCTGTGTAAAGTGCTTTTCATTCATAAACAGGGGGTTTAGTGGCTAGATTAACTAGCATTTAGCCAATGTTCTAGAGGACATGCTGGCTTTGTCTGCGATTCGATAAACCCTGAAGTTTCGGCCAACATTTCATAGAATATTCGTGTAAGATGAGATATTCAAAGAATCGTGGTTTAAAATGTCATGGTATAGCTATACACATATCTTAGTTCATCTGCGATTTGTGAATATTCTTGTTTGTAAACTTCGGTGACATCTCACAAGGCCATCTTTGTCTAACATTGTTAGAAGAAGCCTACACTCAGTGGGAATTTTGATGTGGTGGAGTGTGGGGTTCAAATGAGTTGGTCCAGTTTGTTGGTTGGACCAGAATGTGGGTGGACTGCATCCAGTGCTTGGATAGCAACCATAAGTATTTCCAGCAGCTCATAAGGAAGCTTTGACCTAACACCCTGACTAAGTAGATTATATTCCATTAATCGTATCACATGACAGGAATAAAGATAAAAGTACTATCATTCCAGTAATGGCACACTGGAATGATAGGCAGAGGTCTCTTCGGGGGTCCTAAAGAATCTAAACTCAAACACGTGTTTCAATATCACGCTGACTGCAACGTTCAGTTTTCATACAATAAAAGAAAATCCAATAACACTACTCTTTGAAGTCTAATGCCAGCTCAACCACATGCAACTATTAAAAGTTGCATCTCAAAATACTTAGTTATTTCAGTTGTTTGCAAAACACACTTCCTCCTCACAGCTGAGGTGTGTAGGGGTGCGTGTGTGTGTGTGTGTGTGTGTGTGTGTGTGTGTGTGTGTGTGTGTGTGTGTGTGTGTGTGTGTGTGTGTGTGTGTGTGTGTGTGGAGAGCGAGATATGTGGTGTGCGGCACCTGCGGCACAGGTGTGCCGCAGGTGCTCACCTTCACTGCCAGGGTGAACAACCCACACTTCAACAGGTGTTACCTCATGTACCATCCTAAACAGCTTCCTGTGTCACCCCAAGAGGCAGATAGATAATGTTGTAGACACACAGACCATAATAAACATATTCCCTGGCTGAATGTCGTATCATACAGACACGAAGGCAGCAAAAGTGAGCAACAGAGGCGCTCTCTAGCAGCTCAACCTTCATGTGTCATTTGGCGAAGGCCTGGTGCATTGTGCTGTGATTTATCAGTACTGTATTGATAAAGTGTGGCTCTTGCTTTTACCTGTAATTTGGGAAAGTGACAGGAGAACTAAATCAGCACATAATGAGATTCATGCAAGTTGATTTATTGATAAAAAGTTTAATAATATACATGAATTCTCCAGAAAGTTATTTGTGGCTTGACTTATTGAGTGGCAAACAAAATACTGTATCCTACATTATCTGAAAAAAAAAAAAATAAAATTCTGGCACATACTGGTATTGCTATACATGTACTGTCAGCAGTGATGAGAGCTCTAACTTACTTTTCAAGGTACTAACAATACATCATTATTGATATAATGTCACAGAATAACATACAATACAGAAATGTCATTAATTTTTATCACAACACCTCCATTAATTAAGAGTAATACATGCACAAGGACAAACAAAATATAAAAAAATGTACAACAGAAGATTAGAATATTAATGTTATTCAATCTATATGTGAAAAATACTCAAATTAGTGTCCTGAACACAGACGGCTTTGAACATCTATTTAACTGGCATTTTAAATGGGTGGCTTTCAACAACCACCGAGTCAGACGACACTTCCACAATTATTTAACAACAACAATTCGGTATAAAAAAATTTGGTAAAGTCACAGGTTATTTTGCTCTAACGCTTGTGCACATAACCCTCGGGCATCACATAAATGGCCAATATTGGTAACATGTTATAACAAGATACTTCACGAAAAATGAATAGAGGCAAAATATATATATTTATAACTAGAGTAGGGAAGTTATGTAATAATATATACAGTACAAACCTAAATAATCCACTACACTAAGGCAGTAATATGAAGTGATTAGTGATAAATAGTTCAATTTCCACATGAAATGTGCTTTAAAGGATAATACAAAATTAAACTGTGAGAGTTTGTGCTGTTCATAAATACCATTTTAATAAAATTTAGTTTTGGTCAATTAATTAGTCTACCTTTACATACATTAATCTTGTAAAAAATTTTGTTATCTTAGATTGACATTAAAGGATATGTAAAATGATCTAGAATATACTGTCCCTCAGTAAGAATATACAATATGCACCACTCTTTCCTAACTGATTCTGAACTTGAAAGCTATTCTATATTTGTCAGTTACATAATTAGTCTTCATTTTATTTTTTTACATAAACTTTTGGTATAAAGATGAATGTACCGTATTAGGAGTGCATTAACAATACAACATAAGAATACTTAAATTATATAATCTGGTAGACTTTGGTATAATAAACAACTTAAGCTTTTATATTTTTCAACTATTTTCTATAAAACCAAGTTACTGCACTTGTCAAAAAAAATAGCAAACATAACTAATACAGAGAATGATTTTGCTATTCAACTTAGTGATGCTACATAGATGGCTGTAACAATCAACCGAAATGGATAAAAAAAAAAAAAAGTTTTACACAAAGATGGTCTCAACTGCTCCTTACTTTCTTGGAAATGGTTACAGTACTACACCAGTTCCTTCCTTCTCAATCCAGTGCACTAGCACCACCACACAGCAGTCAATTCACTACCTATCAACCAAAGGAGGAGGAGGAGGAGTTCCTTGTTGCTGATGTCTGTCTTCAATATTTTTTGTTTGTCCTCTTAAAAGGTGTCAAGAAATGTATTATTCTCCCAGAAAATTGCAAGGATGGTAAAAGCAAAGCATCAGATACAGAATAAGTTAAATTACATTATATATATATATACAGTACTAGAAATTGATCAAGAGAAGTAACGCGAGGTCCACTTGAATTCATCGCACATATCTAGTATAAAATATATGAGTATTTACTTTTATCGGTGATATGTGAATAGAAAAAATACCCAAGATTGTTTCAGTAGTTAGTGTAAAATATACATATTCTTCATAGAACACAAAAGTAAAAGTTTTCATTCAGCAAACATGGAAGCTGAAGTCCTTGTTTCTGCACTTTCTACCTATTGTCCACATTCCTATCCCAAAAGAACTATAGAAACTTCATTATAGAAATGAATATTACAGTGCACTAGGAAAGGAAAACTATACCTATTAATCCATGTTTAAGTAAATCAAGAACTTCATATCGTTAAACAGTTTGAAATTTACTTTTTGTTTCAGTTCATAGACACATAAGACTACTTTTGATTAATTATTATCAGAGCTTAAGAAGTTCTATTAATGAATCTCTTCTCAGGTTTTTGTAAGTGGAATGAAAACACAATGTCATTAACATCTCACATCTCAAGAGTTAAGACTACCTAATCCATACCCAAGTCTCTACATCAGAGGACATGTACCCTCCTACAATCACTCCTCTTTATCGTACAAAACATTCATCAGTTATTAAGCACTAATGTCAGAAAAATCAGAATGAAATCTCTAATCATTTGCATAAAATTTTAATCTAGATTTACAAAACTTTGCTAGTCCTGTTTTATCTAAAGGTTAAACTGCCAATTTTGAACCATGCACAAACCAATAATCCATACCATATTTGACTCGTGAAATTTTTTTCAAAACATAATAAATAATAGATTTTGCCATATGACTCGAGAACTATGTTTACATATTTTATCCTTTACCTGTGTACTATATCTCATAATCTGCTCTCTATTGCACAATATGGTACCATGAAATGCCTCCTCCACAAACTAAAACTACTTCACATTTCTCCATGTGCTTTCAGAAAATTTCCTTCCCCACATTTGTGCAAAGAAATAAGAAATTACAACTTCAGAATGTTATTCATGATGCCAGTAGCATTTATGCGCGATAATACAAATGAAATGTTTCATTTCATTCACAGCCTTCTTTACTCCTCATGTTAACTCTCAGTACCAGTCGAGGAGCATTGGCAATTACCAAGAGTACCTGATTAATATACATACTCTGGATGAACATTACCACTGCATCAATTAGACAGATATAATCACTGCACAAAGATGTTGGCTATGCACTGCTTGCCTGGAACCTGAAGTGTTTCCTGCACAATTAGTGGTGGAACAAATTTGCTCCTTTGTCAACTTCATTACAGCAAAAACCAAAGAGCTACTCCCTTAATTATAATTATCCCAATGAGTGTTAAACTAATTGAGCATTAACAGTACTGTATACTGTTATCAAAAATTTTAGGCATTAAACCAGATTTCAAATGTACAAAAAATATTTAAGACATTGTAATTTCAATAAATTTGTTTCTCAGAAAATCTACATGCCTTTTGTTTAACAAATAGTTTTGAACTTACTAGTTATTAACTCATTAATTTTAATACCTTGACATTACATAATACAAAAAACACTTTATAACCAACTTGAATAAAGCAACATGGAACACAAAAACTTTAATGATGTTAATTTAACCATTGAGAGCTTCCAGTGTTTTGGCACAACTTAGAATTTCTCATAGTAACCAAAGAGGTTAAGAGGCAGAACTAAATGTTTAACAACAAAAATTTAAAGTAGAAAAATATGCTTGAGCAAGATTTACACACAAATGTTAAGGCCGGGTTGGTAAGTGAAGCCGGAGCTTCACTTGTTCAAATGAAGTGACTACGAAATTGTTTCAGCTGTCAACTACACGGTAATACCATTTATACAGCAACAATGACAATACTGACAGTGATGATCACATGACGAGCAACCTTAGCACCCAACACCATCTTACAGGTAAGGATATTATGATCTGTAAGTAAACAAACTGAGAAGTGACACATCAAGCTATTAAATTTAATTCTAGGAAATTCAAATATGACCAATTTTTTTTAATTTCACCCAAGAAATCCATCTAATATTCTTCTATCTATACCTGTTTCCTGAGGTATGCACTATTTAGAAAATATATTAAACACCGAATAAACAGATTTTTAAAAATGCTAAAACAAATATGCATAACACCTTGCCAACAACTGAAGAGGAGTCTTTTCTTCAAACCAAAATGACTTTCAATTTGAATTCACAAGGCATAGTGTCTATATAAAGATGCAATTTATCACGTAGTGAATAAATCTGTGGGATCTACATCCTGTACAAGTACAGCAGTTAATACATTACAAGACTGAAAGCTGGCTCAGCGCAGGTGGTCTGGTCGCTGATAGGTTTGATTGGCAAGACTTTGGTGAATAGGTGGCTGGAAACAACGAACGTGTTCCACAGGTAGATTATCGGGATCGCTTGTTTTCAGATACTTATTGAGAACAGCAAAAATCTGCGAGTTGAGTACCTGAAACCGTCTGATGCGGTCACACATCCTTTTCAATTGCTGCAGAGAACAAATAGAAACATTAATATTAATTTAGTTTTTTGTATTAGATCAGAGCCTAATTACTGCCACTTTAGCAGCGGCACCAGATAAATAAAAGCAACTGATATTTTATTTAGGTCCAGACATTCGGGATTGAAATAATGCTAACAAACTAAACACTAATTCAATTTTTCTACCTACAGTATTTACTCATCTACCCATCTACCTCAACACCTCAGTCTATCCATAAACATGTCTCTGATGTGATGGCTATTATGTTATTCTCTAGTTATTCATAAGAATAACTCTTAAATATTCTTCATACTTCTTCGTGACACCTTTCCAATACCAATCCCATTTTTTCCTTCTAGGATGGTATTTGTTTTTTCTATCACAATTGCTCCAATACTCATAAATTCTTCTTTTGAATCTACAGCTCATATCTTTGATTGATCTCTACAATGCACTAGTTCCAAAACACTTTCCTACCGTTTATTCTTGTCTTATTCCTGTTTATTCCTTAGATTAAGCTGCCTCATCTCACTAAGAGGTTGAGGCTAAAAATGGGATATTGTAATACTGTAGTCCTAGAATTTACCTAGAGATGATTCCAAAATTACAGTATTGTACATACTGTACTACTACTACTACTACTTAAGCTTAGCCTAGGGCCAGGCTTGTTTTGTGATAACTTGATCCAACAGGCTGTTACACATCAATAATAATGATTATCCCCCTTTCATAAAATCTCCCAAACAGCAGCAGCATTTCTTCTTTGTACTGCTCCTTCCTGCCAGTGTGTCAGTCTGCCCAGTACGTTTTCCAAATGTTCGGTAAAGTAATTTTAATTTTCATAAGTCTCTTACTCCGTGAAGAAGGTTCCTAATGCCTGGAACTAACTTAGTCATCCTCCTCTGTATATTTTCAAAAAAACCGATTCATTCTACAGTACAGTGCCTAAAACGTTACAGCATAATCCAAGTGGTGTCTCACGAGGGCAAGATGAAGCTGAAGAATAACAGAGTTTTAATAACAAAGCTTCAAGATGTGAATTCTAGAACTCCAGTGGCTTGATATTAATCATTTATTCATTTTTTTTTATCCTTCACCATCATCATAACTCCCAGATCCAAATAACACCGCTGCTCAACGATAATCTTTCCAATTTTATCTTTTTATTTTCCTATTACCTAGCAAGACATTTCTTCACTTAACAGCATTTCTCATACAATTAGTACTGACTTAAAGCAACTACCAATCTACACAAAATTATAAACAAAAACAAATTACTATACTTACAATTCCCTTAATTTGTTCATCCTTGCCATCCACTTTCTGCACACGAAGTATATGATAGCAGAAATCAAGGGCTTCAAATCTTCGTTGTTGGGTCAAGAGGACTATCATGCAACAGCCTGCCCAGTTCAAACCCTCACCAAATAGTTGCCTGGGAAAAAAGTATTCATTGTAAAAAACATTTAATAAAATGGAAATAAATAAGTCAGTTTACTGAACTATGATGAATAGCATTTTCATGGCTGTAATCTACACACACAAGGGAGCCGGTCGGCTGAGCGGACAGCACACTGTACTTGTGATCCTGTGGACATGGGTTCAATCCCAGGCGCCGGCGAGAAACAATGGGCAAAGTTTCTTTCATCCTATGTCCCTGTTACCTAGCAGTAAAATAGGTACCTGGGTGTTAGTCAGCTGTCACGGGCTGCTTCCTGGGGGTGGAGGCCTGGTCGAGGACCGGGCCACGGGGACTACCTACCTACCTTGAGGCTACCTTGAGGTGCTTCCGGGGCTTAGTGTCCCCGCGGCCCGGTCGTCGACCAGGCCTCCTGGTTGCTGGACTGATCAACCAGGCTGTTAGACGCGGCTGCTCGCAGCCTGACGTATGAGTCACAGCCTGGTTGATCAGGTATCCTTTGGAGGTGCTTATCCAGTTCTCTCTTGAACACTGTGAGGGGTTTGCCAGTTATGCCCCTTATGTGTAGTGGAAGCGTGTTGAACAGTCTCGGGCCTCTGATGCTGATAGAGTTCTCTCTCAGAGTACCTGTTGCACCTCTGCTTTTCAACGGGGGTATTCTGCACATCCTGCCATGTCTTCTGGTCTCATGTGGTGTTATTTCTGTGTGCAGGTTTGGGACCAGCCCCTCAATCATTTTCCACGTGTAAATTATTATGTATCTCTCCCGCCTGCGCTCAAGGGAGTACAGATTTAGGCTCTTTAGTCGGTCCCAGTAATTTAGATGTTTTACTGAGTGGATTCTAGCAGTAAAGGATCTCTGCACGCTCTCTAGGTCAGCAATTTCTCCAGCTTTGAAAGGGGCTGTCATTGTGCAGCAGTACTCCACTCTAGATAGCACAAGCGTTTTGAAAAGTATCATCATCGGTATAGCATCTCTAGTGTGAAAAGTTCTTGTTATCCAACCTGTCATTTTTCTTGCAGTTGTGACGGCTACTTTATTAAACTAAACTAAAAGTTTAGGACACTAAAAGGGACACTAAAAGCCCCGAAATCATCTCAAGATAACACTGCCTACTGTAACAGCAGATCACCAATCTGAGGGGGTGACCTATCTAACTCAAACATTTTCTTAATAGATCAACTTTCCTACAATGTATGTTGCCATTTTCTGTATTAGTTATGCATTTGCTATTTCTTCTACCTTTCTTGATGCAGACACACATACATACTCTTGTCAAGCACGGAGCACATCACCAGGTGCTGCTGCTCCTGCTGCAGTACAAGTGTAACCTAAGAAAATACCAGAATTGGGAGCGTAGGTGCCCCTTGACCCTCCTGCGGTAGTTCTTCTATGGCTCAACTTCCGTTTTCCCATGATAAGTTGTAGAGTACTTGAACACTCTGGTATTTGTTATCCATTACGACATTGTGCTCAATTATATTCACAAATAGATCTATAATCTTTATAATAGCAAATACAGGTTATGATTCTAAAAAGAATTCCTTGCACTCCTACCAGCTACTGCAGCATAAAGAACAATTTCTTCCTTACTCAACAGTGAAGTTGTTAGCTCCTACAGGAATACACATAACAAACTGAAGTGCCGACCACAGGCGATGGAACTCCGTGCATTCGTCCACATTCATTACACCATTAGCAGGCGGAGATCCGTGCCAAATTGGATCTTCAAGGAAAGTTTGAATTCTCGTCAGAATTACCTGCAGACAAGACAAAAATTACACATACATTGTTTTCAAAATCGTAAAGACAGTAGTATACTGTAAATAAATTTTCTCAAGAACTATCCAAAGTTTAAAAAGAACAACTAATACATAATACTGTACTGTATATAATGTTGAAGTCACTTACCTCAAAAATTGAAAGGCCACAACATAGTCTCTCTCTTGTCAATAAGTCTCCCTCTCTGGCAATCATAGCTTGCTGAAATACAAAACTATATATTAAAAATAAATCATAAAGAAATGACATAACCAGATACATTTCAATCACACAAGAACAACCAAAAAAGGTTATACCTGTACTTGGACCGGCACATTTCAAGATATGAACAGGACAATGTAACGAGTGGTGTGTGCACAGGCTGTTGTAAAGAGTAGCCAAAACGATAAATACCACCGTCTCACTGCCCACCACTTCCCTATCAGTGACTGCAGGCAAGTGGGGTCTAGATTCTTATACCTTGCTACCTAGTAGTTTGTACCTAGTGTATGTTGTAAATCTCTTGACTTATATATTCTGTGTTATATATAATCTTGAAGTTGTAGATGGAGGTGGCTTTCATAAGTTTTAAGTTTATTTCACTTATTGATCACCTATGCAGATTTGGTCATATTTATTTTTTATTTGTTTTCCTTTTTCAACATCCCACCCATGTTCTTTTGTCAGGTTTTCTCTCAATTTAAAGAAACTGTCCTTCTCCATTCCAATTCTGCATATTCTAGTATTCATCTCATAGGTTATATAAATTACAATAAAAAAAATTTAATTTAATTGAACTCTTATCTTTGCCGGCTTTCCATATGCTGCAAGGTTATTGTATTTATATGCATCTCTGGTGCCAAGTGCTAGAATTATGACCCCCTCGAGATTTTTGCTATTTTCATTTCCAGTACACTCAAGACGAGCGTCCAAGTGGTTGGGTACTATTTCTTTCTCCTGTCCCTCACGAGCCGGTCAGCCGAGCGGACAGCACACTGGACTTGTGATCCTGTGGTCTTGGGTTCAATCTCGGGCACCGGCGAGAAACAATGGACAGAGTTTCTTTCACCCTATGCCCCTGTTACCTAGCAGTAAAATAGGTACCTGGGTGTTAGTCAGCTGTCACGGGATGCTTCCTGGGGGGTGGAGGCCTGGTTGAGGACCGGGCCGCAGGAACACTAAAGCCCCGAAATCATCTCAAGATAACCTCAAGATAGATCACAAATCCTTCTCCAGACCCCTTCCAAATGCTATATAGTCGTAATGGCCTGGCACTTTTCCCTGATAATTCCCCCCTGTACAGTAGTTGCTTTCCTTATGGAATAGTTGAATTCGGGAGTCCTTATGTTCCTTTCCCAACTCCACTACCTTACACTTACTAGGGTTAAAATGCCTGCCATCATTTGTGATGAGAATCCAGGTCCAGCAGTTAGAGTAATTGCAAATAAACTATTGAAACCAGTGTTAACAAAAAATTTTAAATCACAATATGAACTGCATTGATTTTTCCTCACTCACCTTTGCTGTCCCGAGTCTCTCGATATTGGATACAATCTGTAGAGGAGCATATTTAGCCTCGAGACGTTTTTGCTTGGTTTCGGGCTTCTCACCCTCTGTAGAGTATTGAATGTTGAGTAAATCAACATGCTATATTTGTAAATTACCCTCTTCCCACAAAAAATAAAAAATTAGTGTAATATTTTACAGCCAAATTATGACAATTGGTAAAAACTATTGTTACATATAAACAAAAATTAAAAGGTGAAAAGGCTGAGAATATATAAACATAAAATGATGAATAAGAGCTAAAAACACTTGTTAACCCCTCCTGTTTGCTTTAACAGATTTTACATACAGCACTGTATAAACAACTACACCAAACATGTCAATCAAAAGTAATCACGAGAACAAAGAGATAATTGTTTTCTCAATCGACTGATAAGCTCTCACCTTTGCAAAATGGCCTTGGTAAAATATTCTGGAACGGAGCTGCCTGCAAGAGGTCACACACCTCCTCCAACGTGAGTGATTGCTCTATTAACAAGCAGAAGAGGAGAGCATTGCCCAGCTCCCTAAAGTGGTGGAAAAGATCTGCTCTCGCATCTGGATACTGCACAATGTCATTCAGCTGAGCATGGTAATAACCCAAGACACCTATTATGGGAATTACAGAGTACTTATCAGAATATGGCAAGAGCACTTCCACAGCATGCAAAACAAAAATAAAATTTAAAATGCATTACGTCCTTTCAAAAATAAAACAAATCTTGTCTCTCATATACAGTACTAAAGATTGCATTCCTGCAACTCAAAAATGGATGCCCAATGCTGCTTCAAATTTTATCGTTTACGTGTACAGTGAATAAGTGTATTACCACTCGTAAGTATTAGAAATAGCAACTCTCATTGCTGGGATGTATAACAGCAATCACTCCATGCATTACATGCAATCACCATAATATTTGTAGTGAGACTCCAGAAAGACTCTTCATGTTAGGTTTCTTTAATTTATGAAGTTCTTTGACTGATATCCATAGAATAAATATACTATTCTGGCATCTGATATATTCTAGGAATTTTCCCATACAGTATTAAACAGTGAATATGGTGCTGAAGCCGTGTATACATGTATGTCATATGACAATGTCAGACCACGGAAGAAAATGAAACAGGAATTTCCTTAAGTACTTTCGTATATTAAATACATCTTCAGAAGGAATTATTTTTTTTTATTCCTTCTGAAGATGTATTTAATATACGAAAGTACTTAAGGAAATTCCTGTTTCATTTTCCTCCGTGGTCTGACATTGTCACATTCTTAATCACGTGTTTATTTTCGTGATATACACACATGTATGTCATATATATACTTGATGCACCTTCCCCATCTAGATTTAATCTTGGGCAATATTTAAAAATTGTAATTCAATAATAATGGAACAGCATTAAATAAGGACAAGATAGAAACCATACCTGGAGAACCATAGTCATATCTGGGAAGTTTGCACTGCTTTGGCATGGCTTGGAGAAGTGTTTTAGTAAACTGCAGAATATTTCCTTGAATGAGGGAGTGAATGATCTCAAGCAACTCTTGCATCACAACAGCAATGCCCTGGTACCCCAATACACGTACAATAGAGCGTAGGTGAGGTGGTCCCAGGAAACCTGCAACAGGTCAGAAATTTATAAAAGAAAACGCACAAATTTACCAAATTGCTGTACAGTATAGTGCCTGGTCGAGGTCCCGCGGCCTGGTCGAGGTCCCGCGACCTGGTCGAGGACAGGGCTGCGGGGACACTAAGCCCCGAAATCATATCAAGATAACATCTCAAGATATACTGTACTCTATAACAATGTTCTAACTAATGCGGTAACAGGGAAAACTAGTAAATTAACTAAGTAATTACGAAAAGACAGCACCAAACTGGGAAGGGAAAACTAGTAGGGTAAGGCTGTGGAAAGGAAGCTGTGTACAAGCTGTGGAAAGGAAGACCTCTATGCCTGCTAACAGAAGTCAGACATCATCTGTACCCTTCTGCATAAAAAAATAATAATAATCTCATATTAATGTGTTACAGTGTGCTATTAGATTTAGAATACAATATGTATGAAAGAGTAAACATTTCTCTTATATTATATGTATTTGGGCAGGTTTTTACATACATGTTTTACTAATGATAGGTCTATCTCACATTAAAAAAGCACACAGTATGTTCCATTTCATTGCTCCTAACAAGTAGTTTTGTGTTAAAATGTAAATTAACGATGACCATCAATATTTTTCATATCATTTTCAAGCAATGTCTCAGCAGTACAGTACTTTATCTTCAACTATACAATATTACCGTATAGAAATGGGTATTATTACACTTAGAATGAAGGTACTGTACGTGTAGCAGACGACCAAAAATATATCATTACTGTATTATCATTATTGAAGAACAAATCATAGACGTGTAAAGGATAAGTAGATATGAAGGGGTCACTTGCCGACTGATTGCACATCACACTCTAGAATCAGCCATAGTGCAAGTGCATCTATCACTTGCTATTTTTGCTGTCTGATGATTTCATTTTTTATAAAAGCATTTTATACATTTACTGTATAGCATTTTGAGTTTGTGTTCATTAGGCACAAAGTATTATGGCTAAACAGAGTAGTAAAAAAGTCTTTTTTAGGTACTGTAATATAAATTATAAACGGTATTGCGGTCTCCTTCAGAACCATGAGAATTTCTACATTGTACGTTTTCTTAAGCGGAAAAAATACATTTTCAGAATAATGTTTTACATTTTTTCTGGATTCTTGAAGGTTATAGCAGGGAGGTTCATTAAACAATGAAATGCTATATATAGATCACACAGCTCTAGTCAAGCAAGTGAAAAATGACAAAGAAATAGAGATACTAGGGGCCTTACCGGAATACTGTGAATATATTGTGCTATAAGCAACATTGAGTGCTTTACTTCCCCAAACCATGTATGGGGCTACATTTGGAGGCTTGTCTCTCTGTACTGCCTGAGCAAAAGTTGTCACTACTGCCTTCACAAATCTGTGAAGAAAAACATTATCTCAAATAGGTGATTAGGTACAAGACATTCAGGACAGAACATTGTTAGGTCTATATATAAAATCCCTCAATACCACTAATTAAGAAACAAGTATGGAAGGCCAAAACTCCATAGGTAAGAACCACATGCACCCACAGATTGACTCCATCTAGCATGTGGTTATGTCTTTCTGGCAATCCCCATTATGTTGTAAGAGGTTACTGCTCTCAATACTACAGGCTAAACATTTTTGTAAACATCATGAGTTCTACAACTGGATATTAGTGTCTAGCTTCACTATGTTTGCATAAATACACGACTTACTAAAAGATCCTTTGAACTGACTCCCTGAACATAACTACAAATGAATGAATGAATACACACATTCAATCCTGGTCTTTGAGGTCCATTTGTAATTTGTACAAGAATGGAAATAAGTATTACCTGCCAGTTGCTGCATTATAGCAATAATTTGGTAAGAAATCATAGTTGAGTTCCCAGAAGACATGAAGAGTGGTTCTGCCGTAGGGAGCCAGTACATTGTGGTTAGCTTCCCGGAGCTGAGCATCAAAGTCATCCAATACCAATAACTGGCACAGTAATTTATGAGTCAACTTGTTAACCTCAATCAGACCTTCCAGTTCCTAAAATCAAGTGAATAAATAATATATATTAAATAGCAACTCAAAAGCAAAGTAAAATACAATACTCAACAAACTAGATGCTAAATGCATTCCGAGTGCACAAAGTCAAGTCAAGAAAGACACCCTAGAGCCAGCATATCTCAGGAAGCAAGCAGCATTGATGTAATGAGAACAGTGAGTGCAGGAGAGACCTAAGGATTACAGATGGCTGAAATGAGTTCATGAAGTATAACAGGTTTAGGGAGACTAATGAGCACAAAATGCTGGTACCAAGGCACAGGATGGTATACTGAACATGGACTGCTGTACCAAGTACAGGCTGGATACTGAACACTGGCTATAGTATTTAATACAGGCTATTGTAATTAATGCATTAATGCATCCTAAATGTGGTGGTGGTAGTGGAGTAAGAAATGGTGGTGCTGATAAAGAGGGGAAGAGGAGGAGGGGTGGAGGAGGAGGGAATGAGAGAAACACACAAGATAACTGGGATGTACTGGTGGGGAATGAGACTACCATTCACCACTAGCTGTCTACACATAATTTTAATACTAATCAATATCTGGCCGGGAAGTTGCAAATGAAATTGGTTAATTATACAATACTGCACTGAGTTAAATCCCATTATAATTTAGCAGTAATTCAACAAGTTGCATTCTGACATTTATCATAGGCTGACAGTACAGTACAGTAGTTTCTTTCATTTCTGGATACTGTACCGTATTGAGAAATTTGGGGAAAATTGCAAATTTAAAACTATTTGGGCTACAATGATGAAACCTTAAAAATACTGTATGGGATGCTTCAAAGACTTAAATATTTGAAAATTAAGTAATAATTTCTATAACCACTCTTCCGCCATAAAAAGAAAAATTACCATATTTAACTGGCACTATCGATAAAACTTTCTCGGGTACTGTTTGCAACCAAGATTACTAGGGGTATCCCCTGGCACCAGGGCACGTGTGTAGTTGCTGTAGCTTTGCTATTGGTTGTCATCTTTATCCTCCTGCTCCAAAACAACATGTTAACATTTTATTTTACAACAAGTCTTTGAAAGTTGCAAGCTAAAACATGAAGGCATTTTCTATCTATCACACAAACACTGAACATTTTGGAGAAACCAGCACACACACAATTCTGAAAATTATAAGGCTTCTTTTCTGGGAACACGATAAATACAGAATACTGTATGCTACAGTGACTTTACTGTGTGTATGGGAAGACCTAAGAGCATACACCCCAAGATAAAAATGATTATAATTACCACAACGGAAGTAATGTCCGCCCCTTCAAAGCGAGAGATGGCCACTTCCAGAGATTTGTGCATGGAGGCATTAATGCGCTGACAGATAAGCTTGTTCAGGTCAATGCTACGCCCCAGGAGCTGGACGTGGCGCTGCTTCAGCAAAGTTTCATACCTATCAATCGGTTAGAAATGTTCAGTGAAAACCTGCATACAGTAATGCTTCATAACATAGTATTTTTAATTTGTGTAGCTAGGTTACATATATTTTAATGTTTTATTAGGCAACAAAGAACTTGCATTAATGTATCAGGCACAACAATGCATATCTACATCCATGTTGTCATGATCTATAGTGTAACGATGCAGTATGCTCACAACCTGAATCGGTAGCAAGGAACTGGGAGTCAGATTCAACAGTTTCATAGCTTACCTGTTAGCTGGTGGATAGTGAATTCTCATGTTGTGTTGACTGCATTCACTTCGGAAGCGTTTATCCAGAAGTATACTGAAAATAAAAGCAGCATATTTTGGTATCTACAAACATTTCAAGGAGATGCAAGATAGAAACAATTTTGTAAATTATTTGACAGGTACATTCTAATAAACCTAGCATTAGGGCAATTAAATCCAAATTAACTTTACTATTTACACCTATAATGGCCTATCATTTAAACAGCAATATTAAATATTAAGTTCTCAATTGTTATCGTATCACCCTCCCCCCCCCCCTCCTGATAATGACTATTCATCCTTCTCCACCTCCATGTCCTCCACTATGTCCTCCACTATGTCCTCCACTATGTCCTCCACTATGTCCTCCACTATGTCCTCCACTATGTCCTCCACTATGTCCTCCACTATGTCCTCCACTATGTCCTCCACTATGTCCTCCACTATGTCCTCCACTATGTCCTCCACTATGTCCTCCACTATGTCCTCCACTATGTCCTCCACTATGTCCTCCACTATGTCCTCCACTATGTCCTCCTCCACCACCACTGCTGCTGCTGCTGCTGCTGCCTCCTCCACTTCCACTTTCTTCCATTAATTACAATATACAATTACAATAATGCTTTCCTGCAAAATAAATTACGGTAACTTAATTTGGCTTACCTAATCACAACGACAACATTTGAAACAGTCAAAAGAAGGTTCAAGATACAATGCCAGAACAAACACATGAAAAACATTAAAACACTAAAGCCTGGAAAACTGAGCAACACCATTCCACAAATTCAGTATTACTCTTGTCAACTGCTGCCAGCATGTATTATAAATCCCTTTCTTTAGAACTGTAAAATTCTAATTTGTATGACTCATGGCAAGAAAATAATCTAAAAAAATGGAAAAGGAATTGTTATTTCTACACTAGATTCAGCTAATATGCAAATTAGTATGAAACATACTCAGACAAAAATCTGACTGTACTCTAAATTAACATAACCAACTCCATCAATTTCTAATTGGCATTTTAAGTGTAAAACAATTATTCTAAACACTATACATTGTAAACACAAGCTGTTCACACCTACCTGCCAGCAAGATGTTTATAATAGGCAAACACCTGCTCAGATAACTTGAAAACAAACTGATCAAAGCACAAGTTGACCTCTGCCTCAATCTCGTCGTAGAGAAACTGCTTGCGGAAGTGAGTGAGTGCGTAGTAAGCACTGTCATTGTATAAATCTAATGGATATAGGACACATCTGGAATGAAAATTTAACATGCATATTTAGCAGCACTTTTCTTCAATGTATGTGATACTATTCACATGTAACTTGTGTGCAGGTAATAGTTTCACATATTTAATAGTACAATTCATAATAACATTTAACAAAATATCCAAGAAGAAGCAATTACTGTCACTACGTCTTTTAATCCATTTTCCTTTTAAACTGTAATATATATAACCGAGCCACTTCCAAGCGCACAGGTTTCAGCAGCACAGCAACCACTTACTGACTAAAAAGTTAATAAAGCAAAATACCATATATATGTTTACTCATTCTAAATGTATCTAATCTTTGCAGTGGATCGGTGCTGCATTGACTGCAATCTTCATCAAATATTTGAACAAGGAATATAAAACCATTGTGCTTTACTCAGCCGTATCATCTAACAACATTCAGCAGTTATCTATACTGGAAGGATGGGGGAGGGGGGGACGAGGGGAGGGGGGACTAGGAGAAGGGGGACTAGGGAAGGGGGGGGAATAGGGGTGGGGAAAGGTGGGGAGGGGGGGTACCCAGGCCCTGCTGGGTACCCCTCCTAGTATAATTAAGGATTTTCTACAAGTTACTTTACAGAAACCTTACCAACTCATCTCCCAGATATGCCTGCTAGAGGTCACTAAAATACTGTGTATAATATGCTGCAATAAGACACTCGAGGACAATAGTCTCTTGAAAGTCGTGTGAATGTCACAGTTCTAGCATAATGCAACAAAACACAAGAGAGGTCTTGCATACACTGTATTGTATATACAATACTGTATATATTATATATTATTCCAAATCAAAATACAACTTACTCCATCATTGATGCATCCTTGGAGCGAAGGATGTGATCTGTCAAGATCCATGGCATAGACATCTCAATGGGGAACTGTTGAGGGAATAGAAATCTCATAAATCATTTCTAATATATATATATAAAAAAATAAGATAAAAAAAAGAAAAGTAGAAAAATAGTCACATTAGAATTAATCTTGTGCTGTTCTTCACTCCTGTCTACAGTATATGATCAACTTGCTAGTGATGGGCATGGCTAGCTCATACTCAATTTCACAAGTCTCGATCTAAAATCAAATAAAAATATTGTATAGTATTTATTGTTATACGCAGTTCTCCTCATAAAAAAAGAACAACCCATACTGAATGACAAACTGGAAGGAGTTAGTAAAGCACGGCAGGTACAGTAGTTGCGTGCATGACCAGCTCGCCTGCCATCACTTGTATTTACAGCATAGATCTACAGCATGGACTGTCAGGGGCCAATTACATTGTCAAAAATGACATCAAAAGTTTAGAGTATAATGTACTTTCAAATGTTAGTTGGCTTTAATGAGTTATAAGCTCATCACCAATCGGATGCATCGTAGAAATATTTAAAACTGAATGATACATCACTAACTTTGGAATATGCAAGCTTTAAAGAAAATAAGCAGATGTTGTATAGGGCTATAATAAATGCCCTATGTTGTGCACTGCATAAGGCTGAACAATTCTTTGCTTCAGAGAGAAAATGCTATATAACGAAAAAACAGTAATCAGTGACCAAAGCCGATGTCATGCCTATATATATATACTGTACAACATCATTTAAATTACAATTTTAGCCAGATTTCCAATCAAGTAAAGAATGTATATTAAGATTAATGTATATTTGTGTAAAATTAAATAAGACAGTAGCAAATTAAACAATTCTCATTGTATTATCAGAGTAATGTGTCCAAGTCATTAATAATTTAAGAACTTTATTGGTACATTTTAGGTCATGTTCACTTATAGTTGATGAATAAAAGATGTGGTAAATGCATGAGTGACAAGCAAAACCATTAAGTAATTATCTAAAGAGAGCACCAAGCCCGGAAGACTATTTAGCACCACGTGTCATGGGATAAGCAAAGTCATAAATATCTCACGATGCCAATACTGTACTAGAGCAAACACACACACACACACAAGACGAGCAACATCAAAGGGATTCGATTCACTAAACATCTTATTGAGGGACAAATTAACTCAAAAAGCCAACCCAGTAAGTCAAGGATAAAAGCTCGACCCCAGACAGTGCTGCACCACACCATGGAAACCTAGAACCATATTTTATTACGTTCTGTCCATACACTAAGAACATTTGTATTGTATTCAAACTTTTACACCGTGGAACATGTCTAAAAATCCATGGTCGCGCATAAACAATGAGAAGTAATATAATACTGTGCCACCATACAGTATAAGCTAATGTATGCTACTATTTTCTTAGCACCCACAACACTCATTCTGTGTTACATTTATTCAAATGCTAAATAATTGTGTGTATGTTAGGATATATAGAAGTATGGGTATTCATTAAACTTGTGTATTTAGTGTGTCAACTTCCATTTTAAAAAGTTATTTAATTGTTATTTAAGTAATTATCAAAAAGATAACACACCCAAAAATGTATACTGTACAGTAAAGCACCATCTGTGTCAGAGAATAAAAAAGTTCCTAGATGTCACTCAGGATGCCAATACGAGAACACAAAGATACAAGGAGAGTTGCGTCAAAACAATCCAATTCACATAGGATTTTGTCGAGTGTCATATGACTCGGAGAAACGGTGGGAAAGCAAAATTTCTTATCCTGAAAATCAGGATATTTCATAAGGAGGTGAGCAAGTGTTATTGGAACAAGGCAGATAGGAAAAGTAAACGTATTTAAACGAAGACATTTCGTTTACAGGCTCGTTTACAGGCTTTTTCGTTTTCGTTTTACAGGCTCCCGAGAAAAAATGGACCCCTGCATTTAAAGTACTCTATGTCTGAGAGGAAAGATTAGGAGACAACATGAGTTTCAATACTGAAAACAAACTTGCAACAAAGTTTTAAAGAATTTGCCACACAACAAATAGAAAAAATAATATATTAGGCTTAAAAGGAGAGAGAAATAAAATAATACAAACCTACTCTAGTATCAATTATGACGAGAATCTCCCAGAAATGACAACCAGATGCGACTTCCATTGATAAAGCTAATTTATCTGCTTATACAATATTAATTTGCAAATACAGTAGTTTAAGGCCTGTTAAATGTATTGTTAATGAAATCGAGAAATTAAAACTACTAAATATTGTATAATACACTTTCTATATAAATTGTTACTTCCTTATATTCTGCAAAAATTGACAAGTAAATATGTAGTTGCATTTGATTAATAATGTAAATGTATTGATAATGAAGTAACAGGTTACTGTATGATACAAAAAACTTTTCGATTGGCTTTGATAGCTCCATACTAAATACTTATAATCTGATAGAATACTAGATCAATAGCTATTATACATACACGGTGTATAACCACCATGATGGTCATAGTATATAGTAGTATAGTACTACTACACAGTATAGTAGTATAGCACATAGTATATGGTCTCTAGTATATGCCGTCTCTATTCACACCTTACCTAGGTTACTTTTGTAGACGAATACACTAAAAATCCATGGTTGCGCATAAACAATGAGAAGTAATATAATACTGTGCCACCATACAGTATAAGCTAATGTATGCTACTATTTTATATCTATCCTGCCAAACTTGTCAAAAATTTTTGAAAAACTAATCTATAAGCAGCTTTACTCATATCTAGCCAAACTCAATATACTTAGCCCTTGCCAATATGGCTTCAGACCCAAAAAAAGCACTAACGATGCACTTATTAGTATGCTTAACTCGATTCATACAGCTCTTGATAAAAATGAGTTCCCTGTTGGGTTGTTTGTGGACCTGCGTAAAGCTTTTGATACTGTCAACCACCAAAACCTTCTTCTTAAATTACATCATTATGAGTCAGAGGACACTCCCTACAATACCTCAAATCCTACCTTACTGACAGGCTCCAATATGTTTCTGTGAATAATACAATTTCTCCCACCCTACCCATCAACATTGGTGTTCCCCAGGGCAGCATACTTGGCCCTCTCCTCTTTCTCATCTACATTAATGACCTTCCAAATGCCTCACAACACCTCAAACCTATTCTATTTGCTGACGACACAACCTTCATTTACTCCAGTCCTGATCCCCTTGCTCTAAATGCCACAGTAAATACTGAGCTAAATAAAGTCCATCTGTGGCTAACTGCCAACAAACTCACCTTAACATTGACAAAACCTTCTATATTCTGTTTGGCAATAAATCCTCTAATCAAATAAATCTCAAATAAACAATACCCAAATTTGTAACAAATTAGATGGCAAATTCCTTGGCATTCTCATTGACCACAAGCTGAATTTCCAGGGACACATACTAAACATATCAAAAAAAGTTTCAAAAACTGTGGGCATTCTTTCTAAGATCAGATATTATGTACCACGCCCTGCCCTGGTGACTCTCTATTACTCCCTTATCTATCCATATCTCAACTATGGTATTTGTGCTTGGGGCTCTACTACCCAAAATCACTTACGTCCTCTAATTACTCAACACAAAGCTGCTATTAGGACAATATCCAATTCTGGCCCCAGACATCACTCGGTACCCCTACTCAAATCTCTGAATATGTTAGACATTAAGTCACTGCACATTCTCTCATGTGTAGTATACATATATAAAACGCTAAACTATAATGCCAATCCTGATCTCAAAAGCTTCATAGAAGGTTGTAACAGAACCCATGAGCATCACACCAGAAATAAACACAGTTTTGATATTCCTAGAGTACGTCTTAATCAAACTAGAAATGCTCTACAAATCAAGGGGCCCAGAATGTGGAATGACCTTCCCAACCATGTTAAAGACTGTACCTCTCTCAACCAGTTTAAGTTAAAAGCGAAGCTATACCTAATAAATTCACTGTAACCTACCTTACCCTTCTATTGTCAACCAATGTCTGTTTTTTTCTTTAAAGAGCGCTGTTTGTCGACATAATTGTATTTGTGCTGCTTTTTCATCTATGTTTTCATTTCTTGTTTTCATTCTACTCATTATGCTCAATTAGTATTAAGCTTGTCATTTAAGTTTATCATGCCCGAAACGCTTTGCGTAATAGTGGCTTTAGGCATTGTATGTACTAGCTCTACCTTTAAGTCTACCAATCCTTGTAAAAATTTATTGTATGTATGTACCTTACCTAAATAAAATTGTATTGTATTGTATTGTATTTTCTTAGCACCCACAACACTCATTCTGTGTTACATTTATTCAAATGCTAAATAAATGTGTGTATGTTAGGATATATAGAAGTATGGGTATTCATTAAACTTGTGTATTTAGTGTGTCAACTTTCATTTTAAAAAGTTATTTAATTGTTATTTAAGTAATTATCAAAAAGATAACACACCCAAAAATTTATACTGTACAGTAAAGCACCATCTGTGTCAGAGAATAAAAAGTTCCTAGATGTCACTCAGGATGCCAATACGAGAACACAAAGATACAAGGAGAGTTGCGTCAAAACAATCCAATTCACATAGGATTTTGTCGAGTGTCATATGACTCGGAGAAACGGTGGGAAAGCAAAATTTCTTATCCTGAAAATCAGGATATTTCATAAGGAGGTGAGCAACTGTTATTGGAACAAGGCAGATAGGAAAAGTAAACGTATTTAAACGAAGACATTTCGTTTACAGGCTCGTTTACAGGCTTTTTCGTTTTCGTTTTGCAGGCTCCCGAGAAAAAATGGACCCCTGCATTTAAAGTACTCTATGTCTGAGAGGAAAGATTAGGAGACAACATGAGTTTCAATACTGAAAACAAACTTGCAACAAAGTTTTAAAGAATTTGCCACACAACAAATAGAAAAAATAATATATTAGGCTTAAAAGGAGAGAGAAATAAAATAATACAAACCTACTCTAGTATCAATTATGACGAGAATCTCCCAGAAATGACAACCAGATGCGACTTCCATTGATAAAGCTAATTTATCTGCTTATACAATATTAATTTGCAAATACAGTAGTTTAAGGCCTGTTAAATGTATTGTTAATGAAATCGAGAAATTAAAACAACTAAATATTGTATAATACACTTTCTATATAAATTGTTACTTCCTTATATTCTGCAATAATTGACAAGTAAATATGTAGTTGCATTTGATTAATAATGTAAATGTATTGATAATGAAGTAACAGGTTACTGTATGATACAAAAAACTTTTCGATTGGCTTTGATAGCTCCATACTAAATACTTATAATCTGATAGAATACTAGATCAATAGCTATTATACATACACGGTGTATAACCACCATGATGGTCATAGTATATAGTAGTATAGTACTACTACACAGTATAGTAGTATAGCACATAGTATATGGTCTCTAGTATATGCCGTCTCTATTCACACCTTACCTAGGTTACTTTTGTAGACGAATACACTAACAATATATGTAGTACTTTAGAAAGTTCAGAATGATTACCGTTGTACAGTATATTACATTTTCTGTACACAAGAAGAAAAAACTGAAAATGTATTAGTCAGTCATACCAAATGTCTCTTCAGAACTTTAATTGGTTTCATAATACACCAAGATTTATTTTTTTGTATATAGTTCAATATACAATTGAAAATTCTCAAAACACTACAACAAATATATTCACACTTAAGTTTTGTTGTTAAGCTTTCATTAAGTCACTTAATACAGTTTCACATATCAAAATATGCAATACATAAATATCATTTATATACTGTATCAATAATAAAGAGTCGAGAGAGACCCCTCCAATGTATATGCCCTGAATAGGTCATACATTGAATACGTGATATTAGATATTACAAGGAAAAAAGTAAGATTCCTTTTGAACTACTGTACGTCAACAATTATCTACTGTAAGGAGCACAGCATGTCGGTATTACAAATTGTTAAGCAAACAGTTACTAGACAAGAAACCTTTTTGGTTTATTGGAAAGCCATCAAAGACTCTAATGAGACAATAGTATATATCAAATTTGATAATATATTGCACCTGCTGCTGTTGATCATACTTAACAAAAATTTAAATGAGGAAAAATCCGTATTTCTATTGTCTACTTTACACCATATCATAAATGTAACATCCACAGGCAAACGTAATATAAAACACAAAAACTAACAAAAACAAGGGTTTTCGTAATTACACAGCACCAAAACATTTTAAACATACATGAAAGGCTACTTGATCAAATTGCTGACTGTTTTGAAACAATAAAACCTTAACTATAGAAGATATTTATACCAAGTAACCCATCACATACTAGAATAATGCCCTTGTCACGCCATAAGGCAAGAAGTGTTACTTAGAAACAGAACACATTTCAAAGTGACCTCCATGTACAATAGTACCAATGTGTTGCAGTAACTAAACAAAACAAAAAGGGGGGTTTAAATTCAAATGCATGCACAGGCACTGCAAGCACAACAACTAAGGACAAGACAGACGTAATGGAAGGCGATACCTGAATGCGCTTCTCCATGACCACCAAGTCTTTGCATTCCTCATTGTGCTGGTGTTCCACTGTGCACGTCTAGGGAACAGTCAGGTGCACCAAGAGTAGTAGTAGTGAATGAGGTCAAGATATTCAGAATGAAGAAAATACAGTCGAGAAGTAGATAATCAAAGCTTTATAAGATGCACGAAATTAAATCTGAAATAATATGAGTGACAGAACAGAAGTACAAAAAATTGACTGGCGAAGCAAATGAAGACTGAAACAATATGATACTTACTGAAAGGAAAAAGTTGAAATCATGAATGAAGAAATACTATGGTTTTTAAGAACACAAACAACATTTTTAAAACCAAATTTAGATGATCACTCTTTCACAATTTTAAGGTGAATGAAGGAGAAGAATGATAATACATGGGTCATCAAAGGATGGTATAGTATGGTGCACTAAATTTTAGCGACGTGACTAATGATTTGGACTCCCATACTCAAACATACTAGAAAGTATTCTTGATTAGATTGTAAATGCTGTTCTTATATTCACCGAATATACATGTGCTGCTGACATCATCCTGCTTACCAGTATGCGAGTGGGTGTGTGTCTAGTGTTAGTGCTGGCATTATATTCACTAAAATCAATTTTTATCTATCAGATTCCTGTAGCTGTACAGTGCTTAATTATGGCAAACCAGCATAAAAACGTTAATGAAATAGTGAGGCTGGTATTTAACAGGTGTTATAGTCATCACCAATAGACAAAAACTATTATTAAAAACAATAGACAACATTCCAATGTTGGAATGCCTATGTTTCTGAAAGATGGGTTCCCTGAAACCTCAGCAATCAGTATAGTCACCAGAGGCTTAAGTTATGAGTTGTGGGAACTATATATGAAACCCAATCAACCGACTTCCTTTCTCATTTGGTGACAGGAAATAAAATAGATTCATCATCAGAAATCCGATCAAAGATGGAATCCATGCAATGGAGGCTCCAAATTCTCTGACCAAAGATAATAAATCACTCAGCAAGCAAAATTATGTCTTAAATTTTCTGGGATTCTATATATATATATATATATATTGATTATGTTGATTGCCATGGCCATTACTGTACTTTAAAATTTTCTTAGAAATGAGGAATTCCGAGATAATTAAATTGAAGGTCAAGTAGTCATTCATGAAATTTTCATAACAAGAAATTTACTTATTAACTAAAGTAATAAATTGGCTGTAGCAGCAACATTAAGCTGATAACATGTAAAGGCTTCCCACAAATGCTTCCTGATGAATTTTTCCAAGTGCATTTAGGTTATTCCCAAGTCTATCACTCTTAGCGAGGAGAATAATCTTGTGTGCTGTGTACAGGGGCATGGCAAACTTTAAATTACCAACTCAAGTGAGTTACATTGAACACCTTCAAGAAGTGATCTAAATTTACATTATAAAATATGTTAAAAGTAAAATAATTATCAGATCAGCCTGTTGTGCATTGTTTGAAACTTGTCAGTGCTGTTACCCTCTGCCTTTCCTGGTTAGTCAGTATAATTCTAGCATTATTTTCACCAGTGTGCAGAACTTCATAATGGAAAACATCCTTTGTTTTCAAAATTGATTATAATACGTACTTAACCCCTGCACTGCGCACCTGGTTTCGGCAAAAACTTCTTGGGGCAATTGTCAAGGACATATTCTTGTTGTTTTTATAAATATTCAGGTAAATTTAATGTCAAAATGTTTCCAAACTCAACTATTTTCATTTAAAAGCACAAAGAGTAATGAAAACATTAAAAAAACATTAAAATATAGCCTAATTAAAAAAAAAAATAGCACAACTCTCAGAGCGCCTAAAGGCGCTTTGAGCAGTGCAGGGGTTAAAGGAATGGTGATGGGAGTCTAAACCATCGGCCCTACACAACACAGCCTGACCTCTAGGTAAGACAAAGGAAAAGGTTGGAAAAGTAAGTGGATTATCATTTCTGCACTGCAAAGAAAAAAACTAATGCTGGAATACTTTTTTTTAAGACAATAAAACATTTTATTTATTCTTCATAGTATGAGATGTGCAGGTTTACGATGACAAGATATTATTACATGATAATGTGTAATATTACAATGATGATAACCTTATTAATACAATGAAGGCATGAAAGAAGATTAATTTAAGTGCTGGAGTTTAAGTGAAAGCCTTCAGTAACAAACAACTGGATGACCTAAGCTCTTAACTGTAAGAAGACAACTAACCACACTGGCAATAAACTGCCAAAAAACTTAATTATTAAACATTCCACAAAACATATGAAACATGTATTAGCACACATTTTGTTTTTCTTCTAAACTTTAAAATTAAATATTTGAAAAAAAAAATTCTTTCAAATGGCAGTAAAGCTTGGCAGTGCTTCTTTATGAACGAAGTTTAAGAATTGATCCAGCAAACACAAATTACTTACCTTTGAGTTGTTTTGGGCTAAGTTTTCTCTAAGAGCATAGCAAAGCCATCCTTTCTATAGCCATAGGAAAGAGTTCCGGCTTTTGATCATAAGCCACTTTCACTATGTTGATACAGCTGGGACAATTAATGACCAACAAGAAATGACATTTTGGAATACAAACGAACGATGCACAAATGTGCCCCCTACCCCATCCACAATGAAAATGTAGACAGTATATTGACCAGACCACACACTAGAAAGTGAAGGGACGACGACGTTTCGATCCGTCGTAGACCAAGTCGATTCTCACAATCGACTTGAGAATGGTCCAGGACGGACCGAAACGTTGTCGTCCCTTCACTTTCTAGTGTGTGGTCTGGTCAACATACTTCAGCCACGTTATTATGACTCATCGCCTGCATATAGATAGTACATATTTCTATGCAAAGCCGAGTGTAAAAGTGACCTAGAGCGAAGACAACAAGATACTGGGTAATTGATAATTCCCATTGTTGGGGACAGGAAGCCTGTGCTTAGTCTTATCGTGGTCTCCTCCGGTAAACTACTAACCATCCTCAGACTGCAACCTGTGACCTAGCTCCAGGGAATCTATTTTACTCCTAGGTGAACATCTTGTGAAAGAAAGCATGCCCAGCCGTTTCTGTCCAGGCCAAGGATTGATCTCGGGTCCCTGGGTTGCAAACCTAGGACGTAGACTGCTGTGCTACAGTGGGATACACAACCATGTAATGAGCAGAGGTCACAGGTAAGATCATTCCATACTGGAAATGTCAACGAGAAGAGAAAATCAGTCCATAATTCAACAGGAGGTACCTAAAGGCCAAGGCTTGGGAAAGTTTCATGGAAAAAACTTCAGAAGCAAAGAAGAAAGCGAGAGATAACCAGATATGAGTCAAGTACATTAGAATCTAGGAAGAAGCAAAGAAACCATCTGGAAGCAACATAGCAGCAAAAAGCCTGCCCAATCTACTAGTCACAGGTGGAGGAAAACAACAGTAAATCACCAAGTTGTATGACTGAAAGAGCTCAAAACAGTTTTATGAAAGAAGTCAATGAAGTCTGCAAAGAACAAAAACAGAACACCCAAGGAAGAGTATGATAGAGCAACAAAAACAGCCTAAAGACCAGACTCCATTTCCTACATAAAAGCACTTCAAAGCAAAAATAGAATTTTACAAACTCTAATTGCTTATTACAATTTCTTAAAAATTGGCTCTATATCCTTGTCATATGCTTCTTACAAGTCCATAAGCTTACATACCTTCTCCATCACTAACCAATTGATCAAATAATTCCTGTATACAGTCTATAAAACAAATATTCAACAAATACCGAATCTTGAACTAAGTAAGACAGCCAAGGTGAAGAGGGTGTAGAGTATGAGAGGGGCAGTGTGTTGTGCAAGAGCACAGGTCAATATTATGCCCTGAGAAAGGAGTAGAATACCTTCCATGTAGAAACAATAATATTATAAAGCTAATTGTGGCTTCTTATATAATGTACTCCATTTCTGAGATTGAAAACTAGGATAGAGATGCCTGACTGACACCAAAATCACACTGAAGGAAAAGGAAATTAGCTAGGCTTTGCTTAACTATTTTTGTATTAAGTAACAACAGATTTAATAGATTTTGTTTTGTTTTACTAAAAATATAAATACTGGTACAATATATAAAAAAGTTTTCCCAGCACATTAGAATAGTCATGTTGGCACTAGTTTTGAGTTTACTTCTCTCAAAGTTCTTGGATGACCTGGGAGCAAGGCAAACATCTTTCATCAGAGGGGCATTCTATTGACATAACAAATATCTAAGGCTGTATTATAATTTATACAAAGTTTTAATAATTATAAAAGGGCACATGTATAAAATAATGTTTCTTCTAAATGTAAGGTCCATTTAGGTTTGGAGAGTAGGTATTTTTCTTTGATACCTCAGCGAGCACATTGACCAGGTATAGTGCACCCTCGATTCAACAAATTATATGGGACCAACCTCAGTTTGCTGTAGTGAGGGATTCGTTGCAATCAGAGATGCATTCAGGAGGCCCATATTCATGAACAAAAACTAGGAAATCTCAAAATGAAAACAAACTATAGAATTTGATTTTAAATGTTCTCAATGGTTTCCCAAGGTCCCAACTCTTTCTTCTACTGTTGCACCTATCTACAAAAATCATTAAAAATGTGATTGGAGCCATATTAACAGTTACCACTCATACTCTAATGTTTCCCCTGTTTTATGGGCTGATTTCACTAAGGAAATCTTTTAATTTTATTTTAAACCTATGATAAGATACCTTTCCTGCCAGCCAGTGAACTCTGTACCTAAGCAAATCAGCCCATTCCCAACTTCAGTGAACAAGAGTTCGTAGAATCAGGCAAGTAAATCCGGCCTGGGAAGCGTGCATTCCAACCAAGATTCGCCGAATCAGGGTTCCACTGTACATACATTTCTGGAAGGGAGCACATTCCCTGGACACCTCAACCAACACTTTGAGTACGTCCAAGCATGACACCAATTACCACAAGAAGCTTCTTACTGGAAACTACTGTAATACCACTCAACTTTTGATCTTCTCCCAGCTGATTGTGTTAATGAACACCAATGTAATTAGCGAGACTTCCATCGTCAAAATGAAGCAAGGCTTGTTTTTGCAAGTGGAACCAATGGAACTGTTCTATGGCTATAGGAAGAATCATTTGCAGAGCATTGCCATAATTAATGAAAAAAAAAAATACATTATTTACTACCAATTATTTTAAACATGAATGGCAAATTTTTAAGAAATTATATTCCTATTTTAAAAATATAAATAAATGTGCCAATTACACACAAAGGAAATTTTTATTGATATAACTAGAAGAACATTCAGTTAATCTACTGCCAAGAAAAAGACACTCACATAAGCCTGTCATTATGACAAAAAAGCAAACTCCTTGGAAGAGCAAATTTAGTTGTTATGTAAGAATGGTGAAGAAATGTTTGCATTCATCTGCATTCAGCTTCTACGACCACATGCCCACATTACCCAGCAAGTTCTTTCAAGGAACTTCAATAGAACACTAATAATGTACACCTCAACTATCAAAGCGAGACATAAGAATCGAATATATAAACAATACAGGTTAAAACCTTCTTAATTCAGATCTAGTGAACTCTTTCTTTGGAATAATTAACGCTTCATTTAAGATCGTAAATATAAATGCTCAACTAAATGTTTTTCTATAAAATGCCGGTTATGTTGAAAATACACATGCATCGAGTCTATATTCAGTATAGTAGTCTATGAGTTTACCTTTAGTAATCAAAACCCTTAGAATACTTAATGGATTAAACAATGCTACAAATATTTCTCAGGACTCCTAAAGTTAATCCTTTTCATTATATTGACACCTCAGGTCTGCCTCTCCAACCTCCACCCATATAAACTCAAATAATTAATCTTTCCACAACTATTTTACTCTTGGTCATTACAAATCTTAATTTTTTCACTGCTCGACCTCTATCATTATTCACATTTTTTGCCTATGTGACTCTTATAGAGAGACATAGTTGCCCTTTTACAGCTGTGTCTGAGTACATGTATATCTTAAGTCCCCAGCATCATCAAGTCATTAATTCTTTGCCCACATGTCCCATTAAACCTTCGTACCACCTTGTGTGCTCCTACACGTACAAGTACCTGATCACACCAGCACGGAATCATTACGAATTCATTTATGTGATGGGAGTTCGTCAACATTCAGTACTTCACTTTGTTTTGTCACTCGAGTTTCTTCTGCTTCTTCCCAATGGCCCTAGGGCAAATAGTCTCTAATTTTAAGTAAAAAAAAAAAAAAAAAAATCTAGGTTCATTAAAGGCCAAGGAAAACTAAGAACCTGAGAAAGTAATACAGTATGTGCAGTATGTAGTACATCATAAAATTGAGAACAATTTTAATTCAGTTTCCAAAATTAGTAGTTTGGGTTATAATTTTTTTTAATTATACTAAGCTTTTCTAGAAGGAAAAGTTCTTCTACTTCCTAATACTTTATAAACTCATCCACAATAATTAAGCTGAACTGATGAGGTTTTGATGTACAATATAATGCATGTGGCCATTACATTTATTGTGCATTATGCTACCAACATTTAAACAAATTCAAAATGTCTCTCAATTTAACCTATACTGTATATAATAATCCTGGTAAGATGAAAAAGTAAAACTCTCGAGTTACTCAAGTTAAAAATGTTAAATGGATTACCGAGCCTTAATAAAACAATGCTCTTATCATGCATGCCAGATGTTGCAGCCATGAGAGGTGGTCAAGCTCTCTCAAAGACCATGAGTTGCTTGCCCACACCACAGCCAAGAAGAAAGCCATACATTTAAACAAGCATGTAACACACCGCAGCTTCATATGCCCAGAAATGCTCTTGCGGAACATCGTATAACCAAAAAGTATGACGCCAACTCCTTTACTGAACCTGTTTAACTTTTAATTACATTTCAGTTCCCCTTACTGCCTATATAAAGTTATATTCTCCCATCCAACTCTTAATGACTTTGTCTTAATGACATTTCCCAGACACCAGAATGCTGCTTACCCAAGTCCCCAAAATTACAAATCTCTGACTACAAGATTTGAATGGTGTCTAAACTTCTTTTGAGCTGCTCAAAACAATTATGACACATAATAAGACATTTTACACTCATTCCCTAATTGCATTCAGTCACTATTAAATTAATTCCGAATTCTCTATGAAGATGATACCTAACAACCATTCAAAAACACCAAGATGACAACTATTGAAGAATACAAGATCACTTTATAAATATTATTCACAACCATGCAACAAAAAATAATATTTAAGCCATAAATTACTGAGTCAGAAAATAAAAATCCAGCCAGGCTGCTTCCGAATCACCAGGACCTTCATTAAAATAGTCGAGAACAATGAAGAATCATATTCAGTTAATGACCGAACTGTCACGAGCCTGGTTAACTGCAATGTTTTTTAAATAAATTTGAACAAGGCAGAGATCAAGCAGGAATCAAGCAGGTAAATCTAATTGCTGCTTTTTAATGGATATCACATACCCAGTCTCATTTTGGATAGATAATTGAACTATAATTTTCAATAAAATACATAATTTTGCAAAATATTTGATTGAAAAACAGTGTTGTGTAATTTGTAACACCAAGCTTTATCTGTTTAATCTGGTGAAAAGAAGTTTCTGCAATTTGTTTATTTTATTAATATACAGTGATATCTTGATCAGATGAAATCTAGTTAAAGAAAAATCAGGAGTAATGGAAGGATTATAATCCTGTTTGTGCTCAAAGTCTGGGGAAAGTGTCTGGAAAACCGAGATAACTCAGATATTCATGATCTCTGGTGCCAATAAACAAAAACACATTAGTTTTGTCTATACAGAATTTAAATCTGAATTTAATTTTGTCCATATGATTTGGCAACAAATCACACACAATTATTCATTTTATTTTTTTTGCAAATATATATTTATTATTCGTAATATAAATTTTAAAATCAAATGCATCGAGACCATTTGGATTCAATCATTCCAGATAATTGAAATAAAATAGCAATGAAATAATGTTACATCCATTATATTAATCTGGAAAATACAAAGCAAACTCCAGTAATTTAGTAAGGTGCAGTACTATAACCATACTTTTCGAACACAAATTGCCAAAATACGAAATCCTTTGAAATTCAACAAATACCGATGGTAAAGCCTGTGAGCCATCTGTGACAAATACCGCAACAGCACTCGTAAAACTGATCTCACTAATGGCCCTTGTATCATAAATTAACCACAGAGTTGCCAGTGATCAAATATCAATTACTCTCACAATAAAGTTAACAACATTATAATAGAGAGACTGTCTCGGCAATGGCCACATTCTACAAGTATCGGCAGGATTGGTCTTCTCGTGACACGATTGCGTCTTTGGCCGGTTAAAATCCCATCCACCTAGTTAATATACAGACTAGTATTCGTACGGAAGCAGCACTGACGTAATATGACTGACTGTCGAATGTAATACAGAAGCTTTTATACTTTTTATTTAGAAAATATACACGATTTGTTTTTGTTTGCTAATTAGTATTTTAGAGAGACAAACTGGGTGCAGCAATCAAATTTACGGAGGATAATTTGAAAAACAGAAAAAGGCAGAACGACGCATCGTAAATCGATTCCCGTAACGATATATTTGATGCAAAAAATATACACCGGTAAATAAATATACAATATTTCATTCACTTGGTCACTAGGAGACTCGCACTGTGTCACCACGTGTGTCGGCAGTTCGAGTCTCTAGCGCCCAAGTGAATGAAATGATTATTTCCACGATAGTGTGAGTGACAATTTATATATATAATATGTATACATATATATTATATATAATCCCAAAGATTTAAATAAATATGTTCCTAAATTATAATAATATTCTTCAACCTGAACTGATTAAACAAGGAACCTTCATTTGCATCTGCATTCCTCCTGCTTACAGTTTAAAACTTCACATCCTTTGTCTAGCAAAGCTGTTGTAATTTATTTTGAAGAAATGTATTTACAATATTACAAAGATAAAAAAAAAGGCAAGATATAGACCTAGCTACAATATCAGATCAGAGACTTGCGCATAAACAATGCTATTTGGCATTATCCTCACCTGTATTCTCCGACCCATTGTCATTTCCAAGTAGAACTCACGATACCACAACTGAGAGAGATCGCAGCAAAACTGTAACGTTTCTGTAAAATGCACAACACATTACCACACTGACCTAGTTGGCAAATGTAAGGCTCAACGTTTGCAACAAAAATGTAGTGCATACAATCAAGGCAGCTCATCATCCAACATAAATAAATTAGACAGACTACTGTTGGCAACACTAATATAATAATTCTTTATTTGCTCTAAAAACATACACACTATTCACAAACCTTTATAGCTTGACTGTTCTATATTTTATAGCTTTAGCTTCATTGTTTTCCAAAATGGAGAAACTCGGGAGGAAGTATGATGATGATAACCTTGGTCAGTCTCTTAACTAATGTAACCTCAAGTGGGACAGCTCAGAAATGAGCCACTTGTACCCCAAAACTAAAGCTTTATCGATCCATTTTGAACAATTATATTTCCGCTCTCATCAACTCTTTAATTTTTCCCACTGTGATAGCTGCCATGAATATGTGCTACAATACTATTTTATTTGCTTCTACTTTACTTCTTGATACAGCAATCAATACACTGTTAAGTTTTACTAATACCGATATTTTATTACAATATAATAGATCAATTTAGGCAAAAAAAAATTAATGTTCTCTCAAATATATAGGAATAAAGTTTTCTTTACATTGGAGTTAGCAAACTATAATTTGAAACATTAAGTGAATACAATTGCTGTGCATCATAATACAGTTTAATTACAAATGTTTTTGGCTTAAATATTAACTTTATAGTAGTTATTCAAAAGGGAAATTAAAAAAAAAAAATTATTAAGGGGTGAAACAGAACATTACAAGATTACAATGAAAATTTGTCTCTAACCACTGAAATTGATGAGATAAGTCCAGAAAAATGATGTCTTATGAAACTCATCAATCTGACAAAGGTGTTGGCCATCAAGCTCCTTCCTCAGCGTCTTCTTCCCACCAGACTTGTCAGAGATGAGGGACTCCAGCATCGTCCGCACCATATAAAGCTGTGTCGAAGAGGGCCCTGCAAAATGACATTTAATCATTTAAACCAAAATATATCAACATACAAAGTAAAAGGTTAATTAATTTATTTCCTTTGTTTATTAACCGTTAAACTGCGCAACACGTTATATGACGTGTTGAGTAACTTACCCAAAATTGCGCATCACATCATATGACGTGATGCGCACCACAAAAATACCACAAGAATAATTTGTGGTGTAAAAAAGAGGCAAAGCACATTACATTTTTAACATACTGTACATATTATCACATGCATCAGTATCCTATTTCTTGCTTGCAGTAAAGAGGCATTAGTCCAAAGAAAATAGGGAATAGATAATGATATGTAAAAGATATTTTAAAGCAAATTATACCTGGCCATTCAGTATCACTTGCACACGACACAGCACCACAAAAGAGCCGCCACCACAAAACTTCAGCAGCACCGCACTGCTTGATAAGACATGTTGATGATGCTCCCCCATTCACTCGGTCTGCACAATATGCTGCCACTTGCCCTTACTTTCTACTACTACTACTACTACTACTGTGTTGTTTACACTCACTCCCTGTTTATTCACTCTCTCCATAGTCTTCTTCCCCTCCTACCCCTAGATTCCCTTAACCATACACACTATGAATAGGGCATCATCATTCATTAATTCAACATAACCAAACCATTTCTGTGCAGCAATCCTCTATTATACAATTTAATGGCTTTCATTCTCTACATTTTTCATATATATTTTATTCCTTACTTTATTCTCCTAACACATGCTTCTATAAATGTCCACTCTTCCTGCTCTAATTGTTTATTTTTTTTGCTAATAACATATCAGCATTTCATATCTATATAAGAGTAAGCACTACCACTACACACTAACCTCTGGCTGCATCTCTTCCTATTTTATCTCTAACCAGGTCTTTCCCAGCTCAAGCTTTCCTTCCCTGACTCAGTCTACTCACAACTTCACTTGAGCAAATTTCTCTACTGTCATGCACTCCAGGTATTAATTAACCTGAATTAATTAAACTCTTAATTTCATGATAAATTTGCACAAACTATTTTATCTGTAATACTATTTGTTCTTCACTGCTAGAAATTACTATTAATGGTCAACTTTTTGCTTTCTTGTATTTTCCAATTCTCCTGAAGTTAGTTACATCATCCCCCACAAAATGCCTCCTACTAATTCCAATATCCTCAATGAGAAAATCCTCTAAGACACTGAGATGACTTGAACCAGCATCCTAGTGATTCCCAGACACCTGCCTTAACCCACTCAGCCACGATAGGACAAACGCCAATCAACCCGGAACCCTCTTGAATTCATGGGGAAAGTTCCGGAGGTCCTAACTGGCAACACAACCAGGATTTTACAAATGGCCCGCCTACACTCTGGCCTGTGGGTATTGGTGTTCTCAACATTTCTTTGTATTTTGAAGGCGGGACATAATCACAATGGTGTGACATCAATGAAAAAAATCCTTTGAGGCAATGAGGTTGTGGCACCAGTTGAGGGCTCCAGACCCTCCCAATCAATTTAATAGAGTTCTGGGTTGATTGGCTTTTGTCCTATCGTGGTCGAGTGGGTTAAGATAGATGTCTGGGAATCACTAGAATGCTGGTTCAAGTCACCTCATTGCCTCAAATTATTTTTGCATTGATATATCATACCATTGTGATTTCTTTGTCTACTATCCTCAATATTATGTCTTATTCCTAGTCACCAAAAATGATTACAGATTTGTTTCCCCCACAGTACAATACTGTACTCTATAGTAATTTGGGGATCATCAAAGAGTCCTTCCTCACCTTATCCCCTAATGTCATCACATGTACCAATTTCTCTAGCATATTTTATCACCTGCTCTATTGGCTCCTAATCCCTACTCCCTAATGTTCAGCTATGATTCATTTCAGATTTGCATTCTTATAGTTCCTTGTTTACTCGAGTCATTTGCTCATTTATACTCTCCCAATTCTGTAACAATCCCCCACTCATTTCTCTTACTGGTGCCATAATTGCAACTCTCACCAGTCAATTCTTAAGTTTTTCTGATGTAACTCCATTAATTTGCCTAGACCAGTAACTCTAGGCTTTAACTAAGACATGAGAGTCAATACATTACACAACACAGATTCAGCAACTAACCAACATTTCTTCTTTGGACCTTAATCTCAAAACCATTGTCGGGGTCTTTCTTTCCCTTGAGAGCAGGATCTTCTGGAGGTTCCATCCCTTTACTCCAGTCTGCACTAGTTTCTCTCACCGATACAAGTATGCTGCACAAAAAAATCATGTTAGTTTATAAGGAATATGTAATATTTCAGGCAAAGTAAATGTATTCCAAATGATAAGCTGTATTATGTTAATTTTTAAAAACATATTAACCAATATAGAAAACTCAATACATACGTTCTTAATAATTCCTTTTTGTTTTTGATAGCTTTACGAAGGGGATCTCTTAGGGTAAGCTGCACAAAGTCTTGCAATTCTTGGTAAATGTTGCGTCGGATAGAGTCAAGAAAGACAGTCTCCATGCGTGCCATTAACACCTGAAGTCCCTTGATCATGGCAATGACTTCAATCAAGGCAAACTTCTCTTCATCCGTGTAATTGTAACGAGTGGCCTGGGAACAAATATTCATTGCAGCAATCCACTCTCACCCACAAAACACCTCATTAAAAAGGCATAATAATTATGGAAGAGAATCAAATACAAAATTCTAATACTGTATGCACATAAGTGAGACAATTGTATCATCCTACTTTTTCAGAGAGGAAAATACAATTAAGGAAATGTTCCATCTATAAAAGATGATAAAAAGAACTTTAACCCTTAAATGGGTTAACTTAACCCTTCATGAACTTATGAGCAGTGTTGCAAAACATTCCATAATGTACCTGTATATTCACATCAAACTTATGAAAACAATTTATCATCTTGTATTGAATTACTTAATATGATTTCCCGTTTCCCACTGCTGGGGGACAGGAAGCCTGTTAGCCTTCTCATAGTCTCCTTAGGACAATGATTGACCTTCCCCAGGATGAAACCCACAACTGTTGCCTAATTCCTGGGTACTGTACCAATTTTTGAAGACCATTTTGGTATGAAGTGATTTTGGCATAAGTGGTATGAAGACCACTTGGTGAAAGGAAACATGGCCAAATGTCTGCATCCTGCACTTGAATCAAATCTAGGTTATCTTGAGATGATTTCGGGGCTTAGCGTCCCTGCGGCCCAGTCCTCAACCTAGCCTCCTTTTTGTTAGACATCCCCAGGAAGCACCCCGTAGCAGCTGTAACTCCCAGATACCTATTTACTGCTAGGTGAACAGGAGCATCAGGATGAAATAAACTATGGCCATTTATTTCCTCATCCACCGGGGATCAAACTCGGAACCTTAGGACTATGATTCCCATGCGCTGTCCACTCAGCCGTCAGGCCTTCCCCTTTCAATTATGAATTGACTGCTCTCACAACTATGCTACAGATATAATATTCTCTAGAAGAATAAGTTGCAATACCTTTATGAAACAAATGCACAAACACTGGAGATAAACATTTGGAAAAAGTGGACCATCCTAAACATGGTAACATCTAGATAAAACCAAGGCATCATCCAAATTTTCTTCTTGAACATCAGGATCTGTAAATAAAATTCTCAACTGCAAACTTACCCTTTCATATTCCTCAGCATCAACTGGACAATGGTTGTTTGAGTGGTGGTCAGTTGGGTGAAGAAGTTTCCACGAGTACAATTCTGTGACAACACTCGTCCATTCACTGAGCAGCTGCAGACCACGAAGGGCCAGATCTGCTATGTCTTTGTTCTCTGCATCAGTTCTAGCAGTTTCCTTGTAAGTAGTAATAACCTAGAAAGAGTAGTAACACATTAGCACAAGACTACTTCAATATTCTGTTCACACAAAATTTATTCATTTCAATCACTTCAATTTGACACAAGTCATGCACCCAAGGGTGAAAAATACCTTTGACTCGATAAGAGAACTTCTGGCAACAAGAAAACTGCAAACAGCAGAATCAGGTTTCATACCAAATGGAATTGCCATGATCCTTCAACTAATAGAAAAAACACAGTAACTTAACAAATCAAACCTCAGGGTGGCTACAACACCAGCATGGCAGGCAATCACCGAACTACCATGCCTAAGGTGACAAGGAAAGCAAGTGTAACTACAAACTAAAAAGTACATACATACATATGTGTGTGTGTACCACACACACCCAGTATACAAAGTCAGTTGAACATATCACAAGCAAACAGCTAGCTGACAATGTTGCCACACAACTCACTTGAAAACAACACCCCAGAAGTGGAAAAAGTAGAAATGAAGGGAGACATGCGCATGCTAGAATGTAAGACTAGTAAGAATCCTGGGAACGTGAAAGAATAAAAACAAGGAAAACAATGGTCACTAACAAAACATGCCACCAAATGTCAACCTAGAAACAAGAGAGCACTTGGTCCAAATGTCCACAGAGCCAATCCAATGGTCGACAGGCTCGGTTAAATGACAGCCATGCAGTACTTATTGACATTCTCATGCATACCTGCTTAAATTAAATTCATGAAATACTGTATAACAAAATTCAAATATTCACATTAAAAACTTAAAAAGTAAAGACTGGAAAAATTCCTTAGTCAAATCTTGTGGCAGTAATACAATACCAATATATAATCCAAATTACACGATACATATTTATTCCAAGTCACACCTCATTACTGTATCTAGCGAGGTCAGAGATGTACTTGATGTGTTCTTCACGTATTCGCGGCAGGTGGCACATAAGGTCTGCCTGAGGGCTTATTGATGATGCACTACACATTGGCCACATCTTGGCATCAAAGTTCTTGCTCCTCTTTATGTAATTGAAGGGGGCAATCTGCATGTCTCCAAACAATGGCACAACTTCCAAATTCTGTAAAAACCAAAATTAATTGTAAATAAAATTAAATTAAATTATTTAAAAAAAATTTAAAATTAAAAACAAAATTAAAACTTTTAGGCATCAAATCAAGAACCTAAATGTTGCACAAGTTATAACAAAAATGTCTTGTTATAAATTATCTGCATTTTGTAATGAGACTTGGATAACAGCTAGACATAATAACATTAATTTCCCATAGTAATGCTACCATAGGTGAACAAGGCCAACTAGTTAACCATTTACATTTATCTATTTATCCATCTATGATTATGATGAGTTTACAGAGTTTGGCCGATTCATTTAAAGTTTACAGTTCAGTGAAAACGGCACTACAATTAGTCAGCTGAAGAGGCTGCCACAACAAGGGTTACAAGAGTACAGACGACTATACAAAATCAATGTCAGGTAAAGGGTTCATCTTAATGTTGAGAAATACACAAAGAAATCTACAGATAAAAATTTTCCTATGAATGCATGCCAATGGCTTGCAATTTGAGAAAGTCTAATAATAAATGAATACAATAAATATTCATAAAACTTCTGTCTTTTGAAATGCCCTATATGCAAAAGAAATTGGCTTACCTTAAAAATTTTGTCAATTTTATCCAGCTTTATCTTCTTTTTCTGGTCAAGTTTGTTTATGTTGCAGATTTCTGAATCAATGAGAAAGAGGCCAAAGCCCATCACCTTCACCAACATCTGTTTCTCCTTAGGTGTCAGGTACATGCGGTTCTCAAACATGTGAACTGAGATATTTACCACCTCACCTGTAACAAAAGTAACAACACATACATGCATAAATACAGAATATGGTATTACTATCACTATGTTTCCCACTTACATGGTGAGGGGAGACATCAGCCAATAATAAAAAAAGGGCAGACAGTAATGTAGTAAAGCATTATAGAAATAAAATACAATATTAATGGACACCAATCATAGTATTGTATACAATACTGCATCACTTGAGACGCTGTTAAGAATATCTTGCTGCAGCCATTAACACTTTCGCTCGGGGATGACGCAGCATTGCGTCATCCGTTTACTGGCGGTAATGCCGGGGATGACGCAGCATTGCGTCATCCACTTTAAAAATTCGCCAAAAATCAGGTTTGTATCCGATTTTTTGGGGACTGGTTTTAAAATGTGCGCCGATGTCTTCCCATTTCCTTTGTTGAGCCTCGTGGCCCTCAGGCGGCTTGGCACACGCCGTGGGCCCATTGTCTTTGCTCCACTGTTGTGACCAATGTCGTCTCCCCTCGCATCTCAAACGTGTGAACATTTCGGCTATTTTCCGTGGCTATATTTCTTACTGCGGCTTTAGAAACTATCTACGCTTACTCCACGATGGATAGTAATCATGAACAAGGCCCTTCCAGGAAGAAAATTGCGAAAGAAAGGCTTGAAAAGGGTGGGAATTGGGAGTGTAGTAGGAAGGCCTCTGAGCGCTCACTCACGGCTAACGCGTGGCCCGTCTTCAACTCGTCGGCGGTTGGAGCGTGACCAGGTGTTTTTTTTTATATGCTAATGTTCCTCTAGAGAATTTTATTACGAACCCATTGAGACCAAAATGAAAGACCTAGGACAAAAATTGAGGTGACCAGAGTGAAAATAGTGAAAACATTTTATCCCGTTGCGCGCTCCCGGGTAACTCGTTCGCACTTTCTCTGTTTGCTGCGGGTAATTAGCCGGGCTTTTGGAGTTTATATGCATTTAGTGCTGTAGAGAAGTTTATTGCGAACACAATGATACCAAATTTATTCTCGTAGAAGGAGAATTGAGGTGACAAAGTTGAAGAGAGTATACACTTTTCGGAATTAACGCGCGCTTCCGTGACACGCTGGGGCCCATATCGCCCTGTCGAGGGGTGGCGCGCGGGGTGAGCGAAAGTGTTAAAGGCACAGCAAACAGCAGATACTTACAAAGAAGATCTTCATATGACGGGATTGCTGTTAGCTTCTCCTTGAGTGTGTCGCGTATTTTGTTCTGAGTGGCCAGGAACATAGAGAGATTTTGTGACTCCTGGAGAGATTGTGTATCACTCATCACTTTCAGGAACTGTGCAGCTCTGGTGAAATTAAAAAAAAAAAAAAAAGATTAGCAACAGTTAGAAGATGGAAATTAAAAATTATTATTATTATTAATCTTTGTATCAACTATAATAATATATGTAATATGATGAAAGGTAGCATATAGTGTACACAAGTTTACAAAAGACCAACCAACCATTGACAAACTCTTAAACCTTCAAGTACAACACTCAATAGACAGGCTAATTACAATGGACTCATTATCAGCAACTTGGATATTTGCAAAATTCACTATCCAAGGAACAGGTATTTTATGAACACAATTTCCTAACTACAAAGTAAGAATTTGCAAATTGGTGATAGTTTATGTAAACACTTGTATGATTACGTTCTTTCAATTTGTTAATATTTTACAAAAGTTTTGTATTGTATAAAAGTTTCATCATTAAACCTTCTTAGCATTGGTATACATGGGTCCTGCGGTGCAGTGCAGTTGGGTCACTACTGTCAAAAGGTCTCCAGGTACAGTTCCTACATCACAACAAGACATTTTGGACAAGTTCCCTTAGACCTGATGCCTGTGTTCACCTAACAGTAAATAGGCCCCAAAGAGGTGTGCAACTGTTGTGGGTTGAATCTTGGGGAAAGGTTAGTTGTTGGACTAGAGGGACCTTGATAAGCCAAACAGGTTTCCTGTCCCCGACAATGGGGAACTATTTGAGGCTGACAAGTCATATAAGTACTTAGTAATAATCTTCAGAAAGGTACTGTATCGAGAGAGAGTGGAAAAGTGAACAATTAGAGGTCACTACAATGCCTCTCCATCTTTTCCATATAACCAAGTTCAATATTTGTGAATTACATTGCTAAGGTTTTCCTAAAATCCATTCTTCACAGATTGCCTGGAATGACGTTGCAATTTTTCTTTTTCTTCTAGTTAGAATGAATTAAAAATACGTAAATAAACAACCTGATGACCATCTATGCACAGGATGCTTTCACAACTTCGAAATGGTGTCTACTTTCATCAGACAGTATCTGCAGATGTTATTGAAAACCAATTCTAGAGCAACAGCCAGTACAGAGAATAAAGCCTTATGCCTCTTTGTGATTAACACAACCTTTGGGGAATTCCATGACAACAACAAATTAACACAATGATTAATGACTTTCGACTGTTCTAGTTATTCCAGTTATGATATTTGAAACAAAAAACTTTTATAATCCACTATATAAATAACAATATAACAGAAGAATAAATATTGGCATTTACTTTGCATTTGTTGTGAAGCAAACAAAAATAAAAATTTGCACAAATTTATTATAAAGATTTTGAGAAAATACGCAGGATCAATAAGAAGCACTTTTCAAACATGCATCCAGAAATACTGAAATTAAAATAAAATATGAAATACAGTAGTCAAATTACTTTAACTATCACTATACCAAATCAAGTTCATAAAAAAATACTCACCTTCTGTATGTAGAATAGTCATTTTTAACACTAGACTTCATATTTTTCAATTCATCTAAAACTGCAAACATATTAATGAATTTTCCAAGGGTAAGTAGATAGGCTTCAGATACAAAGTCTTTTCTCTTCTCTTGATGGCACAGTCGCTTCACTTGGGTGCAGAAGACATCAATAGCTTTGCGCTGGAGAAATATCAGGCAGATTAACAACAAAATAGTTTGCATATTTAGATTTAAGATTTTCCAGGTACTGTGTATCCTCATATCTTTTAGTCAACACATTTCTCAATACCCAAGATATTCTCTAGCCTTTTGGTGTAGCTATAGTGGCAATAGTACAGTAATTAGTCCATTTTATAGAGGGTAACATGTAGATAGATCCTCATCATGATGAACATCAGTGAAGGTAGAGAACTGATTAAATTACTGGTTACACAGTAATAAAACTATTTATTTTAAGAACATACCTGTATACAGATACTGAAAATCAGACCCAAACTATATGTGACCAAAATTTAAAAAAAAGTACTGTATGCTACAATATATGAACTATAATTTATATTTTTAAAGTAAAAATTTTTGAGTACAGTATAAGAATAAGATCATCATTACCTGAAAGTTCATGAATTTTGTTAATTTCTTCACCTCATCAGAGAGTACTCTCACTGTTTTTTCATATATTTCAACACGGTTAGGCTGCTCATTTGACTTGGGCTGTGGGATAGCCCGGGAACAGCAACGCCACGTATACAGCATTACCGCATGCTGCTCCCCTTCCTCTAGTAGTTTGTTCTGAACAATGAAAAAATACAAAATATATACAGAATACAAATTAAGTTATCAAAGAGAAATGTTACTATACAGCATATATACAGTACTTTAAACATTCAGTCATATTTCATAGACCAAGTGAAAAGTAATTCAAATTGGCTGTCACAATTTAAACAAATCATTCATGCCCTCTTAAAAAATACTTCTGCTCAATCATGTTTAACAACATTTCTCATGCATACCATACACAAGTCAAGCTAAATTAATAAACAAAAAAATATTTAACAAAAACTATAAGCAACACAGCTACTATGTAATATCATACCATATCTGAAGCAATTCATTGTATTGATGTCGTATTATACTGTACAGTACAGTATTTAGAAACACTGATTCAATCTTTCATTTTGCATTAATGTAAATTATATATAATAATTTATGTATGAATTTCATATGTTTTACAAATTTATTTGGATGAATTTTATCTGTTTTCAATACATAATTACATAAATATGATTAACATTCTCTCTCTCTTACCAGCTCTGCATGAGTAGCAGCTTCTTCCATGTACTTTGCCACCCCTGTTACGTATGCCATACGATCTTCAAAGTTTGTATCAAAATTTGCAATATACACAACCGAGCATGCCTGTGCCTCAATAACAGGCTGCTGGTCAGGCAGCGGCAAATCATCCAAAACATCGACATTGCTCAGGGCATCAGTGATTGTTACACGTTCCCCTGCCATTCCGACTCTGTAAGTACAAGCACAGCAGTAAACAGTACCATAATAATTTATAGTCACCAAAAAAATAAAGCTAAAAACCAAACTTAAATATTCCTAGGTCTAGTATAGCACCTACATGCACTATATTAGGCCTTAGATGGCAAGTATGAAGCCTAGGAAGGCTAAGTTAGGTTAAGTTTTCTCAGCAACATCAGTACAAAAACTTTTTCGGTTTGTCCAAATTCAATAGTACAATACCATTTTCTACTTTCTAACTGCCTTTTTCATCAATATATTTTATCTATATATACAAAAATTCTTACATTCTTGTAAAGCCACTAGCATGCATAGCATTATGGGCAGGTCTTTAATCTTAATTTTCCCTGGAATACGACCCGCCAAATCGTTTAACAACTCGGTACCCATTCACTGCTGGGTGAACAGGGGACTGGCACCCAATCAATCCTCCCCAGCCAGGATACAAACCCAAGCCAAAGCGCTCGCTAAACATCAGGCGAGTGTTTTACCAAAGTGACACGGGAACCATTATTCCAGTGGTGTACATCATCATACATCATACGTACAATGGTCCTCATCATTACTGTCAATACTACCTGAACAGGAAGATGGACTGGATTATATAGCAAGAACAGTGGTAAACTAAAGGTTAAATATTATGTCCTATATTTGTTTAGAAATAGGAAAAAAAAAGTATAAAAAAAAAAAATTGATCAGCTCCCTACACTCTGCCTAACATTATATACTCACTACTAGGGTACACCCCCTCCTCCCCAAAAATATAAAATATAACAAAAAGCAAGCAAAAACCTAATAAATTAGTACATTTCTAGGCTGTCTTGGTACAGTAGTTCTAAATATTATATAATGGAAGTAAAGTATACAAGACTTTCGCAGTACTGTACCGTGATAACAGTACTGTACTGTACTGGTAAGCACTAATCTGAAGGTAACTACACTAGCACAGTGATCACTGTTTGCAGCTATCGTGCATTACTGCATACAACTGAACATGAAACAATGGGTATAAATTGGATAAGTTTAGATTTAGGAAAGACCTGGGTAAATACTGGTTTGGCAACTGGGTTGCTGACTTATGGAACCAATCACCGCATAATGTGGTGGAGGTGGGGTCCCTTGATTGTTTCAAGCGTGGGTTGGACATGTATATGAGTGGGATTGGATGGTTATAAATAGGAGTTGCTTCGTATGGGCCAATAGGCCTTCTGCAGTTACCTTTATTCTCATGTTCTTATGTACACTTAATTTTATTGTACTGTATTACCTGTTGTGCTTATTGCCTGTACAGCTGTAGAAAGTGTTTTTCGTGAGAGTTCACAAGACATGCTATATACACACTAGTTACAAAATCCATGACAAGCATGTAAAATGTATTTGTGAAGGTAATTTTAAGACAAGAGTTAACCAGATAGCTAGTGAGGAACAATTTGATACGGTTGACAGTCAACCTCTAATGAGACCTTGACTACAGAACCTTCCACTACAGCAAGCTGCAGGAAATCCCTTAAGTCTACATAGTTAACATCACTACAATCACTCCCCAAAACAAATTGACACAAACTTAACCCTCAAAGTATCTCATTACACGGCACACCTCAGGGAGGATGAGCTACTTAGAAAGTTGAATTATTCAATCCAAGACTATAACATTATGAGGCGTTTTCCCCCATTAACTACACCTCAAGTGTCTAGGGTACAATAGTGTACTCGTGTGGTGGTGTACCGGGGAGGTGTACGTACCGTGTGGTGTGTGTACCGTGCTGCACTTTACATGTTCCCCCCTGATACACTCAGCTCTGTGTCACCTTCGACCCAACCCTTTCCAGCGGTGTAAACAAACACAAGAGCAAGGTTAGCAGGAGCATCGCGCTGCGCACCAGGAAAATCCTCTTCCTCTCCCCTCCTCACCCCTCCCTACTTCCTCCCCCTCACCGCTTCCTCCTTACCAATTCCTCCTATCCCCCCTCACCAATTCCTCCTATCCCCTCACCCTTTCCTTCTACTACTTCCCCACCTCAGTCTTTCCTCCTGCCTCCCTCCTTGCTAACCTTCCCTGGGAATGAATTTATAATTCCATTACTATCTCCAGAGGCACATATAAACAGGACATTGGCAGCATAATTTATAATAATGTAATTCATTGTGTCGGGGGACAGGCGGCCAGTGTATATATAATGTTAGGTTAAATAGAGCTTCCCTCCTAAAGTCGAATTACTGATCTTCCCAGGATACGACGCCACATAAACAGCAGTGAAGGAACAAGTGATGAAACGGAGAAGAGGGGAGAACAGATACACAGAGAACGACAAAGAGGTGTGTGTGAAGAACTCAACAAGAGATTCTAGGAGGTCTTCACAATAGAACAAGGAGAGGTCCCTGCACTAAATGAGGAGGCAAACCGAACAACCTTGGAGGAATTTTACCTCACCAGTGATGAGGTCAAAAGGAATCTGTTGGAGCTCAATGTGTCAAAGGCTGTTGGGCCTGACAGAATCTCACCGTGGATTCTAAAAGAAGGTGCAGAAGCACTAAGTGTGCCACTCTCTATGGTGTATAACAGGTCGAAGCAATAGGAAACAGCGAGTAACGGTGAGGTAACAGGGTAGGCATCAGAGTGGCGAAATGTCACCAGCGGGGTTCCACAGGGTTCTGTACTCGGACCCATCCTGTTTCTAGTATATGTAAACGACCTTCCAGAGGGTATAGACTCATTCCTCTCGATGTTTGTTGATGATACAAAAATTATGAGAAGAATCAAAACAGATGAAGATAGACAGAGACTACAGGACGACTTGGACAAACTGGAGGAATGGTCTAGAAAATGGCTGCTAAAGTTCAACTCAGGAAAATGTAAAGTAATGAAATAAGGCGAAGGGAGCAGACGACTGAACACAAGGTACCATCTGGGAGGTGAAATCCTGCAAGAGTCAAATAGAGAGAAAGATCTGGAGGTCAATATCACACCGAACCTGTCCCCAGAGGCCCACATCAAAAGGATATCATCAGCGGCATATGCTAGACTGGCCAATATAAGAACTGCCAAGAAACTTGTGTAAGGAATCGTTCAGGACCCTGTATACCACTTATGTAAGACCAATCCTGAAGTATGCAGCTCCAGCCTGGAGTCCATACCTAGTTAAACACAAGACGAAGTTAGAGAAGATTCAGAGGTATGCCACCAGACTGGTCCCAGAACTGAGAGGAATGAGTTACGAGGAAAGGCTAAGGGAGCTGAACCTCACAACCCTGGGAAAACAGAAGAGTAAGGGGAGACATGATAACCACCTTCAAAATTCTCCGAGGAATTGACAGGGTGGACAAAGACAAACACTTTAGCACGGGTGGAACACGAACAAGGGGACACAAAACCAGGTATGATAGGGAAATGGGACAGGAGTCATTACTGTAAACAACCGATGCTCGAAAGGCGGGATCCAAGAGTCAATGCTCGATCCTGCAGACACAACTAGGTGAGTACAACTAGGTGAGCACAGGTGCAAACTTAGTACCTAGATGAGCCACAGAGACGTTAGAAAGATTTTTTTCAGTGTCAGAGTAGTTAATAAATGGAATGCATTAAGTAGTGTTGTGGTGGAGGCTGACTCCATACACAGTTTCAAATATAAATATGATAGAACCCAATAGGCTCAGGAATCTGTACACCAGTTGACTGACAGTTGAGAGGCGGGACCAAAGAGCCAGAGCTCAACCCCCGCAAACACAACTAGGTGAGTACAACTAGGTGAGTACAATAAGCCAAGGGTAATTATTTACTGCTAGGTGAATAGATGCATTAGGTGATAAGAAACGCGCCCAACCATTTTTGGCCCGCCCGGGATTCGAACTCGGAATTCCCGATCGTGATTCGAGAATGAACCAGACTGTACTACCGGGAAATATTAGTAAAGAACAACCCGTCCTCTTACTTGAACGCGCTACATTTTTTACGCAATTGACCCTGGTGTAAAAATCACGGTTGTTTAGAGGTCCCGGTACAACCTGGTCTTGGGCCAAGCCAATCCGTCCTCATAGACAAAGGCCAAAGTCCATTCCATCCACCAGCCAAACCCCCTCTGTTTATGAATGAAAACCGGTTTACACATGACTCACAACTAATTTCGTTCGAACACTTCCGGAACAAGTGCTTCACAGACGAATTTTGTTCGAACCACACCGCTATAAAAGTTTCACCCACGTACTACACATACAAATAACCGCCAACAGAACCTAACCACCTAACCTAACCTATGCCTATATATGCACAATATGCTAATATAGTCAGTGAGTACGGGGGAAGGGAAAGGAACTATCAGGAGAAAGCGCCAAGCCATTACGACTATATAGCACTTGGAAGGGGTCAGGATAAGGATCTGGAATGGGACTGGGGGGGGGGGAAGGAATGGTGCCCAACCACTTGGACGGTCGGGGATTGAACGCCGAACCCTAATTAACGCCTTCGGTTCTCAACATTTTTCAACGGAATTCAACCAAACTAGGCTTGTTGGCGGAGGGCTTCTAGGTGGAAGTGATCTTAAGTTTTGAGCGGGCGTGACTACCAAGAGTGACTCGGATCTCACGAAATTCGGATTCTGTGGGAGCCTCGGAGAGTGGAGTATGGTTCGTCATGCTATACCTTTAATTGGCGGGTGAATCTTAGGTATAGCGAAGACCCACATTCTTGTTCGTTTTCAGTATGAGGAGAGTGTGTAGTGAAGAGTCTCACTGTACACCATCCCCGCCATGCCCGGTGAAGAGTGTTTGCAGAGACAATCGTATTGTGTAAGTAATGATCACAACCGGGCGCCAAGCCTGGAAGACTATATAGCACCGTAGTGTGTACTGAAAATGATCATCTGTATGGTTATGCAACGGTGGGGACATAAGAACATAAGAACAAAGGCAACTGCAGAAGGCCTATTGGCCCATACGAGGCAGCTCCCATTCTATAACCACCCAATCCCACTCATATACTTGTCCAACCCATGCTTGAAACAATCAAGGGACCCCACCTCCACAATGTTACGCGGCAATTGGTTCCACAAATCAACAACCCTGTTACTGAACCAGTATTTACCCAAGTCTTTCCTAAATCTAAACTTATCCAATTTATACCCATTGTTTCGTGTTCTGTCCTGTGTTGATACTTTTAATACCCTACTAATATCCCCCCGGTTATGTCCATTCATCCACTTGTAAACCTCTATCATGTCACCCCTAACTCTTCGCCTTTCCAGTGAATGCAACTTAAGCTTTGTTAATCTTTCTTCATATGAAAGATTTCTAATTTGGGGAATTAACTTAGTCATCCTACGCTGGACACGTTCAAGTGAATTTATATCCATTCTATAATATGGCGACCAAAACTGAACTGCATAATCTAAATGGGGCCTAACTAGAGCAAGATATAGCTTGAGAACCACACCAGGTGTCTTGTTACTAACGCTGCGATTAATAAATCCAAGTGTCCGATTTGCCTTATTACGAACATTTATGCATTGATCCTTTTGTTTTAAATTCTTACTAATCATAACTCCCAGATCCCTTTCGCAATCCGACTTCGCAATCACAACACCATCTAGCTCGTATCTTGTAACTCTATCATCATTACCTAACCTCAGAACTTTACATTTATCAGCATTAAACTGCATCTGCCAATCCTTTGACCATTTCAAAACCCTATCTAGATCAACTTGAAGTGATAGTGAGTCCTCCTCCGAATTAATTTCCCTACCGATTTTCGTATCATCGGCAAATTTGCAAATGTTGCTACTCAAACCTGAATCTAAATCATTTATATAAATTATAAACAACAGAGGTCCCAGGACAGAGCCTTGAGGCACTCCACTTACAACATTTTCCCACTCTGACTTGATTCCATTTATACTAACTCTCTGTTTCCTTTGGTATAGCCATGCCCTAATCCAGCTTAATATAGCACCCCCAATACCATGAGACTCTATCTTTTTAATCAGTCTTTCATGTGGCACTGTATCAAAAGCTTTGCTAAAGTCAAGGTATACAACATCGCAATCCTTACCACTATCAACTGCCTCAACAATGCTAGAATAAAAAGATAACAAATTTGTTAAACATGAACGGCCATTTATAAAACCATGTTGCGACTCAATTATTAATTTATGTTTTTCAAGATGAAGACGAATTTTATTTGCTATTATAGATTCGAGTAACTTTCCCACAATAGACGTTAGGCTAATTGGTCGATAGTTAGACGCAAGTGATCTATCTCCTTTCTTAAAAACTGGTATCACATTAGCAACTTTCCAAAACTCTGGCACTCTGCCTGACTCTATTGATTTATTAAATATGGTTGACAGTGGGTCACAAAGCTCCTCTTTGCATTCTTTAAGCACCCTGGCAAACACTTCATCCGGCCCTGGGGATTTGTTTGGTTTGAGTTTTACTATTTGTTTAAGAACATCCTCCCTGGTAACTGCTAAACTCGTCAACCTGTCCTCGTCCCCACCCACATAGACTTGTTCGGCTGAAGGCATATTGTTAAGTTCCTCTTTAGTAAATACGGATACAAAATATTTATTAAAAATACTACTCATCTCTTCATCACTATCTGTTATTTGACCTGTCTCAGTTTTTAATGGACCTATCCTTTCCCTAGTCTTGGTACGATATAACTGAAAAAACCCTTTAGGATTTGTCTTTGCTTGCCCTGCTATGCGAACTTCATAGTTTCTTTTTGCTTTCCTTATCTCTTTTTTAACATTTCTAACCAGTTGTACGAATTCCTGTTCTAAAGTGACCTCCCCATTTTTAATCCTTTTGTACCAAGCTCTCTTTTTACCTATAAGGTTCTTCAAATTCTTTGTTATCCACTTTGGGTCATTAGTATTCGATCTATTCAATTTGTATGGTATACTACGTTCCTGTGCTTTGTTTAGAATATTCTTAAATAAGTTATATATTGAATCCACATCGAAATCCCCATTTAAGTCACCTATCGCTGGGTTCATGTCTCGCTCCAAGACCGGCCCACACCCCATACCCAAGAGTTTCCAATCAATTTGACCCAAAAAAATTCTTAGGCTATTAAAATCAGCTTTTCGAAAATCTGGCACTTTAACAGAATTTTCTCCTACTGGTCTATTCCATTCTATGCTAAATCTGATTTCTTTGTGATCACTGCTCCCTAGCTCACTCCCTATTTCGATGTCATTAATTTGCGTTTCCCTGTTAGTTAACACTAAATCTAAAATATTATTTTCCCGTGTTGGTTCCTTAATGTGTTGCGTAAGAAAGCAATCGTCAATTAATTCTAGAAAATCTTCTGCTTCACTATTCCCTGTTTTGTTCAACCAGTTTATTCCGCTAAAATTAAAGTCACCCATGACATAAATACTGTCAGATCTGGATGCTCTAGATATTTCATCCCATAGATGCTTTGCTTCCATTCTGTCTAAATTTGGTGGCCTATATATTACTCCTATTATAATATTATTAGCTTTTTCGTTTAATTCTATCCAAATAGTTTCTGTGTGTGGCTCTGTTTTGATTCCCTCTTTGAGACTACATTTCAAATTGTCCCTAACATATATGGCTACTCCACCTCCTCGTCTAATATATCTATCTGTGTGAAATAGTTTAAATCCATTTATTTGATATTCAGCTAATAGTTCTCTATTTTTTACATTCATCCACGTTTCGGTAAGTGCAATAATATCTATTGCACTTACAGACTGTGCATAGTGTTTGAAGATCGTGCGGAAGGGAAGACAGTGATGGTGACCGTTTGTGCGCCAGACCGTGCAGTGAAGATCCTCACTATTCACCAAAGGATGATGACCAAACCACAACTCAGAAGATGGAGAAGCGACGACGTTCCGGTCCGTCCTGCCACCAACTTTATGCTGGGTGGCCTCCGGCTGTGGCCCCGATCAACACGGCCCCCCTGCTCTCCTCACATGGTCAACGTAGGGAATATATCTGCTAGTATAAAAACAGTTAATAAATATAACAAATTATATTGCATTACCTGCCACCGCTGACGATACAAGGTGCGGGCTTGAGTCGCCTGGAGGAGAGGTCCCCGGCGGAGGCGGTGAGCGCGCCCTCCTGAGGTATGGTAGACAGGTCGCTTACACCCACTGACCCGGACGACAGCGACATGCTGCCCAGTGACTGCCCACTACTCCTGCCCCCACCACACAAATACTCGTAAATTATCTCAATTATTATTATCAATTCAATTTCCTGTTTACTCTCGGTAAACTAGCATCTAACTTTAGGGATAAGAATAGCTTTATATTAAATGGATGTGTTAGGTCCAAGAGTGGTTGCTGGCTAAATATAGGAGGGAGATTATACTACTTTATAAATATACTTTGGCCTGAAATATTAACTAATTACCTTTTGTAGGTGAGTGGATGTTCCGTACCGTGGATATGTGGATGTACCATACATGTATGTATATGTATGGGGATGTACCCTAACCTTGAGTGTCAATGTACCGTCCATGTGTGGATCAATGTGTCGTACCCTCGTAATTTAATGTCATTAACTTACCCACCCACGTGTGAGTGTGGATGTACGGTACCCTGGTATGAGTATGGATGTACGGTACCCTAGTGTGAGTATGGATGTACGGTACCCTGGTGTGAGTATGGATGTACCGTACCCTGGTGTGAGTATGGATGTACGGTACCCTGGTGTGAGTATGGATGTACGGTACCCTGGTGTGAGTATGGATGTACGGTACCCTGGTGTGAGTATGGATGTACGGTACCCTGGTGTGAGTATGGATGTACGGTACCCTGGTGTGAGTATGGATGTACGGTACCCTGGTGTGAGTATGGATGTACGGTACCCTGGTGTGAGTATGGATGTACCGTACCCTCGTGTGAGTAGCACGTAGAGTGCAGTCTCACCTCCACAGATCTCCAGTATCAGCTCTTGATACTGGCAATGGCTCAAAAGAGCCACCACTTACGGGCCATTCATGCCCGTGCCACCTTTTGGGTGGCTTAATCTTTATCAATCAATCAATCAATCGTGTGAGTAGGGATTAACCGTACCCTCGTGTGAGTGTGGCTGACGACTGCTGCTCCCACTGGAGGGCGCGCAGGTCCTTGTCAGAGGCGAAGGGCGGGGTTGTAAACATGGCCGGGTCGGTGTAGTCAATGGAGGTGACGCGGTGCTTGCCGTGGTTCCGCCTGATAGTGCCATACGCCTCCACTGCGGGGGTTGGAGAGGAGCTTATATAAATATGCATCTATACACATGCAAGCTTTACGGGCTCACCATAGCCCGTGCTACATTGACACTTCGTTCTGAGTAGTTAAATCTAAAACAATGCGCATATGTATACACATAAACGTGTTATCATGCTCACATTTTATTTGGTAGTAAATCATCAAATCAGATTCAACTTCAGATAGACAATGTTAACATTACCAATGAAAATGAGGGGGCGTTCCTTGCCTTATATATAGACAAGAGACTGAAATTGATGTACCTGTGGGTGATTTGATGGACCTGTTTGTGTTTTGACGGACCTATAAGAGTTTTGACAAACCTGTGGGAGTACTGACCTTATGTTTGAGCTTTTGTATGCATGTACTAAGGCTAACTCACCTGTAAGATTGCTGACACTTGATGGAAGGCTGACACGCCTATTGGCGGGCCGACAAGCCTGTTTGAGGACTGTTGTGCATGATTGTAGTGGGACTGACATTCCGTATAGACATACCCCCCTACGAGCATGCCATTCCAACGTGCCTGTACCGGGGCTGACATGCCTTCAGGAGGGCTGATATATGCATGTAGCGAGCCTGGTGTGACTGTAGGAAGGCTGACATACCTGCAGAATGCGGTTGGTACTGAGTGGAGATCCTGGAAGCGCGACTTATGGTGCCATAGAGACTGTCTTGGGCTTGGGCGTTCATCATGAAGGGCTGCGTGTAGGCGGCCACAGAGGCCGAGGAAGCCCTTCGCTGCATCGTCGCCCCGCCAGGGCCCGAGACCATGCTCGTCCGTCCGCTCTTGTGCGTCTTCCCGCCTACCATCTCATTCCTACGGTTGCCCGCGCTCAGCGGACCGCTGGCCGCACTCCGGCCAGCCTTACTCTCGCCATCAAGAGCGGAAGACGACGTGCGGCAGTTTGGTTGGCGGGTACTGCTGAGGCTTTCGTAGTCAGCATCCAGGTCTGTGGAGGTGTGAAATGAGCACCGCTGTCACCCGCTCAACCCGGTTTTTTACGTTTTCGTAACAACGTTACAAATTCAACATATTAAGACAAATAACATCTCACAAATGTTCACCTTTTCTATGAATCAGATTCGATAGGTTAGATGGGTTGCTTGGGTTCGTACGTTTCTGGCTAGGCTAAAAGGGTGAATAGCCCACTGGTCCTGGGTTCGGTTCCCCGGCAGGGCGAGGCATTTAGGCACATTTATTTACAATAATGTATTTCTTAACCATGCAATAAACAGGTGCCCAGGAGTTAGCTAACTGTTGTGAGATGCATACTAGGGAAGGTCAGTCACTGGCCTAGGTGATAATGGTTACCCTGGCAGGATTCCTGTCCCTGACAACCGGACGTCGTCCCAGCCTCCCTGAAGACATGGGACTCATCCCATCCCCGTATATCCTCTAGATAATCTAATACTGTAAATATAATGATACTTTTAAGAAGGGTAAACTAGCTTAAAAAAATATACAGAATGGTAAATATAAGCGAGCACTTACAGTAACGTTGAGAGACATTGGAGGCGCGCTTGGAATGAGACTGCTGTAGGAGCCCCTCCTCCAGTGGGGCTGGTGGAATGGCAGGAGGTCCTGGGGAGGTCTCCTTACCTCTCCTGGAGTGGCGGGGAGGAGACGGCAAGTCGTAGTCCGGTGGAGGCGCTGGTGGTGGGGCGTTGTCGTAGTCGGTGGGTGGGGGCGGCGGGGGTGGCAGCTGAGCTATATTATAGTCTGTAGGTGAGGGAGGCGGGGGTGGGAGCTGAGCTATATTATAGTCTGTAGGTGGGGGAGGTGGGGGCGGGAGCTGAGCTATGTTATAGTCGGTGGGTGGGGGAGGTGGGGGCGGAAGAAGACCGATATCGTAGTCGACGGGAGGGGGCGGGATGATCATATCATAATCTTCCGGAGGTAGTGGGAGGTCGGCCATCTTGTCTCACCTCTCACGATGGCTTACAGTAATTCCTCCTTACACCACCCGGGTTCTTTACACAACACCTTAGCTATTACGTCGTGCTATTACGTCGCTCTTAATATACATTTCCCATAATTTTCAAATATCGTTCACTGTAGTTCATTTTGAATACTGTATCAAATGTAATGTCATCAATATTTTTTTATTAAACTGCAAAAAAAGAACTAGATTTTATTTAAGAATTTATTTAATATATAATGATAGACATTTCACGCCGCATTTCGCTGTAATATACATTGTAATTTAAATGATTTGTAATATACATTGCAATTTAAATAAATTAGAATTATCTGTTTAATTATGTCATTGCAACGGCGACACTGTTGAAGAAAATATATTGTAAAACTGCAAACCAATTAAAACTAACATAATCCCCAAAATACTTTACAGTACTTGTTTTATAGAATATAATTCTTCAGATACGTCCCCAACAGTGAGAGGAAGAGGAATTTTATTGTCTCCACAATAAAATTAAAATCATCACTCATCGCGAAGTCAAAATCACCCGTATAATAGATTACAGACAACTACTTGTTTCCAGTATGATCTCAACAAACATGTAGGTAGTTTCTCCGAAGTTTCCCCTGAGGTGGGGCGGGCAGGTGCCACCCACAGGGGGAAACACCCGTCATCACAGGGACGAGGTGGACCACTGGTCATTCAGTATAGCCTAGCTACTATTAGCGCGAGGCTTCTTCCTCAAAGTATCACCAGGGGGTAAAACGTGCCAAGGACGTAGACCACTGTGCTACGTTGATTGTGGTTCACTTATGTTTTGTGTTCCATATGCTCTTTTACTTCTTATTTATCGTAATTTTTCTTGGCTCCTTTATCTCTTAGGTGTGGACTGAATCTTCCTTCGTCTTATTTGTATTTACTCGCTATGTACTCCATTATGTATTGTTTTTGTTGTTGTTTTCTAAGTTGTGTTTCCCACGTTATTCTCTAAGAATTATCTATCTGGTACTCACTATTATGGAATGTTTGTCTTCCCTTCTGTCATCCAGCAACAGCCTTAATAACAAGTACATAATCACATGCCACCCATTGGCAATTCATGCTTGATATTTTCCATGTTAATGTGACTCCATGCAAAGACTAGATCTTCCTTGTATATGTTGCATTAGTAAATTTCTTTCTGCTACTTCCACCTTCTTTACTCTCAATTATATCTCCTTTCTCTTTTGAATTCTACGTTTCCAGTCATTTTGTTTAAGATTGAAGTCTCCAATTTCCAGCAACTCTAAGGGATATTCAACCACTTCTTGGATTATATTTATTCAAGAACTTTTAACTCTGTATTCTTGTCTTGGTTCTTTGTGATTCTCTGGGAAGGTGTAGATCACTGTCACAACCCCTGTTTTCTCCTTCCATTGACATCGTTCCTGTGACAGTCTACGTAGTTGTGTTCTTCCTCAGTGCTGATCTTTTCAACATTGTTGTTTGTTTTGACCAGCAGCGCCACTTCCTCTTCACCCCCTTTACTTTAATTTTCCTCTTGCCACCTGATATTATCTGGGAAATATTACATTAGTGATCATTTCAGCTATTTTCGTTTCTTTTGCTGATATTATACCTGGATTTGAATCCTCAGTTCTTTGTCTGCATTGTGTGGCATTTTATCAGCATTATTGTATCAGAATGTTAAGCTCCTCATTGTCATTCTGTCCTCTGTTCAGGAAGTCCCAGCCTGGAGGAAGGGTACTGCGTTGGTACAGGTGTAGGTGTAGACACTCCTGAGATCTTCAACTATCTCTTCCAAACCATAGCTGTTAAAGTAGTGGCATTAATAGTGTACACATAAGAGACCCACGAGGTGTAACATGTGTCCTTGACGACCAAACTGTAGTCATCACAAGCCTCGTGAAATTGTTTTGAAGAAATCTCTGCTGGCGTACATGATAACGCCCAATAGCTCCTCCCAGGGCCTCAGTACACTAAGCCTTTTCCCAAACCTATGGACGTCTTTCAATGCATCAGATATATTAGTATTCAGATTCCGTTCTGATTCTAAATACGAAAACGGATGAGCTTCACACTATGTAAAGTGAATGTGCTTATCATTACTTAAAATGTATACATGTGAAGAGCCTTTACTAGAAAGCCAATGTGGAATTCCTATATGTGATGGACGAAGTAATTAACAAGCCAACCTCTCCAAGATCCCACGACAAATTAAATGCTTGAAAGTATGTTCTTGCAACAGTGTGTCTGCTTAAGCTACACAGCAACAACGTGGACAAAAGATGGAATAAAAGAGATGTCACGACCACTAAGATGTGCTCCAGCAGGACCAAGGATCAACTGGCTATCAACGTATGAACTCCCAGGAGGAAAATATGACCCAGAATAGCTTCCTGCAAGCGAGTACAGACTAGGACAAAAAATCACGTAAAAACCATGGTCAAAAGTCTATAGCAACCTCTTGCAAAACAAGGCCCTGCACATTATTTTGAAAACAAATGGGAGACAAAATATAAGAATCGTTACTTTTGTTAAGGACTCGGCAGCATTACTCTGAAGAAAATGTGGCTGTTTCTTGTAAAGTATAGGTAGACACCTGCGATATCGTAATCATGTAAGTCGTATGCAACAACACGACCGACGGTTATACAACAGCGGTGTAAATTATCCTAGCTTCACTAGCCACCCACATTAAGAGTCAGGCACTTGTACCTGAACACGGGTTGAAATGATCTGCGCGTTGTTCGTCTAGCAGAGAGCAGCCACGTCCAACAGCCTGGTTGATCAGTCCAGCAACCAGGAGGCCTGGTCGACGATCGGGCCGCGGGGACGCTGAGCCCCGGAAGCACCTCAAGGTAACCTCAAGATAAGGTAACAATACCGGTATCTTTAGTGCCCAGATCATAGCACCCCCTCCCCCCACCTTCACCTCGGATCCTAGGATCATCGGCTCTAATCAACAAGGTTCAGGAAGCAGGTTTGGGCGTTCTAATGAAACTCATCACTTCAGACTACATTACAAATATTCTAAGAAATAGTGATGAATATATAAACTTGTCTCCAATAAAATAAACTTAGCACACAATCTATTGCTAAATTATCGAAACATGACTACACATCTGATTACACAACTTCCGGTATACATGATCCGAGAAGCGGGTCAAAACCCATTATCAGTCCAAATATTTACACTGTGAATGTCAACATGGATTATAGCAAGTGGAATTGTCTGTGGTATGTGCAATGAGCCGCCATATATACAGTAGTTTGTACCGTCAGCACCTGGGGCAGTAACTCCAGTGTACCGTCAGGGCCTGGGGGCAGTAACTCCAGTGTACCGTCAGCACCTGGGGCAGTAACTCCAGTGTACCGTCAGCACCTGGGGCAGTAACTCCAGTGTACCGTCAGCACCTGGGGCAGTAACTCCAGTGTACCGTCAGCACCTGGGGCAGTAACTCCTGTGTACCGTCAGCACCTGGGGCAGTAACTCCAGTGTACCGTCAACACCTGGGGCAGCAACTCCCAGAGTGTACCGTCAGCACCTGGGGCAGCAACTCCAGTGTACCGTCAACACCTGGGGCAGCAACTCCCAGAGTGTACCGTCAGCACCTGGGGCAGCAACTCCAGTGTACCGTCAACACCTGGGGCAGCAACTCCAGAGTGTACCGTCAGCACCTGGGGCAGCAACTCCCAGAGTGTACCGTCAGCACCTGGGGCAGCAACTCCAGTGTACCGTCAACACCTGGGGCAGCAACTCCCAGAGTGTACCGTCAGCACCTGGGGCAGCAACTCCAGTGTACCATCAGCACCTGGGGCAGCAACTCCCAGTGTACCGTCAGCACCTGGGGCAGCAACTCCCAGAGTGTACCGTCAGCACCTGGGGCAGCAACTCCAGTGTACCGTCAGCACCTGGGGCAGCAACTCCCAGAGTGTACCGTCAGCACCTGGGGCAGCAACTCCAGTGTACCGTCAGCACCTGGGGCAGCAACTCCCAGAGTGTACCGTCAACACCTGGGGCAGCAACTCCCAGAGAGTGCACCGTCAGCGCCGCCTCAGGATACCGTCACAGTCAGCACAGTTCCAGAGTGTGCCGTCAGCGCCCAAACAGAACTTGGTATAAGCAAGATATTAGTCACCGCCACGCACCGCTCCCTCACAAAGTTATTTCCTGTCGTACACTTCATGTATTTTCTTCGTACAAGTAAACAATTATAATCACTCTCACTCATTTTCACTGTGAAACTTTACAATTTCTGAACCTGCTTTAAAATACTTGTCTGCTCGTAGAGTCTCACTTGAGTAGGAATAATCCAGGCAGAGGACTCGACCCTCGTAAAACACACACACACACACACACACACATAATCAAACAGTTCGTCCATTACGGTGCTAGGCTACCGTGATAGGCTCACGGTAGCCTAGCTCACTCCACGCCTGAAATGACAGTGAAGGATGATACTCCTCGTATTATACTCCACTGAAACACAGCAGAAGTGAGAGAGAGAGACCTTTTGCCAGGTCCTCTCTGTTCTGTACACTGGCAACAGCTCCGCACTTCGCTTATCTTATCTTCGTCAGGATGTGCGTCTTATCATTTCGTTTCTTTGACCCCTTGTGTATATATATGTTCTAGTTCTCTAAATGTGTTCAGTCGCTAGTTATAAGGTGGTCGGTGGCTTACATAACCACGCAGTTGTTTCAGTGTTGAGGTTTTGTCGACTTACGTATATGAAGGACAAGTGAGGTACATCCGGTGCTGTGGCCAGCCCTGTGTCCACTCATACACTGACAACCTGCAGCCTGCCTACCTGCACTACACCCTGACCTGTATGCTCGCCTACCTGTATGCTCGCATTGCTGTATGCTCGCCAACCTGTATGCTCGCATTGCTGTATGCTCGCCAACCTGTATGTTCGCCTACCTGTATGCTCGCATAGCTGTATGCTCGCATAGCTGTATGCTCGCCAACCTGTATGCTCGCATTGCTGTATGCTCGCCTACCTGTATGCTCGCCTACCTGTATGCTCGCCAACCTGTATGCTCGCCAACCTGTATGCTCGCATAGCTGTATGCTCGCATAGCTGTATGCTCGCATTGCTGTATGCTCGCCAACCTGTATGCTCGCATTGCTGTATGCTCGCCAACCTGTATGCTCGCATTGCTGTATGCTCGCCAACCTGTATGTTCGCATTGCTGTATGCTCGCCTACCTGTATGCTCGCATAGCTGTATGCTCGCCAACCTGTATGCTCGCCTACCTGTATGCTCGCATTGCTGTATGCTCGCCAACCTGTATGCTCGCCTACCTGTATGCTCGCATAGCTGTATGCTCGCCAACCTGTATGCTCGCCTACCTGTATGCTCGCCTACCTGTATGCTCGCCTACCTGTATGCTCGCCTACCAGTATGCTCGCATTGATGTATGCTCGCCTACCTGTATGCTCGCCTACCTGTATGCTCGCCTACCTGTATGCTCGCCTACCAGTATGCTCGCATTGATGTATGCTCGCCTACCTGTATGCTCGCATTGCTGTATGCTCGCCTACCTGTATGCTCGCCTACCTGTATGCTCGCATTGCTGTATGCTCGCATAGCTGTATGCTCGCATAGCTGTATGCTCGCATAGCTGTATGCTCGCCTACCTGTATGCTCGCCTACCTGTATGCTCGCCTACCTGTATGCTCGCATTGCTGTATGCTCGCCAACCTGTATGTTCGCCTACTTAGTTGTATGCTCGCCCACCTACATGTATGCTCCTCTACTTGTATGCTCGCATAGCTGTATGTTCGCCTACCTACATGTATACTCGCCTACCTACATGTATGCTCACCTACCCACCTGTGTGCTCGCCCACCTACCTGTATGTTCACCTACCTGCCTGTATGCTCACTAATCCGCATGCTCGGCTACACATACTTATTCACAGCCCAGTAACATACCTGACTACTGATCTACGGGGCAATTACCGTGTTGACACAGTGTTGCCGGACCAGGTGCGTCAGTCACTCCCAGCTTGATGTACAGACACGTTCCCGGCTCCTTTTTTGTAATTGTTTCTTCCTCCCGACCACTCTCTCCTCGTAAGGTAACCTGGAAAACTTTGCGTTGTTGTTGTTTAAGATCCAGCTACTGGGGACAAAATGTTCAAAGTAGCACGGGCTATGGTGAGCCCGTAATGGACTTACCTGGCACAGGAGCGGGGCTGTAACTTAAAAAAAAAACTTTGTGGACGTGCACTCTTATATATACCATCCCGGTGCCGTCCTGTTGCAAATTATGTCGCTTTTCACTCGTATGCGCTACGGTCAAAAAAGGCAGTAATTTGAAAATGATAAATAATTGAAAATAAATTTTTGAATTTTTGTTTTCCAAAACAGCAAGTTAAGGATCCTCTGGTAGGTACGGAGGGCAGGAAGTTCTCCTAAAGTTTCAAAACATCATGAAAACTGTTAATTGAAAGTATCCTCTCCTAACCTAACAGCCTAAGCCAGAGGACCCAAAACAGAAAACTGGACAGTGTGTCACTTTCGTAAGCTGATTTTATTTTGAATTACGTCCTTTTTTAGCCTAAGTGGGCATACATTTAGGCTAAATGTATGAAATATATGACACAAACTGTTACGAGCGAAAAGTGACGTAATTTGTACGAGGACGAGTTGCCCATTCTCCTAAAATAATAGTAGTTACAGCAACAATTTGGTTGAACGTAGACGTGTGTACTGTTGGACTCCGAAAAATCATAATTTATACTATAAATTTTATAGAGGCCGAGGAAAAAAAAAGCTAAAAACCAAACTTAAACATTCTTACACCTATTATAGCACATATTTCCCTGTACCAGAAATTTACACCGTCTTGTGTACTTTTTATGCATTTATTATGAATCATATTTATTATTATTATTACATGTGCCATATCAGGCCTAAGATATTGTGTATTAAGCCTAGGATTGCTTGGGCAGTTTAAGATAGGTTCTTTAGTTGTATTTTCATGTTCATAGAATGCCATTTTATCTAATTCAATAATACAAAACGTGAACTTTTGGGGGTTGAAGAGTACATATTTGTGTGTTTGATCAAATAGTAGCTATACATAATATATATATGGTAGTATATATTATGTATACTATATAGACCGGGCCGCGGGGACGCTAAGCCCCGAAATCATCTCAACATAACCTCAAGAAGATAGTATACATGGACTTCGCAAAAGCTTTAAAGGTACCACATGAAAGACTAGTAAGAAAACTACAAGCACATGGAATAAATGGTAGAATACTAAAATGGATAAAATAATAGTTGAAACAAAGAAAGCAATGGGACGTCCTAAATGAAAATTAATCTGACTGAAGAAATATGGCGAGTGGGGTACCGCAAGGCTCCATCTAAGGCCCAACTTTTTTTGTCATATACATCGATGACACGAAGGGAATAGTACAAACCATCAAATTTGCAGATGGCATTAAGATTTATGGTAAAGTATGAAGTAAAAATGACATTGATGCCTTGTAAAGAGATCTACGCGAACTCTACAAATGGTCAGAAGACTGGCAAATGTGCGACCGGAGCTGTGCGAGTGTATGATTGACAAAGGCGTTGACAACACTCCCCTAAGACACTCACTACTAGGATTAAGACACATTCCAGTTAGTGTAGACTGCAGTGTGAAAGCCACCACACCTTTCCCAGACTATTACACCTGGGTGGGGTAGTTTACCGCACTCTCCACCTCGCATATGAACCTTAGCGCCGAACTACGCTCGAATGCATCGTTAAGCTGTAGCAAGTGTTCAGTATCAGGAACCTGCAGGAATATGTCTTCTATGCACCTACAGTTGACGTCCGGGCCTAGGCCATCTACCAATTGTTTCTACACGCGACCACCATCAGTGTCCCTCTTTTGTATATGGGTACTGTCCATATACTACATGGGTATGATGGTACTGTCCACCATTACATGGGTACTGTCCAGCAGAATTTGTTTTTGATTTTGTTAATAATAATAATAATTATAATAATAATAATAATATTATTATTATTATTAATTCATTAATTATTTTAATTACAATTATTATTACCATTCTCACATTTTTTGGTTCACGTGGCCGTTCACCCACCCACACAAACATTTAATAACAAATCACGTTCAATAATATATTTTATTATACTTGATATTGAAATAAACGCATATTTTGTGCCATAAATAAATTAAAGGCGTTGTAAATATATATTTGTTAATGAGAAGAGAACCGTCGCCCAGGTGGAGGAGGGCGACCACAACAACACGGGGCCAGGGAAGGTCCTCACTGCTGCCGCCGTCATGCCGTCCGCCGATGAGTAAGATTATGTGTTAATTTATAAGGGGGTTGTTGTGGTGTAGCTGGTGAGGAACACAACATTATTGCAGGAGAGAAGCCGAGGGTGGGGGTGAGGGGGAAGCTTGCATGAATGTTGCTGTGGTGGGACATGCGTTGTTGCATATGTTGCATATACATATATGGTGAGGGGTTGGGCCCCAATAGGTTTCCTCGCTCGCTAGCTAAATATTTTCTGGCCAGGTTACGTTAAAATAATATTAAAGTTTATTGAAGTGAAACGAATAAGAAGTTTGGTGACTCTAGCAAGAGCTATTACAGTTGGATTATAACTTTAGTCCAGGGTTCGATTCCCGGCAGGCTGGAGACGTTTGGGAACATTTCCTTACACCTGATGTAAGCAGTAAATATGAACTTGGAAATTAGGCATTTGTTGTGAGTAGGCCTAGGAGAGTTTTTTTGGGGGGGCGGGGGGGTTATGTTCAAATCATACACAGGCATTTGACAAAGCTTGCTTTCTAATTGTCTAAAATGTAATATATATTTATATATCTAGGTTAGGCATATGGGTATGGCTTTATCTGGTGGGTGTGACATATGTGTTGGTGATGTTTTTATTTCTGAAATCTTATATTGAATGAATTGTACTGTTCATTTTCTCTCATACTCAAATATTTTACCTTCACAGAGTGGTGAAGTCCAGTTGGGCTGATGAAGTGGAAGAAGTAGAAGGTTAGTAGTTTTACATTTCACTCTGGCAGTCAATTTTCAGAATTTCCAAGTTAGTAAATATAGACATAATAGCACAGTAAAAACAAGAATAATCTAAGTTTGATGTATTTTAGTTTTATGGTTGATTGTTTAATTAGAAAAGTTAAAGGCTTCAAACTTGGAAAGTAGTTACAGTAATGAAGTTGCCATCTTTCAAAATCCAAGTTGGCTCTGTGTAGAAGTACTTATTTGTATTGAATAAGAAATGCAATACATGTAGAGCTCATTTTGTATGAGGTTTTGAATGGGCTAGTGTCATATTTTACTAAAGACCATATTCAGGGTAATGCAAAAAGTATATTTAAATGTTACATGTTGGTTTAGCAGTCACAAAGGTGCAGTAATTACAACATGTTTTCATGTTACAGAACAAGTATGTTATAAAGGAATTGGTGTAGATTGTTTGCTACTAGATTGGCTAGGCTTCTTATATCACTGCATCAGACAGGTGCTTGCATTTCTTTATTACTGCATTATCCCTCAGTTCCAGTTAATAGGAGCTGTTCTCTTTATCAGCACATTTTTTATATTCTTATAAAATACAGTATTAAAAAAAATCATATAAAATCCATTTCTTAACATATTGGGAGGAAATTGTCACAGTGCTGTTGCCAAAAAATTTAAGATTTGTATAACATTTTCAAGTATTTTCATTCAATATTACTATTTTTTGAGGACCCGGCCCCTTGAACAATGTATCCCCCATGTCAGCCGTAATTTATTTTTGTGTGTGTGAAGTCTTTAGAGCATCATTGTGAGTTGACTTGCAACCAACACCCCTTATATTATTCTCATTATTATTGCCTTTTTCCCATCTTCATGGGTGCAGAGGCATCATTCTGGAGAAGCAAAACAACAAAATAATCCAATCACTTTGTACAGTACTCCTCATGAGTTGTCATACATTGTGCTAACAAATTCACCTCACAAATCACTACCACCCAGCCTTGTTCCCCTTCCATATAGAGGTCTCAGTAGTACAGGTGGCTCACAATTGTGATTCCCGGGCAGAATAGAAATGGTTGAACACATTTCCTATCGCCTAATGCCTTTGTTCAGCTAGCGCATAAATAGGTACCCAGCTTCTTGTTGGGTTTCATCCTGGGGAGGGTCTGTAGTTAGACCTTAGGGGGGGGGGAACCTTGATATGAGCCCGATGTGTGTGTGTGTGTGTGTGTGTGTACACAGGCTGCCTTTCCCTGACAAATTAATGAATTAATACAGTATGCACAATTCTGTTCACACTCAATTCCTATTTCATTTAGGTAAACAAATAATTTCTTGCATTTCTTCAGGAGGAAACCTTCCACCTCCAGTCGAGAAGAATGATGGCAACACAAAGACCATCACTGAATATTCCTTAAATGATGACGGAAAGAAAGTGAAGGTGAGTTGAAAAAGATTTTAAGACATTGATCAAGGTGGGCTTAGTTTTTAAGAGCCAAAAGTTTTGTACATTCACATAGGATGGTGTACTTTTTGTTCCTGTTGAGAGATATATATATGTACTGTACTGATATTATGCTATTTTTAGATTTTTTGCATTTTTCTCAAGGAATAATAGAGCAGTATAATTGTTTCAAACTTAAAATGTTATTGTGATAGCATGGGGAAGTGTTTGGCATTGTTTTTCTGCTACATAGATTAATCCTCTTATGATCATTTTTATAATGTAATGGGAATTTGCAATTTTCTCTTATTTTTATTTTTTAATTTTATGATCTTCAGAGCTGCATTACCCATTACTTTTACTTAAGTCACCTATAGTTATGCATATGCTATCCCACTGAAATTGTAGTTTCAACTTTGACCATTACATACCTGTCCTAATCTTTTTAACACTATTACAAGGAGTTAGTGACAGGTTAAGACATAGATTACGTAAGTAACATTTTATCATCACAGTTTTAACTGGTTTAATTAGGCGTCATCAGATTCATACATTCTTCTTTCGGTGGTTTGTGAGATGCCTTGAGAATGTTAAGCATGTTGACTTAACACTGGCAGCACTTGACATGTGATGTGACGATGTGTTCTGTACTGTATCAACAATGAACAAGTGTATCTGCTTAATATCTTCTAGCAGGCTTTGATGTTTGGGGGGGATGTTCCCCAGCAATATATAGAGTTTATTTGATGCCATTTAATGTTTTATTAACAAAAATAAAGTATTGCATTTTATTAGTGCAGCCTTGGTAGAATGGTTTGTGATAAAACAAAAGCTTTTGTGGGCCAGACATTATTGGCTAGCTTAATTAATAAATCTTGAATGAAACGGGGCATTTATTTGGCTATGCACCAGACTAATATGGCATAGGGACACCTTAAGTTTTATTGTTTTAGTGCATTTGTATATTGTCTATTGATTATACACATCCATCGTGGACTAATTTTAAACAGATGCTAGCTTCATGCTATTTTTATGGACAGGAGACTGAAGAAAAGTCATTTAGGAAGAATTTCTATATAAATATAATTTAACTAAATTTGCTTGTACTCAACCTGCATTGGACAAATTCAGATATGAAATTGTTTATCTGTGTTACTTAATGCATCTATGTTGTGTGTCCTTATAATAGTATTTACTTTTTTTGTTTGTAGATTACAAGTCACTACCGGATTGAGAAACACAGAGTGGCCAGAACCATTGCTGAAAGGAAAACCTGGCGCAAATATGGCCTCAGCAAAAGTGACAAACCTGGCCCAAACCCAGCCACGACCATCACTGCTGAAGATGTCTTCATGCATGTATGGATTTTCTTTATGAATATGTAATTCTCAGGGTGTATTTTTATGACTTCAGTTATGCTCTTAAATCTTCATGTGGAAATAGATTTTTCTATATTGGTTCTTTCATTGTTTAATTATTGTCAATCTTTGTTACTGATTGTTTAATTATGTGAAAATATTTACAAATAAAGCATAAATCTTCTAAAAGAATACATGTTCTGTATAGTTTCATCTAGATTCTGTGAACTAATAGCAAAGCATGAGCCAGTTATCGTGCAAGCTAGCTTGTTGGGAACCTTAGTTTTTCAATTCACTATTCTTCAATTTCCTCCACCTCCCAACTACTTGGCTCTGACTAAAAGCAACATCGTTATTTCCAGCTTGCTCCGCTGACCAATCTCATTCTGATACACCCACAATCTGTTCTGATTGGCCAAGGTCAATCTGAGCAAATGAAAAAAAAATTCCTTGCAGCTTTCTGATTTACTGAGATGTGTTTACATCTGAACCCACAAATTAATTCTTTGTTTACCAAATTCCCTTTTAAAATGTTCTTTGTTGTATATTGCTTTATTGTAAAATTATTTGACTTTTCAGTTCTTAAGCAATAAAGAGGAAGAACAAAATGAGCAAGAGGAGCTGAAGAAAAAGTTGATGGATGCTCAGAAGGGACAAGTTAAATGTCGTTTGTGTAAGGAAGACCATTGGACCAAGCAGTGTCCATACAAGGATAAATTAGAGCCTCTCCGTTCATCACTGCTAGTAAGTTGTGTGCTGTATGTACTGTTGCTGTGCAGCGTGTACCAGTAATTATCCTCATTTATTATTACGTGATTTATGGTTCTAGATATTTTTTCCTTTTATTAAGTATTTAATTTTTATATTGTATTATCTTGAGATTTGGTATAACAATTATGTACAGTGTATGAATGTTTTGTGGACCATTGTCTTTGTCATCATTTTATTAACTCCTCTGATATGTTCATTTTTATAGCTATATCTTTCAAGTTCAAAATGGAAGTAAATAAATAATTTGTATATTATCTGTGAGTTATCTTAACTTTGGGTTAATTTTTCCACACCTATTTTTTTTTTTTTGTCACATGTATTTTATGTTCCGTATGGCAGACATATCTTTCACATCTCGCCATGTCCATTAACTTGCTTTAGCTGTGTGTGGTTTTGTGATTCAACTCCCTTATTCCCATAGATATCTTTGCATACTTTTGAATTATATTCCTGCATCATGCTTCTTTCTAAGCATTCAGAATCATTAAAGTTCGCACAGAAATGTAGTACAGTATACTGAACATGAAAACTGGTGTATTTTGAAAGTGAACGAATGGATACTTTAGCTCTCTGAAGCCTTTTCTGTTTTACCCTAAAGAATGGATACTTTAGCTCTGAAGCGTAATCTGTTTTTCCCTACATTAAGTTCTTTTTGTAAATTGACTCTGTACATGATTTTCCATGAATAAAATCCATGCTTTAGGGTCAGAAGCAGTCACTCCAAGCAATTTGTTTTGGAGTGTATTACTAATTGTAAAGAAAATAAATAAGAAATGCCACATATATTAATGCAAAGCTAATACTTAAATCTGGTATTCAATAAAAATAGATATGCTAGTTGTATGGTTGTGGCTTGAAAATTATCTGTAACATTTCAAACTGTTGGATCTTCCTCGCCTGTGCTGCTCGCTGCTAATAGATTAACCAGTCACTAAAGTTTGTTGTTCTTCACACAGGGAGAAGAGAAGGTAGAGGAAGAGCCTCCACAACCAGGTGGAGGACCTCCAGTGGACAAGGCCAAGATTGGTAGTGTAACTCAAGGGAAGTATGTTCCACCATCCATGAGGGACGGAGGCTCCAAGAAGGGCGAGTCTATGATGTCATCGAGGGGTAGAGGTATACATCATCTTTGATCTTTTCTTTTAGTTTTAATTTCATCTTAGTCTAGAATATTATCGAAAGTCACTTTCACAAGGAAGGGGAGGAACCAAATGGAGTGAGATAGAAGTATAATTAATTATTATCAAAAGAAGGCACCAAGCTGGGGAGACTACCTACTTTGTGTAGCTTCCGGTGATAATGGCCCCACGGCCCAGTCTCCAACCAGGAGGCCTGGGAGACGAATACTGTATATAACTTCAGGAAAACTTGATTTATTAGGCAAATTAGGCCGTGCATAGTAGGCCACATAGTGGGTTCTGGAGATTATATATATATATGTATATATATATACACACACACACACACACACACACTATATATATTTATTTATTTGTTTGTTTTTAAAGTATTTATAATAAAGAAGGTAAAAATGTAGATTTTTTTTATAATCCAGTTATGTGGATTAACTATTGGTATCCCCTGGTGATAATATAATGGTAGATACCAATTAGATGTAATCTACCAATACTCGTTCGTTTTCAGATGAAACTGCAACAGTGCGTGTTACCAACCTCTCTGAGAACACCAGAGAACAGGATCTGCAGGACCTCTTCCGCCCCTTTGGAGACATCAGCCGTATCTTTCTTGCCAAGGACAAGAATACTGGCCAATCAAAGGGCTTTGCATTTATTAACTTCAAGGTATTTATATACAGTATTGTGTTTGATGTAACTGTGTATAGTATCTTACTTGCCACAAATTGATTAATCTTGAAGTTGCTAAAGAGAGTATTAAAAGAATGTTTACTGCTGTTTTGGCTCTTAGTCCTGGTGACTATGGCAATCATAGTATGTGTATAATGTATGTGTTTGTACTGTATAGTATAACACATATTGACTTAACACTAGTAATATTATAAATATTCTTTAAAGCTGTAATGCATGCAAAATTGTGTTGTTGAGAAACATCAGGATGAGATTAGACTTGTTAATGAACTTTTTGTCTGTCATAATTGGCTTAGCACATTCACTTTGTGTAAGTTTATAATTATAATTTCCAGAAAAGGGAAGATGCTGCTAAGGCCATCCAGGTTCTCAATGGTTATGGTTATGATCATCTAATTCTCAGTGTGGAATGGGCAAAGTAAGTAGCAATTTTATGTTTTATTTATTTCCGAATGTGAGATTAAATGCTGGAATTTTAATGAAAGTTACCTGGTATGTTTGACTGATAAAAGGAATTTTTGCAAGCAAAGTTGGTAGTGGGATGAGTCAGGGAAGGAAAATGACTTGTGCAATGAATTGCCTGGTTAGAAAAAATAAAGTACCGTATTCAAACAGTAGAAAGTCGGTGTGGTTTTAGGACAGTATAGCAAGTAAAAAATTATATCAGTAAACTGTCAGCTTAAGAATCATAACATGTTAACGTCTGCGTAAACTATCGGAGGTTTGCCAAGATGGTTTGTACATGTTGAACAAAAAAATGATGGTTGACTCGTGAATTTGAGGAAAGAAGAGATGCCAAGAAGGAGATAAGGGTAATTGGAAATAATTGATAAGAAGAGAGTGAATATAATAGAACTGTTTATAATCATGAACAGTCAGCATTAGTAGTTGGCATCCATCAGTCTCAGGAGTACACAGCACTACACCTAGATTTATAGTAGTAGGATGCTGCGGCAGATGACTGCCTCAAAGTGTGATAGTGCTTATTTTTCCATGAGGCTCTGTAGTGTAAATGATATAATGAATGTGTGAGTGATGCTTTTACTTTTTAAGATCTATCGTAATTTTTTACAACCGTATTATTTGCTTCTGGGCTGGCACCTCCCAACTCTATAAGAGTGTGGAACGGGATTCTAATAATTAATTTAAAACCATTATAAACGCTCAAGTACTGCATGCATATAATCTTTCTGTAATGAAAAATCTACACTGATTCATTTCTGGAACATTTAGATACAGAGTTTATATCAACCTAGAAAGAAGTTTTGTGTATTAAATGACGGGAAACAGTTGATGGTTGATTATGTAATTTGTAATTTAAGACTATTGATTTTTGTTTTTGCATTTACTTACAATGATGATAAAGCCAAAAGTAAAAGTCAAATAAAAACAAATATGTTTGTAATTAAAAAACAATTTGGTTAGGCATTAGTTAGTGAAATAATAAAGTTAAAAAAGTGGCATTGTAACATTGCCAAGTGGCACTGTAACAAGTGTTGAGTAAGGTCACCGAGTGGCACCTAAGTCTGGAGTGAAGACAAAGAAAAGAATTGCTGGAATTTGAGAAGTAATGGATGTACAATTTTTATTTTGGTGAAGCATTTCAAGATTCTCTGTTTGCATCTGTATTACCATTTGTTTAGAATGCAACAAACATGTGTGTTCATTGCTTGACGTTCAGAAAGTGAGATTTGCCACCTATTCATTGTCACTTGATTTAATGACCAAATAAAGTTTTCAGAAAAAGTATTTTGCTCAGTTGGTTAAATGAACCATACCATTAATTTGGGGGGGATTGATTTATGGTAGTTCAGAGATTTAATATTCCTGCCATGTTTTCTTTCAGGCCTTCTGGTACCCAGTGAGTTCGTCATATACAGTACTGTATGAACAAAAACTTTGAACCATGGACTCTTGTTCTCCAATGGCACTTGAAAGTTTGGATGAAATACAACCCTTGGTGAAATAAAACTGTCTTTAACTTATTCCTGTTATTTGATATATTAATGTATGCTTTGGTAAAGGTAACTTTATTCATTTCTCAATATCTGTTTATGAAGAATAGTAACTCAGTGTAGGATAATTCTGAGATGTCTGATGTTTTGCTGGTTCCATAAAATACTTCGGTCAATTTCAAAACTTTCCTACATTATTGAAGAGTTCAGTTAACATTCCTATGCTATGTATAGTGCATTAATAAACAGTTGCAGTATGTTGTACCTGTATGAGGATTGTGCTAATATTCCCATCACTTTCATTCCTTTCCAGTTTGTCTTGCCCCCTATGTTTACCACCCCTCATCCCTCTACCGCCCTATATTTATCTCCATTCCATTTTTTTCTACTCATTAATTAACAATGTATCATTCCCACTCATTTCTTATTTGTTCCTATCTAAATACAATGCACATTTTTTGAATACAGTAGTTTATTTCAACAACCTGAACTCAACTGTGTCATGCTCATGTCTGGCCTCCATACCATTATAATGCCGAGTGAAAAGAAAGAAAAATACTTGATGTACGATATCACTATATTTAGAGACCTGACTTATACTGAAGTACCAAATATGTACATGGATGTAATACATTAGAAATATGAGAGACTATGACTGAGCCCACTTGGATGTCTTCATATAGGAATGTGGGTGGCTAAGCTTTATCAGGCTCCACATTACTCTCTCACTAGGTGGTGTTTTGTCTATTTTTCTTTCGAAGTGCTTTCTTTGTTTTTTCAAGTTTCTACTTTTACACATCAACAAAATAGTTATGGTGAAAAGTAAATGCAAATAATAAGTGATGCATTTTGAAAAGCAAAAGTAAAGTGGATGATATGACTTTTATAAGTTTTGCAAGAAAATGTAACTTGGGGATTGAAATAAGTTTTGTAATATTAGAATTTGAATGCCTGAAATAGGTTACATCCTGAAAAATATTTAGGAACTTTTGATTTTTCTGTGGCACGGTAGTATATATTCCACTGGGTTTGGATAACTATTTGCCCAAGATAGATTAGGTATACGAATCTGAAAATGTATAAAATAAATAAAAAATTGTACATTACTAAACCTGTTTACCTTAAAATATTGCGTGAACACTTGGACACCCTGAAAGATTCTCATTCTGTGGAATGTTTTGATTCATAACATTTACCTAGGAAAAATGCTAAATTAAACATTCTATTTTAATGGTGTACTGTACAATATACCATAATGATGACAATACTGTAATTGAAATCTGGTTATGCAAAATAATGTAATTCTTATAAATTAACAAAAATAATTTTTTTTAGGTTTTTAACAATTTTTAAACAAAAATGAAAATGTATTGTGAAAGTTCTAAACCTAGCAGTAATGACACTATGGTTGCTGCTGCTCTCAGGTTGGTGTATGTCTGTCTGCTGATTGTTATTACCAAGGGTTATTTATCATAAGATGTTTTACAACTGCTAGTTCTCATTAATGAGTCGTAAAGTCTTCTCAATTAATATCATCAAGTCTTTCATTTCAAAGAATGCTTCAAGGTTTTACATTAGATGTTCCAGCTGGTTGATTCTTCATAAATTGCCACCATAACTGACAATCACTTTTAGTATACTTGGTTCACAAATGGTCACAGAGGTACACTATTTGAGCTCATTATAGTGAAGTCCAAAAGGACCGGATGGTATGGTTAGATTGTTACCACCGGTGGCAGCTAGTTTGTTGTGCAGTCCAAACTCCTCCTGTGAGTAATGGCACGAAAGGATTACAGAGGACACAATAAGATTTTCTTCACACCTCGGTGGATGATGATTGACCTGATTATAAAAACTTGTACATAAACCTTGTATTTAATTACTAGTACAGGTATTACGATTGCTGGTAGCAGAAGACAGCTTGCTGCTGGTTTGACTATGTTTCACACTGTAGCCAAGTCATTTAAGTAGCACAGAATTTAACAATTTTTAACACTTGTTCACAGTGCAAGAATTTCAGATATTTTATTAACAGTGATCTGCTATTTCATGCAACATAAATTTAGATCTTTCTCAAAATAGCTGAATTTTCTACATAACATTTCATGTGGTACAGATTCACATGCAAACTAAAATCACAGACCAGTTGTAATTGGCGGATCATGTTCAGGAGAAAACGTGGTACTGTACTGGCATACGTAATAATGAGCATAGTGTCATGCTCGTCATGAAACCACCCAACTGGGTGGTGACCAGTACAGTAGCCCAAAAGAGGGCTGACCATTAGTGGGGCAGCAGGGTGGTGACCAGTACAGTAGCCCAAAAGAGGGCTGACCATTAGTGGGGCAGCAGGGTGGTGACCAGTACAGTAGCCCAAAAGAGGGCTGACCATTAGTGGGGCAGCAGGGTGGTGACCAGTACAGTAGCCCAAAAGAGGGCTGACCATTAGTAGGGCAGCAGGGTGATGACCAATAGTGGCCCAGAAGAGGGCTGACCAGTGGTAAGCCAGCAGGGTGGTGACCAATAGTGGCCCAGAAAAAAAGTGGTGGGCCAGCAGGGTGGCTGACCAGTGGTGGGCCAACAGCAGGTCTAGCGGGTGTGGTAGTAGTAGAGGAAGAGAGAGAGGTAGAGCCCCATCAGCAGCATGACCACCATGGCCAGAGTCAGGTAGCGGACGTGTCGCTCCTCTGCAACACAACACTTGCGCCATTAATACACGTGTCTTAGTGGGCTACAATCTGTTCTCACTCTGTAAACAAATAAAATAAATTACCAAAGACTGCTGCAGGAATTGTATACTACAGGTATTGCATGACGCCAGCACATGGATTTGTCGTACATTGTCAACTGTTGGAATAGACTGCGTGACCACTAGGTAATGTATAACAGCGGGTAAAGTCTAAAATTGGTGTTTATTTTGTATAAATCACGAATATAGGTGATTTAAAAGTAAATAGCTATCACGAGCTTCACGTACGATGACAAGGTCACCACCAGCAGGACAATTTAATAAGGGGGAGCTATCAGTCACTATCACTTGTTTTCGCTCATATAGCTGCGTCTCGCGATTAAAGTTGGGGAAGTTTAATTAGAAATATGGACACTTCTTCAACGTCCATATAATTAGTTGTTCCTCACGTAAACAAAGTAATAGTGTGTAGGTGTAAACTATTACGTTGTCAAATCATGCGAAGATGAATGAAGGCCTGCTGGTACGAGCAGATATAAATGTGTGTACATATCTAAGAGATCTGACTGTATGCGTGTGTGTACTCCTAATATTATGTTTGTGGGGGTTTGACCTTCAGCTCTTTGGTTCCCCCTTTGAACTGTTTATAGCTGACTGCATCTTTTCAACGTTAACGTTTTCATCGTATTTTTTCGTAAGGTTAATTGTAGATGGAAGAGGTTTCGATAACCTCTTCCTTCAAGGCATTTCACTTGCTGACCAGTGATGGGTCAGGGAACTACAACTTCCTTAATCTCTTCGACTTAGTTGCGCGTCCAGCTTTCACTGATGTCCCCTTGTCCTACCTCAACTTAATTTAAATAGGGGTTCCTTTATCTACTTTGATTTTTTCCCCTGAAGATCTTGTATGTAGTTATCATATCCTCTGTTTCTTCTCTTCTTTAAGGTTGTGAGTGAATTCTCTCAACCTGTCCTCATAGCTGAGACCTCAATTCTGGTACTGATCTAGTTGCAAAGTTCAAGTTCAAGTATGTTTATTGAGACAAGAAAGAAATACATCTCAAAGGGATAGAGTAGCTTAGGCTATTTCTAACCCCCCCCCCCCAGTTGCAAACCTGTGTGTGTAATTACCTAGGTGTAGTTTCAGGATGAGAGCAATGCTCGTGATGTCCCGTCTTCCCAGCACTCTTTGTTTTACATGTGTGTGTGCTAGTGAGAGAGAAAGAGACAGACAGGCAGGAATCTCACCTTCAGCACAACACCTGCGCCTGTACCATCTCCTGTAGTGGTGTCGAGCAATGGCTCTTGACATCTCGAGTATTGGTGCGCCTGGATGCGGTATGTCCCAGTATGCCTAGTCGAGGCGGTATACCACAGCCTGCCAGCAGGTGTGAGCAGCGTGACACTATCAGTGTGAACCACTCACCTCATTACAAATATGTACTGATTCTAATATTTGTATCTAGAAGCATTTGCTTTTTTGAGTCAAATCACTGCTCGATCATACTGTATTTTAGAAACTTATACAAGTTCAAAATACAGTTATATGGTGTAAATTGATCACTACACGACGTGCGTAACATACATAGCCCGACGGGGACAAGGACTGGCGTGGACGTAGTGTATAAGTCAACGCCATGTATCATTATCAGTTGTAGCGTATCAGTCAGCTTGGAGGGAGTGGGGGATATGTCGGGAGTCAATGTGAGGGAGGGGCAGGCACTGTGTGGGGGAAAAAAAAGAGAATAACTATGCCTGCTGGCAAGAGGGAAGCCTGTATAATATTGGACACACATCTGAAAATATAGGAAGTGACGATGTTTCGGTCTGTCCTAAAACTGTTCCTTGTTTGTCGCACATCTGACTTTTTGAAGATGATGTCTGGATCAGTGTCCTCCAAATTGTTCAGTGTTTGAAAAGCTTCGAAGAGATGCGCCTTGTCATGTCTGGTTTACTGTGTTAGTCTTTTGGCTTTCAACCGTACCTAACGATTCCGTGAGTTAATTATTGTATGGGTTATTACCTATGGAACCGCATACCTGCTGAAGCCGTAAATATCAAACTCTGTTAACTATTAAAGTACAACTGGAAAAGATCATCAAGGCAAATGGGAGGACCTTCGACGAGCCGCCGGCTTCTTGTCCTTGTCGAGGCCACAGGAAGCCGTCTAGTGTTAGTGGCTCTCAAGTAAATTCGGGGTTAAAAGCATGTTTTCTTACTTACATAATTGTAACTGGAGTATAAATTATAATATAATTTGTTGCCCCTTAATTGTGCGAGGGAGGGAATTATCAGGGGAAAATTTTCCCAACTAATTATGGGGACTTTAAAAGCCGCCGGTGTCGTGGCCACTAGAGATGATGGCCCTCGGGTAAATTCAGGTAAATATCAAATTGAAAGTGCATGAGGTGCTTAATTATAGCGGTAGGATACAGCAGCAGTCTAGATGGGGGCGCACCAGAGATATGTAAGGCTGAATGTTTTCATGTTTCATGTTTCTATGTTTTCATTCCATGTTTTCATTTTACTCTTTATGCTCAATTAGTATTAAGCTTTAGTCATTTAAGTTTTTCATGCCCGAAACGCTTTGCGTAATAGTGGCTTTAGGCATTGTATGTACTAGCCCTATCTATAAATCCATCACTCTTTGTAAAATCTCTTGTATGTATATACCTTACCTAAATAAACATTTGATTTGATTTTTGATTTGAATAACCACTTTCTTGTCTTTGAAATCAAAGATTTGTTTTTGGTTGTCCCTGCTTTATAGCCTCGTTACAGCGGCGAGAGCAATGTGTGTGCAGGTCAAACACGGAGAGGGAAGGAGAGCGCTGCATCAGTCATGGCACGTTAATTTTAAATTAACAGACTGTCTCGGAGAGACTGCAGGATCCGTGGTAGGTCAAGTTGAACTCCCGGTTGCGATTCTTTTTACCATGTCGTAGCTCAGTCAATTAAGGCGCGTCTGGGATTCTCCCGGACGTAGGTTCGAACCCTCATCACGGCCCTTGTAGATTTGTTCTTCTACATTAAGGTCACTGCTGAGGTCACCGCTGAGGTCACCGCTGAGGTCACCGCTGAGGTCCCCGGCAGGAGGCCCTCCAGCGTGACCCACAGCCACCTTCAGCAGCCTCACAGAAGATGGGGGAACACTGCATGGCAAACTGATGTAGAATTTCCATAAATAAATAAATAAATAAATAAATGTTTATTCAGGTAAGGTACATACATACAAGAGGTTTTACAAAAATTGATAGATTTATAGATAGAGCTAGTACATACAGTGCCTAAAGCCACTATTAAGCAAAGCGTTTCGGGCATATTTTGATGAGGTAGAATGTTTAGATATTTGATATATTATTGTGTAAATTATATTAGCTACCCCTCTCTCTCTCTATGTGATTTTTGATTAGGAATATTTACCATTCATGGATACACTGAGTATGGAGACGAGGAGTGTGTCCCGGGGTCGAGGCTACCAGTCGACCAGTCCACAGTGTGTGCAGAGTGACTGGCTCAGGAGCTGACTGGAGCACACATGGCTTCTCACAGACAAGTATAAGCCTTTACCTGCATTACCTGTCGGCCACTATGGCCCTGTAGGAGGTGAGGAAGACAAGGGACTCGTGTAGGGTCCCATATTGGACAGTTTGAGAGTCATCATGTTAAGCCTTATCGCACTTGGACGCCGGCGGTGGCCAGACTTCTACATATAAGTCTAATTACAGTAGTACTGTATTCTGGGAGGAGAATCTCTTGTGTAAGAGGTACTGGTTAAGCAACTAGTAAGCTGTGTAGCGACTTTAATATGTGTGTAGCACTTTTAGAGTCCTGGAAAAGTGGTCATTGGTCTGTTACCAAATTTATTTCATTTCCTTGCAAAATTTAAACTTGCAATGTTAAGCGAATATATTGTAATTCAGGTTCTGAACCCATTATCTATTACCTTTCTTTCTACCGCCCACAGGTTGAGTATGGGTACTTAATAAATGAACTATGCTTCCTAATGTGACAATCGGCAGTGAATTGCATGACCCTCTGTGTAACCCTTTCCACTACCGCCCACAAGATGGGTATGGGGTGCATAATAAATAAACTAAACTAAACCCCTGTTAACAGCAACAACCAATGTTGCTCTATTGCAAGCTGTGTATTAGGTCAGGTTGAACATGTGAAGTTCCGTTTCCAGTAATGGAAGGAATGAACCTTCACGCAGGCAGGATTTGGGAGATGTCTAAAGTATAAAACCTTACCTAACATCGCGGGTGTGGATCCTGGCCTAAGGGGATGCTGTTTTATATGGATAAATGATACCAATTTTGGCAAATTTACAAAATTCAGTGATCATAGTTCACTGCCAAATGCCTCATTCACCACTCCCCACCTTATTTTTTATTTTATTATAAGGACACATAAAAACTAGGAGGCACCCCCCCCCCCAACTTTACAATGTATTAGATGTGGTGGTGCAGTGTAGTGAGCCTCTTGAGGAGAGCCTTGACAAACCGAACAGATTTCACGTTCCCAACAATTGGAAACTATTTCTCGCATAATTTTGTAGTTTGTCGCTTCAAACTAAAAATTTATTTTGTCATGGTTAATTTTGTAGTTATTTTTTTCTCCTTACATCGATATGGTTCCCAAGCAGTCTGCACTTTTGTCATTCACTGTATTTGTGGCTGAGATGTGGTGAAAAGTGTAAAAAGGTGTTTTTCAGGAAGTTTGTTCTATGCAAATTGGAGAATTGTATTATATAAGGATGGGGTAACATCACATTTAGTTAGGCAGTATCTATTTCCAGTGGTTTGTACGAGATATTAATAGGGCAGTATCACTCGTTATATTTTTGTATCTCTAAATTGTTTGAATCTGATGTAAAAATAGATATAATACTAGTACGGTCATGGAATCACAGAAGGTATGTGTTTTCATGAGTAATTATAATTGACAAATGCAAGAGGAAACATTTGTATATAAAATAACACCAATCATATTCATAGATGTAATTCTAGCACTGTAATTTTTAAATATCAACTGAAATACAATACTGTACAGTATGTAGTTTTTTTTGCCAGATAAGTGTTGTGCTCATTATCAGGACACCCGGGGTGCCAGTGTCCGGACACCCCTGGGGGTGGCCAGTGTCCAGACACCCCGGGTGGGGGGGGGGCAGCAGTGTCCGGACACCCTGGGGGGAGTGTCCGGACACTGGTATCTCATTCAGCTGGTATCTGCTCATTCATTGGTATCCACTGGTTATCCAGGTATGATATTAATGTACAAAGTTTCATGGTGTGTATGACATGAGCTGATAGCATTTCCAATTGATTAGGAGATACATGTCCAGGTACTATACTTAGTTTTCGTATTCGCATAAGTGGCAACAGGGTGATTGTAATGTTAGTATTTGGACAAATTATCTGTTAATTATAATGCACAACTCCAGATGTTTGTCATAAATATTCTAGTGGTTTTACAGTTTACAAGCCAAATACAGTACTGTACAGAGGTTATCTTAGACTATAAATGTTTTGGGATAACTTTCACATTTTCTAAAACACTCTTAATCCACAAAAACCATTCAAACCTAATACATTAAAAAAATAGCTATATGTATGTAGCTTTTATTCCTAATATTTAATTTATATTTATTTAATTTTTATTTTTTTTTGTAGATAAAATCTGCTCAGAAATGCTCGACACAGATCCACGTGACATAATTATGGCGCCAGAGGTTGTTGAAGATGGTGGTGGGAATGGTGTGGCAGTTCCATTGTTACAGGTGGATAATGAAGGCCAGGAGGAGTACTTTACTAGCTATGAAGATGCTGAGGTTAGTAATGGAAGGAAGAGCAGATGTTATAGTGAGGATTCGAGTCCAAATTTAAATTTGGACTTGAGCTTTCTGAGCAAGCTCCTTGAACCAACAGCCAAGATCCACCCAGGACACTGCTGTGCCTCCAAGCTCCTTTATTTTATGTCTTTCAATACATAATTTTATATACTATATGTCTTTGCATATAATAGTTTAAATCTAGTCACCTCAAATTAATTCAAATTGATTAACCAGGTAAATCAGGTAATTATATCCAACAGGATATAGGACTACTGTATTACATTAGCACAGGAATGAGTTTGCTAAACTGTTTCTATAGATTGCTCTTTACAGATCCACAGATTAATGGTGAGTGATTCGCCCCGCACCAAAGCATATGCTGATGCTATCACCACCAACAAGCACCTGTTCAGTGGCAAAATTGTTATGGATGTGGGAGCAGGCACAGGTGAGAACACATTCCATGTATATTTTACAAAAAGTAGTCTATTTGTAGATCTAGATATAGTTTGAAAATAATTACCTGGTAGGTCTTCCCAGTAGGGACACCTTTTAAAGTTTTTATAAGACATTTTTATTTCCATGTTTGTGGTATGTTGAAAATGCTCCTTGCATATTTATTTGAAATTTTTAAGACTTAGATTGTGGTTTTGGTGCCTGGAAAGGTCCTACTGTTATTAAGCCATGAAGCCTCCTGGTGGCAGATTTTGTTTAACTATTATAAAACTTTTGTAGGGAGGGAACCATGAGCAGTGTTTGTAAATTAAATTAAATGGTTGTTCATGTTTCTTATCACTTAATGCACCTGTTCACCTAGCGGTAAACAGGCATACATAGGCGATAGTCAGCTTCTTGTGGGATTGCATCCTGGGGAGGGTCAGTGGTTCAACTTAGGCTTACATCGAGATTCTCTCCAACATGTCTCTTCAACAAACACACTGGCTGTCTGTCCCCCCTTTACAATGAATTATTATTTAATAATTGAATATAAGGTGCTCATAAAAATAACAAAATTTCATATTCTTTGGCTTTGATTTTTGTCTATGCTCGTTTTGAATGGTTCTTGTGTTGAATTTTTATTGGTTCAAATTAAATTTTCATGTCAACCATTAATAGCTCTTGGTCATGGTCCTATTAGTGACCTTAATTGGAAAGTTTTACTGTAGAGTATGGTAGGTGTAACCAATAATGCCAACTTTGTGCAACATTTGCTAGATACAGTAATTTGCAATTGTGATATGTATTTGTAATGCTTGCCACTCACAATTTTAAAAAATTTCAGGTATTTTGTCACTGTTCATGGCTGCTGCTGGAGCCAAGAAAGTATATGCTGTAGAAGCTAGTGGTATAGGTAAAGTAATTCAGAAAGTGGCTGAAGACAATGGCTTTGGAGATGTTATTAAAGTTTATAATGGTAAAGTAGAAGACCTCTCTCTACCAGAAAATGAAAAAGTGGATGTTATTGTTTCTGAATGGATGGGCTTTTATTTGTTACATGAATCTATGTTAAATTCTGTAATATGGGCTAGAGATAACTTTCTCGCCGATGATGGGACAGTCTTTCCATCAGAAGCAAGAATATATGCTTGCCCATGTTCGTTAATGTCCTTGTACAATGAACAAATAATGTTTTGGGACAGTGTTTATGGATTTAATATGTCGGCTGTGAAAAAATATGCCCTAAAGTCAAAAATAACAAAGCCAGAAGTGTGTCATATTCCAGAATCTGACTTGCTAGCAGAACCAGTCTGTGTTAAAAAGTTTAACCTAAGATGGGTATCTGAACAAGAAGTGAAACTCTTTACCGAGACAACCTTTGTAGCCATTACTAAACCTGGAAGTTATCAAGGACTTTGTCTCTGGTTTGAATGCGACTTTGATGGAATTGATTATGATGAAGATGGAAAAGGATTTGGAACGTTGACAACTCTCTCAACCTCTCCATTCAGTCCTGCTACACACTGGAAACAAACAGTTGTTGTTCTTGGGTATGGTGCAGAGCAAACTGATCAGCGAATGGAATTGACATGTCTAGAAGACATAGATTGCAATGAAGATTTGAATTCTGGCACTGAGAAGACAGCAAATTCATCTGATTGTGATAGTAAAGAGAAGCACAATACTGCTGCAGATACTCAGCAGGAAAGTGACTCCACTGAAGCTGAGAATGGTGGTAGAACACAAAATATGTCAGATGAAACTAGTGATGAAATAAGTCAATCCAGCCTTGATAATCAAGTAGAAAAGGATGAAATTGTTGGCTGGAAGCTTACTTTGGCCCAGAGTGATAGTAATGTGCGTCATTATACCATGACTGTTGAAATGTTGGATCCAGAGACTGAAGAACATCCGGTGCCGTGTCAGTGTCCAATGCCCCGGTGTGTCATCATTAGCAAAATGATAGAGAAAGAAGAAATGGGAAATGATGATATAGACTGCACATAAAATTAATATATTTCTCAAGAATCTTTATTTTTTTTTTAGGTACTGTATTGCAAAGTTTTCCTTAATTTCTTGTGAGCTTTAAATTTGATTTAGCATAATGTTAGAGTAAAATATATTTCTAGGTTGTTCATGAGTAGATAATTTTTCAGCCTGAAGATTGTTTTTGTACTACAGTAATTGCTTCGTTGAATACTATGTATTATATACAGTGGTATCTTCGTTTTTTAATTTAATCCGTTCCCAGAGACCGTTCGAAACCGAAACTAATTTTCACAAGAAATTCTGTACTGTAATGTAAATTGAATTAATCCATTCCACACCCCCAAAAATATTAACTTAAAAAATACATTTTATACATACAATACCACCATTTATATTTTGTTCCACAGTATGTACAAGTATATCTTACCTTTATTGAGGATGCTTGTTGGCATATGGAAGATAGTGAAGACAGGGGGGGGGGGAGGAGTGGTGGTGGTAGTGTTTATAAGGGGAGTCCCTTTCCATTATAACAGCAGTGATGACATTTCTGGGGTACCTCTCTTACGTTTTGCAGGCATACCACTAGCACCTAGTTGTGGCTCACTGCTTGCTTGTCTTACTAAGAATCTGTCTATAGATACTTTGTGTTTCCCTATATTTTAACACTGTGTAGTGAGACATCCCATTGTCTCATTATGAATCTCTTGCTTTTTCTCTGTCGTCATCCTTACAACTATTTTCTTAGGATGAACTTTACCACTGATTTTCTTGGAACCCATGGCATGATATATAATAAGAACTTTTATGTTCAGAGACCAAAAAAGCACAAAAACAATGAAATTCTTCACAAAGTATTCAAGCACTGTTGTGATTAGGCGGGAAACACTGGTAAACTGAAGTGCGCCATGTGCTCGGTCAGCCCATACGTGTATCAACAAACTCGAGCACCGAGGCAAACCTCGAATACCGAGGCAAACCTCGAATACCGAGGCAAATTTTTTCAAAGTTTTTGAGAACCGAAAAATTTGAAAAGGGGGCATTTGAAAACCGAGGTTCCACTGTAATTAAATTTTTCTCTTAATGTGAAATAATACGACCCAGTCAGGTAAATTCGTCCAGATTGGAAATATTACTCATTAATACAGATTTTATACGAAATACTTTACAATATTTGTGCAATATAAAACAAAAATTCTGTAGGGTGCTGCAAAATTTGATACTGTAGTATATTGTAAACTCTTATTTTTAATATTAGGTCATTACATTTATTAAACATACTGTGCAGTACTGTATATTACAATTATTGGGATGTGGACCTAGTCATGCAGTCAGTATTCTAATACTATTTGACACCTTGCATTAAATAGTTAAAGGTTAGTGTCAATTCAGCTTTTCTCGATTACAGTAACTGACGTGCATTACTTTATCGCACTATTTTGACAGAATTCTGATTTTTTGCACTTGCACATCATTTTCACACCTTTACCATTTTGATATCTGGTATTCTCTTAATTAGTACTGTGCTGTACTGTAAAATACCTTACGGTTTTGTCATGATTATATTTTGTTTTGTGTGACAGGTTTTCATTTAACTCGACACAGCCTCCTCAAATTGACATGAAACTTAAAATATTTAATCCCTTGGGGTCATTTGTTCCTTGATAGAATCCTTGGTGAATCCGACATCTTTGATATTGCTTACCTTACTGTACAGTACTATATATCCTTTTGTTCTCGTATTGGCATCCTGAGTGAGACTTTGCTCCTTTTGAATATCCCTTGACAACGATGGTGCTACATAGTCTTCCCGGCTTGGTGCCTTCTTTTTGATAATGACTTTAAATATTTAAGTTTTAACAAAAGTAGTATGGCTCTTGAAACAGAGTACAGTAATAATATTACCCTGTAGTTATTGCAAATCCCATTCCCTTGAAACTGAGAACGCTTGTGTACAATCATAAAACTTGATTTCTTATTGGGCAGCATGGCCCAAGAAACTAGAGCATTGTAAATAAATGCTGCCTCTCTGAGCTATATTTTTAATTTCAAATCCAGTTTGACTGGGTAATCATTAACCCTTGAAATGCGCATACCATCATCGGATGTTTGACCTTTGGTGCACAACATGTCATCCTCACATGTTTTAGGTACTTAGCAACATTTGAATCTCCCATTGGTACAAGGTATTCCGAACCAGTATTTAAGACCTCCAGTAAAAATGTCATTTTGAAAAGTGACATTTGGGACATTTTACCGTCAGGTCCCCAAGGGGTCCAGGAGCTTGATAATTTTTTTTTACAAAGAATTTTGCTATGAACATTTTGAATAGAAACTTTGCCTTATTAAAATCTATATCAAAGACTCAGATTTTTCTTGTCCAAGTGATGAATATTAATTAAATAAGGTATGTTCAAGTATTACTTGCATGAAAGTGATTCTACATAAATTCTCTCAATGACTTACTGGGACGAAATGTGCTGCAGTGGAATAAATGAATGTAATAGTGTGGTGCTTGGTGTAGCCATGTGCCTCCAAGATAATCATGTACCAACCCATTGTGTCAATGTTAAACTAGCTTACAATACATTAACATTTAAGTCAAGATCAAGCAGTATAACTTAATATACTCGGTAATACACAGTATGTGTTTACATCAATTGAACTTCAGTGCTTCCTTGAACATACGGACTAACCTCCATATAATGTATCCTTTGAAACAAGGGATCAAATCTGCCCATTCGATTCCCCTTTGATATTTTTAATTCTCTAAAACAAATCTGTTCTGCAGGAAAATCCCTGTGAAATATGGATTGTCAGTTTGTCACAAAGTAATTTCCATCAAAATTAATTTTATTTTCCTATTTTTGCAAATATTTTATAAACAATGTATTTTTATAAATGTCTTTTGTAAGCCTATTCTGCTCTCTAAATTGATAATCACATACGACTTGATAATGGTCCAGAATGGACCGAAATAAGTTTCTTCATCTTCTGGTGTGTGGTTTAGTCATCATGTACTCTTAACTCTTAAATTTTCAAGTTTGTGAGACTTTTTTGAGGAATCCATACCTACTACAAAGGAATGCATACCAATCATGTGTTTTCCTTATGTACAAGTGCTGTTAGATCTCGATACTCAAGCATTTTGTCTGGATTTCCTTCTGCCTTATCATTTGCAAGTTGGAGCCATATTGTCCGGCAAAAATACTTGGTATGTGTATATCAGACAAGGGTATGAGGAACTTCTTGACGTTGGATAAGAAGGCAGAGTGACTAAGGAAATGTGATTTTGTGGCTGGGGAAGCAAATGATTAGCAGAGGAGTATTGCATTGGTACTTGGACTGTTTTGAACAGGTAAAAACAGCAGAGAAATCGGATTACATAGTCATCTACAACCATGTCATTTTAAAGGAAAAACAGGAAGTAAAATTAATATATTCATTTTCCTTTATTCAACATGTGCATGATACGTATCTACCAGTGAGTTATCTATTTTTTTCACGGGCCCAACCCATGGACAAGGCATAAAAAAACTTTTATTAGATTACACCATATAAATTAAAGAGTTCTCTTGTGTATGTTGGAAGTCAGATGCTTTGTATACAATAGCACTCCTGTTTAATAGTCCTGTTCCTGAGCTGCAGGTGGTTGCAATTTAATACACAGGACAATCGTGTAACAACAAATAATATATATTTAAATTTTTATTTGAAAGTACTGTTTACATAAAGGAAAAATACAATTGCAAAATAAAAAATGCCATCAATTTCAAAATTACCAGATCTTATTCTTATTATATTGATTGCAATGCAAGACAAAATGCCAGCAAGTTATGCAGTTTAAAAACTATGACAATGATAGGATTTTTTATAACAAAAGTCTTGTACAAGTGCCATTATTTTAAACTGAATTAATAAGTGAATATTAAAAGCGGGTAATTTTAGGGGCATTTTTATTTTACAAGAGGTAATATTTTTTTTTTTACTTTATTTACCTCAAGTTTTCAAATAAATTAAGAAGTATGCTGTACAAAGATCATGTACAGTGATATTTCAAGGTATAAAAGTTACCTAGATAATTAAGAAGTGTCCTTCTTAACATGTTACAGTATTACAATTACTGTATTTTCAAAATAAAAGTATGTGAAATAAAGCTAAAGCAGTATAACAGGTATATCTACGGCTTAATAAATTACTTATTTACGCCATAGTCAACCTCAATATTACATAAAATATACTTTAACCAACTATGAATATGGCAGTGTGACTGCACGTGGTATAATTAAGCCAATATTTGTAGTTCCCAATGACAACTATAGATTATAACTTATTTGGTATGTGATCCATCAGTGCAGCTTATGATCCTCTTGATACATTTAAATGGTAATATATTGTACTTTTGTTTGTATATTTCCTTATTAAATTTTAAAGTTTGTGCTCAAGGTAGCTTGAGCAGTATGTTTTTCACTGCATCAAATGATTGTTTTGAACAATTATATTTAAAAAACAACTAGCTTCCTTAAAGTTTGTATTTAAGTAAAATAACACCATTATAGAATAAATTATTTTGAATGTTAAACATCACAGGCAAAAATGGAAACAGGCTAAGGCACAAAAAAAAAAAAAATCAAAGTTAAAGGCCATTAGACATACTTTTGCCATTGCTAAGAATATTGAGGACAAGGTTTTCATGTAATACTTTTGTAACAAATAATTTTTCAATTTACTCTTACTTTCTAAACAATTCCATTTTAATTAATTGTTAAAAAAAAGTAAATTAAGAAATAGTACATTACTATTGAAACATGTACAGTATTTTATTTTCAACTCTTACATTAACATTGGTTTTACCTACAACAAATTTATGAAGTTGGTGCCAGCAGAGATTTGTCCATAAACCTCTTTTTAGTGAAACAGAGCCACCATTTGGAAGGCTTGCCATCAGGTGTGTTGAACACTCGCTCACACACTCTCAAACCTGTTTCTTGTCTCAGTTGCTGGAGGTACTGCTGCATCATTTCTATGGAATTATTCATCATATAAGCTTTAGTACATAAAAATCAAAACAATATTTTACATAGCTTAATCATATTTCTGGGAGCAATGGCAAGATATCTCCATGACTATTTTTGTGCAAGAAAGGTAACTATGGCTTGAGGTCGATAATCCTCCTCCTGAGCATGTGTGTGTGTGTGTATGGCTCCCAAAGGTATGATCCTCTTAATTTGTCATATCTGGTTCTAGAACTATGAATGGTGGTCACTACTACATTTGTTTACTGCCCTTACACTGAAGTATTTCTTCACATTCCTGTAGGTTCACCTGCTTGTTGTCCAGCATGCATGTCCTCTCGTTATGTTACTGCCTAACTTTAACATTGCTAGGTGTGTGAATGTTGGCATCTGGTGCAAGTCACTGTGGTCATAATGGAAAGAAACATCTTTGTTTTGTCTACTAGAGCAAGAAAAAAAAATTGTAAACGTCATGAAAATTGTGCTTTTGAGAATTTTACTATTTGTGGTACTTTTTTTTTTTTTTTTTACAGGGATATTCCTACACGGGGCCCTAAACCTATGGCTGGCCCACTAAGTGTTGCTTGTTTATGATTTACTTGAGCGGAGTATGAGTATTTATGACTCGTATGGTTAATAAATACTCATACTCCGCCAAAGTAAAACAGTGGTACTGATCATATATGAGTGATGATCAATGTGGGAAAATTCTGAAGAGCTAGTATTCATCAATAAATCTATTCAAAATTAACTAAAGTATACTGAACTAAAGTTTTTTTTATTCCTCCATACAAAAAGGAAGATGTCTTAATTTTTTTTTCTCAATAAAATGCTTACCTAAATCAGCATCATTCTTGGGACGGGCATATACAGCATTTAGTGGAAATGCTGGCTCTCCCGGAATGGGGAACTTTGAGACTGCCAAGGAGTACATCTCATTAGCCCCAGTATTCTTGTCTTTACATTTTGCAAGTTTCTTCAAACACTCAGTAATGTATAGAGTCACATAGATCAGTGTACGATCACATTCACCCTGTTGATGAAAGGAGAAAATGCAAGTAAAAAAACAATAGAAAACCTGGGAATGGACATAATGCCAGCACATATACTTGAACTTACCAGCCTATCCTTCTATTTAAGTAGTACTCATAAATGATAGTCTGCATCGTTATTATATTTTGATGTAATGGTCAACTAGAAAGTAGAATTTAATACAAATACAAAAAATACAAAATACAAAAAAGGTTTCGTATTTTTTTGTTAATAAAACCTAATCATACCATCCTAGGCCTAATACATACTATCTGCAGCCTAATATAGTACATATATGTGCTATACTAGGCCTAGGAATATTTAAATTTGATGTTTAGCTAATTTTTTTTAACTAATTTATTTATGAACTATTGTTAACCTATTGAATATAAAAGTACATTGTATAGGCTTACCTTAACTTCATATGTTCTGAAGAATACATTAGCCTTAAAATATTGCAATGCCTCATCAACCACATCAAGGCCATCACCAGTCATGAGAGGAGCTGGGCCTCTATATTTGGTTCTAATCGGGAGCATTGCCATATTTCCCACAGTTGACCCAGAATGGGTCAAGCCACAATGGTATGCCTGATAAATGAAGAAATCACATTATGTGCCACATACTATATATGTGATGTGCTATACTAATACATTTAACATGCTTAGGTTAACTCTTCTGAAAAATATTATATTACTGTAAAAATGAATACTGTAATATTATATTGCATGTAACATTGTTTGTACTTCTGTACATTATTACACTAGTTAAATTGACAAGAAATATTTTTTATTGTAAAGCATTTGTATATGAACATGATTTGTTTTACCAAGATTTATTAATTAAAAATAAATAGTACTGTGAAGGTTTACCGTAATACAGTAATGTTAGTGTGCATGCCTTTTTATGTAATAATACTTGTTCCCGATACATTCTCATGGGACTTTGCCTTCTGTACACAACAGGTAAATGTATACTTTCCCTATTAATGATAGTGTTATGCAATGAAACACATTTTTATACTTACCTTATAAAATAAAACTACAGTAACATCTTTAATAACAAAAATAGGTCAAGTTAATTACTACAGTATTGTACAGCACTAGTGTTTTAGGTTAGGCCAAAATCCAATCACAATTTTGCATGTATTTTTATACTGTAATGATAAAAATGCATATATATTTTTTAGAAAAAATATCAAATTGGAACATTTCAATTTGTCATTACTGTAGATATATGGAAAAGTTTATGACCAATAAACTTTCACTAATGATGATGCATAGTTCAATGGTTCAGTATGGCTAGTAAAAAAAAGTTGTGGAGGGGACTGAGGTATTTAGTTTGGATACGTCACTTTGTATCCACAATGGTTTGACAACTGATAAGTTTTGCAGGGGGAAAGGCAGCCTGTGTATGTATATATGTTCGGCTAGTATCTAGGTCCCCCCCAAAGGTCAGACTACTGTATTGACGTTATCGAAGATGCAACTCCACAACAGTTATCTCACTCATGGGTACCTATTTACTGCTAGGTGAATAGTAGCATTAGGTGAAAGGAAATGTGCCTATCCTTTTCCTGTCCCACCCGAGATTCAAACTCCCCGTGGTCCCCATGGCGTAGTGGTAAACCACTAGCCTGGCACTTCGCAAGCACTTTGGCTTGGGTTCGTATCCTGGACAGGGAGGATTGACTGGGCGCCAATCCTTAACTGTAGCCTCTGTTCACCCAGCAGTGAACAGAGTTACCTGGTTGTTAAATGATTTGGTGGGTCGTAATCCAGGGAAAATTTTAATATATATATATATATATATATATATATATATATATATATATATATATATATATATATATATATATATATATATATATATATATATATATATATATATATATATATATATTTATATTTATTATTTATATATATACATATATATACATAAATATACATATATATACATATATATATACATATATATACATAAATAATAAAATAATTTATTATTTATATATATACATATATATTTCAATTTGTCATTACTGTAGATATATGGAAAAGTTTATGACCAATAAACTTTCACTAATGATGATGCATAGTTCAATGGTTCAGTATGGCTAGTAAAAAAAAGTTGTGGAGGGGACTGAGGTATTTAGTTTGGATACGTCACTTTGTATCCACAATGGTTTGACAACTGATAAGTTTTGCAGGGGGAAAGGCAGCCTGTGTATGTATATATGTTCGGCTAGTATCTAGGTCCCCCCCAAAGGTCAGACTACTGTATTGACGTTATCGAAGATGCAACTCCACAACAGTTATCTCACTCATGGGTACCTATTTACTGCTAGGTGAATAGTAGCATTAGGTGAAAGGAAACGTGCCTATCCTTTTCCTGTCCCACCCGAGATTCAAACTCCCCGTGGTCCCCATGGCGTAGTGGTAAACCACTAGCCTGGCACTTCGCAAGCACTTTGGCTTGGGTTCGTATCCTGGACAGGGAGGATTGACTGGGCGCCAATCCTTAACTGTAGCCTCTGTTCACCCAGCAGTGAACAGAGTTACCTGGTTGTTAAATGATTTGGTGGGTCGTAATCCAGGGAAAATTTTAATATATATATATATATATATATATATATATATATTTATATATATATACATATATATATTTATATATATATACATATATATATTTATATATATATACATATATATATTTATATATATATACATATATATATAGGTAGAACTCGGTGATTCACGATTGAGAGTCGAGAAGGGAACGGAAACTGTACTACCCTTAAGTTATGCAAATGAATGTCAAGAATAACATTCACCCCAACAGCCGTGACAAGTACTTTGCAGTTCTTACTAGACAAATTCCTAGAACAAGGCAGTAAGGTGATTACCGGCATTATGAATCGATGTTGGTGAGAGCCGCCGCCCAGCTGCTCCTCCCTTATCACTGTTGACATCCGCCCCAGCTCAGGGCCACCATCTTCTCAATTCTCAATCACTCCCATAAATACATTCTTTTGTGCCACTCTTCATAAGAATAAGGCTCTAGGAAATACAGTACTGGCAAATGTATTTACAATGTGAGTATAATTATATTTTTGTGAAAATCTTTAAAGTGCACACCCCCTTAGCTCAGTTGCGTATTGGTGTCACCAGTCCGGCTCACCGCCCACGGGATGGGTATGGGGTGCATAATAAAGAAAGAAATTGAACGGAATCTCAGTAGATAGTAAATAATTCATAATTCATTGTATTGGGGGACAGGCAGCCAGTGTACATATGCATGTTAGGCTTATATCGAGGTCCTCCCCAAAGTCGAATTACTGACCTTGCCCAGGATGACCATTTTATAACTCCTGGGTTACTGCTAGGTGATTACGGGTTCACCATAGACCGTGCTACATGGACACTTCGTTCTGAGTAGCTAAATCTGAAACATCCACAACATGTTAGGTGAACAGAGGCAATAGGTAATAGGAAATGTGCCCAACCATTTGTGGATGAATGTATCCTGTGCACCGATGCCCACTGGATATGGTGCGGGGGGGGGGGGGGGTGTGCAGGATAAAACATATCAATTATGACACCAGCTCTCCACGTGTCGATCAGGTGACATAAGTCTCGAGCTCAGAGACTACACTTTTAGTCGGTCTCATACCCATTGTTCATATAATAATATAGCTTATCAAGACCGTGGTGCAGTGGTAAGACACTGGCCTGGCGTTCCGCGAACGCTGTCATGGGTTCGTATCCTGGCCGGGGAGGATTTACTGGGCGCAAATCGTTAACTGTAGCCTCTGTTTAACTCAACAGTAAAATGTGTACTTGGATGAAAAAACGATTCTTCGCGGCGGGGATCGTATTCCAGGGACCATAGGATTAAGGACTTGCCCGAAACGCTACGCGTACTAGTGGCTGTACAAGAATGTAACAACTCTTGCTTTTTATCTAAAAAAAAAAAAAAGAGAATCTTGGGGTTCAGTCCCTGAGTCCATTATGTGCCTCTGTAGCCTTTCCCACAACCGCCCACAGGATGGGTATGGGGTGCATAACAACTGAACTGAACACTGAGCACGCGTTCACAGCACTTAAGTCTTCCTTCATAGTCCATTACTGTTCTTGACTACACTTTATTTTGTTTAGGCTTTTACGTCTTTAATTATATTTACTCTAAAAGTTAATTTTCACTTATTTCAATTTAGTTTATTCATGTTCATTTAAGTCTTGCTTATTTGCCTTATAATAATAATAATAATAATAATAATAATAATAATAATAATAATTTATTCACAAGAAGGTACAAGGGGTTGGTGAGACTGCATAAAATTGGTATTTGTAGAGTGTGATAAGTGTTACTTTAGGCAATACCTCTTATTTATTAAACACTTTTCCGCATGTTATCTTCCACCCGACCTCAGAAATTTATTGCTTTCCTATGAATGTCAGGATAATCATCTTTACAGGAAATCTTATCCATGGATGAACTTATCAAGATAATGTCAGTGAATGTCATCTTGAGTGCACGAGCAAATTCCAGCTCACAAAGTTCTCCCTCTTCTCTTAAAGTCAAGTTCTCAGGATGAACAGAAGATTCAGAGTATGACTCAAAAGTACATTTGCATGGGATTGATATTGGCCTATATATATCACAAGCTCTCGCGGCACCCCTATACTGATCTCTCACAAGACCTCTATAGTAACCTCTCGCAGAACCTCTATAGTGAATCTTGTTGTTGTTTTAGATTCAGCTGCTCGAAACACAAGTTCCGAGTAGCACGGGCTATGCGGTGAGCCCGTAGTGAACTTACCTGGCACGGGAGCGGTGCTGTAACTGTCTATAGTGATCTCTCGCGGAACCCCAATGCGGAACTTTGGGTTGTTGTTGTTGTTATAGATTCAGCTACTCGGAACAAGTTCCAAGTAGCACGGGCTGTGGTGAGCCCGTAACTTACCTGGCACAGGAGCGGTGCTGAATGTGCTGTGGAACTTTAAGGCTCCGCTTGCGATCCCGGTTAAGGAACTCTGCTGGGCTTGACCTAGACTAACCTTCTTCAGGATGCTACCCGTAACAGTTGCCCAACTCCTGGGAACTTATTTACTGCTAGGATAAAATTCAAGACCCTCGGTTGTGAGCCGAAGACGTAGACTACTATGCTACAATGTATACAATATCTACAGTAGACAATTCATTTGGAATTTTGTTGCCCTTAGAGATAGATGAAAACTATTGCCACAAGAAATGTCGAGTCAACTAATTTAACGCCAAATCTAAAATATCTGAAATTCTTGCACTGCATACATACTTTATTTGTAGCAGATAAAGACAAATATATATGATGAATGTATATATATATATACAATATATAGATTGTGTAGCTGATATCACAAACTGTAGCACTTCTATTTTCCTTTAATATCCAATGTTGAAAATATATGTAATATAGTTACCAAATATTTGTATTATTGTTTTATCGGGGACAGGCAGCCTGTGTGTATATAATAATAATATTAATAATGTTTACTTAAGCAAGAGTACATACATAAAGACGATCTACACAAACAGTGGAGGCTTCATAAGTAAGACAAGTACATCAATCAAAGCCACTAACGCACAGACCGCTTCAGGCATAACATAACAATTAGGAAAACAGTATAAGCTTAATGATGTAATTCATAAAACTACATGAGACAATATAACAGTTATGAGTTGGTAGAGAAAACTACAATTATAAAATTGCAATTTTTTAGATGATATTTGGAAACTGTAAATTTTGCAACAGTACATAGTAACTAGTTTTAAATTGAAAAAAAGATTAAACAGTTGATGTACAATTTTTGCATTAAATTTTAACATAGGAGTTAATTAAGAGTATTACAGGTTTAGTTATTAATCAGGTTGACAATAAAACTAAAAGACGAGGCTGTGAAGGCGAGGAAGGTTGGTTACATACAGTTAATTATGTACTTTTTAGTTTCTCTTTTAAACTGGCTGAGAGAAGAACATTCCTCGATGTCACTAGGGACGTCATTCCATAATTTTGGACCCTTGATTTGTAGAGCATTTCTGCTTTGTTTAAGTCGCTTTCTTGAAATTGTGGGCTCAATTACAGCCCTTCAGGAAGCGCTTAAGGTCAGGATTAGCATTACAGTGTAGAGTTTCATAGATTTAAAGTACACTTGAGAGGATGTGCAGGGGACTTAATATTTAACATATTCACGCATTGAATATGTAAATTTGTTATTCATTTAATACCCTTGAACTTTACAGACATCAGCCTCTGTTCTTGTATCGAGGCTGGTTCAGGGTCGTGATTAGTGGCGCCTCTTCTCAGAACACCACACTATTTACTCGATTTTTTTTTTGTCCATGACTGCTGCTTCTTGGAGACAGCGGCACCATTGTTTGCTGGATAAATATTTATCAACGGGCTGGTCTGGCCGTGTGTGGCCGGCGTTGCCAAGCCGGATACAAGGAGACGGTCCAAGACACTAAGACCAGCTGCTTCCAGGCACAAAGACCACCTGCATACTAAGACCAGCTGTCGCAGACGCTAAGACCACCAGCTACCCAGACACTAAGACCAGCAGGTCCTGGGAGACCTGCTGTACACAATAACGATTAGTAGGAGCCTTGAAGACTGTAGTGGATGAAAAGAAATTGAAGAAATTGAAATTTAAACAAAAATAGAAGCGTATACAAGAATCGCCAGTAATTTTTGCTCAATAGGCTTCGCTCATCGGCATTTTCGTTTATTTTAGTTTTTTTTATCTAGGCATCAAATAGGGCTTGAGCACACATTTTCTTCCAAGACACGAAATAAAGAACTTTATCAAAATACCACTTGCCAGAACATCCATACTGACGATAATCTCTCAGGTAGGTTAAAGCATAATAAACCGCAAAGGATAAGTAAAGATAGGAATAAAGACGATAAAGTGAACAGAAAAAACATTGCTAAGATGGACAAGAGAGTGGTGAGGAGGCAAGGCCGGTAAAGTTTTTTTTTAAACACGTTTATTTTATATAGAGATTTAACGCCACATTTAAATTATGGCGTGTTGTAGAGGAAATATGATATTTTCTCTACAACAAGAGCCGCTAATCGTTTTACATCCAGCAATAGATCACGTTATTGTTCGGTGAACAGGGGCGAGGCGCGGTTAGTGAGTGCCCAATCGTGCCATCTTGACCACAGCTCGGCCCCCGGGGCCCCCTGGCCTGCATGACAAGCAAGTGACAGTGCCAACCATACAGCTGTATAATAATAATAATGATGATGATCATCATTATCATTATTACTATTATACAAGATCATGATATTGAAGCCCTTTGATGGGATCGCACCCCACATGTGCCTGATGAGTTCTGAAATGCGGCGCCCATTACAATGTAGGACTTCATTTTTCTTCTATTAAATAGATAATGTTATTAAAAATCTAATTTTTGAATTAAACATCTATGATGAACGACTTGAGACAAACACACACACACACACACACACAGGCCTAAGAAGCCTAGTATTGTGGACTTTCAGAGGATCGGAGACAGCACCAAGGACTACCTGGAAAGTTCACTTCACTGCAGACTAAGCACACGGGTTCAGGTCCAGGGACGTCATACCTCTCAAGCGTAACAGAGTTCTAGGAAAGAAAGTCGGCAGTAAGGTAAATACAGGGTGACTGGATGCTCCTCAAATGTACGAAGGTCTTCGTCACGGCATTATTTGGAAGTTGGGACACCTCTGAAGGGTTGGCCAGTGGGAAAAGAAGTGTCCGGCATTGTGGTAGTAGTAAGATGAAGGAATGGGTAGTGAGACGTGCCGGGGGTTCCAGAGGTCGAGATAAGGAGAATTAACAAGTCCACAGAGGTCACGATGGAAAGAAGTAACAGGTACACAGAGGTCAAGATGGTGAGAAGAAATAATGAAGTTCACGTGCGAATGAATGCCAATAATGTCGCAATAAATTTGGACAAAATTAGCTGACCAAATGAATCTTAGAATACACAACATACAGAAATTAAAAAAGAAATTAGTAGGCATCCTTCAGTCTAAGACTATGGAGTTGTGCCCTGACAGGGCGCAAAGCCTGGGTAGGTAGATATGGAGGAGAAGCTGTTACCCATACAGCAGGTCCCCCCCTCTCCACGTTGCTGAAATTATCCAATAGAAAGGCAAATGCCAATACACATGGTTCCAGCAACGTCGCAGGAGCTGCCAGAACGAGGTCGACGTCAACAACGAACTGCCTTAGGGGCTCCAACTCCGGATTTTTCCTCGAGGTTGACTCCTGAAGCCTTTCCCAAAAAAGGGGTATGGCCGCAAGGCAGCGGAGGTTTAAAATCAGGGTTTTCCTTCCCCTAGAAAAGAAATTAGGCTATACATAACAATACAACACTCACATGCAAAACATAACTGTAAAACTATATAAAATAAATTAGTATATTAAAAATACTGATGTATATATATACAGAGATGATATCCCAATTCTCTGAGTATATGTTCCGAGAAGTATATATATATACACTATAAGAGTTTGCTGTAGTCTGAACTATGTTCACTTCAGGACTAAACTATACTTGCTGGTGTGGCAGTAAAATATTGTGGTTGCCTTAATAATTATAAATTATTATGTAGCGAGTATAAACAATATATTTTAGTATATGGAGCGAGTATAAACAATATACTCGCTCCAAACTCATTAGCTTAATGAGAGAAGCAAAACTCTCATTAGCACTAATGAATTGCATATCTGAAACCTTTGATATCGCTCGCCTTATGTGCTTATGTTCTCGGATTGGCATCCTCGGTGATGTTTATCGCCTTTTGAAAATCCTGCCACACACCACTGAGACACTAATGGTCTCCCTGGCTTGGTGTCTTCTTTTGATAATTACTTACTTAATCCAAACACCAAACCACACACACACTCAAATTTCTTAAAGGAACTCTCAGATTTCCTCACACTATTCACTCGTTAACCTAACCCTTTCTGACCTCAGGTATGTATACATGGGTTCAGCTACCCTACACGCAACGCTCCTGTGTCAGGTAAGACCACTACGGGCTCACTATAGCCCATGCTATTTGCCCCGCTCCTGTGCCAGGTAAGCTACGGGCTCACCATAGCCCGTGCTACTTGGAACTTGTTTCCAGTAGCTGAATCTATAACAACAACAACTACCCTACAACAGCTTCAAACTGTTGTGGGTTGCATCCTGGAAAAATTCAGTAGTTGGGCCTAGGTTGACCTCGATAAGCCTAACAGGCTTCGTGTCCCCGAAAACGGGAATTGCTATATGGCTAAGAAGACTATTCCGGGCCCAGATGGTCCTCCATGCTCATTCTGGGCTGTTAACTTTTAAAATACAGCTGGAAAAGATCAAGGCAAATGGAGGGATCTTCAACAAGCCGCCGGCTTCATGTCCTCGTCGAGGCCCCTAGAGTTCCAATTGAGGAACCCAGGCGGCTCACAGGTAAACTCAAGTAATATCATGACGTTCTACTCACCATATAGAACTACGTACGCGTGACTCCAATATATTAATATGATAAGATGTTTTAGGTCATTTATATACATTTATCTATTTATTTCTATACAAGAAGGTACACTGGGTTTACGAGTACATAGTATTGATGATTTTACATTCTTCCAACGCCATTAACACGCGTAGCGTTTCGGGCAGGTCTTTAATCTAACAGATAATTGTAAGTAGGTAATTTGTAGCAAAATTTGAAGAACATTTATAGGTACATTGTGAGTAAACTTGAAGAATATTAATAAGTACATTGTGAGTAAATTTTAAGAATATTAATAGGTACATTGTGAGTAAACTTGAAGAATATTTATAGGTACATTGTGAGTAAATTTTAAGAATATTAATAGGTACATTGTGAGTAAACTTGAAGAAAATTAATAAGTACATTGTGAGTAAATTTTAAGAATATTAATAGGTACATTGTGAGTAAACTTGAAGAATATTAAAAGGTCCATTATAGTAAAATTTGAGGATTATTAATAGGTACATTGTAGCAAAATTTGCGTTCATCATAAATATAAGTTGATAGCAGTGATTACAATGGTGAAGATTCATGTCTTAGGCACATATACTGGGGAAGTGGGTGGCACAAGATACAGTGCGAGTTTGAAGCATTTATTTACCATTATCTTTGTTAATCGATACATACGTATCATGTCGACTCGGCACCTTCTAGAATGTTCCATGGTATCATCACTGTACTGCCTCACCTAATCAATAGTGAGAGCATGCAAGTAGAATTTGATTAACGGTGATATTAGAGATACAGATCCTGATCCAGTCATAATGAGGAAGGATTCCCTCATAATTCCATTATATATTTGTGTGTAGTGGCCGTTGCTACTGAAATAACTTTCACCAGTGTGCAATACTGGGACTCATCCTCCAGAATGGTAGTACATATAGAAAAGGGGGTAGAAATAGCCTAAACTACTCTATCCCTTTGAGATGTATTTTTTTCCTGGTCTCGATAAACATACTTGAACTTGAATACATATAGCGACTTTAGGGACTTGCAGCTGACAACATATGATCCCAGTGGGCACAATATCCAAGAGTAACGCCAATTCAACTTTGAATCGACGTAGATTCAAAGTTTAATTAACGTGCATTCAACGTCGAACCAACGCTACTCTTGGATGTTATGCCCCTTGATTAACAATAAATCAACGTAGGATCAACGTTCAAAGTTACATTAACGTCGTTTACCCATATTTTCCCGGGGAGAGGGAAAATTTATATTTACAAAATTTACAGTCCATATTTACAAAATATTGAGAGTGACAAACAAAAGTTCGTTTTGAACTATTGGTATTATGAACGGCATTATACAAAATGGATCACCAACCTCTTTTAGGCCTATTATAAGCACTTAGGCATAATTTTAAACCTAATATAATACATATAAGACCTGCACTAGAGGCTTCTTTTCCAGATCGTTTACGCAACTATTCGGACAACACGAGGACATTTTGAGGTCGCCTGTCCACATTCAGTAATTATATACCGTAGTAGTTATACATATAATATAATGTATTGAAAATATAGCGACCATTTGATGAGCAAATTTTACCAGCACAGACATTTAGTGTTCTAGAATTTATCATTGGTGATTGAATATTAGCTTGCCACCAAATATTTAATTAACATCCTTTTACCTTTCGCCTATACAACTCTATGTTTATGAGTGTCATATTGCATTTCATTTGAAAATAGTTTTCCACTTATGTAGAGTAGATCATGGGGGCCGGGTAGGAAGCCTCTTAATTAGCACTCATACTTCGATGTCAATAGGATATAACGTAACAAATACGCAAATACGTTGTTAAAAATTTATTATCATATATGCGCACCCACAATTCGCAATGAATATACATTATTAGCAAACAATTAAGTAAGCAATTATCAAAAGACGGCACCAAGCCGAAGAGACTGTAGCACCATCATTGTCGCTGGATATTGAACAGCAGTAAGATTACCTTAGTTGTCCTACTGGATGCTGGGTCTTAGGGTCACATATACATACTTATGTTTGTAAAACAAATGTAATTGCCATATACTAATCATTTTATTTCTAAAGCAGAAAAGCTTTTAAGGTTCGTACTATTTATCTCAAAATTACCAAATGGTATTGGGCCTTAAGGCCTTGAAGGGCGACGAGCTGGTTTAGACAGTTGTCCTGGGGATGGTCTGGGTTCCACAATGGGTCCGGTAGGTAGTGGAGCAAAGCCATCACGATCAAGACTTTTGGAACGATTAGCGGGCTTTGTCAATTCTCCTGGGGTAGGTCTGGGTTCCACAACAGGTCCGGTAGGTAGAGGAGCAAAGCCGCCATCTTCAGGAGATTCGGAAATCTCAGCAGGTTTAGTCAGGTCCCCAGGAAGAATAGCTGGGAGGGTTTCGGGCCGTGAAGCAGGTTTTGTTAGTTCGGACTTTGAAGGAAGTTCATCTGGTGTCAGTGGGCCTGGAAGAGTTGGGGCTGTTAGGGAATGGTCCTGGAAGGGTCTTAGTGTCTGATTCCTGTAAGAATAAACAATTTTATTTACAGTTTCTGTTCAAAACAGATTGTAAATTTCTTTACCTTTATGAGTTCTATATTTTCATGTCTCACACATTTCTACATTCTATTTTAAGGCAAAATAACAACAGACAAGACTAATAATATTTGTAGCCTCATACTGGAATCTATAATGTAATCAATAGACCTTGATGATATAATATATTTTTTGTATCAGCAAAATGTTACTTATTAACACGAGTAAAGAGCGTTGCTTGATTCTTGGGCTAACCAACAAACTAGGTGAGTTAAGCACAAGAATTTTTGCTTTATTCCCTTAAAACTGTAACATTCTAATGAGCTTTTGCTCTGAAAGTTGAAAGTTAATATTTAGTTCCTTCTGAAATATATTTATAACTCGAGACCTCCAATAGATAAATCACCACAGCAGGGTAATGTAATACCTTGATTTTAACCCAGACACGGTTTAGATAGGGACAGAGACAAAGTCTATAAAACGGCAGAGGTCTCGGTTTAGAAAGGCACACATGCTTGGTTTAGAGAGACAATCGTCCGGTATAGAAAGGTACACATTTAGCTTAAGAGAAGAACATACTAAATTATAATAGTTGTTAAAATATAATATTAGCCAGCACATTACACGAGGTATTCAACTTAAACTAAAATGTGGCTTGTAGTTACTATGTTCATGACGCAGCGCTTGAAAATTTAATTTTACGAGTAAGTGTGAGCCACGAAATGATGAATCAGTGTTTAATGGGTGAAACTCCCCCAGTAAACAGAGTATGTGTCCATATAATGTTGACTTGGGTTACTTACTGTGCGAAGGCCGAGGAAGAGGCTTGGTCAGATGAGACTTCGGGGGCAGCTGAGGCTCGGCGCTACGGGTAAGTCTTGCAGGAAGAGTCTGAATGCTGAGGTCTGAGGGAGGGATTGGATCTCCCTGGGGTCGTGGAGGCCGTGGAGCAGGCTTGGTCAGTTCAGACTTCGGGGGCAGCTGAGGCTCGGCGCTCCGGGTAATTCGTGCTGGGAGAGTCTGGACGAGAGGGCGTGGTATGTGACCAGGGGGCGGGATGGGATCTACCTGGGGACGTTGTTGGGGTCGTGAAGGCCGAGGAAGAGGCTTCGTCAGTTCAGACTTCGGGGGCAGCTGAGCTCTGGCGTTCCGGGTAATTCTAGCTGGGAGAGTCTGGACGAGAGGGCGTGGTATGTGGCCAGGGGGTGGGGTGGGATCTCCCTGGGGACGCTGCTGGGGTCGTGAAGGCCGAGGAAGAGGCTTGGTCAGTTCTGACTTCGGTGGCAGTTGAGCCCTGGCGTTTCGAGTAATTCTAGCTGGGAGAGTCTGGATGAGAGGGCGTGGTATGTGGCCAGGGGGCGGGGTGGGAGAGATTTGAGGCCTGGATGGCCGGGGCAGAGGCCTTGTCTGGCGAACATGGCGGACTAGGCTGTCGTCGGTTTGACCATTAGGTATAGCGACACACGCCCCTGTGGCAGAACAAGTACCAAACATTACACACTACAGGTCACACATGAACGTACAAGGAAAAATATATTGTTTATTTTGGAACAGTTATTCAATGTTGTAACTTGCTTAGCTATACATATATTGGGGTTCGGATACTGAGCTCATTATGTGTAACACGTAGGAGTTCGGCATTTTGAGCTCGGCATTTTTTATTTTGAATTGTTCACGAATAATAAGGCATAAACCACAGAACATTGAATGTGTATATCGGACAAGGGGTTTTCTTAATTCAAAGTAAAAGTAGGTTTCAATACCAATCAAAATTATGGCAAGGAGAGAGAACATTTTTACCATTACCTAGTGTCCCACTTCGACAGTGCGAGGTGGCATTTGCCCGAATACTACAGGCCAGAAGTATGGAAAAAGAAGACAAAATATATGCAATCATTGTACCCATTCAGTCTCTGTGTCTTGCACACCACACAACATCAGGAGAAACCAGCACATTCACTCAAGAATTCTTCCACCATTTAGAAATTATCGAACACACGCCTGCCAACATTTACACCACAAACTTCTACCGCTATAGGATTCTTGTCTATTGCTTATATTTCCCATTCACACATTTCAAAGTTAAAGATATATGCAATTCTTAATGACTCTAACCACTATGCCTCACCAGTCCTCTATCTCTCTCCCTGTCTTGTTCTTAACCAAAGAAAGCATCACTTGATCCAGCCACTTCCCTTCTCTGACTTTGCTCTCAACTTCTCTTGCACAAATTCCTGTCTTGTCGATCACACACATTACAGGTATTTCAAGTATACATTGTTCTTCTCACTTTACGTCTTCTAAATATACCAGCACATTTCCCACCACAGTAAGCACGTCTCCATTATTCTCTGCAGGAAGAACTCCTTCACCTACATACTTACATCAAATCTTATGCACACCATGTGTATGATTGACATATACATATATTTTCATTTCATTTGTCAATGTTGAATATTACGTTAATTTATACATGAGTTTGTGAGTAAGTATTGCATATAAAATGAAATACCAACATGCTATCCGTGTTACTGCAAGCAGTATGCACCAAATTAACATTCTCATAAAGCCCATTTCAATAGTATATAAACTAACCAATTCTTCGAAACTTAATACGAGCAAAATGAAATAACTCACATATGCATCTTTTGTTTAATATAAGGCAGCTTATACTTCCGTACACGCTTGAAACAGGGGACAGGAAACTTACCTATAAGAAGGAGAAGTAACACTTTGACCGCCATGGTGTGCGAGAGTACCTGCAGCTGCGTTCTGCTCCTGACGAGGCTGGACCGGGACTGCTGGAGTCGCCGCCTCCAGCCACCTTTATACTCCCAGACACCAGTATGTAAACATCAACTTCCAGCACAACACACTTTCAAAATAAGAGAAGCGGCACATTTGCTCGCGGCTTAGTCTGTGAAAGAACTAGTACAAAATAAACATGAAATGAAAATTGCGGTCGATATAATCCCCGCGATAGTTATTTTTTAAGATAATATCTTATCTCGTTCACAGCGGGTGAGGCGATGGAAGCTGAGGCAGGTTCCCAGATGACGTTACCAGCAGCCGGCGTGTCAACCATGACTCAGGCGTCCTGGATGACACACGTCAGAAGGCAACGGATGTGTCAACAGGTATAACGGTTCCTGGATGACACGTCAGAAGGCAACGGATGTGTCAACAGGGATAACGGTTCCTGGATGACACACGTCAGAAGGCAACGGATGTGTCAACAGGTATAACGGTTCCTGGATGACACACGTCAGAAGGCAACGGATGTGTCAACAGGTATAACGGTTCCTGGATGACACACATCAGAAGGTAACGGATGTGTCAACAGGTATAACAGGGTTCCTGGATGACACACGTCACAGGTCAGCATGGCCAATTGGGACTCTCAGCCCAACGATCTCAATATATATATATATTGTCAAAACAACATCTCCTTCAAGGCACCTAATAATGCATGAACAACAAGCCCCCTATCAAGGAACATATATCTCCACCCATAACCAAATCATCACTAAAGATGTCCTGACAAACAACACCAAAATAATCGACAGATAGAACAAAAGAGTGGACATTAGCGAGGCATTACACATCAAACAAACCCAGCCAATTATCACCATCCAGCTTACACTGCCATCTTCCAGAACACGGCCAAACATCCAACATACTGCCCAAGCCATCATGGAAACATAGGACAATGGTAAGCTATAATGAGCCTATTGGCCCATAAGTAAGGTACTTTACCTTCAAGTCACTCCGGCTATATTCCCGGCTGCTCAAAAACTTGTATCTACTTCAACTCTGCCTTTGATAATGTTGACAGAGGTCAGCGAAACGCATCTCTTACTAAACTAAAACTAAAATTAGTGTCCATTCTAAGAAAATACCTTCTACCATCTACAGCAGAGGGTGAAGAAATCACTTAATCTTTTCATTTCTTCTACAATTTCACCAACAATGTGACACCTTCAGAAATATGTGCCTAACACTAAGGACACAGGTATACTAAGATTACAGTTGGTTTTAGATTTAGCAACTCGGAACGAAATATCCATGTAGCACGGGCTATAGTGAGCCCGTAATTGAGTTCGGTTATTCGCGATAACCTTGTTACTGTGATATTTGGGTCAAAGTTTTAAATAGAGGTGGGGTTTCTTCCTTTTTCCCTGTTTCGTTTTAGCGCACTGGTTTTAATCTTGTTTTGATAACATTATCTTGGTGGCGGATTTAGATGCACAGTGTTCACTAGTGTGTCCCATTCTTCAACGGCTTTTCTAGTCATTGTAGTTCCTGTGGAATTTGCATCTAATGTAGTTGCTTTCGCTGGATTAATGTTGAGTTTGATGCGCAGGGCTTCAGTAGCTTCACATTCCAGTAAGTAGTTCAACAGCGGCGCCTCTGCATCTGTTCCACAGATATGACACTCTTTAACTATTGGGTTTATTACCTCCCAGCAGCACTTGTAACCAAGTCTGAGTCTGTGTATGGCTACTGCAATGTATCTGGAATGTTTACGGCAAAGAAACATTGCAGTAGCCATACACAGACTCAGACTTGGTTACAAGTGCTGCTGGGAGGTAATAAACCCAATAGTTAAAGAGTGTCATATCTGTGGAAGAGAAGCAGAGGCGCCGCTGTTGAACTACTTACTGGAATGTGAAGCTACTGAAGCCCTGAAATTGTTGTTGTTTTAGATTTAGCTACTCAGAACGAAGTGTCCATGTAGCACGGGCTATGGTGAGCCCGTAAAATACTCTGAAATTTACTGTAAAAACATTTATAAACGTGGGGTCACCTCACCCTACGATTAAGTCTGAATTGTAGAGAGCGACGATAAATAGGGTGAGGTGATTGTGCCTAACATCCCCATTTTTATTTTATTTTGGCGGGGATATTCCTGCGCGGGTCTTAAGCCTCTGGCTGGCTCACTAAGTGTTGCTTGTTTCTGTTTTACTTGGGCGGAGTGTGAGTATTTATGACTCGTATGGTCGCTTCAGTAAGATTTTGCCATATGTGTTTAACAACTGCTCTAGCATCAGCTAATGGTTGTCTACCGTATCTTCCTTCTGGGTCAAAGGAGAGCCATCAAACAATTGTGTGCTCGATGTTGAATTCATCTGAATGTTGATTACTGGTACCCGCTCTCGAATGAATATGGCCTCAAGTGTTCATTGCTGCGTGTGATGACTGTGGTGTCCATCACGACATTGATGAGTCTGAATGTGACAACTCTTAAATTGTTTTTAAATCACTGATAAATGGAGATCCTAAACCTAGTTATCAACATTTCATAATGACAATTATTACATGTTATCCTATTATTATGACATGTACATGTTAAATTAAGTAAATAATTTACTGTACATTTGTAGAAACTCACAACTATTTATGCGAACATTTATGGATAAAACATTTTAATTTAATTGAACTGGTGCTTGACGTAATGGAGGCTCGGGCTTGTTGTAAGAACCAGGTGGTGTTTGTTGCAAGGACAAGTGGTGCTTGTTGCAAGGACAGGTGGTGCTTGTTGCAAGGGCTGGTGGTGCTTGTTGCAAGGGCAGATGGTGCTTGTTGCAAGGACATGTGGTGCTTGTTGCAAGGGCAGGTGGTGCTTGTTGCAAGGGCAGATGGTGCTTGTTGCAAGTACAGGTGGTGCTTGTTGCAAGGGCAGGTGGTGCTTGTTGCAAGGGCAGATGGTGCTTGTTGCAAGGGCAGATGGTGCTTGTTGCAAGGGCAGGTGGTGCTTGTTGCAAGGGCAGATGGTGCTTGTTGCAAGTACAGGTGGTGCTTGTTGCAAGGGCAGGTGGTGCTTGTTGCAAGGGCAGATGGTGCTTGTTGCAAGTACAGGTGGTGCTTGTTGCAAGGGCAGGTGGTGCTTGTTGCAAGGACAGATGGTGTGAGAGGCAGGTGGTGCTTGTCGTAAGAGACGGTGGTCCTTGGTGTAAATATCTAATGTTGATTTAACGTTACTCAAACATGGTTTTTATTGATTACCTGTTGGGTATAGCTTTAATTTCCCCCTGTGTAAGAGTGGTGACCTCGATGGCTCTCTGAGTTTAGTTTAAGACAGTGTTGGGGGTCAGCTGGGAGTTAAGGCGAACACACACACTAAGAACTGCAAGCCGGGGATCGAGCGCGAGGATAAAAGATGTATTCTCGGGGGTTATTTGATGATGGCGGACCATATTAAGGCTTCTGCTGGCTTTTATGGCCAGGCCGGCTGTAGCCTTCAGCCGTGCCAGTCTGTCGAAAGTGGGACACACTTTTCTGGAAAGCCACGTACGTCACTTGCTTATTTTATTTATTTTATTTACTTATTTATTTACAAGAAGGTACATTGGGTTGAGAAAGTACATACATTAGTGATTGAGTGTTACAGTGTTACGAAACCACCAACACGCAATCCGGTTAGGGTTGGTTCTGAATCTTCAACCCGTCCTCCCAGTAAAACTTCGAAATTTGACGTATACTCTAAAGTCAAAAAATGTCGTACTAGAAAATGGAAGCGGCGCGCGAAAGTGACGTACTGTCCCGTTTTCTGTTTTGGGTTCTCCGGTAGGTTAAGATAAGGACACTTTAGTACGACGGTTTCTTGAGGTTGGAAAATCCAGGCCACCCTCTTAGGGTCACCACTAGAAATATGGTGGCCCTCAGGTAAATTCAGGTAAAATACATGCACGAAAGCTTGGGCTGGCATTAGTACGTGAGTATGTGTGTACTAACCTAGTTGTGCTTGCGGGGGTTGAGCTCTGGCTCTTTGGTCCCGCCTCTCAACTGTCAATCAACTGGTGTACAGATTCCTGAGCCTATTGGGCTCTATCATATCTACATTTGAAACTGTGTATGGAGTTTGCCTCCACCACATCACTGCCTAATGCATTCCACCAACAATGGTAAGAATAGAGAGCCTAACTCTCTAAAATTATTAACTACTCTGACACCGAAAAAATTCTTTTTGAGGTCCCTGTGGCTTATTTGGGTACTCAGTTTCCACTTGTGTCCCCTTGTTCATGTGAAGGTATGTCCCTGAGCGAGGCATGCAGGCGGGCGTGTAGCGAGGACAGCTCCTGCATAATGGACAGAAAGCCTCGCCTGAGGCTGTTGCCTGCACCAACACTGAGTGTGAACACAGGGTGGGGCGAGGCTGCCTCTCCCCTCCCCCTCCCACCCATCAACTCTATCCTACGCGTCTCCATTAATTAGTGTAGTATATATACTCTTAAGTTTTAGTCTAAGTGTTTTTCCTGCCCGAAACCCTTTGCGTAATAATGGCTTTAGGCTTTGTATGTACTAGCTCTATCAATAAATCCATCAATGTTTGTATCTCACCTTGAATGTATGTACTTTACCTGAATAAACATTTTGATTTGATTTTGATTTAACAGTTCCATTGTTGAATATTACGTTGGTTTTGAATTTGCTAGATGACAAATTGCAAACCAGCAGTAGCCTCTAACTCGCAAAACTTCAGTTTCAGATTTGCAGTTCTGGATTATTTATGGGGGAAACAAAGATGTCTGCCAAGATAAGCGTATTTTTTTTGCAAGGATATTCCTGTGTGGTGTGGGCCCTAAGCCTCTGGCTGGCCCACTAAGTGTTGCTTGTTTCTGTTTTACTTGGGCGGAGTATGAGTATTTATGACTCTTATGGTCGCTTCAGTAAGATTTTGCCATATGTGTTTAACAACTTCTGCTCTGTTTAATCTAAGTTGAAATCTTAATGGGTTTGTAACTGTGCACTATGTTAGATAATGTTCCAGTGGTATGTCGGGCATTTCTCCAGTGCTGACATTTCCTCTCATCTTCCGGAACCTGTAAGCCTATTTCTCATGCACAAGGGTATCCAAGCCTGATGCGATGTAAGTGCACTTCTGTTGCTCTACTGCTCCCTTTCATCAAACTAAGTGGTTCGTAGTTGGTTGAATTCTTGTACCAACCCGCAGATCCTGATGTTGCAACTGCTGTGTTGTGGTACTCACCTAATTGTGCTTGCGGGGGTTGAACTCTGGCTCTTTGGTCCCGCCTCTCAACCGTCAATCAACTGAAGTACAGATTCCTGAGCGTAATGGGCTCTGTCATATCTACATTTGAAACTGTGTATGGAGTCAGCCTCCACCACATCACTTCCTAGTGCATTCCATTTACTAACTACTGACACTGAAAAAGTTCTTTCTAATGTCTTTGTGGCTCATTTGGGCACTCAGCTTCCACCTGTGTTCCCTTGTGCGTGTGCCACTCGTGTTAAATAATCCATCCTTGTCCACCCTGTCAATTCCCCTGAGAATTTTGCATGTGGCGATCATGTCTCCCCTAGATCTTCTTTCTGTCTTCCAGCGACGTGAGGTGCAGTTCACGTAGTCTATCCTCATAACTCATGCCTCTTAGTTGTGGGACTAGTCTAGTGGCATACCTCTGAACTTTTTCCAGCTTCGTCTTGTGCTTGACTAGATACGGGCTCCATGCTGGGGCTGCATACTCCAGAATTGGCCTTACATATGTGGTTTACAAGGTTCTGAAGGATTCCTTACACAGGTTTCTGAAAGCAGTTCTGATGTTAGCCAGCCTCGCATAGGCTGCTGATGTTATTCTTTTGATGGGGGCTTCGGGAGACAGGTTTGGCGTGATATCAACTCCCAGATCTTTCTCTTTGTCCGTTTCGTGAAGGACTTCATCTCCCATTCGTTATCCAGTGACTGGCCTCCTAGTTTCATTACCTTACATTTACTTGGGTTGAACTTTAGTAGCCATTTGTCGGACCATTCCTTCAGTTTGTCTAGATCATCCTGTAGCCTCATACTATCCTCCTCTGTCCTGATCCTCCATCTGTACTGTACATCTTTTGCATTACTCTGTTTCTAATTACTTTCTTAATCCGTGATAAACTCTGTGGTATGTAAATGTCTACATTTCTTCTCTTAGTTGCAAGTTTTGCAGCCTCGTCTGCAATGTTAACATAAGCGTAGTGATACCGTGGCCGGAGAATCATGATCTCACAAGAGAATTCTACATCAAACTGCTTAGCGTGAGACTCTTGCTCACACCTACGTGCTGATATAACCATAAAGTACATAATACCTCTGACCCTCTTATACACAGCCTTAAGCACTTGTGGTTTTACAAATAACTGATTACAAATTACTTCAAACACAAACAGACGATAGCCCAAAACTAGGAACGGTGAGGAGGCTATCAGGAGAAAGCGCCAAGCTATTACGACTATATAGCATTTGGAAGGGGTCAGGATAAGGATTTGGGCTGGGACGGGGAGAAGGAATGGCGCCCAACCACTTGGACGGTTGGGGATTGAACGCCGACCTGCATGAAGCACGACCGTGGCTCTACCGTCCAGCCCAAGTGGTTGGGTTTAGCCCAAAATTAGGCTATTTATGGAGTGGGGGAGACCTTTGACAAGCCGACGGCTTCCTGTCGTCGTCGAGGCCACTGGAGAAATAGTGGACTTCAGGTAATTTCAGGTAAAATCATGTAAATTTAGGTAAAGTTTACACAGGACTGCATAGTGATGTGACCCCACAAAACATTCCTCTATCGTCACACTGCGTTTACAGTTTCTGCCTACACATATTGGAGCTGTAATGTCGCTGTAGCGCAGTTGAAATTGAAATTGAAATTGAAATAAGTTTATTGAGGTAAATACACACAAAGGGATGAGGTAGCTCAAGCTATTCTCACCCCGTTCAGTACATCGTGTTAATACATACATAGACACACATCACAAGCAATAAACTTATTACCAAACATTCTGAGAGATAAACATATACATTTCCTCCTTTACACAAGTAGTATGGTATCAGACGTGCTGTAGCGCAGTGGTCAACGCAGTCGGAGTACAACCGAAAGGTCTCGCATTCGATTCTTGTGGCAGGAGAGAGACGTTAATTAATTAACTCAACGTTTCCTTACACCTAATGCTGTTGTTGTTGTTCAGTTAGCATTAAATATTTATTTATTTATTTATATATTTTTTTATTTATTTGTGCTATATTGGTGCTTGGTGCTATTTATTTATTTATTTATTTATTTATTTATTTATTTATTTATTTATTTATTTATTTATTTATTTATTTATTTATTTATTTATTTATTTATTTATTTATTTATTTATTTATTTATATACAAGAAGGTACATTGGGTTTATGAGAGTACATAGCATTGATGCTTTTACATTCTTGTAAAGTCACTAACACGCATAGCGTTTCGAGCAGGTCCTTAATCTAACAGATACTTTTAAGTAGGTAATTTCTAGCAAAGTTTAAGAAACGGTAACAGATACATTGTAAGAAAATTTGACAAAGATTAGCATTAAATAGATTCCTGGAAGCTAGGCAGCTGTTGTGGTGATGCATCCTGTAAGAAGATTAGTAGATGGCTTAGGTACCTCGGGGGTAATCTCCATAAACCTAACATATGTTTCAGATCTTCAGATCCCTGGCGATAGGACCCAGTGTGTGTACAAATATATAATATAATAGAGTACCATCTGTATGTCGTTCTCTGTAGTAGTGGTCAGGACAGCGTTTTGGCGGGCAAGCGACCTCAAGATGGCCGCCCAGCCGTGAGGAGGTAATCAGCTGTTTGAGGTAGGCGTTGGTGGCAGACACGTCATCAACATATTTATTTACCTCTGTTAATTATATCATAGACATACCTTAATACACGGCCGGTAGCGGAAGCGCCGCTCTGCACACAGTACTTCGGGTTAGCGAAATATGGTGTTCTTGGCCGCACATAAACTGATCTTTTTTTTCCCTGATTAGCATTCTCTTTACCTATTCCTGACAGGTAGGTTAAATTACTACCCCGAGTCATTAACTTAGGGCCCGGCTACCTGGTAAAGGTTGATTGTAAGTTGGGTAGAGCATGATAAAGAGGTTGGTGGTGGTGGTGGTGTGGAAGATTGTCACGTCTCAGAGGTGAGTCTTGGTGCTCTGTCTCGCCCGGAATTAAGTCATTCCTCGTTGCCTCACAAGAGCAGTTTATTAGTGTGCAATCTTTCTAAAAAAAACATTAGCTGTTAATAGAGTAGTACAAGTCATAGTTTCTAAGATTAGTGTTTGGTAAATAAATACCTGGGGGGGCAGATGTGGAGCCTACACCTGTTGTGGCTCATTTAATTAGTTTTCAGTCGAGTAGTCTTGCCTAGTCTTACAAATTCGTCCAGAAATAGTACAGTTAACCTGCAGCTTTAGTTTCTCACGCAGCTGTAGAGGAAACATATCACAATATGACACATTAGTAGCCCAAGTGCCGCTTTTTTCACAAAGGTGAATAATGTAGTGAACCTATTGTAATTGCAACGTAGGTTCGTTAAAAGTAGTTCCTGCCTTACCTGCTCATATTTTTATAAATGTAACCAGCTATTCAGACAAAGGACTTCCAGTAGATGTAATATATATAGATGTTGCTGAAGTTTTTCATAAGGTGCTACATGTTTCATAACATGTAGCACCTTATGTAGCACAAGCTACATGTTTGTTGCTACATAAGGTGCTGGCAAGGACATTACAGGAATGTGGAATAAATGTTAGAATACTAGAAAGGATAAAACAATGGTTAAAACAAAGAAAGCAAAAGGTTGTCCTCGATGGAAATTAATCTGACTGGAGAAATGCATTGAATGGGGGTACTACAAAAGTCCTTTATGGGGAAACTTTTTTTTTTCATCCACAACAATGACAGATGAGAATATTACAAACCACATCATCAGATTTGCAGATGGCACTAAGATTTATGGTAAAGTGAGATATTAAAATGAGATTGAGGCATTACAAAGAGGTCTCCAACTCCACAAATACAGTACTGTACTGTAGTTGGAAGCCTGGCAAAAGCTATTTATTATTGAAAAATGGAAGACCTTGCATGTGGGACATAACAGTTGGTCTCAACTACCAAATTAACGTTACCTTGCAGTCGAATGAAGAAGAAAAGACCTCTGAACACAGAATCCACAAATCACTGAAAGTTGCACACCAAGTGGCAGCTGCAGTAAGAAAAGCCAACCAAAACCTTAGGAATAGTCAAGCGAACATTTGACTTTAAGGAAAATGTGCTTATTAAACTGAATAGATCTTTGGTGTGCTCCACTTGTATTATTGTATCCAAGCACAGAGACCTCATCACCAGGTAATTACACTTAGGTAATTACTTAGGTAATTGCCAAAAAGACATACTGTACAGTAGTTGCTTTAGAGAAAGCTCAACACTGTGCAAAAAAAATCATTCCAGAACTTAAAGCAACTCTCATACCAGGAATTACAGGGCTAACAACACTGCAAACCAGGCATGACAGGGCGGATCTCATAGAAACCTTAAAATACTGAACAATTTGGAGGATATTGATCTGGACAACATCTTTAAAATGTCAGATGTAACACAGACAAGGAGCTCGAGAATGGTCCAGGATGGACCGAAACGTCGTCGTCCCTTCACTTTCTAGTACTGTATGTGGTTTGGTCAACATATTTCAGCCACATTATTGTGACTCCCCATCTGCATACTGTTTACATACTTCTAGTTATGTTATCCTTTTATAATTGATCCATGTGATGTAGCTTTCCCTTATCCTTTGTCTATCATAGCTTATTCACAGTCCTTAAGGTGGTGGTTTATTATTGACAAATATCGAATTACATTACTATCTTGGAGAAGCCAGAAAGCTAGGATTTCTCTACAGTTTGTTATCCAATGATGTCTGGAGCATTGTCATCATAGAGTTGTTGTTGAAGCCACTTTCATCGACAAATTTTATACAAAATAGAACAAGAACTTCCAAGTGTCAAGAGTTAATTAATGCTCCAAGTGTGAAAGGCTTGGAGGCTTGCAATCGGCTCATAAAAAGATAGATTGCACTTCCCCATTTTCACTGATAGGTTCAGCACTAAAAAGTGCCATTTATTATTGTTCCACATCTTTACATAAAACAAGCTACTGTTCCACATCATTATGTGTAGCAAGCAATCACACTAGAGGTACCATGGGCACAATCAGAGAACACTGAACATTAGAGGTCCACAGCTGGTTAACACCTCCCAGCAAGCATTAGAAATATTGCTGGAACAAAGGTGGATGTATTCAAGAGGCACTTAGATTTAAGTTCTTGCAAGAAGTGCCGGACCAACCAGGCTGTAGTGATATGTAGGCCTGTGGGCCGCTCTAAGCAACCGATCAAGATCAAGTTATCACAAGTAAAGCCTGGCTTCAAGCCGGGCTCGGGGGGGGGGGGGTTTAGAAGAACTCCCAGAACTCTCTCCAGGTATGCTCCGGGTATGCACTACACCATTATGTATAAGAAGCCACTATTCCATGTCATTATGTGTAACAAGCTACCATTCCACAGCATTACAGTACTGTATATATAACTAGTTACTGTTCCAAACCATTACTGTACTGTATTGTAACAAGTAAGTCTTAAGTTTTTTTGTGTACAAGAAGTAAGGATCCCAGTATTACAACTGGGTTCATTCTCAACTCATAATTGAGAAATCCAGGTTTGAATACCGGGCTGAACAGAAATGGTTGGGTGTGTTTCCTGTCACCTAATGCACCTGTTCACCTACCAGTAAATAAGTACCCAGGAGTTACTGTAATCAACTTGTGGGATTGCATTCTGGGGAGGATCAGTCATTCGAACTTTGGGGGGGGGGGGGGAACCTCGATATAAACCTAAGATGTACTGTATGTTTAAACTGTTTAGACTTAAGTTTTATCTTAAAATCATGTTCTGCCATTTATCTCTTGTAGCATTTGTATGCTACAAAAGATTTGCTATATTTTGTATGGTATCAAAATTGTCATTGTTTAAAATTGTCTTAAATTTTAAACAATGACAACTTGTTTAAACTTGTTTCAGTGTTAAGCAGTCGCCCACCTCTTCATTTCTTGTGATATTTCTGCTCGATCTTTATCACCTCTTTTTCTATCTATTGTACATTCAACCCTCATTAGTCTTAACACTTACCTATCAGTAATCATTCAATTGTGACAAGCTGTATAATATGACTAGACTTATCTGCATCTACTCAGCCTTCATTGTTGTAATAGTTGACTTTGTTCCAAGTTGTTGTTCATAACACCGATATTAAAGTATTCAGTGGTCTTGTACATTTTAGGGTCCTAGTAGTCAAGTGGGGTTCATTTTCGTTTCGCAACTGGAAATTCCGGGTTCGAATCCCAGGTGGGACAGAAATGGTTTGGCGCATTTCCTGTCATCTAATGCCACTGTTTGCCTAGCTGTCAATAGGTACTTGGGAGTTAGTCAGCTTGTAGTAGGGTTGCATCCTAGGAAGGGTCAGTAGTTCAACCTCCAGGATGGACTGCAATACAAGCCCAACATGTAAATATACACTGGCTGTCTGTCTGTCCCCCTAACACTATGAATTATTATAATTAGTTTTACTGTATTATGTTTTGAGATTTGTGGCTTCTTTGTAAATGTGTTGCTTGTTGCATGATTGACACTGTTTTGCAGAATGTTTATACATGTACAGTTATTTTCTGAAAGGCTTTATTTATGTTTGAAGGAGTGCTACGGTTTGCAGCATGTGGCCCGGAAGCACTTCAGCTGTTTTTACCGGAAGGATCTCATAGGCTATCCCTTTTTCCCATATTCGTTGTTTATGTATTGCTAGTTTTGTCAGACTTAAAATATCTTAAAATTCAAGACTTAGGAGCTTTTCTGGTCTAAAATTTGCATGGCTCGAGACAAATGAACCTTCAAGCATGATACTGTTACAATGCAAATTATATTAACCATAACTCCAGTTCTCATAAAATGAATTTAACCTTTTTGAGAATACTGTACAAGCAACATTCAGCAGTACTAATTATAACTGTGAGGAGGAGGTGGTGGTACTTGTGCATGTTGTCCAAACAAATGCAGTTGCATTTGTTTGCCATATTTCAAATTGCAATTGCATTAATTAACTTAATCTAAATAGTTTTATGTAAGGCATTATTATAGCACTGGTATCAAAAAAAAAAAAACTGCACCATTAATCATTGTAGTGATAAAAAATGAATTATAACAGATTTAGTAATGTTTTACTAGAAATACTGTGATTTGTGATAGAGGCCTGAGTGTTACATAATGATAAATATCATATTAATCACATAGAATGGAAATCAAAGATAAATCTTAAGTAAAAAAAAAGTATATTGAGTATATCAATGAACCATACATATCAAAGGAGCACGCTTGCTTGCAACAGGTATCTAAAATCTGGTACCGTAGTCGCAAATCCAGAATTCAATTGATGCCAATCAATCCGAATTTCAGTGCTCTTCTACTGTATATTGACCTGAGAAGATGTACTGTTTTATTGAAGTCATAGAACCAACAGGCTGTTTATGACGCTGTACTGTATTGGTCTGTGACAGTGTGACAGAAATGTGCTGTTCATGACATACTGTGTTGATAGCTGCACTGGGCTATGAAAATGTTATGTAGTTAACTAGTTTAGTACAGTGTATGCCATGACTGTTTAATGATAATACAGTAGTATTAAATATGTTTGAACAATATCAAACCTTATTAAAGATTATATTGTGGAACTTAAGATACTATATTTCTTTTGTGAATGCAGTGCTACCAAGAACATAGTTCAATTAATAATGTGAAGACTACAATATTAAACAAAATACTTTTGGTTATATATCGTCAGCTGGCAGTTTCATTATCTTAAGCACTGCTGTAAAAAAAAAATTATAATTTCAGTATTATTCTTCCCAGAACATTGTGGTAAGTTAGAGTACTTGCTTCCATGTGGACATGTGCCAATTATTGCTGTAGTTACTGAGTTAAATTGTTGTTTTTATTAGCTGTAAGCAGTAACTGGCACTGTAATAGTAATAAGCCATGAGAAGCTTCAATCTTATCAGTCAAGACTTGAAAGATATTTGCTACAGTACTGTAGTACCTTTTATGTTACGTCTTCCCATTTTCCATTCAAGTATTCAAGTCTAAGTTTTCGTGCTCTTAGATTCTTCTTCCTCTTAGTAGCAACATTTGTTATAAGTTAGCAGTTTTATTTTGTTGTTACAGGCCTTATTATACGCTCATCTAAGAAGAAGAATGTAATCTGCTTTGATTAGAAGCACAGATGATACTCAGCTCATTTCCCTTTCTTCTCTTTTGGGCTCCAGAATGACGGAGCCATCTTTCCAAGGTACGGCTCTCACTTGTCTAGCTTGCTCATGCTTAAATTTCAACTGCCTGTTTTGTTTTTATGTATGGTACTTTTCCATTGTTGTATTTTTAAATTGTGTATTGTTGCTTGTGTTGAGCTTCATAAGATTATCTTTCATGCAAACATAATGAATTGTATAATTATGCATGTTTTCATCTGTGCTAAGTTGTGAATACAGTATGTATTTGTCTCTAACCTTGTGTCAGTCTATATTTTCTGCCTTGCCTGCAGTGCACAGTACAAACTCTGCTTACTACATGCAACACAAGTTCAGCCTTTTACCTGTATTTACCTAAGATTTTTATGAGGAATAATCCCAAGTGTCTTGGTGCTTATGGATGAATGTTCAAAGGTTTTGTAAGGAATTTATTGGGTACTACTTACTTTAGTTTTAATTAAGTCATTGTTACTTTAAAATAATATTTTGACTTTTGGAAAGCATAGTTCAGACCACTATGATGTATAGAAGTGAAACTTGAATGTATAGTAATGTATCTGATTAATGGGGAGTGTGATAGCAGTAGAAATTCTTTACATGAATGATTGTATAGCAAAGAGAATGATGAGTGTAGGAAATTGATAGCGGTGAATATGGAATAAATCTGAAATGCTGCATGTGATTAGTGGATTTATAAACAATACCGATACCTGCTACAAAATCAATGTAATCTGATCTTGTATGATTGCTATCAATTAAATATTATCATTAATAATATTGTAAATAAAGACGTTATGCAAAAACATAAAGAGCAAACTTATTCAGTGGTTTGGGTATACATACATACATACATACATACATACATACATACATACATACATACATACATACATACATACATACATACAAGGGGCCTCGTAGCCTGGTGGATAGCGCGCAGGACTCGTAATTCTGTGGCGCGGGTTCGATTCCCGCACGAGGCAGAAACAAATGGGCAAAGTTTCTTTCACCCTAAGTGCCCCTGTTACCTAGCAGTAAATAGGTACCTGGGAGTTAGTCAGCTGTCACGGGCTGCTTCCTGGGGTGTGTGTGTGTGTGTGTGTGTGTGTGGAAAAAAAAAAAAAAAGTAGTTAGTAAACAGTTGATTGACAGTTGAGAGGCGGGCCGAAAGAGCAAAGCTCAACCCCCGCAAAAACACAACTAGTAAACACAACTAGTAAACACATACATACATACACACATACATACATACACATAAAAGTATTTGTGTGTACGTCTGATACCATACTACTTGTGTAAAGGAGGAAATGTAGATGTTTATCTCTCAGAATGTTTGGTAATATGTTTATTGTTTGTGATGTGTCTATGTATGTATTAACACGATGTACTGCACGGGGTGAGAATAGCTTGAGCTACCTCATCCCTTTGTGTGTATTTTACATCAATAAACTTATTTCAATTTCAATTCAATACATACATACATACATACATACATACATACATACATACATACATACATACATACATACATACATACATACATACATACATACATGCATACATAGAGAATAAATTATGGAAGGTTGAGAGTTTACAGAAGTTGTGTGAGAGGAAGGAAAGGACAGGAAGGCGTGAAACTCCTGGATGTATATGTAGGATGTACTGTATATGATTAATAGAGTGAGAATGGTAGTCATTTTGTTAGTGTGTGAAGTTGGGTTAGAACAGCAATGTTTTTGTATTTTGACTTTTCATGGTACCCTGCTGTTGTATGTGTATATATGGAAAAAAAATGGGATTATAGCTTACATACCTGCTTGGTATCCAAGGGTTGGTAAGTAATTTTTGCAAGAGAAGTTGTAAGAGTACAACTTCTGTACTGTACATAGTACAGTACAGTTTTGTGTCCATGGGTTAATATATGATTTGTGGAGAAAAGTGCATTGGAATGATTGTAAAAAAAAATTTTTTATAGCTTATCATTAATCACCACTTCCCTTTATGGCTCCTAAGTCTTTTTCATTTTCCACAGAGTAAAGCAGTTCAGTATGGTATTTTCAACTGAATGGTTGTGCTGGAGATTGCTGTATATCACATGAAAAGGCCTTCATATTACTACATTAACTGTTTGAGGACTTTTGACATGCTAGAACAGCATTCAAAATGTATGCATTCTAAAAGGGTAGTTGGTATACTAGTACAAGGGGGGGGGGGGGTCATCCTTGACTTACAAGATACTCTTTATGACAGACTTATACTTACGACGGCTGCCAATGTTTCTTTATTCCAGTGTTTTGTGCTCCAGCTCAAGAAAACTTTGTGGAATCCAGGGTTAATAATGAAAAGAAAATGGGATAAAAGACTCTTAATCATAGTTGACAAGAGAATAGTAATAGTATTAGTAGCGGCACATCAGGCCAAGAAAGATCTATAATATTAGATATTAAAGTGGACATAAGAAGGCACTTGTAGAAAGGTGAGAGATTAGCACAGATTGTACAGTATATGTATGCAAAGTAAGCCCCCAACAATCAGCACCAGTATCAAAGACAAGCCTAGAATGTTAGATCACTTGAAGGGCTTGGCACCAAGTAATTCTGCCAACAATGCAGTGTTCATATTTTCCCCATATACAAAGCCTCAAACTTTACATTTCAGGATGCAGTAGAATGAACTCGGCACCCTCTGCCAGGATGTTTATGCTTCGGGCCTTGGAAAAAATTTACGGAGAGAAGGAAATACGCAGGTCACATCATTCTCAGCTGAAAAGAGCTGTGGAACAAGCTCTTGGTAACATAAAATATTTTTATTCTTTGGTGCTAAATGGTCTTCCTGGCTTGATGCCTTCTATTGATAATTACTTGTAAACTACCAAAAACACCTCCTTAATTAATTCTCTCCCCATTTTTCTAGCACTTTCATCCTTCTCAGTTTCTTTTCTCTTCTTATCCTTCCTTCCATTACTCATTGCTTCCCAAACTTGTATTTGATAAATATAAAACTGTTTCTACTTGTGGTTTTGCATATAAATGACTATATATTGTATATGTATGTTTTCACTACCATATAATGTACTGTACTGTAGTTTGAATTCTTATAGTGTTTTAGTTTACTGTACTTGTAATCCATCTTAGGATATTAGATAAGTCATGAATAAATATACAATAAAATAATATTTTTAAAGTGCTATAAATAGTGTTTGGAACTCGGGACCACGTAAAGCAGAATAAAAATCTGCATAATGATACGTGCTGGTATCCTCTTTTCCTATTTGGCTTCGTTTTCTACCAACAGAGGAATTGCGTAGTGAGCTGGGATGGCCAGAAAACGGCTCCGGTACGGGTGGTTCTGCTGCTTTGCCTATGCCCAAAAGTGACGCTCCACAGCTGGATGCAGAGAAACACTTCCTGCCGTTTGAACTAGCCTGTCAGTCTAAATCAGCGAAGATTGTAGTGTCGGCTCTCGATTGTATTCAGGTATGAATGCTTTGTCAGTAAGTTTCATGCTTGTATTGGAGATATGTTTAATAATTTGAAAGTACTGTACACTATGCTAAATAAGCAGCCATCCCTGGCTTGTAAGATTATGTATATTGTGACATATATATGATAGCGCGAGTTGAGAGTGAAGCCAATTGTATGCAGCATATGGGAAGCTGGCAAATATACAAATGCCAGAGTTTAGACATTTTTAACAAAGACTTTTTAAAACACACTACACAGCCTATGTGATACCAATAGATTATTTGTATATGCAGCTCCACCATGGAATTTTGGTGGAATGAAATGGAACCACCAAAAAACTATACATGAAAAAGTTCAGAGATAAGGTTTAGGGGAATTCTATCTCACTACCTTAGAAGAGAGGCGCAGAGGAGATATGGTCACTGAACACAAAATACTAAATGGAACAGACAAGGTGGATAAGAGCAGCTGCTTTAAATTGAAAGAAAATATTGCAAATGGACTTCAATGGAAACTGGAGAAGCTAATGAATCAATGACACTTAAGCAGGAAATATTTGTTGCCTATACAAGTAGCCAAAAAGTGTAATACACTACATGCACTGTTGTAAATGTTAGTACTGTACAGTATGATGCACTAGGAGGTCTAGTTGGGGACCAGGCTGCGGAGACCCCAGAACCACCGCATGGTATGATAGAGCCCAATAGGCTCAGGAACCTGTACACCAGTTGATTGACGGTTGAGAGGCGAAACAAAAGATTCGAAGATCAAAGATTCGATTCGAAGCTAGCTGTGCTTGCAGGGGACAGCTGTCCCCTGCAAGCACAGCTAGGTGAATACACTGAAGGAAGAATCTGCAGAAGCACCTCCATATGCAACTTCATGACCAGATATAACAAAAAACTGGAATGTCAGGAAAGTTAAAATAAAATACACCAAATTCAACAAGGCTAATAGGCAAAGCATAAAGAGCTGTCTCACTTGCCCATAAGTAACTTATAGACATTTAAGCACAACTACTACCACCATCAACACCACCATCCTTAATTATTACATCCCCCATCCCCCAGCATGGATTAATTTTTATTATTTATTGTAAGATATTTTTCTTTGTTTCATTCTTATACCTTAATATTTGAAGTTACACCAATTCATTAGTTTTTTTTTCAGAAACTAATTGCATATGGCCATCTGACTGGGAACAGTGCTGACGTCAATAATCCAAACAAACGGTTGATTGATCACATTGTTGAAACAATATGCAATTGCTTTAATGGTCCTTCAACCGATAAGGATGTAGAAATTCAAATAATCAAGGTATGTGTGCGCGCGTGTGTGTGTGTAATTACCTAAGTGTACAGTAGTTACAGGATGAGAGCTACGCTCGTGGTGTCCCGTCTTCTCAGATCTCTTTGCCATGTAACTCTTTGAAATTACTGACGGTTTTAGCCTCCACCACCACCTCACCTAACTTGTTCCAACCGTCTACCACTGGTGATATGATTAGCACTTGTAAAATACTAACAGGAATTGACCAAATTGACAAAGAGGAATTCCTGAAACTGGCACTCTCAAGCACAAGAGGTCATAGATTCAAACTAAAGCAACAAAGGTGCCAAACAAATATTAGAAAGTTTTCTTTTGCAAACAGAGTAGTAGACAGTTAGAAGAAGTTAGGTGAGAAGGTGGTGGAGGCCAAAACCATCAGTAGTTTCAAAGCGTTATACGACAAGTGCTGGGAAGACAGGACACCACAAGCGTAGCTTTCATCCTATAACTACACTTGGGTAATTACAACTAGGTAATTACACACACATGCCAAGGTAGTTGTGATAAAAATTGCTTTTTTAAACATTTACATTGATATTTTGCATAAAGAATGGGGGATGGTATCTTTATTCTGGAGGTGTACATGGGCCAGTTTGCATTAGAGCCACCATTAAAACATTTCTATCTAACTACACCATTAATAATATTGCATCCTATAACATCCTTATTCTTTAGCAATTGCATTACCCTTGTTAGTATTTCTTGTTTCATAAACTGTTGGTTTCACAATACTCAATACTATGACTATTTATCTATATAAAGCTGTTCAATATTTTGTAGTGGATTTGTTGATAGAAAGCTGTATATATATTCAGATAGGTGATAATTGCTCATAAATTCTGAAATATGTTTTCACATCTCAGGCCTTGCTGACTGTGATTACGTCACAGTATGTTAGCGTCCACGAAGGCACAGTGCTGGTGGCAGTGCGAACTTGCTACAACATTTTTTTGGCATCACGGGACATGAACAACCAGGTCACTGCAAAAGCTGCTCTTACACAGATGATCAACATCATCTTCACTCGTATGGAGAACCAAGCGGTAAGACGATTAATACTTGATTAAGTATTATTTTCTGGCACTATATAATAAGTTTTTGCTTGTATTTTTGGTGGAGAAGTTGTGGTAATATGCACATTAATTTCATAGTCTGAGTCAGTCAAGTTAAAGACTTGTTTTGGTCAGTAACTAACTTGACTGGTCATTAGTGGACACAGCTTTGCCCTTGACAGTGGAGGGCCTTGACTAGCTGTTGGCTTCTTATTCCTCTACATAGTTGTAGTAATCATACAGCATAGATAATACAATGATATGCTGATAAATATTGATGGTTTGGTGTGTAATAGGGGTAAGTAGGTTACATCCCATCTTTGTAGATATATTTGTATATAGACTTTATGTATGAATACAAATAAAAGAAGAAATTAGAAAAAAAAATTAAAATATAATGTTGGAAATTACTCTTATTTGACGAACCTACAATCTGGATTGCACTGTATCTTCCTCGTGATTTCTTTTGTTTTCTCCAGACTGAATTTCAAAGGAAAAACAGATTTGGTTCATTGTTTAGAAGGATGCCTTATATGGAGGTTTGGATTGTCAAGGGTGTACCAAATTCAGTTATACAGTAATTGGCAACGATACAAGTGAACACAAATTGGGGTATTTAGAATTTAAAGTTTTATCGTAGAATAACTTGATCTGGACCGAGTATTAATTTCCACAGATTGAAGATGCTGCTGAAGAGAGTGGACGTGAACACAGCTGCAGTACAGTCTCCTCCAACAGTGCCAGTAGCCAAGCTGTCTCGCATGAAAATGGGCAGCAGGAGCGGCATTCTCAGCAGGAATCAGACGCTGAGCTTGGCCCTCTCCAGCAGCAGAACATTTCCTTGCAACGAAATTCCCATTCACTCACAGATAGCTCTGTAACTGACTCCACAATGGTAAGACAATTTTATGAAGTACACGTATTAGTACTGTATATGTGGTAATGCCAGCAGTTGATGGTTACTGATGGACTTTGAAAAGAATGGAAGATATTCAGACTTGGTTAAAAATGTATGTACAGTACATGTTTAGGTTTTAGAAATACAGTATAACCTCGATTCAATGAAGTGTATTGGATTTAACCCAATTCATTACAGTGAGGGATTTGATGCAACCGGAGATGCCTCCAGGATGCATTTTTTTGTCTTATGGGCTAATTTCACTGAGTGAAATTTTAATTTCAACCTGTCCTTTAAAGGACAACTACTAAGAGAAACTTGTCTGTAAAGAGATTTAATCACATTTAGCATATTTTTTCATAAAACAAGAGGAATCTCAAAATTAAAGTGAACCATTGTATTAAGTTTTAAATATGCTCAATGGCTTTCTCAAGGCTCCTTGGGAAAGCTATTGAGCCAATATATGCCATGGAAGTTGTATGTATGTGTACAAACTGTAATATCAATAATAAAATATTGTTGAAATTGTATAAATTTGTAATATGAATCAGAAGTGTAAAGGGGGTTAATTCATGATATTTTCTAGTCATAAATAGTAATTATTTATCAATTGTTACATTTGCAGAGTTCTTGTAATGGTGTGCAAGATATATCCAGTGAAAATGTAGAAATACCTATTCCAAATGGTTCGGCAGTAATTATTGAGCCGCAACTACCATCGTGTCCTCTCACATCACATCAAATAGCCACAGAACTAGTTCATGATATAGTTAACCAGGCGGTCACAGGTAGGAACAGTCACCGTTTTATCTATGATAACGGTTCCTCTTTTTTTTGTCAGCATATTCCTTGGTACATAACTTGTTTGAAGTGTCTGAAGCTGTCTTATTTTCAGGACAGTACAGCATCTCATACAAAGCTTGCATCACAGTACATTTGGCACACTTGTTTTCCTGATTAGATACTAATCTGACCACTGATCGGTGTTCCCTGGTATTTATTTAACTATTAATGACAATATTAACATTAATTGTAGATAAAGAACTGTTGCTAATAAAGGTCAGAAGTAAAAATTTGTGTGTTGTATAGTAACTCAAAACATTATTATAACCTGTCTGGTAATTTTTAATTGACTGATTATAAATGTTATAGGCTTCATTATCATCACTTGTTGGTATTTACGTGTGCTCTTTGGTAATTACCGGGTCAGGGGTCAAAGTACAAATGGGTTTTGTGCTATCAGCAGCTTTCCCCTCATTAAACATTCTATTGCTTTGTTATTAATAGCAAATTTTTTTTTTTTTTTTTACCTGCCTTCACATATTTAGAATTTCTTTTTTCACAGTGGTATCAACTGAAGAAACTATTCTGAAAAATGGTCATCTAGACAGTGTAAATGAAGTCAACAACGTGGAAGCACTGCGTTCATCTGATACTTTTGAGTCATCTTCCCCTGAAGGTGACGAGAGTGTATCTGCTCCAGGTGTGCCACAAGAGGACACGGGACAGGGGGACGCATCACCATTATCAACAGACCACCGCAGTGATTCCGTCGCCTCTAATCCTCCCCTTACTCCAACCTCCATCACTAGAGTGCCGTCACAGGTTTGTTTTCACGTTTCCATGTGATCTGGTTTTGCTTTCAGTTGCAAAAATCATTAGAAGTAAGATAAGAGCGATATTAAAGGAGGTAGAGCAAGTACTCATATTTGCCATGTACCTGAGCAAAAAAATGTTAAGTTTAGCTCATATGATGAATATTCACCGAGAGAACCCGGTATAATACTGTCCTGTATTTAATCTCACCCTGGGTATTTCACATGACCCCAGCGTCTTGTGTGTTTTTGCCCAAAACAACCACATCCAGCTACAGTCACTACATCCAGCCACAGACACCGCATCCACCCCACAACCACCGCATCTACTCACATCTACCCTCAATCACCCTCATCCACCACACCCACAGTAATTACATCATATATATACTGTACGCACAAGACGACACAGGGAATATATTGCTCTTCAGTGGTAGTGTGTATGATACCATTTGTCATATCAAGATGAGAAGAAAACCTTACCTTTTTATTACAGGGCTTTTTAATCTTTAATAAGCAAATATTTATTAAAATCCAAAGAACTTGGCCAATGTTTCCAAAATTCTATACTGTAATTGTCACCAGTTTTAGTCTAATTTTTCAATTTTCACAGTGCATTTATGAGCACATCCAAGTTGGATTAAAAGGCAGTTTTATTATTACCAATACAGTATCTTAATTTTTCCCCCACAGGAGAGTATAAATACAATGACAGATGGAGATACGGCCATGACGGCCAAGTTGTCTCACACGCTCCAGAAGGACGCTTTTCTGGTGTTCCGTTCCCTGTGTAAACTCTCTATGAAGCCCCTATCTGATTCCCCTGACCCAAAGTAAGTTTCCATATAGCAGTTTGTTATTACCTGGTTGATACCTGGTTGATGGGGTTCTGGGAGTTCTTCTACCCCAAGCCCGGTCCGAGGCCAGGCTTGACTTGTGAGAGTTTGGTCCACTAGGCTGTTGCTTGGAGCAGCCCACAGGCCCATTATTTTACTATGTAGAGAATTTTCTTTATGGTTTTACATCGTGTTACTTCTTGCCACATTTTGATCAGCCTAGTGTAGTACACAGGAGTCTGTTTCAGATTGGTAAAGTACTGACTGGAGTACAATGGGACCTAAATAATCTGAACTTGGGAGTAGCAGAAACCTTGAAAATATGAGAGGATTTTTCTGTTGGAATTATTATTGCAAATCTAAAAGGACCTGAATTTTCACATTTTCAACATGTGGATAACACGAATCGACTCGTGGGTCGTTAATACTCATTGACCTAATTCATTCAGGTTTTTTTCCTTGAATAGTAAATTTTAGGGGAAAAATAATTTTATTTGTTATATATTGCCCTTGAAATAAATAAATATATACTGTATATATGAGTGTCAATTGTATTTTTATATAATATTTATGTATATAATATAATATAATATACATATAATTTTTTAATTTTTTTTGGCAGATCTCATGAGCTCCGATCGAAAATTCTGTCTTTAGAGATGCTTCTTTCAATTGTTCAGAATGCAGGGCAGGTTTTTCGCTCTAATGAAACCTTCATCACAGCAATCAAACAGTACCTTTGTGTAGCACTGAGCAAAAATGGCGTCTCTCCGATTACAGAGGTGTTTCATCTCTCTCTTGCCATTTTTGTTGCCCTTTTGTCAAACTTCAAGGCTCACCTTAAAAAACAAATAGAAGTAAGTGAAGTATTACAGCCTTTTTATCTGTTTATTGTTCATACCTTTTTTTTTTGCCTGAACTATTTTGGTAGCCATTTTGATTATGCAATTTCTTGTAAAAAGCTTTGAAATTGCTTAATATTTTTGTTTTAATTTTAGGATTTTAATTAATGTTAAAGATCAGCTATGCATAATGTAAAAAAAAAGTTTAACTTCATTCAGTATTAACCCTTAGACAGCGGCTTTGGAGAAATGGTCATACCCACCTATGCACAAAAAAAAATAATTCCACAAAACATTTTTTCATTGTATAATTATTAATTTCTATGCAAAATGTAAGAAAAGCACAAAATAAGTGAATATTTATCGTTTCACTGGGTTGAGGCGCTCTGCAAGGTTGCATCTGGCACTTGTCAACACCTGGTGCTCGACTTTGCTGATGCTTCCTGTTTTATCACTTGTTTTTCTTCATACACATCTACAGAGAGCTATTACATCTATATTTGCATCATACATGTAAAACAGACATTGTTTAAATCGTCACATGATAATGAACGCATTCCCCTAGTAACATTCATGACAATAACTGCATTCTTATTGTGAAATGATAGCAGGAGTTTTTTCATGGGGTCAAGATAAACTCCATTACATCCACAAAGACCTATTATATCCATATTTGCATCATGCGTGTAAAAACCCAGACAATAATTGCTTAAATCATCTTTCGATAATACAGTAATCGCAGTTTTCTCCTAGGTATCGTCAATAGACAATATTCACAGCCAATAAAGTTAAAAAAAAAAAAAATGTAAAGAAGCATTGCTGATAGCATGTACGGAACAATAGAGCCCCCAGTGGAGTTGCATACAAAGATTCCCCTCAACATAGCAATAACACAACAACAACAAATTGCTTTAATTTGTATATTTTTTATCATACAGTAACTCCGGTAGCCACCATTGCCATTGTTACTCCTCATGGTGACCACCACCAGTCCTGCTAAGCACCATTATTATGCAACTTCCACATGCCATTACAACCAACTCACAATATGCAGAACATTGTCTTTATACAATATATGCATGGCCTGCTTGTATGTTTAAAACTGAATGTGGCACGTTTTAATATAATGTATATTTTATTAAATGCGTTATTCTTGCGTGAAGTCTCGTGGATGAGATCATAAATTGTCTTTTCAGGTGTTCTTCAAGGAGATCTTTCTTAACATCCTTGAGGCAGGGAGCTCCAGCTTCCAGCACAAGTGGATGGTGATACAGGCACTGACACGTATATGTGCTGATGCTCAGTCAGTGGTGGACATATATGTCAACTATGACTGTGACCTCAATGCCGCCAATGTATTTGAAAGGTACATATTCTTTATTTTGTATTAGCAAATTAAAGAATAGTTTAAGGAAATAAAGACGAAAATACTATCCGAGATAGAAATGTTATAATTAAAAGGATGTGTATAGACGGTTGTAAATGACATCTAAATAGAAAGTATCGACTGTGCCAATCCAGTAGGATTACCATCAGAAGAAATTGCAATGAGCAACTACTTTGGTAATCTTGACCTCCCAGCTTTTGATACCTTTCTGCCTCTGAGAACATTGAGTAATATTTATGTTTTGCAGACTGGTGAACGACTTGAGCAAAATAGCTCAGGGAGGGCAGCCTGGAGAGTTTGGATCTACGCCACTACAAGAGCGCAGTATGAGGATCAAAGGACTAGAGTGCCTTGTATCCACCCTCAAGTGCATGGTGGAATGGTCCAAGGAACTTTATGTCAATCCAAATACTCTCTCTAATTTAAGTAAGTAAAAATTTTTGTTTTATTAGCAGTGTGTTAGAGTGGAGGCTGTAGAGGAGGTGGTGTTATTGCAGCAGTGCAGCCAAATTGCAGGTTCAGTATTAACCTGTATTTTTTAGTCAGAACTGCTACTCTTGCACAGTGAAATCACAAATTAACTAAATTAATGTGATGTACAGTATCAATGAGAAAACCCCCCTCGTGGCTGCTCCTAGTTTTCTCATTGCTACCATTGGCTTACATCATTATCATAATATGTCTTATGATAATGTGCATTTTTATTACTATTTGTATATGCTTTATAGCTATCTACATTATGGTTTTAGATTTTTTACGTGCTGAATAGCTGGTGTGGACTTGTAATAACTAGAATACACTCCTATTTGAATTGAATATTTAATTGAATTGGGCATCATTTTTTAAGTGTTCACCCCTGTTCACTATTTAGTAATTGAGTCTGGTTGTAAAGTAATTGCCAAATCATGTTCTAGGAAAAGCTAGAAAGGTAAGGGTTTAGATGAGCTGTGGGGAAGAGAGCACTCTGCCTGCAAACAAGGGTCACAAGATTTCTGCTCTTGTATTCACTAATGGAAGAAATCCTTTGCAATAGTAAGAATGTGATTAGTTGGACTGGACAATAATAGAAGGCATTCGGTGGTGTGAGCACATGTATTTGCTTATTCAAAATAGATTTTGAAATAAACGTTACAAAATAACATACAGTAATTTATAAATATTTTCTTTCGTTCAGTAATTTTGCTATTAGAATATTCTATGTACAAAAGGGTATTTTATCATTAGCAGTAATAAAAAGATGAAATGTATGGTATGAACAACAAAAAACTGCTGATGGGACCAAGAAAAAATCTGTCCAATAATGTGGGTATCCACTATATTTTTTTTTAGAATACAGTACTGCGTATTTTGTAGTTTCACACTTTTCTTTTCAGGTCAAGAAAAGAAAGAGTCAACTGATGAATCAGAAGTGAGCCAGTCATTAGAGGATAATCGGACTTCTTTGGCCAGACATGGCTCTCATAACTCCATTAGTTCCATCCAGTCTTCATCTACTAACACCGCTTCCTCAACAGTCGGAGTGGATAATCCCGAACAATTCCAGTGTCTCAAACATAAAAAAGAGATATGGGAGCAAGGCATTCAAATGTTAGTATTTTCTGTCTGTTTTCTGTTTAGCAAAACATTAAGGCAAGTTGTTAAAATTCCATATCCTTACCCTTGTTTGTTTTGACACTGTACTACTAAACAAAATTTTGATATTTTGATATTCAAAGAGAAAATTTTAGAGCAATATGGTGAGACCGAACTCATACCTCAGGCCTCCCTAGAGACACTGTTCTCGTTCATGTAAGATGCTATTGTCATTTTGGTTAGCATATCCTTTTCAATTCAGATACATGTACAATTGAATTCATTATATCCAAAGACATTATAGAAATTGTTTGCATTTTTTAATACCAGATTTTCAAAAATATAGTTGTTTGCAAAATTGTAGCTATTTGTAAAAAATACATTTTGTGAAGCTATTTCACTTTGATGTTCCTAATGGCAAGATCACGTGTTCTCATTGGAGAGGGTCATGATAGACAGGAATGGGGGAACATATTGCACTGGTGCAATGGATCGTTTCAACCCTCTCGGTTAGGTGGTCATGCTGGTGCTGTGGAGCCAGTGGAGAAAATCTTAACTCAGGCCAGATGTACTGGAGAATATTTTTGACTGGAACATGCCTGGAAGTTGTGTGTTAGTTTATGAAAAATAACTATTATTTATTTTTGGATTTATAATACTTCTTTCAGCAATTCGTTTGACCTCTCAAATCGTGTTCATAGAATGTGCGTTTTTGTCAGGTTTAACCGGAAGCCAATGCGCGGCATAGCATTCCTCCAGTCTCAGAGGCTCTTGGGACCTACTCCAGAGGACATTGCCAAGTTCTTCCATGACGATGACAGATTGGATAAAACCCAAATTGGGAACTTTCTTGGTGAAGTAGACAACCTTAATAAAGAGGTGGGTTAATACTAGTGTCAGTCTATTTAACTACAGTATGCTCTAATCCATTATCATTTATTCATCACACTTTGTGTTTAATCTTTTAAATTCTCACTGAGGTTTCAAATATAAACAAATTTTAGGGGCTTTAAATAATCAAATAGAACTAAAATTCTGTTTATAAGATTGAAGAATGTGAAGTATTTAAATTTCAGACATCCATTTCTTTGTTTGCAGTTTATATGGAAGGTTGGAGTTAGTACATATGGTCTAAATTTTATGCAGTACATTAAAGCCTGTATAATCTAGTTTATACATAAGAGTGGTAAAATAACTCAGAATTGAAATTTATATGCGAGATCTTTCACATTATTATAAATTTACTTTGGACTAACTGCATTTGTTTTCCTTTCAAAAGGCACATGGAAGTGTGTTTTATTTGAATAATATAGTAAAAGTATTCATAGTTTCTCATTGTATGTGTTTTCAGACAATGTGTGCATATATTGACCAAATGGATTTTCACAATTGTGAATTTGTGCCCGCTTTACGGATGTTCTTACAAGGATTTAGGCCACCTGGAGAGGCTCAGAAAATTGATCGGTTGATGGAAAAGTTTGCCTCGAGATACTGCGAGTGTAATGCCAAGTAAGAGTTTCAGCTTTTTCTAGCTTGTTTTAGGGATACTAATTAACCAAAGATCTATACAGTACTGCAGGTTAACTGTTTTATGTGCCGTAGTGTAGTTTAACCCCACTACTGCACACCTGTTAAAAAAAAGTTAAAAAAAAAAGTTAAAAAAAAAATATTTTTCTTTGTAACATTGTTATTATGTATTCCTTGATCATGGTAAATAAAAAAAAATATTGTATGTAGCTTGCTTCGGCTGTGGTGGTGAGACCACAGCCGAACCAATTTACAATGCAATTTGCAATTACAATGCAGCCGAAACAATTTGTTTACAATCATAAATGTACTGTTATCCAAATTTGTTGATTATTGAACATTATTTAAATACAGTACCAATCAGTAAAACAAATTATGTCAGGCTATCTTAATACATTCTGGATGGGACAGTAATTGGCATGTATTTATCTTTTACAGCATTGGACTGTTTGCTAGTGCGGACGCTGCGTATGTGTTGGCCTTCTCCATCATGCTGCTTACTACAGACTTACACAATGTCCAAGTCAAGGTAAATGTTGACATATCTGTATACAGTACCTGGTAAATACTGCTACCTGTTGTGTCTTGGTTAAATTACGTATCATTTTGATGTTTTGAGAATATTTGTTTAAGATTGGGTGGTGTGAAAGCAAGAAGGGAAGGGAACTATCAGGAGAAATTGTCAAGCCATTACGACTATATAGCACTTGGAGGGGATCAGGATAAGGATTCCCCAGAGGTGTGAGAGTGGTGCTTGACAGTGACACTGCCATAAGCCACCACTACCCTCTTAGGCTACTCCCACAACATGCTGTAACTAATGATTATTATCCTCCACAGAATAAAGTAACAAAGGAAGGGTACATCAAAATGAACCGAGGGATCAATGATTCCAAAGACCTTCCAGAAGAGTACTTGTCCAGTATCTATGATGAAATTGCTGGCAATGAAATCAAAATGAAGGCTACTTCTACGAAATTGGGAAAACAAGGTAAGTGGCTGAGAAAGAGAACTAGAGTTTGGTAGCAACATGCAATACAGATAACAATAAGATAAGTAAGAAGATGAATAAAGTAATAACATGCAATGTCATTTAAATTTTGTCTTTATTTTGGAATGTTTTCTACAGTATTGAAGTTTTAAAAGTTTAAGTCGTCAAATTATTATAAATGCCTTAATAGTATATAGTAGATAAATTATTATAAGTTCAGAATTACATGTACAATAGGGCTCAAAAAATGGGATTACTGGTTCTCTTCTATATATATAAACAACTTTAATTTGTAAGCATCAGTGAGGTATACAAGTGTTAAAATCAGAGCATATATTTAATTAACATTCTGCATTGTTGAAATTGAGAAGATTAGTCAAGGAACATGTAGGAGAGAGAGGTTGAGTAGTAATCTTTTATTTTTTTCAGCTGTTGCAAATGAGAAGAAACGTAAGTCACTATTTAATTTAGAGATGGAGACTATATCAATAACAGCGAAGTCTTTAATGGAAGCAGCTTCACATGTCTCTGCCACCTTCACTCTGGCAACCCATGTTGAGCACGTCCGACCCATGTTTAAGGTGACTATTTAATATTGTATTTTGTAATGCTGTGTCACATAAGCCTATCCAAAAAAAAACAAATTAGCTATAAAATAATTTGTTTACTCTGAAATCTTGTGGAGAAAATTTTAATTCGTACTTTTTATATATGAATGCAGAATTTTATTTCGATCACCTTCTCATTTCATTTGTGATTTCTATTTGTAGATGGCTTGGACACCATTCCTGGCTGCATTTTCAGTGGGTCTTCAAGACTGTGATGATGCAGAAGTGGCATCCCTCTGCCTGGATGGTCTTAGATGTGCCATCAGAATTACTTGCATATTTCATATGAAAGTAAGTAATTTAAAGCTTTTGGTATGTACTCTATATAAATACTGTGTCAAGACTAATATCTTCCCTCTTTTCACTTTCCTTTTTCAAGTGTCCCTCGAGGAATTAGGAATTTTCTTCACATGCATTCCTTCATTTTCCTAATCCAGAATGGTGTTTTCTCATCCCATTTTTCATGTCCCTTGTATCTCACTTCTCTTGAAATCTTGTCTTTCATTTGCTTGTCTAAACTCTCGTTGTATTATTTTGTCTTCCATTGTATAATTCTTGCAAAGTATCTGATCATCAATCTCTTTGCACTAATGCATCTTATCTCTCTCTCTCCTCCCTGGTATTATGTTTATATCCAACTGATATTATATATATACATAAAACTCTTATTCAATATTATACTATTCATAATGTCTCACTCTACTTGTTTCATAAAGTAAAATTTACCACTTTTGCCTCTTGAAAATTACATTAGTCTTTGCAGATTTTTCCGCTACTTGTGAAGTTGCTCATGGCTAAATTTAATGGTAAATTCTTGTATTTTCTCTTTATTTGGTACCAAATTAAGAACAGAGACTAGTTAGCAGACTGACTATAGAGAGGCATTAAGTTGAGAATTGATTGTGTTAAAGATAACATTTTGAATGTAAGGACTTTCATGAAATCTAACTCGGAGAGAACTGACTAATTATAAAGGTTTAAGTCAAGCTCAGACACGTGAGGGTTTCAAGCATTCCAAGTATTTCATAATGTTTATTTAATGAGTAGTGATTTGTCGAGTTGTCTAGGGTGTTAAACAATTACAATTGGAACAAGCTACACTATTACAAAGTGTATCCAAGCAGTACACTTTCTAGGTCTACTTTCTACACTTGCCTCCAGGTCGGACACTAGAGCTACATTTTACACCACAGATACATCATGGTGAGCACTGTAATGCTTAGAGGAACAGTGTTTACACCACAAATGTCAATACAGTATACACAATAGGCAGCACACAAGCTGATAATCCATGTCATTGTTAATACATAACTATGAAACACGGGTTCATGCACACAGGTTATCTTCAAATTTATATGCTGTCATATGTTGGCAATACTGGTATAGTGGTCTTATCTGATCCCAAAGGAAGACCTCTTACAGTTTAGTTTACATCCATGGTTATCCAGAGCTGGAATGGTCTTATCACCAGTGAATATAACATTTTTGTAAATTTGCAAAAACCATTTGGAAAAATTCCCTTTGATGCCACTGTTTAGAATGTCTCCTGCCTGACTGCCTATGATTCTTGTCCAGACAAAATTATCTTTGAGGGTAGCCCCATTCAAGAGCTCAGAACAATACATTAACATTCCAATAGGTAACTAATGTCTTTTCATCTCATATTTCAAGCTTGAAAGAGATGCCTTTGTGCAGTGCCTCGCCCGATTTACACTCTTGACAGCTAATTCACCACTAACTGAAATGAAAACCAAGAATGTTGACTGCATCAAAACTCTCATCACAGTTGCACATACTGATGGTAAGATATGCACCTTGTGTATTATAGTCATGTTAAATATACAGTATAGTATGACTGACTTTGAAAACTCGTTATTTCTTGCTCAGGTAAAAGCTTTGTTTATTATAAGTGTGTGTGTGTGTACGTATACGCTGTACTCTAGTTTTATTTGTGAATTTAAAAGTACTTTAAACTTTCCTCAAGTGAATGTTTAATCATTGTCCATATTCTAAAGCTTTGACACTTTATTTTGTAGAACTATTAACGGTTTAATAAAGGAAGATAGAGCTGTATACAAAATATTAACCTAATATATTAAAGGTCATATGCATCCACTTTCTGAATACTATATATATAGAATTAAAACTGTTTAGGAGGAAAAGAACAATAATTCTGAAGTAAATTATAATAGTACAGTTTTGCCACTGAAGGAAGGTGAGCATGAAACTAATTAGCTGACTAAATACTAGGGGCATGTGATTCTAAAATGAAATCATAAGGTTCGTCAACATCACCGTTACAACAGAGATACATAACTAACCTGTACTGATACATGTACTAACCTGATACATAACTAATTCCTACCAAGCACAATAAGACCTTAATTAATAGTTATATATTCTATGAAAGTGCAAAAGATGAACTTCATATTTTACTTTGTTTTAATTGGAGATAATTTGATGGACAATGTTGAGCTTGTTTTATGAGACGCAAATGATGGCAGATTATACAATCGTGTCGTCATTTGCTCACAGAAGCATTCTTTGCTTTTAACATTCTCTCCATGTGTTCAGGAGAAATATTGTTAGATAAAGTTTAAACCATTGGAAAATGGAAAAATATAAATATGCATAAACTATAGTTCTCTGAATATTAAAACTACCGTACATGTTAGAAAAGGCAATCCCTGTTATTAAATGTAAAATAAATATTTTTTTATGTTGCATTTGACCTCGTAAGAAATAATGCATTAAAGATTATTAAATCTAATGTTTTGTATTCAGTGAAGTATTCATTTGGACGCCCCAAGCACAAATCTAAAAAATAAAGGAATTGTATAACTTTATAATAGTCCAGGAAGTCCAGGACAGACTGACATGTTGTCACTTACTGCATTTTTAGATTTGTGGGTTGGGTGTCTTAATTTTCAACCCTGTTATTGTGACTTACTGTCTCCATATATTCATTTGTACTTATTTATTATATTTTAATAACAATTACATTTTTTCTTTCTTTTTATTTTTTAGGAAATTATCTTGGAAAATCCTGGTTGGAAATCCTAAAGTGCATCAGTCAACTAGAGCTGGCCCAGCTGATCGGGACCGGGGTAAAGCCTCAGTACATAAAGGATTCTGGCCTCAAGATGCCGCATGAAACTTCCAACTTCCTTGATGCCTTTCCAGAATTCAGTAAGTTCTAGTAAAACCTTAAAAGGATTATATGCTCAATAGCAGTGGAAAATATTGCAAGATTTGTATCTTTACACAAGATACAAACTGGCGTAAAAATAATTTTGTCTTCGTTTTTGGGGAATGTATTTTGGTATGTGGGGTTAATTGTTTACTTTCTCTTGAATAATTTCAGTTACTGGTGAGCAGAAGAAACTGGCTCACATTAAGGAGTCCATGGGGGAAACTTCTTCCCAAAGTGTTGTTGTGGCTGTTGACAGAATATTCACCGGGTCTACACGATTGGACGGAGATGCTGTGGTTCACTTTGTCAGCGCCTTGTGTCAAGTGTCCCTCGAGGAATTAGCCGCTCCCTCACCACGGATGTTCTCTTTACAGAAGATTGTCGAAATTAGTTACTACAACATGGGTCGCATCAGGCTGCAGTGGTCCAGAATATGGGAGGTTAGAAAACTGAATGTTGTTTACTATTTTTTATCATCATCGTTAAGATGTCAAGTACAGAATACTCTTGTACTGTACTTTATTTTGGGAACTATTATTGATAAGGATGGCAAAAGATGTGAAGAAACTGAAGTAGAATTATAGGGCCTTTGAATTCTGTGGTACCCATATTTTTTGCTCTAATTCTAATAATACTGTATGTAAGAAAGAACATGTAGATACATCTTAGTTTTTCATATAAAAATTATTATATATATACAAATGAAATGAAACACCAAACTTTGTCATTCTGATGAATCAATTTTGTAGACAGAATAGTTATAAAGAATGGTTAGTGTGGCGGTTGTCTTGGCTTATTTCATCTTAATTAATCAATTGGAATTGAAGGGAATTTATAAATTGTATTCATAAGCTCCACATTTCCTTACATGAAGCAAAAGTGTGCCTCAACATTCCAAATCTCATTATAGTGGGAAACTCTCAAAATCTAGAAAGATTATTCCCAAATAAGAATAAAAATAAAGGTTATGGTAATAACCGTAAAAAAAGATAAAAATGGATAAAACCTGGATAACCTGGATAAAAAAAAAGGTTATGGTAATAACTGTACTGTACAGTATTTACAAATTTGTTAAAGCATAGAGATAGGGAAAAAAGACGGGGAATTATTTGTAAACAGAATTAAACAGAACTAGAGGTCACAGTTACAAATGTAAGAGGAAAGAGTACTGAAAGATAGACAGGATGTACTTGTGCAGGCGATGAGGCACAATAACGTGGCTGAAGTATGTTGACCAGACCACATACTAGAAGGTGAAGGGACGACGACGTTTCGGTCCGTCCTGGACCATTCTCAAGTCGATTGAGAATGGCCCAGGACGGACCGAAACGTCGTCGTCCCTTCACCTTCTAGTGTGTGGTTTGGTCAACAGGATATACTTGTTTACCATAGGTGGTAGTTGCAAGGCATATACTCCCAAGAAGAGATTGTGTGCACAAGAACTGAAAATTATCAAATTATTTGTCAACAAAAAAAAAGATTGAAACTTGAGCTTAGCTCTCTGCTTGTAACTACAAATAGGTACTACTGTAACACATGCAGACTTTCATTAGTTGAATTGGGGATGTTTGTAATTAGATTTATTTTGAAATGTTTATGTCTGCTCCATTGATAATAGGTGGCCCAGTCAACCAATTCCTGCTTGATTCATTGCTTAAATAACATTTGTTTTTTTTTAGGCCGTCTTATAATGCATGCATGTTAACCAGTTCTGTAGTCCAATATTTGTGTATTAAATACATTCCCAGGTACTAGGTGAACATTTCAATAAGGTTGGTTGCAACCCCAATGAAGAAATTGCCGTGTTCGCTGTCGACTCTCTACGTCAGTTATCGATGAAGTTTATTGAAAAGGGAGAGTTCTCCAACTTCCGTTTCCAAAAGGAGTTCCTTCGTCCATTTGAGCACATAATGAAAAAGAATAGGTAGGTTGATCGTAAACTTGGCAGAGACCAAATGCCAGGTGATTCTAGGCTCCTGGACTACTATGTAAGCTTTCAAAATTTTGCAATTATTTTTAAAGTACTATATATAAAAATGTAATTTAATTTTACATTAACTAATTTATTCCATTTGCTAATTTGAAATTCACTAAAAAAAATATTTTTCCCCCCCCAAATTTATGGGACTCTACTAATGCTATACTGTTTATGCTGTATAAATAGTATAATTTGATAGTGATGTGTATTTTCACTTCCCAGGTCACCCAAAATAAAAGACATGGTGGTCAGATGTTTAACACAAATGGTCAATTGTCAAGCAAAGAACATCAAATCAGGTTGGAAAAACATATTCAGCGTCTTCCATCTTGCAGCCTCCGACCATGATGAAAATATTGTAGAAATGGCCTTTGAAACTACAAAAGAAATTATATGTAAGTACTGTACTTATTTGTTCAAATGATTCCATTTTAAATACAAAATATATGTGCTTACTTGTCTGTGCTTACCTGTCATTGAAAATGGGGTTTGGATCTAGCTCTTTATGCCTTATATAGTTTTTTTTTAACAGCCGGCATGCCCTGTATTACAACTTTGAAGTTCCTAGATATATGTCTTATTTGTTGTTGATGTATGGATGGAAATGGCACTGACAATTTCTTTGAATGCATCCCTCTTGTCAGCCATGGATACAGTACAGGGTGTAAGAATTTTCATGTGTCTCAACAGCTCAATTGTGAATCCAACTTCCATCAATGTCCCCTTTTCCTACCTTCTTGTAATTTAAATAGGTTATCCTTGTCCAACTTGTCTATTCCCATCAGTTTGTTATATGGAGTGATCATATTCCCTCTTTTTTATTCTATCGTTTAAGGTTGAATTTACTTGACTTGGTAATTCACTGTTGACCTGGTAATTTTAATTCACTCTGTTCTGGTATCAGTATAATTGAAAATATCTACATACATTTTTTGTGTTTCACTTGATGCAGGTTACACCCTGTTGCTGCATACCACAGTAACGTTCTCATGTAAACTGTGTGTGTGAACTTTTTAATTACGCAATATATGGGAGTTGGAAAAATAATCATGTATCTCCCAATACAGTTGTAAATAACATTACTCTGTTTTCCACTTAATTGAGTTAGGAATAAGATAATGTATGTAGGCTAACAAATTGAAACTAATTCTGTAATCATGATTGTTTTTAAAAAGGCGGCATTCAAATTTTAACCTTTTGTTTCAAATACCGTAATGTTCAGTAAATTAATTTGTAAGCCTTGAAAATCATTCAAACTTCCCCCCCTCTCACTTCATATTGTGTATCTACTGTGAATATTCTACTTTTATAGTGACACCTATTTAATAATTTAGTTTAAGAATAGCTTTTCTCTTTCAGCTCAAATCTACCAAAAATACTTTATCACAGTGATAGATTCATTTCAAGACTCCGTCAAGTGCCTGAGTGAGTTTGCCTGTAATGCGGCGTTTCCCGACACCAGCATGGAGGCAATATCACTTATTAGAGATTGTGCTAAATATGTTGATGAGAAACCACAGGTGAGAGCTTTATTGTGTACAACAACAATTCTGTGTTTGCATGTGTAATGTTGTATGCTGCTGTGTAATCTCATTTGATAAATTAGCATGAATAGTTTTTGTATATGGCACACAGGTTACTGTTAATAAAATTATGCAAAGGGTTTAATAATAAGAATGTTTCTGACAAGTAGGTGAAACACCAGATGGACTGCAAAATATTGTAAAGGAATGTGATGGATCATATTCCAAGATAAAGTTGAAGGTAAGTGCCATTGAAAACAAGGGATGGCTTTCTTTGACAGTGGATGAGCTGGAAATATAGATAAATTGACCACCAAGTGTATGAACAAAGTTCAGTTTATGGTGCCATGCACTCCAGGGAATCCTAGCCCTTTTCTAACAAAAGAAGGTGTTGAACTGAAAAAGTATACTTTAGTTGAACTGATTGGACATACAGAAGTCAGATGTTACGACAATGCATATGAATAGCAGAACCTGCTGGAGGGTAGGATGAAAAATTTAAGTTTTTAATATTGGCATGGGTGTAAGACAGGGTTGTGTAATGTCTCCCTGGCTCATTATTAAATTAATTAAATTAATATATAATACTGTATATGGATGGGTGGGTGAGGGTAAGAACACCTGGAGTGGGAATAGAAGTGGATTGTGATGAAGTTAAATTGTTATTGACATGTTTGTACATAATGGGGGTGTTCTTTGCTGAGAGTGTGGAGGAACTGTAAAAGATTGTGAATGATTTTGATAGTGTTTGTGAGAAAAGATTGAGATGATTTGGATTTTTTTGGGATCTTATAGTGGTAAGGCAACATGATTTGAGCTTCAGAATGAAGTTGGGAATATACGGTGGGAAAATTGGTAAGTTTTAAATATGTAGGCCAGTAGCATTGTTAGATAAAAGTAGGTGAAATAAGAGAGAGAGAGAGTGATATAAAAAGAGAATTGAACATTATAAGTAAATGGAAGTAATGTCATAATGGGAATTAAGGATTAATAGAACGTATACTCCTCCCAGTCCTGATATGTGACAAGTGGCAGTGTGCTTATTGAGTGCAAGCAGTGGCCGTCAGTTTCATGAGAACACTTATTTGTTGTATGTGGAATGAGTATTGCAATGAGGAAGTATGAGTGAAAAGGCTGAGAGAAAGAAATATGTAGGAGTACAACTGGTGAAATTCAATACATATAAGTAATATGGGCATATTTAGTATAGATTTCCTTTAAATTTGAATTTGTGTGTATTAATAAGTGTTTATCACTTGCATGATTTTCAAATAATCATGCACCTGAGAGGTTTGTAAATTGTAACATTATTGCAGATGAACAAATCCACAAGAGCCGTGACGAGGATTCGAACCTGCGTCCGGGAGCATCCCAGACACTGCCTTAATCGACTGAGCTACGACAGGGTTAACAGGGTTGAAACCGAAGTTCTACTGAACTTACTGGATCCCAGTACTGGATACGGACGCAGGTTCGAATCCTCGTCACGGCCCTTGTGGATTTGTTCATTTGATGCATCACGTTAGTGTGATCTCTGTGTGTGATTATTGCAGATGTTCCGGGAGCACAACTTGGAGGATGTGACTGTGTGTGCTGAGGATAGAGTATGGGTACGAGGTTGGTTTCCCATTTTATTTGAGCTCTCCTGCATCATCACCAGATGTAAACTGGACATCAGAACCCGTGCTCTGACAGTTCTGTTCGAGGTAAGTTTATCGATGGCTGCTTTGCTTAAGTCATCTTCAAGATAACTTGATACTGCATTTGTCATAGTTGTGCCCTCATTCTCCACTCGAACCCAATCACTTGGACTGGATAGTAAGGCGATGGTCTCACTTGGACTGGATAGTAAGGCGATGGTCTCACTTGGACTGGATAGTAAGGCGATGGTCTCACTTGGACTGGATAGTAAGGCGATGGTCTCGCTTGGACTGGATAGTAAGGCGATGGTCTCACTTGGACTGGATAGTAAGGCGATGGTCTCACTTGGACTGGATAGTAAGGCGATGGTCTCACTTGGACTGGATAGTAAGGCGATGGTCTCACTTGGACTGGATAGTAAGGCGATGGTCTCACTTGGACTGGATAGTAAGGCGATGGTCTCACTTGGACTGGATAGTAAGGCGATGGTCTCGCTTCTTGCAGTTTGGCATTCAATCCCTGTTCGTCCAAGTGGTTGGACACCATTCCTCTCCTCCATCCTATTCTAAATCTTTATCCTCATATCCCTCCCAAGTGTTGTATATTGTAGTCATAATTGTTTAGCACTTTCTCCTGATGCTGTAATTACCTTATACCTCCACTATCACATCTTTTTCTTTAATTTTTAACTATTGTGCTGCATCTGAAGGACATGATCATAAAGTTCTGCATGATGACACATAGGAACTGTTGCCTTAGGAAATTTGTCAAATATACCAGCTGCGTATTAAGCTCATACCATACTAATGTTTCGCATCCTCACAGTATATTATGATGAGGAAAAATAATTCGCTCATACAACAATATTCAGTAATTACATTTTTCCTGTCATGTTCATCTTAATCAAGGCTTTCAGTGCACCAGCCACTTCCCTGACTTAATTTACTCTCTCACCTCCACGTCCAAACATTCGTCTTTTATTGAGTCACGGCTTACGTATTGAAGCGTGCCATGAGATTTCAATACTTTTCCATTCTCTCTAATTTCAAACCTAGAATTTAGTTTAAGCTCCAAATAATAAAAACTCTTTCTTTCTCCTTAACAGTTCATGATGAGTGCTTAGGTTTCAAATCAGTTTAGATTTTACCCTTATCTACTTACAGGTTGTGAAAAATTATGGAGGGTCATATTCGTCCCACTGGTGGAAAGACCTCTTCCAGATTGTGTTTAGGATCTTTGACAACATGAAGTTGCCGGAACAACAGACTGAGGTATGCCTCGGAACTCTTGCATACTTATAGTATGCTACATGTGTACTATTGATTGGATCCTATAAAAAATATTAATTGTGTATACGAATATGATTGTTTTTGTTTAATATGTATTCTTTTGATTATTCTTTGCATCTTCACATGAATCAATAATTGTATGCATGTTACTCATAGGTTCCGTCTTTGACTTTCATATTAGTGTAAATAATATGCGCTCTAATAATTATCAATGCAGTTTTCGAAGGCTTTGTTGATATACAATATTGTAGCTCTTTATTACTCATTAATTCTAGCTTTGGTGTTAATTATTCTACAGTACTGTACTTCATTTATTTATTTTGTTTAGTTAGGAATTATTTATTTACGTTACCTTCTCCAGTGACATCTAGGTGGGAGGTGTAATAACAATTAAACTCGTGTTTCTTAAACCAGACAATTGTGCTTTTCCTTCACGACAGAGTGCAGTGGAGTTAACCGAGAGGCAGGCCGAGGTTTGTGGTTGTGCCTTGCAAGGCTGTTGGAGTTGCTAATGTAATCTGTTGACTGATGCTCACATTAGCAGTATGCATGTTAATAACACTACTAACCCTAATCCATTTTGGGAGTTCACATGGCCTTGGTGAGGTTCATATTTGGGAGTTCACTTGGGCTTCATAGGGTTCATATTGGGAATTCATTTGGGCTTAGGGTTCATATTGGGAGTTCACCTGGCCTAGGTGATGTTCATATTCAGAGTTTATTTGGGCTAAACAGGGTTTATATTGAAAATTCACTTTGGCTTAACAGGCTTCATTTTTTAAGTTTACTTGCCCTTGATGAAGTTGATAATGAGTTCACTTGGGCTTAGTGGAGTTAATATTGGGAGTTGACTAGGGCCTCATGAGGTTATTAAACATTATGTCCTGCTCATGAAAAAAGATGTACTAAAACATCTTTTGATCTATTTTTCTCTTTGGGTAAGGTTGGGAATTTAGGAAATGGTAAACAATGTTAAATTTAACTAGATTCCTCACTAAAATGCCATGAGGTCAAAGCCATTATTTACAGCATAAGATGAGACACATTAAAATGTTGGTCATTGCACACATCATTAAAGTTGTTGTTAATACCTTACTAATCACTGAATCTCCAGTTATTTTGACCTACTTATTGAAGATTTCAAACTGTGCAGAAGACGTCTTGAATACTGACTACTCTAGGTAGATACTGTATGCAAATACAAGTAAAGTTGTTTCATCTAGATTACTAATTGAAGATAAAATATGATTCTAAAATGAAAATGAAGTAAAAATTAACTTTTAGCGATTTGTTAATGTGTTTCGTTAAAGTATTGACTGGGATGAGCATGGTCTTTGCAATTCCAGAAAATAAATGTAGAAGTAGCCAGCATTGGTATGTCCTGCACTTAGGCTCTCTGTCAGGTATACCAGTCAGTATTTGTCTATGTGCATTGTTCTTGTAAATCTTGTTATTATATATATAATAATATATTGGTTACTAATTTATGATGAACTCCCAAAATGTGGAATACATGTTTGGATGGACTGTGCCGAGGAGTACATCAGTAGCATTACATGTTTGGTTTGGGGGGTGGTGGTGGTGGTGATGGTTTGTGTTTTGGTGGTGGCAGGTGTTCTAATGGTGGTAGTTTGTTTGGGTGGTGGTGGCAGGTGTTTCATTGGTGATGGTTTAGGTAGTGGTGGTTTGAGTGGTGGTAGGTTTTCAAGTGGTGGTGGGTTGGGGTCATTGTTGCAAGTTCATATTAAGAAAAGATCATTCACCAGAGCTGTTAGGGAACATAAGTGTGAAATAGATCGTTAAAGTAATTTTGTGTTATGAATAATTATTTAGATATTACTAGTAAGTACAACATTACAGTATACTTGGAAAATTGTTCCAGGGTACAGGTCCCCCTTTCTGATCCAAAATGACAAAATAATTACAGGAACTGAATTACCTCATTGCCTGAAGTGTTATCGAAATCAGGCTTGCAGAACTTCGCCAACCAATTAAAGCAATTCTAGTGGAATTGGGAGATTATTTCTGTAAAGTTTATAGAGAATCCATGCAGATCACATAATTTCACAACAGGCTAGCTTATTGATAGCAAAATTTTTATTTTACAAAATGGGATTTTCTCAGTTGTGAAGCAGAAGGCAAGCATGCTACTAACTACACTGCAGGCTTTAAAGAAAATAGAAGTAGCATCTTAAAACTCTGTCCTATAACATAGATTAAACACCGTGACAAGCAACGAAAGCAGCGTCTAGGAAAGAGGAGTGTTATATAAGATTGTACGTGATGTGTAAAATTTATTGTCTTTGATTATGAAAGTTGTATGAATACCATCAATAGTGATGAGAGTATTTGAATTTTTAAATGGTCTTGATGAGCAAACTTGTCCAGTGAATTACACCTTGTTGTTGATGACTGGTTTGTGAAAAAAAAAAAATCCAACAAGACGTAAATCTTGCTCTGAAGATTTTGTTCATTTTTTATCCTGCTCCAGAGTGTGGACCACACTTACATGATATCCTCACTAATGTTAAAGATTTATTTTTGCCTCCAAACCCCACCTGCTTGAGTCCAGATACTAGAAGTTGCAGAGGGATCCAATAAAGCATTAGTTTTAAATTTTGGAATAGCTACAATATTGACAATGCTATTAAGTATGTAGGATAAAGTACAGAGCAGTACAAAGCACAGTATGGCACTTGGGGGAAAGTGTGAATGGAGTGTATCCATGATACCACAGGATTCATCAACACATTCTCCAAAATTGCAAAGATTGAAAGTTTTTGCCGAAGAATTTGAGGGAAAAGGTTCGGTGATGTGTAAATGATTAATGCATAAAATTTTATTATACATGTGGGTGAAATTGGTACTTTTAAACGATTAAGTGGGAAGCAGATGAAGGAAATGCTTCCCATTAAGTACAGTACTGGAGATGTGGTTTCCAAAACTTGGGGACAGAAGGCGTGTTAAGCTTATTGAGTTTATCCTCTGCCAGTGACTGGCCTTTCCTGTGATGCAGCCCACAAGAGCTGCCTAACTCCCAACTCACAGTACCTATCTACTGTTGAGTGAACAGAGGCATCAGGTTAAATAAAACGTTGCCCAAATGCTTCTGGTTTTTCTCTGGGAATTGAATCCAGGAAATTTCGGCTGTGAACCAATTGCACATGGCACTGCGCCTCAGGTGAATGGTGAGGCTGCCACATACCTAAGCCAATATTGTACCCCAAGGTGCTTGATATATACAAACAATTATTAGAAGTCCACATAGGATCAGAGGGAACAAAAGTAAAGGGAAAATAAATACGAAACAAAACAACATGCACATGTACAGCAGGTGTGCATTATGTAAGCAACAGGCCCAATGCCGAAGTGGAACAGTCTTGCTATAAAGAAAACAATTGTCTTAATAATATTAGGTGATAGATATTTTCACTAGTGATATGTTGATGGTCGTTGATGTTGCAATGGCAGATATCATTAAAACAGTGGACTTGTATATAATTTGTACCAAGTACTGTTTGCTGGGTTGCATTTGACTCTGTGATATGGGAGTCTTGTAGTGCCTTCATGTTAGTCTTGCATGCAAGTGCTCTACTAACCTACTATGTACTCTTAACATGCAGCAAGAATGGTTGCACCAGTTGAATTGTGAGGAGAATGAGCATTATTAAATGGAGGTCTTTTTGTCCTGTCATGCTCCTTGGAAATATGTATATATTTTGGGTTACATATAGAGGGTACCACCTTCAGTTGCATTTGTATTGTCCCTCGACCTCGAAGAAGACGATATGCAGCGTCCGGGGAAGCCTTCTGGGGCACCCGCATGTACTCTCGCATTATCTTCCCCTCCTCCTCCTTTTTTGGGTTACTGTATATTACTATTAGATTTGTAATTATGTACACTATACAATTTTAAGTTTTTATTTTAAATTAAAGTATTTTTGTTTGAGGGTAAGTGTTTTCAGTGTTTACAAATTATTACCTACCAAGAATAGTGTAACTTTGAGAGTTGAAATTGAATTGGTGTAATTCTGACATCTTGACTAAAGAAAAACACTTGATGTATTAAATACAGTATAAGAATATACTTAAAAAAAAAAGTACAGCATAATTTTGTAAGTTGTCATGAACCATATACATATGTATATATAAATATTTTCTTGGGGTATACACAGAAGAATGAGTGGATGACGACAACCTGCAACCACGCTTTGTATGCCATTGTGGACGTCTTTACCCAATATTTTGAAGTCTTGAGTCCCATGCTTCTGGAAGACTTGTACTCCCAGCTTCACTGGTGTGTTCAACAAGGTATGTAGTAAGTCTTTTATGGCCATTATTGTCTTGACTAATGAGTTTAGGTATTATATATGCAAGCAGTGAAAGCCTTTCAGGGGGATATTTTATATGCCTTGGCCTCGATGTATCAGGTGGGTTGCTTAGGCTTGCTTGTTTTGACGAGGCAGTATGGGTGCAGTTTTTTATGGAATGGCAAACAGAATGGGCTGGCTTAATTATCAGTTCATGAGACCATGAACTGGTCACATGAGGATTCTAAGGTTATGCTTTCTAAGGTTCGAATCCTTCACAAGGAAGAGTTCTTTGGTTACATATAACTTGTGGTTTATATAAGTGTGTTCTACATTTGGGGCTCGCGTTTTCCTCTGTGGAGACTGATTTGATGGAAACGATCGGTGATCTCTTGGCCATGACTGGTGCTGTTGGGGGTTTGGGATAAGTCTACGACTTCCAAACCTTTTAACAGTCTGTGGGGGCTTTCGAATGGTCAGCATCCTGGTTATGTTGGTGTATTTGATGCACCATGCTTTCTAAGGTTTGAATCCTTCATGAGGAAAAGTTCTTTGGTTATTTATTTATTTATATATTGGTTTATTTTAAATAATATTCTTATATTAAGAACATAAATTATTTAATTAGTTATGTTAGTTTAGGTTAGGTTAAGTTATGTAGGGTTGGTTAGGTTCAGTCACATATCTACGTTAGTTTTAACTCAAATTTAAAGAAATTATCTCATACATAATGAAATGGATAGATTTATCATTTCATAAGAAAAAAATTAGAAAAATATTGAAATCCATATATATATACACACAGTATATATATGTATATATATATATATAAAAGATAATGTGTGTGTGTGTGTGTGTGTAATACTCCAACTACAATTTAACAGTCAGTGTCAAGTTGTGTGTAATAAAAGTTATTTAATAATGTATTAATGGAGGATTATCAGAAAGTATTGATAGGCAGTTATATATGACTTTGTCCAGGTGTGTACCTCTTCTATTTCACAAGAGAGATGCACAAGTTTGTTATTTCTTGCTCCTTTTCATTTACAATTATGGCTATTTTAAATACTGTATTAATCTTTAGTCATTGTGATTTGGCTCTAAACATTATTTTAAGCATACTTTTACTTTTTTGTGCAGATAATGAACAACTTGCTCGCTCTGGTACAAACTGCCTCGAAAACCTTGTGATAAGCAATGGGCCTAAGCTAAGCTCGCCTACATGGGACAAAACCTGCCAGTGCCTCTGGAATATATTCAATTCCACGTTACCTCATGCCCTTCTTAAATGGAGACCGCCTGAATCGGGCCCTTCTCGTCAGGTATGGCCGGTGTTTTATACTATAATTTATGAACAAGTGAACCCCTCTCAACCACATTATTTTGTATCACATTTACATTTCATATCAAGTAAAGTAAATTGAAACGTATCAAGTTACATTTCAATTTAATAAAATATGGGAAATAGAACTTTTAATACCTAGTAAATGATCTTTATTTTCTGTAGTAGTGTGCTAACTACAACTTAGTAATGTTGTTTTATTACCATTAAATGCAAGTGTATACATTTTGTTGAAATATTATTGATCTACACCAGACTATTTACCCAAAATACTAAAAATTCAAGTTTGAATCATATGATATATATATTGCACTTTTTTCACAGCAACTCTCATTCTAATTTGTTTTAAAGCTTAGTACACTATTTTAAAAAAAGTACATATCAAGTAAGGGGCAATTATATAAATGATATCTTTTTTTTTTTTTTCTTTCCTGAAAGGTTGGCATCGGATCAGTGAGTGGTGATTCACGGGCATTTACTGGGCTGCTAATCCGTTGTGTTGTTCAACTAGAGCTTATTCAGTGCATTGATAACATTGTATTTTTCCCTGCAACTAGTAAAAAGGAAGATCAGGAAAATTTAGCAATGGCTCAGGTAAGATATCAATTACTGTAATATTTTTTTCATGTTTACCATTTGAAAAATGTGTACACTAAACCATTGCATATTGTGAGATGCATTCTGGGAACACCTCATGCTACTCAAAATTGTGTACTGTACGATCAATCGTGTCTTCATGATCTCTAGTCGAGCATACCCTAAGTGTTGCAGTGTGTCGGGGCGAGAGTGCCCTCAGTGCTGTGAATAGTCTGGCCGAGCGTGCCCCAAGTACCCTGAGATTCATGGTTGAGTCACCTGAAGAGCTGCAAGATGGTGTTTGCTACTATTGCACCAACACACACTGCAATATGGCAAAATAGTCTTGACCGTTTTTGTTTGCATTAGTTGGTACTGTAGTTTTAATTTATATATATATGTTGACCAAACCACACACTAGAAAGTGAAGGGACGACGACGTTTCGGTCCGTCCTGGACCATTCTTAATAGACTTGAGAATGGTTTAGGACGGACCGAAATGTCGTCGTTCCTTCACCTTCTAGTGTGTGGATTGGTCAACATATTTCAGCCACGTTATTGTGACTCCTCGATTGTATATAATATATCATTCTTTGTAACTACCTGTATTTGCTGACTTTATTGTGTTATAAAACAGGCTGGAGATGCTGCATTCTCAGTGACCCGGGACCAGAGAGAAGACCAGGGCATGTATCGTCATTTAGCTGCCAGTCAACTGTTTACACTGCTTGATTGTCTTATGGCATCACATGGTTTTGCAAAAAAATTCAATTCAAACCATGAGCAGAGGAACCTCTTGTGGAAAGCAGGCAAGTGTTTTTTTTTTTTTTTCATCAGGAAAGTCAAGGAAATAAAGTGGCTGATGCCCTGAAGTGTTAGATAAGCAAAATAATATGGAAAGGGATACTGTCGAGGCTAGAGGAAGAAATACTATTTATGATATCTGAGCTACTTATCACTGATTAACTTTATTTAATTTATATTCTCTTTTGTTGACAGGTTTTAAGGGCAGTGTAAAACCTAATCTTCTAAAGCAAGAGACACAGTCATTGGCATGTGCTCTTAGGATACTCTTCCGTATGCTGGCTGATCCGTCCAGAGAGCAGGAATGGCCTCAGGTATTTGAATCTCGGAAATTAATACACAGTATTCTGTAAAAGTTCTGTCAACTGACACTGCCTTCTAGTACAATTCCACTCTGCAGATTCAATGCATCCCTTAAATTCCCCTTATTAGTCTTTATATATGTGCATATGTTGTACCTGATAGCCAGAACCACACTACTTGGCTCAGTATGCAAGGCCTGATTTACCTAACAAGCGGAGATATTTTCGTTATTTGCAAATATTTCTAAATTTGTTTATTCCGGTTAATATTGTATTAAAAACATAAATTACGGACTTTTATGTTTAGTTAGGTTAGATTCGATGATTTGATCTACAGTAATTTCTGTTTTAACTCAAATGAAATAAACCTTAAAATGATATACAGTATTATACAGTATAATGGAAAACTTAATCATTCCATTAACTTGAACTGGCATTCTGGTGATTACCAGACACCTCCTTTATCCCACTCAATCATGATAGGACAAAAGCTGACCCACCCAGAATCCTTCTGAATTAACCAAGAGGTTCTGGAGGCCCTGAAAGGGAGCCCAACAAGGATTTTTACAGTCGGCCCACCTACACTCTGACCTGTGGGTAATGGTGTTCACACTCTTATGCCACTATTTCAGATCACAAACAAATTACAATACAGTGTGTATAAGAAAATTTCAGGAGCAAGGAGCACCTATAGGCTTCATTATCAATACATCCAAATGTGAAATAATCTCCTCCAACCCAGATATCACTGCCCAAATACGAACTGTTCTTCCGGACACATGCATTGTTGAACCAGCTAAATATACCCTACTGGGTGTTCCCATTGGCCCTTGAGCAATCAAGGCGGTCCTGAACACACACATCACTGACCTAAGACGGATGCAGGACAGGATTGACAATATCGATGCTCATAATGCTCTCTTCCTCTTCACAAGATATAGTACCTATCTCTTCTTAAGTTGACTAATTGCTTGTGCTTTCCATCCCACAGCAACACTAAATAAAACAAGTATGATTCCCTTTTGAAGTCAATGCTAGGGAAAGTCCTGTATCTCCCATTGGATGACTCAATACGAGCAAACAACCCTCCCTGTAAGATTCGGTGGCCTTGGCATCCACACGGCCTCCCATATTGCTCTACCAACCTTCCTTGCCTCCTCCTTTGCATTGAACGACCGTGTAAGAAAAATCCTACCTGAACTTCAGGGCGATTCGGCAGGGGATACAAGATCCTGCTTTTATTGAATGTTCAATACTAGTGGGATGCCCTTGCAGGCCCAGCACCCAACTTAGATCCAACAAAAATGCACAAACAGTCCAGCTGAAACAGCCCAGTTGCGGAAAAACTTGCTGATGCCATATGGTAGGGCCCTACCATATGGGAACTTTCTTCTGGCAATACCCATGTCTGCAACAGGCACACATCCAGAGCCAGGATCACTGCTACATTCATTGTAGCAGTGGTCCTCCGCCTTGGTGCCCCAATTCACACTGGATACAAATGTATTTGCAACAGGGTGGTAGCAGACCCATATGGACTGTATGAGCTGTACTGTGGAATCTTCAAGGGCTGGTATGCAAGACACAATGAAGTTATGACAACATCAAGAGGAGCCTTGCCTCAGCTCAGTGCCCAGCAGAGAACCTCACATCTTAATGGCCCAAAACCCAGACAATCCTGTGCTTTGCTCAGGTGGCATCACAATATCCCCCCACCCCCCACCCCCACCCAAAAAAAAGGACCAGTATCCCAATATCATGAGCTGCTATCATTTTCTAATACAACGATTTTTGCCCTTGGGTAAAGTAAGCGTCAAAATACGACGCTCTGCTAGAAGGACGGATTGTATATGCACCTCAGTGCTGATCAGGCAAGTGATGCAGTCAGTCACAGGGCAACGGCAAAATTGAACATTACAAGCAACTGGAAAGTCAGCACACCTTTGTTCCCAGAGCAGCTGGAGGATCTGGTGCTGGAGACTGAGGTTTTAGAGTCCACTTCCACAAAGTTAATATCAGTTGTATGGAATTTGTCTAATTAATGACTTTTTGTATACAGTACTTATAAAAAAAGTTACCTTTTACTTAAAGGCTATTTAACCAAGTAATATAATTTTTTAATTGTTTCAAGAATTTATAAGTTAAACTCATTTCTTGATAACTGCTTAAGCACATGTTCTCAGACGTCATTTGCATGATGACCTTGTGAAATTGTATTATTTTGGGCACGAGTTGTAGCTTAACGGCTATCTAGGCAAAATATAAAGAATTTAGTTTTTAGAACTGTAAGCACAAAGTTATTGTTTTATTATTTGTATAAATAACAAGAAATGGCAGACAAATAGTTCAGGAAGGCCAAAATTCATCAGCGAGTGTTTAGTTTCTAAATTTTTCCCTGCAAATAGTGTCACTTGTCGCTGATAAGGGGAAGGCCTGGTTATCTTATCTTGAGGTTATCTTGAGATGATTTCGGGGCTTTAGTGTCCCCGCGGCCCAGTCCTCAACCAGGCCTCCACCCCCAGGAAGTAGCCCGTGACAGCTGACTAACACCCAGGTACCTATTTTACTGCTAGGTAATAGGGGCATAGGGTGAAAGAAACTCTGCCCATTGTTTCTCGCCGGCCTGGTTAAGCATGGACCTCCAAGATGCATACACAAAATATTACAGATGTATGTGTATTCCATACGTGAATATAAAATAATAAGTGTTCAATTTTCCTGTAGGTACAAGAACGTCTGATCTTTGTATGTCGTTCGGGGCTGGAATATTTCTTGTCACTTCCGGAGTCTCATCGAGAGGCATGGACCAATCTTATTCTACTTTTTCTTACCAATATCCAAAAGATGTCTAATGATCAGGTAAGAGGCACCTTTCAAATTCTCTCGTATATATATTTGTGTGTACTGTATGTGTGTGTATTCTGTACTTAGATGTCTTATAGAAACGAAAAAATTTATTCGAGATTTAGGAGGAGACAAGGCAGTGTGTGTTTTAATGAGTTTTACTCTCCATGAAAGATCTTTTACAGGCAGTTCTGTTCTGGGTCCCCTCAGTTGCTTTCCATACCAGGGCCTAGATCCTCCCTAGTTAATGCTCACACATCATTTCTCAAGTGATCATGTCATATACAAGTAATTGGGTGGATTGGACAATAGTGACTCTATCTCAGTCCACCATCAAGCAACCACTCATTATTTGACAAAGGGAAATAAACAAACCAATCAACCTGGAAGAGGTGGCAAACTTCACTTTTCACCTTGCAGGCACATATGTCCTTAGTATAGTACAGAGTACGGTATTGGTCAAGCTTAATTACTTTAGTGAGGTCACTGGACTTTAGTTCCTCACTGGAACCGCTTGTGACATCATGGACAACTAAAGCATCACGTCACCCCCTAATTCTTCGCCTTTCTAGAGAATGTAAATTAAGCTTTGTCAATCTTTCTTCATATGACAGGTTTCTAATTTGGGAGATTACCTTTGTCATCCTATATAGGAATTAAAACTCCAGTGAGTTCTTTTTTTTCAGTAGGATGAACTCTTAAATTATTAGTTAGTAAATTGAGTGGTCTGCACTGTTAATGAAATTGCGACGTTGTATTCACCACCATCGAGGTCCTGGAATCTGTGTACAGACTGTACAGAATTTCTAGATAATTAAGAATAATGACTTGAAAGGCAGCTTAGTGAGGCTTGTGATGTCCCTCTTCTGGCCAGAGGATAGGAGCTGAGTTGAGGGTTTGTTCTTTCAAGTTGAGTGATACTGTGGTCATGTTGAGCTTTGGAGCCATATTCCCATCAGTTTAACTTTGTTGGGGAGTTGTGCTAAAATTTATACCTGAAAAATAAATCAAGTGTTAATTTGGTGCAAAGGACCTTGTTGTAGTGTAATGATATTACTTATTAATGAATCGACCTTCCAGCCACAGCTGGAGCATTACCTTGGTGTCTAGAAGGTAGTGATTTGCTAAGGATTAAGTACAATAGTTAAGATCTTTGTTGGGTCTACTGCTGAGCTTTGTGAACTTGCACACAAGTTTAGAATTTATGAAAAGTCTGTCAACCTAATATCCAAGTTCGTTTAGTTTATACAAATACAGTATTGTAATACAGTTTTACACAAGAAATATTTGTGTATAGGCTTAGAAAAATATTTATTTAATTATAAAGTGCAGTTACTTTGAACTGCAAAAAAAAACTGTTAATGATATAATTTTTTTTCCCAGTTTGCTGCTCATGCTTCCAACTATTACCCATTTTTGTGCGAGATCATGTGCTTCAATCTCAAGCAGGAATTACGAGCTGTTCTGCGCCGCTTCTTCTTACGCATTGGTATCGTATTCAATATCACTCACCCAAGCATTCGTAATCATACCACATCCACGTCCTCAATTGGATCTAATTCTCACGCGAAAGATACCTTTATGAGTGAACAGTGAGTTGTTCCGCAGATATACCTCCCATACTCTAGTTACTTGGAAGTTAAGTGACAAGACAAATAGCCTGAGTTGCAGATTTTTTGAGACATTTTCTTTAGCTGTTTTGATAATAATTAATAACTGTCAAGATAAACATGATGGAACACATCACTCCAAATTTTGCACAACTATGAAAAGTGTGCTGCATTATAAAGTGGGTATATGAGGCATATGATGTGCTACTCTTCAGTGCAAATCAAATTTGGTAGCAGAAAATGCAGAAGCTTTTAGTGATACCCATAATGGGGCCATTGAAAACCTTATGTGCTAAATTTTGTACAATTGTTGATGTTATGTGAAGTATCTGCCATATTTTCAATACATAAGTTTTTTAAATAGTGAAAACCCAAAATGAAAACGCCTGGTAAAACCAACATGGAATTTATTAAATTGTTATGAAAATAGAGCAAATTGTTAAATAAAAGTAATATATTTAATAGATGTACAGTACAGCTTGTTTATACAGTACTTTCCACTATAGAAGATCTATAGATCATGGTTTACAAAATTCCAATAAATTTATTGGTTGAATCAAAAATCAACATTTTATTGATAATTACTGTACTACTCTTGCCCAATTTTCAAATAGCTGAATTCGTTATGATTTTAAGAGCTTGCTTTTTTTCGTATTACAACTCGCATGATTTGTCCTTGTTATTTTGTCCACTTGGCTGCTGCATTTTCGTTGTTTTTTCCCGAGAGCAAGATTGAAGAAATTTTCTACAGTTACCTGATGTTGCCAATAAGAATGCTCTATTATGATGAAAATACTGTTGGTTAGATGTTTGTTTTGGTTTTATGGGTGTCCATAGTCTCCTGGGATCAGGAACAGCATTTATTTTGCACACAAGCTCATACACATACACACACGAATGCACGCATGCATGCACATACTTAAGCCCATTCACTTGTGTGCATGTATGTACATACGTGTGCATAAACATATAGTTACTGACTCATGCATCTGTACATACTTTATCGTGTGTGTGTGTTTGCACATTAACACACATATTTACATACACGATCACAACCATGTTTATATGAATTCAAGTGTGTTTGCATGTAGGTATCTTGAGAAATGTGAGAGCTGATAAATATAAGTTATTTGGAAGGTATTTTACAAATGTGTGCTGCCTGACGTGTGTGCAATCAGACGTGTAAATGATCTGGTAGATGGTGAAAAAATGTGTGAGCTGGCAGATGTGCTGACAAAATAGCCCCAGAGTGAAGTAAATGTATGCCTTTGAGTATATTGTTTTCTGAACATAATGACGTTGAGTTGTTTGAACAAAGATGATAATTTATATGGCTACTGTACTGTTAAGATATCTTTTGTAAGCGAGTTTCTTGAGACTTGGCTTTGGAGTGGAAAATTTAATACAAATTAATTTACGTGCAATATATCAGTACGAGATATTGGTGTGCAAAGAAAAAATTATTAATATTAATTTTATTAATATTAATACACAATTGCTGTACAAAGAATCATTATTAGATATAGTGTAGCAACACAGTGTGTATTGGATATATGGGGGGACCTTGAGTGTTTGTTACATGGAAAGTTGACGTTATATATGAGTAAAGTGAATGTTGCTTATCCAGTACCATATGTAGAGAATGCATTTTATTTATATGGTGGAAGTATATCTTGGTTATGTAATGAAGTGTATATTGGTTATGTACATGATTGGATATTAGTAATTTGAATAAGAATGAGAAAACTTAAGATGAAGAGTGAGAGAAAAAAGTAGATTAGAAAGCCCAAGGGAGAGAGTGTATGGCTGAGAGAGGCATGCAATGGAGTAAAGGTATAAATGCATTCCACAAAGAATAACGAGGAGACTACAGACAAGATACTTGACTGGTGTGAAATGTTTCATTGTTGGATAAAGATACATGTATTATATAGTGCATTCAAAGGATGTCATGGTACCATTACATCCGTTATTGGACATGAGAGTGGGAAATTCAGACACATCTCATGGTCACAGTTCTCAGCATTTTTGAAAAATCTGTGAAAAAAGCAACACTTGGAATATTTGTGAATAAATTGTCCTTAATATATATAAATGGTGAAAGTTGGGGGGGTCTGTTTTTAAAGATCTTTAGCCTCTAAGTTGGGTTTAAATTATTTAAGCATTAAGAGTTTTCCTACTACATTCAGGGCTTTATTTCCACTCCTAGAGCGTGTGCTAGTGAAGGATTAGCCAGACTACAGAAACAAACGTATTTAAAAAGTGGTGTTGCATATTTTGTCACAATATTCACTGTATATTTTTGGTTTCGTGTAAATAGAACAGATTGCAAAATACTGTATTTTGTATAAAGTAAACTTATCAGTATCCAAGATGCAGGAAGGGAGACCACTGTGGACATGCAGGTATTCCAGATAAGCAAGAGCTTGCTAAACCCATCATAATATTGCACTTGCAGTCAGTAAGATGACATACAAAACAATAGGATGGGAAAATACTACAAACATCATCTGGTAACAGTTAATTTAGAAGTGAAAGACTGGATGTACTGTAATATAGTACTGTACTCTTCCCCCACCTTATATATAGTTCTCGTTCACAGTACTGTACAGTAATCATTTACCACATATAGTGGGGTTTGTGCTTTTGTTTTTCTTTTAAAACTTGCTTGCTTCCTTCTTAATTTTAATTGGATTAGGTAAAAAAAGTAGAACTATAACTGCAGGGTGTAAAAAAGGTTGTGGTATCATGTGAGCACAATGCATGTTTACCGGTATAGATATCACATGAAATTTCCTAACAAGAGCATGCAACTAACCACATCTGACGGCTGCATTGTACTAATACCGGCCGGTGGTGGGAATTTAAAGAAATGCCTTAAGATATTGAAATGCTGGGATACTTAGCATGTCTGGATATGGGGAAGTTTGCTGCAAGTCTGTCTAATGGATCATTTTATTCTTCCATGCCGAATTTTCCCCTCAAACATTTGGTAACTCCTATAACATTATACTGCATTTGCATAATAACTGATATTATATCTCTTGTGCCAATTTAATCTCATGATTTTCACTGTAATAACCTTCAACATTTACAGTCACTTGCCCACATCTAAATTTGACAATTATATTCTATCAATAATAATTTTCTTCACTCTTTTCAGACTGCACTTTTCTTATACTGGTACTTGACCTGAAGCTCATTTTTGTAAATGTTCTCTCTCCATTTCATTGTAATTCTTGTAAAGAATGTGATTTTCATATTTTTGCTTGAATCATACCACTCCTTCAGTATATCTTGTAAGCTGTAAAATCTGTTTACATAATTAACAAAAAGTTCATTGATGTACTGTAATCAAATTTATATGAATGCCATATTTGATTTTGATATACAGTACCTTACATATAATGGGTTCCTGGGACAAGTATTCATGCTTTTTATTTCTTTTCACTTATCACTAACTTCCAACATCAAAAGTCTTATTATAATTATTGTAGCACTATATCAGTTTTGTGACAGTACCAAGCCATTGCTAAATTTATAATGTGCAATATTTATAGTTTATTTTAACATTATTTTCACACGAGAATAAGACCTTCTGTGTAGAGAGAATTTAATGCCTATATACATTGAACTAGTCCTCTTTATTTGTATATATTTCCTCAGATGTGATTACTGTAACATTCCATATCCTGCATCAGAGAGCTACAAGAGGAAGAAGTTAGGTTATTGTTGTGGTTGACTGCATGAAGATTCCTCATAATACAGTATCCAGTCATTCTTTCTATTCACGCATTGGAGGCACTCATCATAATCTCTCATTACTTTACTGTATTCATTCTGTTTAAAATGCTAGCATTTTTGGTTGTTAGTGCATGTCAAAACAAGATAAAATAATAAGATACCAAATTTTAGATAGTCTCTGCATGTACCAAAACTAAGACAATAAATGTGCACGGTGATGCAGTGTGTCGGGTGTGCACTGCAGAGCATAAATAGAATGGAATTTATTTCTGTTCGAACATTTAAAGTGGAAAGTATAGAAACGTTTATTTATTTCCGAGCCCTATGAGTAAAGTGTACATATGGTGCTTTTGACTACTCCTGTGCCGAAATAATTTTGCAGCCACGACAGTACTGTATATGAATTGAAATGCTACAAGATTTTGATGCCTTCACGTGATATTTATATCTAGTAACGCTTTTTAGTTATCTTACAATTTGTGGCGGCATGCACTTATTTTCTAGTACAGGATGCATCAATGTACTTTCAGGGAAGATTGCGATATATTAATACAGTACGAATTTATACAAAAATGTGGCACTTTAAATTTCATAATTTCAATAAATTCCAACTATTCCTAATATTAAAGACAGTAGTTTAGGGATTGTTGCAGGAAGCCGTATAAATACCAAGTACTCTTCAGTACTCCAGTGATAAGGATTAAAGTTGTGCTGTTATTATTCAAGCGTTCACAACCCTTTTCTAATACTGTTCACATACAGCCCTTGTAAAAGATTTGCAGCATTTATGTGAAAATATATTCAGGAAAGACTTATTTATTCTACAGCCTCTTCAAGACTTTAGTTACAGTATTGAAATTCAGGTTCTTATGAGATACAATACACGTTTTTTTCATTCACATGTTTTTATTTGGTGAATTATGTGAGGAAAAGACACTTATATAGTTTAAGACTAATATCTGTGCGAATGAAGGTGGAAATATTTGTTTATGATTACCTTTTAATCTGAAATTTTAACATGGTATTGAGTCATGTGTTTTAACTTGGAGATGAAATGTTGCTCTTATCTATTGGTATAATGTGCGGGGAAAATTTTATTACTAGTATTGTTATAGATATAGATTGCTTGCCGATTCTCATAGAACTGGCCTGAGGCTTTAATGTTCATGATCTGTGTAAGAGATGTAAATAACATTATTTCATTTCACACAAAGTATTATTCTATTTAATTTTTTTTTTTTTTCAGAAAATTAGTTTTATCGACATTTAATTGCATATTGATTTGTAAACATTCATGTTTTTTTTCATTATTTATAAAATGTCAAAATGTTTTTCTGAAAATATTTTGGAAATTTTATCGTAAACAAGTCTTAATAGAAGCAAAAGTGCAATTTTGTGATGTCCTTATGAGCGAGACTTTCGGGAGAACTGTGTGGGATGATGAACTGAAGTTTTCTTTATGCATATTTTTTTGAAGATTCAATGTAAATACATTCTTGGTTATAAAATAGATATGCTTTTATTGTCATAGATGACTTCTGTTTTATTATCTAGATTTAATATAAATATATCTAACTGCTTTAACAATTTTAGTTTAATTTTTCATATCTAATCATTAATATCTCCTGACAGTGGCAAAAATAGTATAAAATGTTACATAAAATACAAATCCTATAATGCAGTTCTTGGAGTACGTAATATTAATTATGCGGTGAGGATGTACATTTATACCACAGTAATTGTATATATATGAGTGTTGGTTATTTCATTATTACAAATAAATCCAGAAGCTATTTCCAAATCTTTGTTTCTTTTTCACAGTTCTATTATAATTATTGCATGTATGGTTCTTTTTATAATCGGTAGAGCACACAAGCAGGATGTTGGTCATCTTGTAAGATGCAATGATTGTTGATTAATGTGTTTTCCCATGTGCCTTATCTTATAGTTAAAGCATTGAATTGGAAATTGGAAATCGTCCCTAAATTGGCATCTCTGCCTGTTAGAAAAAATAATTGAATAAAATGAATCTTAACTAGGCATTGATAGCCAATACCTATAATTTAAGAGTGGAAGGGGCTGGAATGCTTTAGCGATCCAAAGGGAAACTGAGGGTAGAATGTGAAATTGCTATTCTTGCCTAAGACAATGAATAATATAGGAGATAAAACCTCAGCTTGTAGGCGATGAGTCACAATATCGTGGCTAAAGTATCATCTCGGTATTGTCATCTCAGCTTGTAGAGGTCCCACCTATATGCTGTACATAGAGACATATTTCCTGCATCCCCCCTCATCTTGTAGTTGAGTCTGTCCAGGAAGTTGTGGTACTTGAGGGATATCACATATGCTAAAACTGCTCATCAGGAACCCTTGACCCACTCCTAGGCCCCTGCTCTGAAATTGTTTCCACATCCTCACCACTGAAACCTTGGCCGATGGACCTTGTTCTCCATGCAGGTATGTTGAGAATATTTTCTTGTAGGTACCTGATAGAGAATGCTTTGTTATTTACAGAAGCTAATGAAGAAAATTGTGCTTAGTTGCTCAAAAGATATGGAAAATGAATGTAATAAAATATACATGATATTACCCACTTACCGAAGTAATGAATACCAAGACTACAACAGTTAAAAATTCATCTGGAAAAAACCTTCGGGAATAATAGGGAGACCTTAGATAAACTGCTGGCTTCCTGTCTCCTAGGGCTCTAGAGATGGTGGCCCACAGGTAAAAAAAAAAAAAGATAATTGCATAAATGTTTTCTTTTGTATAAAAACACTGATGCCAGGGACTGTTCACTATACAATTCTTGAATAAAACTTTTAAGCAATTAATGCAAGTTGACAGTAAAGAACTCCTTTTCTCATAGTGATTCTGCCCAAAATGCCATGCGTGCTAGTGGCTTTACAAGAATGTAAAATTTCAATGCTCTGTACCTTCATAAACCCAATGTACCTTGTATACTGTATAAGTAAATAAATACAGCATTCCAGCTTTTGTATGAACATCAGAAGAGGGCATGACTAATCAAATCCAGGTAGAAAAGGCTCACCCATGTATGTGATCACTTTATGCCTGTAGGTCCAGGAACGATGACTTTCTTTGGATACTTTTGAGAACTTATAGAATGAGAGAAGAGTTGCAAAATGTTACCTAGGAGTTAATAAGAGATCAAGACACTAAAACATCATGGAACAATTTCACTAAGGTCATCACTGAAATTGTTTAAAACTGCTAAGGAGAGGAAATAAAAAAAAAAGAACTAGAATGACAGGCAGTAAAAGTGCTTTAACAACTGAGTTCAACCCCTGGAAGAAGTATTAGTCCATCGGGAATCACACAATATGAAATGTACAAAAGGATTTCGAATTCACCGACATAATCAGATCAGCCAAAAGAAATTATGAAAGAAAACATGCTCAAGGTGTTAAGAAGTAAACACTGCAGTAACTATTTACATGAAATATACATCTAGTTATTATATTGTGTTTATTGTCAAAACATGTCATACCATTACAGAAGTATCACAAGTACTTTTATGCCTATATAAGGAGTAAAACTAAGACAAAAGACTCTGTAGGACTGTTCAACTCAGACAACAGGACTCGAGAGGAGCGAAATACTTCAACACGCTTCCATTACACATAAGGGGCATAACTGGCCAACCCCTCAAAGTCATCAAGAGAAAGAACTCAATAAACATCTCCAAAGGATACCTGACCGATCAGGCTGTGATTCATACGCCAGGTTGCGAGTAGCCACGTCCAACAACCTAGTTGACCAGACTATCATCAACCAGCATGGTCAGAGGCCGGGCTGTGGGGACCTTGATCCTTAGAAATAATAATAAGCATGAGATGAAATGCGACCATTTCTCGCTTTTTGGAAAAGGTGACCAGCTAATATGATCGGTAACAGGGTTGTTGATTTGTGGAACTAATTACCGCGTTACGTGGTGGAGGTGGGGTCCCTGGATTGTTTCAAGCGTGGGTTGGACATGTATATGAATGGGATTGGGTGATTATAAATAGGAGCTGCCCCGTATGGACCAATAGGCCTTCAGTTACCTTTGTTCTTATGGACTGTATTTAGACAAAGGACTTCCAGCAGATGTGGCGTATATTGACACTTGTGAAGCTTTTGATAAGGTACCACATGAAAGGCTGACACAGAAATTGCAAGCACATGGAAAAAACAGCAAAATACTAGAACGGATAAAACGATGGTTAAATCAAAGGAAGCAACTTAAAGGGTCACCCTAAATAGATATGAATCTGAAAAAACGTTGCTAGTAGAGTAGTGCAAGATTCCGTCTTGGGGGGCCAACTCTTCTTGTTATATATTCATCAACAACATACTGTATTACAAATCACATCATTAAATGTACAATGACAAAAAGATCTACGGTAAAGTGAGAAGCAAAAAAGATATTGATGCCTTGCAAAGCAGTCAACATGAACTCCACAAATGGCCAGGAGACTGGCAAACGTTTTTTAATCATTAAAAATACAAAACCTTGCATGTAGTGCATAACAATCATATTCAGCAGATGGAAGAAAAGTACAGTACCACCAGTATAAGTTATCACTCGCCAGTCCTTGAAGGTTGCTAAACAAGTATAGGAACTGCAGTAAAAAAAATGAAAACGCCAATCCTCAGGAATTTATTCCGTGATCAATATCGAAAAACTGCCGAACGAAGAATTTTGCGGTGACCTGACTGGCCAGGTTTGTGGCCAATAGGGAATTCTTGCGGTTTGGGTATTGTGTGGGTCAAATGTCCAGCGGTACGGTATAAAAGTAATTACTCTAGGCTTTGTGTAGAAAGCGAGCAAATGGGTGTTGGGCAGTTAGTTGCCTCACAGTAATGTACACTAACAGTATTAACATAAGGGATGGGACGTAAAGAATGGTGCCCCAACACTAGGACGGTCGGGGGATTGAGCGCCGGCCTGCAGGAAGCAAGACCGTCGCTCTACCATCCAACCTGATTAATTGATGAAGATTAAGCCACCCCCAAGAGGTGGCACGGGCATGAATAGCCCGTAAACCGTGCAGCCCAAGTGGTTGGGCTTACAAAAGGCAACTAAGCCACTCGTATGGTGACATGCGTGGCTTACTTTCCATATGATGGATGGACAATACCATCCAATAGAAGTCCACTACGGGCTCACCATAGCCCGTGCTACTTGCCCCGCTCCTGTGCCAGGTAAGTCCACTACGGGCTCACCATAGCCCTTGCTACTTGCCCCGCTCCTGTGCCAGGTAAGTTACGGGCTCACCATAGCCCGTGCTACTTGGAACTTGTTCCGAGTAGCTGAATCTATAACAACAACCATCCAATATATGGTTGGTGATCGGCCGTAAACTGCCACAATAAATTACAAGTCGAATGGTGGGAAGATTGCGCCAAACACGTGTGGGGGCGAGAGTAGCAGTTGTGGTGGCCTGCGGGTGTAGAGCACGGCTGCAGGTGTGGGAAGGGAGGGGAGACGGGGAAGCAGCAGGTGTGGAGGCTGGGACAGAAGGTGTGGACTCATGTTAGTAGGCGTAGAGGCAGGCACAGCAGGTGTGGACCTGGAATAGTAAGTGTGAAGCAGAGGCAACAGGTGTGGACTCGTTAATTGTCCACACCTGTTGGACAGGTGTGGACAGCTAATTAACAGGTTAATTGTGGAGGCAGGCACAGCAGGTGTGGATGTGGGTTACCAGGTGTGGAGGCAGGGGGCTGCAGGTGTGAACCTGGGTCAATTGGTGAAAGCTGGGTCAGGTGTGGCGGCAGGGACAGTTGTAGACCTGGGTCAGGTGTGGAGGCAAGGGCAGTTGTAGACCTGGGTCAGGTGTGGAGGTCGGGGAGGTTGTAGACCTGGATCAGGTGTGGAGGCAGGGGCAGTTGTAGACCTGGGTCATGTGTGGCGGTCGGGGCAACATGTATGGACCTGGGTCAGGTGTGGTCTGGGCAATATGAGTGGGTCTGATTTATAGGTGTGGAAGCCGGGGCAGAAGCTATGCACCTGTGTCAGGTTTGGACCTGGGTTAGTAAGTGTGGAGGCCGGAACAGCAGGTGTGGACCTGGTTTAGTAAGTGGAGGCCGGGACAGCAGGTGTGGACTTGGGTTAGTAAGTGTAGAGGCAGGGGCAGCAGGTGTGGACCTGGGTTAGTAAGTGTGGAGGCAGGGCCAGCAGGTGTGGACCTGGTTTAGTAAGTGTGGAGGCAGGGACAGCAGGTGTGGACCTGCTTTAGTAAGCGTGGAGGCCGGGGCAGCAGGTATGGACCTTGTTTAGTAAGTGTGGAGGCAAGGGCAGCAGGTATGGACCTGCTTTAGTAAGTGTGGAGGCCGGGGCAGCAGGTGTGGACCTGCTTTAGTAAGTGTGGAGGTAGGGGCAGCAGGTATGGCCCTGGTTTAGTAAGTGTGGAGGCAGGGACAGCAGGTGTGGACCTGCTTTAGCAAGTGTGGAGGCCGGGGCAGCAGGTGTGGGCCTGGGTGGGCAGGTGTGGAAGTGTTGGTAGGCCGCCCCCGCTGCCCACTGGCAACTCTCTACCACCATGGGACCTCCACCGCCATTTCCCGCATTTTTCCGCGTAAATTTCGAACGACTTTTAGCTTTCAATTTTTCCCCTGGCTTATTCCCACATTATATTACCCAAATGGTTTTATAATAACAAAACAAATAATAATAACCCGGTTTTTCCTTTCAGAAACCTACTAAACATATACTTATACGACCCGATGTGCCAGTTGCTGTAATATTTAAATAATACTAACAACGATAATGACTCTAAGTGATTGAGAAAAGTTTTTGTGTAAGTATGTAAGAATAATGAGAAGCGGAAGAGTGAGGGAGGGAGGGAGTTAGTGATCTATAAGGGAAATGTGTGGGAGTCGGGCGGAGATGTGGCATCTGAGCGGTGGTGGTCGGGGAAGCGACGCCGAGTTGTTTACTTCGCGCACATGCAGGAGCGTCTTGAGGAGGACCCGTCGTGTGTTGCTGCTCTCCCCGTCCTCGCCACCTGCACCCACACGCGCGCCTGCCTCTCCTCTCACACCCACAACGCCTCCTCGCCATGGGTGATAAGGGCAAGAACCAGAACGGTGAGGTGTCGGAGGAGCGCCGCAAGGACGAGGATGTGGGCGCCGAGGGGGACGAGACCACTGACGACGAGGGAGGCGTGGACACTCCGCCTCCCCAGGATAGGGACGAGGACGACGAGCACCCTGACGGCGAGGGCAACTACGAGGTATACTAACGTTACTCTTGCTCGCTAAGACGGTTGTAATAGCCTTGACCACCTTCTCTCTCCCTCTCTCTCTCAACCACAACAGATGCATTGGTGCACTTTCAAGTGTGTTTGATAAGGCATTTCAAACTTAATTTGTGCCTGTTGCTTGGAGGGTCACCAACGTGGTACCCATTTTTAAGGGTAGATCTCTGGCTGTTAACTACACTACCACCCAATTTGTTTAGTATCAGTTGTTGAGAAGTTCTTTAGAGCAAGGGTGGCAAATTCAATACGTAATAACCTCGGCAAATATTGTTTTGTGAGGAACTTGCGGAAAGTTGTCGTAGAGGGTTCATAGTTCTCTTATGACATGTTTACAATAACGTGTTTGATTCAGATAACAATAGCTGTAATTATGATGTTTATCCATGTTTTGTCTTTAGGCTTTTGATGCAGTTCCTCATAAGGTTGATCAGAAAAATATAATCTCATGGATTTTGATTAAACTGACTGAAGTGGACTGAAGCTCTGTTGAAATGCGACGTGGTTGGCATCGGTGGGAGAATTGGAGCCGAGACTATTCGTAGCGGTGTGCCTTAATGTTTTGTATTGGGTCCATTATTGTTTATAATTTGCTTTAAGGACTTTTGTGTTAGTAAATAGTATTATCAGTAAATTTACAATGACCCAGAGATACGAGCTTACAGTAAATTAAGAATATTCTGTTGTACTGTAGAGAGGCCTTTATAAGCTGCAATTTTGTACACAAGAAATGATACCCTTCATTCACTTCAACATTGATAAATGTAAATGCCTAAGTTTGGGCAACGATAGTGGTGCTATATATTGGCATAATGATATAGGTCTTAGTAAACCCGATTTTGAAAAACTGAGATGACTGTTAACTAAAATTGAGACAATGTAACAATGCATGGAATGAGGCAGGTAGAATACATTACTTTATATCTTAGTGTTAGCAATAGAAACAAACATCTTTCAGTTATGTCTTGTACCTGATAAATACCTTATCTTGTAAGGCCTCACTTGTATTATGCTCTTTTATTTCGTATCCCCATATTACAAAGTTAATTCTTAGTAATTGGAATCTTTCATGTAAAGACTACCTAGAACTTTTGTGAGGCTTAGAACAAAGGGAGATATGATAAAAGTTTAAAAGTAGATGAATAACATCTGCATGGAGATACTTTTTCTCATTTTGAGGATAGGATGCCTGTACTTAACGTAAGAACAAGGTAACTGCAGAAGACCTATTGGCCCATACGAGGCAGCTCCTATTTATTACCATCCAATCCCACTCATATGCATGTCCAACCCACATTAGAAACAATCGAGGGACCCCATCTCCACGTTATGCGGTAATTGGTTCCACATATCAACAACACTGTTACCAAATCAGTATTTACCCAAGTCCTTCCTAAATCTAAACTTATCCAATTTATACCCATTGTTTTGTGTTCTGTCTTGTATTGATACTTTTAATACCCTATTAATATCCCGCTTGTTATGTCCATTCATCCACTTGTAAACCTCTATCATGTCACTCCTAACTTTTTGCCTTTCCAGTGAATGCAATTTAAGCTTTGTTAATCTTTCTTTGTTAATCAGATTTCTAATTTGGGGAATTAACTTTATCCTACGCTGGACATGTTCAAGTGAATTTATATCCATTCTATAGTACGGCGACCAAAACTGAACTGCATAATCTAAATGGGGCTTAACCAGAGCAAGATATAGCTGAAGAACAACACCAGGTGTCTTGTTACTAACGCTTTGATTAATAAATACCAGTGTCCTATTTGCCTTATTACAAACATTCATGCATTGATCCTTTAGTTTCAAATTCTTACTAATCATAACTCCCAGATCCCTTTCGCAATCCGACTTGGCAGTCTGAACACCATCTAGGTGGATCCATGATGGTGGATCCAGCCACCATCATGGATCTGTTACAAGACCCATTGTATCTTGTAACTATCATCATTACCTAGCCTCAGAACTTTACATTTATCAGCATTAAACTGCATCTGCCAATCTTTTGACCATTTCAAAACCCTATTTAGATCAACTTGTTGTGACGAGTCGTCTTCTGTGTTAATTTCCCTACCGATTTTTGTATCATCGACAAATTTGCAAATGTTGCTACTCAAACCTGAATCTAAATCATTCATATATACAGTATTATAAACAACAGAGGTCCCAAGACAGAGCCTTGAGGCACTCCACTTAAAACATTTTCCCACTCTGACTTAACCCCATTTATACTAACTGTTTCCTTTGGTATAGCCATGCCCTAATCCAACTTAAAATAGCACCCCGGGTACCATGCGTCTATCACCAGCTATGATGTGACACTGTATCAAGAGATTTGCTAAGGTCAAGTTGGCAGGATCGAGACTAATAAAAAAGGTGATGTTGCTGCTGGCCTTACAATGTGTAAGTTCAGGTGGAAACATATGAAAATCATCAAATAAATAATTAAAACAATTTACTGAAATATTAATGAACAAAATTGGCACTTAACAATACTTGGCTATCATGTATATGCATATCAAATGAACTTGATAGTTTAACTCTGACAAACAAAAATATATACTAGTGTACTGCAGACAGCTACCATACAAACGCATAAGATATACTGCGTGTACTGAAGACAAACTACCATAGAGACCTACGGCATCAGAGCACTACGGGAGTTGGCTGAAGGCAGATGACGGCTGAGAGAGAGACCAAGGTGTTCCAAGAGCACTAAGGGAGAGACTGGCTCTCCAGGGAGGCAACGCCCTTTATATAGTCTGCCGGTGATGACTCATCCAGTATCAACGCAAGGTGGACATCTGGTCAACTAGCAAACTGCTCGTTTGTGGCTGGCAGTGCCTTTGTCTTGAGCTGCACCACTGCCAGTTGAAGGCGGCTAACTGCTTGTTTGTGGGGGCAAACTACCGGTTAGCAGAGGCACCCGGCTTGCCTCTTGAGTCGTACCAGGCCGTGGCAGGCCCTGGGGGGTATGGAGAGGTGGCAGGACTGATGACTCATCTGGGCTGGTGTAGAGGTAGACTTCCAGTGCAGAGGCATTGAAGGTGAAGGGAAAAGGCAGTTCCACTGCTATGCAGGGGATTCACGTGACAAAAGATAATTTGCAGTTTAAAAAATATATAGGTAAATATATCTTGGATTTATTAACCCGAGGGCCGCTATTTCACTAGTGGCCTTGATGAGGGACAGGAAGCTGGGAGCTTGTCAAAGGTCCTCCCCTCCCCCCCATATTTGTCCTGACGATTTTATCGAGCCAGATTTTGAAATTCAGTAGTGTTTTGGCATTGAAATTCAGTAGTGATGCGATGCAATTAGAATTTCATTGTATCAAAACCTTTTTTTTTTTTTTTTCTTAGTACAAAAGACTAGGATTTTTTCAAATTTTAATGCTAGAAATAATTGTTTTTAATTATTTTATTGGTTTAACTTTTAATTTTTGTCACAAAATTCCATTTCACTGAGTACATTGGCTCCTTACCCTCATTAGAAGACTAACGTTATTATCCATTACAACCTAATATACTGTACAATAGTATAGTCTTAGTGTTTTTTATATGTACAGTATTTGAATACAGTACAGTGTATGATCATGGCACTGATTGGCCTCCTTTTGCATCCGGCTTTCCGGTAAGCAGAGTTCCATCTAAACAGAAGTCCATTCACAGAAACTTGTATAAAATTTACCTAAGTTTCAAATAATGCACAAGTAAGAGCCTGCATGTTACTGCAAGCGGTCTAAATGCTTTTGAGAGTGAGAACAGCATGTGAACACTACAGACGATGTTGAAGACTCGCTGCTATCTTCCTGTTTACAAATACCTTTAACCTTATCACTGTGGCTATATTTTAGGCAACTTTCCAGGAATTATTAATTTGACTAAACAGCTTCGGTCTTAATCCATTGACCTTTCTTAGATATGTGATCCATAGTCTGTCTACTTAAATGTACTTCCAATCATCATTCGTTAAGTGTTGTAGTAATGATCCTCTAGCTAATAATTCCTACTAACTTGTGGATTACAACACCACTGAGCTATTCACCCTAAATCATTTGTTCTCCTTTAAAAGTGATAGAGTAGCATTCAGATGTAAGAAGTCTTCTACTTCTTCAATGGTTTAGGTGTGGTATGTTAACTCTGTTGTGATGTTTTCAGTAGGCATACTTGTCACCTCAAAACACAGTACAGTACATACAGTATTTATCTTGTGAACATTGTTCCATCAGTACATCATGAAAATATTCAGCTTTCATCATTAACAATAAAGTTATTACTTTAGCATTGTATATTTCGGTGAAAATTAAGCATATGTGGCGCAAAATTTGGCATTTCCACCTATACTCCTTACTTTAGGCCTTGTTTATTTCTTAAATTGATACTTTACATCATATTCTACTTCACTGTCTAACTACTTCATACATACTTCTACAACTACATACACTACTTCACTGTGTAAATATCTATTTTCTGTAAGTATTCTTCATTATTCAATCAAACTTATGCCTACTTTTCATGACATAAATGGTTGCCTGCATATGGGTTATAGAATAATATTGTATATGGATTGAAGGCCATATCCGGGGGATAAGGCCATCACCAACATAAATTGACTGTAGACGTTCTCATAAATCTAGTGACACTCATATAGAACTGGCATAAAACAGTCATTCCTGAATGTGAAGTAATTGGTAATATGTGATCTGTATTTTTTGTCTACCTGTTTGCAATGGAAAAGTAAAATGTTATTCAAATGTTTTTCGATGAAACACGTGGTATCTGACAGGACCAGTATTACTAGCTAGTTGTTGAGCTTGGTGTGCTAGGACATGTTAAAGTATGGATAATTTGGTGATTCATGAGGTAAAAAGTAGTTCAATACAAGCTCTCTTAGCAGCCCTCTTTCAATAGTATTTTAGGTATTGTTTGTTTCATACCTTCTTGTTTGATGTTTATATGTGCCTAATT